CCCCCCCCAACCAACGCTCTTCAGCTGCCTTCAGAAGCGCGAGCTGATGGACACTACTCCCAGATTCCATCATCGTACGCGAACCCACGCGTGTCTTCTCGCCTTACCCTCGTCCACAACCCAGTAAGTTCATCATTGTCGTCCTCTTATTTCAACCAACTGCTATCGAGGTACACGTGGATTGCGTAACCATGCCTTGAATGCATTTATGAAGGAGTCACTACGTGGAATCGTTTTACGGAAAAGGCTCCTCAGCTGACCCACCTGCAAGCTGATACTGGTGACGCTTTCGTTCCAAATAGGATATTGCAGGTAAGTTTTCATCCCTTTTCCTTCAGTAAACCCCGCATCTCCACCAAAGCCAGAGTTGGATTGACACAACCATTTCTAAACCCTTGACCGCGACAACACCTGCCTGTTGCTGGCTCTCTTCTGACAAAGCTACAGGCGCAAACTGCTTCACGTTCTGCAAAGTACCGACCTCATTGGGACGACGAAACACGCAAGGAAGGTATGTACCAGAGTCTCCTCATCACACATGTGTGCTCTTCCTCGTGGTGCCCTACGACGCTGTTGCGGGGTTTGACCTGTAGCTTCGCGTCTCCGCATCGCCAAGCATTGTGTATACTGCCATTCAACCAATTAGCAACAACCATTTTCACTTTTCCACTTCTGGATGGGACTCTCAGCCTCTTCTGACATCACAACAAACACTATGCACAACGCGTGTTTCTCATAGCACTGTGTCTAACCAAAGTATCCACAGGCCGCTCATACTTCTGTACTATAACCTTGCTTGGAGAAGCCATAGCTTTGTTTGCCCATCGCTACCGAACAAAAACGACCCCTCAAGGAGTTCTTTCGGTTGAGAGAACCGAGAGAAAGAGTGATCCGATTATTGGTTGGCAGTAACTCTGCACGGTAAGTAGAGTCGACTTGAAATACATCGTACTGAGACGGCAATCGACGTGGACAAACCGGATGTTGATTGATGATGCAGCTTGAGGATATAATACCGAGTTTGTCAAGCAATATGCCAGCACAAGCTAGCAAATCAAAGAAGAGCCGCGAAGTCGACAATGATGTACTGCGCAGTCCTGCTAAGGATGCCAAGGTCCGTAAGCGTGTAGTATCAAAGCCGCAGGCAGACCGCCTGGGCAACTGGAACTATACTCACGAGCTCCCAACTGGAGAGCAGCGAGTCAAGAATGGCCGACTTCCTGGCCGCACACTCGTGCACTGGTCACGTGAGTTCTTGACTTTGACCTTCGAAAAACGCAGCTGATCACAGACAGGACCCTTCATGATGGAGAAGGCCCTCTTGAACCTGCTGTATGAGTGTGACGTCCAGGGTATTGAGCTTCCCCTTGACCACGTTGCTCACAGACTCTGGCCTGGTGCTTCAGGTGAGGCGCTGCGACAGCGCTGTGAGAGAGTGAGAACTGAACTCCTTGTAACTGGTCACCTTGTTCCACCAAAGAACCGCAGGGGCCAACAGGTTTCCAACCTCACCCGAGGGGTGGTCCGCGCAAGCCCGGGAGACCCTAACGACCTCAAGACGACACGTGACGTGCCGTTCACTGAACCTTTCGACGAGAATATTGTCTATGACGATGCGGCATTCACCTATGTGCACAATCGAAGCTCTCGTAAGGAGGGTAAGGCTCCCGGCGTCAACCGCAAGTTTCAACACGGCTTCCTTAAGCGCGTCCACGCGAGTCAGGATATCGATGAACTCGAGGGTGATGCTCTTAACAACGAGGATGAGGACGATGCTGAAGACGCTTACGAAGAGCCAGAGGATTACGCTCTGCACTCTGGCCCTTAGATTGGTCCGGAATATGAGCACAATGCCCCTGGCCAGTATCAGGAGATCATTGATGGTGACTTGGTCCCAATGGATGGCACTCAAGCCACGCCTGGCAGCATCGCCGACGACGAAGCCGGCTCTTTCGTGAGTTACTTGCTTTGAAGACAGCATAACGTAGCTGACTTGTGGCCAGGATTCCTCATCTGATTTCACCTCTCAGCGCAGCCAGCCCTCTGACTTCGATCAATTTGCTCCACCCAAGCAGACACCGACGACAGTTGCTAACGCTGAATTCATCTCGCCGGGTGGTAAACCAACATGTACTAGCCCCTCTATCAACGCGGTGTGGAGCCACCCTGGCTATGCTCCTGTTCCTGCAATATACCAGACCAAGACTTCAGACTATCTGGACGGAATCCTCCAGGCGCAGAAGTGCACCCAAGCTCTTCTGGAGAAAAGCACACAGGTTAGTTCACGCAGGTTAGACTTCATTCTCCCATAAGATAGCTAATCCTATTCTTTCGCAGAAGGATGAAGACCATGAGCACCAGCAGTTGGATGACGCCGTGCTCCCTACGTTCACGAGTGCGAACCAAGACGAGTTAGAGAACGCCACCACTCATGATTCTGAGCCATTCATTTCATACAGCCAGTATCTCAACCTTCCCGATCTGGAAGATGACCTTCTTTTCCCAGACCTTGGAATCTAGGTCATAACGCCGGAGTACTCACCCCAACGATGTGGCTTTATCAGACTCTTGGCACTGGTAGCTGGCGATTGATATTGGCATACCATCTGCTTGGTCGGCCTCCACATTGCTCTACTCATGACAGGGCCGCCAATGAACACGACAATTACCACAGGTTCTGGTGCTTCAGAGGGATTGCCTACACCTACCCTTGATAGCATCCCCACTATACCGACTTTCGTGCGATTGGCACACCAGACTAGTCAGAGCTAGCTAGTGCTCACATCTTTACATTCTTCGTCTACGCTAACATGTTGCGTTGGACATCAGACTGTATTTCCTTTCACGATTCTTTCTCTCCTCAGTTGGTTGATCCTGCACAAAGAAGCAGCTTATGGTATTCTCTGGTCACAATACACCTGGGTCATGATTTCTCGGCGCCCGTTGATAGAGAGACACTCAGTTCCAGCTTGTATCCTGTCCACCTTGTCTATAGCACAGACACATGGCACCCATACCTCTATAGAAAGCCGCATTTTGGAGGAACATGATGCGATGTGAACGGGGAGGAATTGGTTTTTTGTGTCATCGTCAGATGGGGTTCCAGGATGAGAACTGTTTGCCAGAGAGATTTTATGACCGTAACATGATTTGTAGATAGGCGAACAATACCCGAGTTTGCACCACAAATGATGAGAAGGAAACACAGCCTGTCACCGCATGCATAATTGATGGGTCAAAGCCGTAATCCATCAGCTGCTCGGTTGCAAATAAGGTTCCCCTTTTCTGTCCAAAAGCCATTACAGATGTCTCAATACGATGCTGCTTGTTCTGACAGGTTAGTGGCATGTGGTACTACATCATCAAGAGGATGTGAGGCAGATTGCTTCGTAATACCACTAGCAAGGCCATCATGAGACTATTCACTGGCTGTACGCATATTCCTCATCGAACACATGCTATACGTATGAGCCAAAAAAAACCTGCACCGGCAAGTTGGCGATGATGAAGTGGAAAAGAGGAAGTGCCAATTAATGATAATTCTAGCTCAGAAATGAGTGCTTCCTATGTGTCGCATGTCGCGCAGAACCCTAGGGACCACGACTGGCGAAGCGACACTTTCAATGGCCAAATCAGCACGAGAATTGCGCTTAGGAACGGGTATTTTCAGAGCCCACGGTGGTCCACGAACAGGCCAGTTGAAGATCCGGGCTGCAGGGCAAAACGGGACCATAAACAACAGAGAAAGCTACGAAATGGCGTATGAGAAAGTGAGGAGGCATGACCCCCGGAGACCGACATTTATCATGCGACTGTCACTGAGCATGACCTACTTTGGGCTGTGTTCATTGCTCTAGTTCATCCTCTCAGGGGCAATTGTTTGGGTGAAACTCGATGTATGCTGTCATCTGTGCTGCTGATAGTGCTGATATCCCAAAATGGCGCCAATTTCTCCACAGCCTTCAAAAGGTGAATATTGCTCTTCAAAGCTCTTTCAATACACTTCATCTACTGCGTGTGTGCATGCGTACTGCGGATATCCATCCTCGGCTTTGCGTCGCGCTACGAATTGCCAGTTGAAAAGGTCTGGACCGAATGAGGTTCCACGATTTTCCACGGTGAATAAGCTGGGGATGGCGCTAGGCCGGGGCGGGCTTAGCGTGTATTGCCTCGGCTTTTGGGTGGATTGGCTCCGTGTTGACGAGGACCAAATTTTTTGAAGCTTCCCCCAGGGTCTCCAGTACTGAGCATCCTTTTTCCCATCTCCCATCCCTCCGAGCCAGCATCCAACAACAGGCGCTGCCTTCTTCCATCCTCTCAAGCTTCCATTCCTCCCCTGTACGATCCTTCCCTTTCTCCATAGTACCTTATAATCAGATCACAATGCAGCGCGCTCTGTCATCGCGATCAAGGGCTTCGGTCCTCAACTCGGCCTCTGCCGCTGCTAAGTACCGGCCCGGTGCAGGTCTGTCGCAGCAGCTCAGATTCGCCCACAAGGTAAGCTCACACCATGGACTAGGGATCTATTCCTCGGGGTCAGAGGGGACATGACGCTGATACACGGCTTTGTAGGAGCTGAAGTTTGGTGTTGAGGGCCGTGCCGCTCTCCTGTCTGGTGTTGAGACTCTGGCAAAGGCTGTCGCCACCACCCTGGGTCCCAAGGGCCGAAATGTCCTGATTGAGTCCAGCTACGGCTCGCCCAAGATCACAAAGGGTATGTCAGGCCATCACAGGCTGCTGAACCGGATAGGATTGTACTAATGCCGTCGCAGATGGTGTCACAGTTGCTCGTGCTATCAGCTTAAAAGACAAGTTCGAGAACCTCGGTGCCAGATTACTACAGGATGTCGCCTCGAAAACGAACGAGTCCGCCGGTGACGGTACTACCAGTGCCACTGTCCTGGCCCGCGCCATCTTCTCGGAAACTGTCAAGAACGTTGCTGCCGGCTGCAACCCCATGGACCTGCGCCGTGGTACTCAGGCTGCCGTCGACGCCGTCGTCGAGTACCTGCAGAAGAACAAGAGGGACATCACCACCAGCGAGGAGATTGCCCAGGTTGCCACCATCTCCGCCAACGGCGACACCCACGTCGGCAAGCTGATTGCCAACGCCATGGAGAAGGTCGGCAAGGAGGGTGTCATCACCGTCAAGGAGGGCAAGACCATGAGCGACGAGCTGGAGGTTACCGAGGGTATGCGCTTCGACCGTGGCTTCGTCTCCCCCTACTTCATCACCGACACCAAGTCCCAGAAGGTTGAGTTCGAGAAGCCTCTGATCCTCCTCTCGGAGAAGAAGATCTCGGCTGTCCAGGACATCATCCCCGCCCTTGAGGCTTCCACCCAGCAGCGCCGACCTCTCGTCATCATTGCCGAGGACATCGATGGTGAGGCTCTGGCCGTCTGTATCCTGAACAAGCTCCGTGGCCAGCTCCAGGTCGCTGCCGTCAAGGCTCCCGGCTTCGGTGATAACCGCAAGTCCATCCTCGGCGATATTGCCGTCCTGACCAACGGTACCGTCTTCACTGACGAGCTCGACATCAAGCTTGAGAAGGCCACCCCCGACTTGCTCGGTTCGACCGGCTCCATCACCATCACCAAGGAGGACACCATCATCCTCAACGGTGAGGGCACCAAGGACGCCATCACTCAGCGCTGCGAGCAGATCCGTGGTGTCATGGCCGACCCTACCACCTCCGACTACGAGAAGGAGAAGCTCCAGGAGCGTCTCGCCAAGCTCTCGGGCGGTGTCGCCGTCATCAAGGTCGGTGGCTCCTCCGAGGTCGAGGTCGGTGAGAAGAAGGACCGCTTCGTCGATGCTCTCAACGCCACCCGCGCCGCCGTCGAGGAGGGTATCCTGCCCGGTGGTGGTACCGCCCTGATCAAGGCTTCCGTCAACGCCCTGGGCGACGTCAAGCCTGCCAACTTCGACCAGCAGCTCGGAGTCAGCATCATCAAGAACGCCATCACCCGCCCCGCCCGCACCATCATCGAGAACGCCGGCCTCGAGGGCTCTGTTGTCGTTGGCAAGCTGACTGACGAGTTCGGCGCCGAGTTCAACAAGGGCTTCGACAGCGCCAAGGGCGAGTACGTCGACATGATTGCGGCCGGTATCCTCGATCCCCTCAAGGTCGTCCGCACCGGTCTCATTGACGCCAGCGGTGTCGCGTCGCTGCTGGGTACCACCGAGGTTGCCATCGTCGAGGCACCGGAGGAGAAGGGCCCGGCTCCTCCCATGGGCGGCATGGGAGGTATGGGTGGAATGGGTGGCATGGGCGGCATGATGTAAGGTGCCTGCTGCGGTGCTACTGAGCGATTCTTCCTATTCCTTGTACAAAAGTCACAGCAAAAAAAAGACCTGGGACATGGGGGCATTTGGGCTTTGGTGTTACGACGGAACGGGTGCATTTCTGGCCATGTAATCTCCCCTCTCTACTGCCCTCACTTGTACGTTTTGGTTCATACTCGTTGATATCCCGAGCGGCGTTGTAAAAGAGTTGTATAATAGTCTTAGAGGCGACCTAGCTGCATGCAGATGACCAACATCAAACTGAGTTAAACATAAGAACTTCTGATCACGATTATGCGCTGTGCGGGTGGATCGATTTCCTGTGATACAACGTTTCCTTTTTATGTCTGCCTACTACCTACCAACTAGACCTGCTACATTCAATGCCTATTTTCGGGGCCTTGGACCTGAGACACACGGCATGAGCTGACGAATGCGGGTGGCTCATGGCTAGCCTGACCCGACAGGAGAAGGCAGCCGTTTTCTGGGGCCCGCAGTGTCCAAGTCCAAGCTTTGGCGATGATAGACATGCCTAATGCAAAACATCGTGCCTCGGGGTCTCAATGCGGTCTGCAGTCAATCCAATGCGAGTAACGCTGATCACGTGCGATGCCCGCCCAGCTGCCCAGGTGTTTGCTGGCATGCATTGGATTGCGACGAACAGGACAGGCCCCCTGGTTTGCTTTGGCTGGTTGCCCACTGCGACCAGAGCCAAAGCCTGGGAGAGAGTGGGATGATGACAGGATTGGGCATGGCCCACCCTGGCGAACCTCTCCGAACCAAAGCCTCTCCCTCAGTCAACTCATGTCACTAAAAATGACCCCACCATCACACGTACCAGGGGGATGGGGGGACCCAGCTTGCCAGGCTTGCCCAGCTCTTGTGTGTGTGTGTGTTGATTTGGGCGCAGCAGCCCGACCCGACCGACCTTCCCCTCCAACCTGAGCAGGACCTGAGGGGGAGAGCAAGTCGCCCAGCAGCAGCCCAGCAGCCAGCAGCCAAAAAACCGGTCCCCCTCATTCAACCCACTTCCAGACGGGCCACTGCTCCCTGATAGCGACCACACTAAAACTCCGTCCTCCTTCTCTTCCCCTTACCGCAACTCCAATTCTCTGAGCAAAAAGTTCGGAAGGCAACAGGATTTAGACATCCCGCTTCTCTCTCTGTGAGTCCTGCGTCTTCTGCCTCGCCCAAGCCCAAGCCCAAACCCGAGCCCACGCCTCAGATCCCCTCGCCCGCATCCGGCTCAGCCCCTCGTGCCTACAAATATCCGCCCGCCGTGTTTACCTCGCCCGCTCTCCCAACCTGCATTGACGACCCCGCTGACCCTCCACTGCTGCCAGCTTGTAACCAGCACCGTCCCTTTTTGCAACCCAAAACCATAATACCGCCAGCATGGTGAGTTCTCCAGTACTAGACTGATAAGCTGCGCCCGCCCGTCACTGACATGCTGGTCCCTGAATAGTCTCAATCAGGGTTCGTGACTTTCCCTCTCCCCTCTAGCTTGACCTTCGGGACGCACGCCTCGAAACCCCTCGCCGCCCGATGTGATCTTTGGCGGGATTATCGCCCACCCAGCCTCACGATGGTGCTGCAGCCCGCACACGGGACGCCCTCGCTGATACCCCTCACAGAGCCACAGTCTCTCAGGACTGCATAAACGCCTACAACGACCTCAAGCTCGCCAAGAAGCACAAGTACGTCATCTTCAAGCTGTCGGACGACAACCGCGAGATCGTCGTCGAGGAGGCTTCCGACAACAAGGACTGGGAGACCTTCCGTGAGAAGCTCGTCAACGCCACCCACAAGAGCAAGACTGTACGTTGCTCCTACTAGCTTCCCCGAGCTGCCTGGCCCCGGCCCCCACTGTCGGATGTGACACTGATTGACGCCTTGTGTTAGGGTGCTGTTGGCAAGGGTCCCCGATACGCCGTCTACGACTTCGAGTACAGCCTGGCCTCTGGCGAGGGTTCCCGGTACGTCTCTAAACCAAGAAACCCCTCCAGGCAGACAGTGCAGGGGTACTGACAATCCGCAGAAACAAGATCACCTTCATTGCCTGGTCGCCCGATGATGCCGGCATCATGGTACGCCGTCCACCCCTAGTTCACAACCCCCTTGCTCCATACTTACAGCTGCGCAGGCCAAGATGGTGTACGCCTCGTCCAAGGACGCCCTGAAGCGCGCCCTCACTGGTATCGCGACCGAGATCCAGGCTAACGACCAAGACGACATTGAGTACGACACGGTGCTGAAGACCGTCAGCAAGGGCCTGGCCTAAATTCCCAACACCGCAGCACATACTTGAGATGCGGGGAACTGAATGATCTCCTTGAGGATACAGCATGGGAAATGACACTTACGCAACCCATACTTTTTGTGGCAGACGGGAGGTGGTGGATGATAAATGGGAATACCTGGACTGCTAGCCTCCTAGTCTAGCATCAGGCAAAAACTTGGTTCTTCTTCTGTCGAGGCGTGACTCTCGAATTTCAGATCTGATGTTGGCCGGATATCTTGAGGGCTGTCACGTACCGAAAGACACTGCAGCATGCACAAAAAGCCTCGTTCTAGAATGTAGAGTATTCTGCGCGTCCTCAAGGACCGCTTTGTCCTGCTGAAATCGTCATGTCCGTCAGGCACTTCATAACATTATGATCGCTTGCTACAATATGCCACGGGGGAAACATTCGTATGTGTTTGTAAGACGGCCCAATTCTATGAGCATCCGTCACTTCAATATTCACGGCTTGTCTACCCCATAGTCTCACCTCTTCGCCTTCCACGCCGCCTGAAATGTATCATATAGCACCTCGGCATCCTTCTCATCCCGCAACCGCTGCAGCAGGAAGCCCTTCAGGTCGTCCCAGAACTCCGACGTCTCCAACACCTCGTTCCCACTGGGCCCCTGCGCGACATCCGACGATGACGACTGCGCCACGGCCTTGGGCACGGCGGCGGCCCCACCCAGCACCATGACGCTGAACTCGACGGTGGTCTCGCCGTCGGCGGCCAGGTCCTTCAGCACCTTGCTGTCGACGACGGGCTTCTTCTTGTGTAGTAGCTTGATCTTGTCGAGCGCGATGCCCGTCTGCTCCACCACGGCGCCCTTAAGGTCCAGCACCGACGTGTTGAGCGACTGCGAGCTCAGCTTGATGTCGAGCGGCGGGTTGCGCAGCGACTTCAGCGTCACCGTCAGTGAGCGCTCCGAGCCCGGCGCCGTCTTTTGCGAGGAGGGTTTCGACATGGTGCGCGGCATGCGGGGGAGGATGTACTGTTTGTCGCCATATCAGTTCTGGGGGAGGCTCTGGTGTCGTCTCTTTGGGCGCTATGGAAGACTTACGGCGCTCCTGGCGGGGTGGTTCTTGGGATCCTCGACATGGTCGGGGGACAGCTTGACGGGGCGGGCGTCGAGGGCGCCCAGGAAGCTCTTGGCGAACGTCACCTCGGTCATGTTGGCGAGGTCGCGGGCGGTGAAGGTCGGGAAGGGGTAGGAGGAGTAGAGAGTCGACACGGGTTGACTGTTAACGCTGCTGCTGTTTGCCATAGGAATATAGCCTGGACACCCCGGTTACGACATGCAAGTGAGGTCGGGATGCTCATGCGCCACGATATCCCACCTTGGATCCTTGGATCATCATGATGGTTCCGTGGCGGTGCGGGGGAGACCGACAGCACAAGCCACGCATCTGGAAGTGGGGACGACTATCGTTATCGGCCGGCTTATCGGTGCTCCCAAGCAGAAAAAAAGTTCCCTGGGCCAGGCGGGACCAAAATTTCCAAGCGGAATTGGAGAAGTGCCCTTTGCATACCGTTCTGCGACAACTTCCCCCGTGCCGAATTCCCTCCCCGAGAACGCAGCAAAAATGGGTGTCGGCAGACGCATGCAGAAGCAGGGCCCTCCTGAGCCCCTGTCAGAAGAGCATTTCGCCAGACTCAAGCGCAAGGCCGGCCTCCCCGTCGACGATGTCCCCGCCGCGGCTCGCAACAACAAGAAGCGGAGGACAGCCAAGGAGCCCGTTGCGCCCAAGGGCAAGACCAACGGCGCTGCCGCCGCTGGCAAGAAGGGACCCCGGACCAATGGACAGCTGAACGCTGCCAAGGCTGCACCGGCCCAGGCGAACGGCAGGAAGTCCAAGAAGGCGCCGCAACCCGAGTCCGACGACGATATCAGCGACGGGCTGGGCGACGGGTTTGGTGACTCGGACCTCGAGGATGACGACGACATCCACGGCCTCAAGGACGACTTCTTGGACTCCGACGACTCTGTCTACGATTCCGACAACGAAGGGCAGCAGAAGGCTATGTTCTCCGAAGACGAGGACGACTCGGACGCTGAGGAGAAGCTGACGGCCGCCAACATTGCCGGTCTCTCAGCGAAGCTCGATGCCAAGTTGGCGCAAGAGGAGGCCGACGCTCAGGCCGAGTTGGAGGAGAATGCGCTGCAGACAAACATCGACGGCGACAGGCCGCACGTCCTGGACGACGACGAGGAAGAGGGCCTGGCCGCCAAGACCAAGGCGCTGCTGGCACCAGACCTGCAGCTGCTGCGGACGAGGATCACGGATACCATCAGGGTGCTGGGCGACTTTGCCAAGCTGGCCGAGGAGGGGAGGTCGAGGGCCGAGTACACGGCCCAGCTGCTCAAGGACATCTGTGCCTACTACGGCTACTCCGAGTACCTGGCCGAGAAGCTGTACAACCTGTTCACGCCCCAGGAGGCCTTTGCCTTCTTCGAAGCCAACGAGAGCGCCCGTCCCGTCGTCATCAGAACAAACACCCTCCGGACACACAGACGAGACCTCGCACAGGCTCTGATAAATAGGGGTGTTGTTTTGGAGCCCGTGGGCAAGTGGTCAAAGGTTGGACTGCAGATCTTTGAGAGTCAAGTGCCATTGGTATGTATTGAAACGTCTACCACGTAATGTTGAGGCGTCCACTAACAGCATAACAGGGTGCCACTCCCGAGTACCTTGCCGGACACTACATTCTACAAGCTGCCAGTTCATTCTTGCCCGTCATGGCGCTGGGCCCCCAAGAAGGCGAGCGTGTGCTGGATATGGCCGCTGCCCCCGGTGGAAAGACCACGCACATGGCTGCCATGATGAAGAACACCGGCTGCATCTTCGCCAACGATCCCTCCAAGTCTCGTGCCAAGGGTCTGATCGGAAACATCCACCGTCTCGGCGCGCGCAACGTGGTGGTGTGCAACTACGATGCCAGAGACTTCCCCAGGGTGATCGGTGGCTTCGACCGTGTGCTTCTCGATGCCCCTTGCTCGGGTACTGGTGTCATTGCCAAGGATGCCTCGGTCAAGACCAACAAGACCGAGAAGGACTTCATGGTCCTGCCCCACACCCAGAAGCAGCTGCTCCTGGCTGCCATCGACAGTGTCAACCATGCCAGCAAGACTGGTGGCTACCTCGTCTAGTAAGTCAACTACCAGGATTCTCTAGGTGCTGCTTGAAACTAACGCTGCCCAGCTCTACCTGTTCCGTCACAGTCGAGGAGAACGAGCAGGTCGTCAACTACGTCCTGAGCAAGCGCCCCAACGTCAAGCTCGTTGAGACGGATCTGCCTTTCGGAAAGGAGGGTTTCACCAGCTATGCCGGAAAGCACTTCGACCCGTCGCTGCGGTTGACGAGAAGATACTACCCTCACACATACAACGTGGTAAGTCTTTGTCCCAACCCCGCGTGTTTTCCATCTAGCAGATAGCTAATCGCAACACCCCACACAGGATGGTTTCTTCGTCGCCAAGTTCCACAAGGTCGGCCCCTCGCCCGCCGGCGCCGCCAGCGTAAGCAAGGAGAAGGCGCCCACGGAGAAGCGGCCCGAGGACGAGGAGGTCATCAACAAGACGCCCATCGCCGCTGACGACAAGATGGAGGGCGTCGAGACCGACGACTTTGGCGGCTTCGACGACGAGCAGGACGAGGAGTATATGGAGAAGGGCAAGCGCAACGCCATGAGACGGCGCGGTATCGACCCCAACGCGCTCGACAAGAGCAAGAAGGCCGCTGCAACCAAGGGTGACCAGGCCGAGAAGGTGAAGGAGAAGACGAAGGAGAAGAAGGCAGCCAAGGAGCAGGAGGCAAAGCCTGAGAAGGCCGCCAAGGCGGAGAAGGTAGCGAAGGCAGAGAAGGCCGCCAAGCCCGAGAAGGCTGAGAAGGCTGAGAAGAAGGACAAGAAGAAGACAAAGAAGGCGTAGATCATAGACGAGCGCTGTTTTCCGGCGGTACAAAAATAAATCATTTCGAGGACTACTTTGAAAAGCTGACTTGTTTGACCATGTATCGTGGTTTTCACTGGGCGGTGCTTTCACATGTAGACAAATACTGTAGTTACCCCTTTTGAAATACAAGTAGCCAGCAGGCGCGGTGTAACCACAAATACCTTCTATTGAGGGAATCAATGTAACTAGCATACAGCTATGGATTGCCTCAACCTTGTATATATGTATGCTTGATCTCCAGCCCTTTCGCGCATCATGTCTTTTAGTCTGCCCAGTGGGTTTCTGTTGACTTATACTGCCAATGTGGCTCACATTGGCTCAAATCACAGCCCCCGAGAGAGAATCCGATGGGGAGGCAATGAACACCAGCATGGAGATGAGTTGCGTGGCTAGGTCATGATTTGTAGAGCAGATCTTACTATACTGGCTGATCTTACATACTACGATTGGTGCTGCTGCTTGTGCCAGAGCAGCAGTTCACTTTATGCGCGGTCGTATCACCACAGCCACTGAAGTGTTAACGAGTCGAAAATTCCACCAAGGGATTCTGGCGAGTCTATTCATAGGCAAGTACTACGAATATTATGTGTATTAGCGTCGGAGGCGAGATCCCAATAGCAATGAGTAGCATCCTCAGGTGGTTCAGATGTGAATAAGACCTGTACGGTGTTCTGGGGCTTGATGCAGTTGAAAGAAGCTGTAGTGTTGACGATCACACATATGGTGAACTTTCACTTCGGGGTTCGGACCTGCGGAACACCTAGGTATGTTGTTAACAGCAATGGACGAATCCGTTCACTACATGTCCACATCTTTTTCTTCACTTTTTTTAATAACTCTCAATTCACCCGCGAGAAAAATCCTCTCTCGATTGTTAGCAACACAAAAATTCACCCCGTTCGATTGTCCGCAATTGGCCGATTGTTCGCTTACGATCGCGACGATTGTTACCTTCAATGCTGAAGCCAGAAGCCTCGGGTATAAATTATCGCACCTTGGATCACACTCACCACCAAAAGACATCATCAGCAACAACAAACCACTGCGGAGGACAAAGTCTCATCAAATCCAACAAACAGGTGAACTACCAAGATAATTCATACAAAGAATCATAAAGCGGAGGTGAGTAGTCTCTGCCAGTCGATACAAGCAAGACCACGAGATTATACTGACGAAGTAGCAGCTGATACGATGCGCGTCGTCAGCCCATTGCCTCACGATGGGACGGCCACATCGCCGTTCTGGTCTGATCCCAGTCTTTTTGACCGAGTATACCTGTTCGTCGACCTCGAGGGCACCTGTCTTGGTGCCAAGCAGGTGACTGAGATTGGCAACACCATGGTCGACACTAGGCTCATCGCCGCGGCCGACCGCCCCAAGCTATCCGCATACATCTTACAGGAAAAATCAGAACACCGGATCGTGTCGAAGTTCAGACGACTGACGGAGCGGAGCTGCACCGCGCGTTGGCACGCTACCAAACCGCACGTCGCCCAGCCGTATAGCAACGCATTCTCCACCACGTGCTTCATCGCCGCCCGGTATACTCGGTCATACATAAAGAACTTGATCCAGGGCGCGCTTTTCCAGAACCGCACGCCCTCCGAGTCCCGCAGCGGTATCGTCCGGCACGTCGATGTCATGGTCTAGGACGCCGGCTTCGAGAAGGACGCTTTCCTGCGCTGGGGGCTCGAGGAGGTCTTCAACAGGTATGCCGCCAACCTGCGCCTGGTGGATCTGCAGCTCTGGTCGCCTTTCAAGGCGAACATCTCTGGCAGACGGCGCCAGTCCGCGGCCGACGTCATGAGGGCGCTGAGTATACCTTTCTGCACTGCGGGTGTAGATTTGCGGCACTGTGCTCAGAATGACGCCTTCTTCGAGATGTTGAAGTTCTTCAGAGTGATCACGATGACTCCCGAGGAGTTCTCGAGGTACATTCATGGCCAGAATCTAGAACAGATCAAATTGGGAGTGGATGAGCGGCTGCTCGCCAGAAACATGGCAATGGACCCAACGGCTGAGACGGTGGATCATCGTGACAAGTCTACGAAGGGAGTTCAATCGAGCTTTACTGAAGCGCAGCTTTCCAAAGCCCCCGGTGTCGCTCCACTGGTTGCCTTCACGTCACAAAGTGCTATTTCAGCTTGGGGTACTGGCCCGGATTAAATCTTGCGTTCACCTCCTCCAGCAGGAGCATGCCATCAGCCTGCTAGACGTCGCGGACGACAAGCTCGATACCCTCAAACATGACATCAGTTACAACAAACAGCACGATTCGTTCAACCAACTCCAATCGACTGCTCGCGATCTGAAGCGATCCGAGAGCCTTGTACAACACTGCCTCCGATCTGGAGGAGTGCCTCTGGTTCGAATGACCCCCAAGAACGCAACGGTTGCATCTATCCATAGAGATCGGCTAATAAAGTCATTTGGAGTATCAAAACCCAAAATATTTCCCACTTGGACATGCATTCAGTTCAGCACTATCCAATCGCAGTGCAACTCATGTGATAGAGGGGCGTTGTCCCACAGACTATGTAATATTTGCAGTAAGCGGGGTATGCCCACTTATCGGGGTTCAGATGCGTCGTTGTGATTTCAAGCGCAGAAATGATTTTCCGTGCCGAGCCACTCCCCAGCCTCCGTAACAAGGCAGCCGTGCACAACGACGGGCAACTTCGTTGGATCACAGCTCGAGGTCTCTCGTCGCGTGCTCAAGTCAACCTTTGGCATTCCTACACACACCCAGTCTAGACAGCTGTCAACGCAACCTTTGATCTCGCTCTCTCGCGCCGGTTCTGGCACCCGATACTAGGAAATTCCGTCTCCCACTTCACGAGTGCGCTCGCGAAAAGGACCGGGGTATTGGGGATCGCGGAACTCGCGCTTGACGGCGACGGTCAGGCTGTCCGCGTCAGCTGTCCATCCATCTCCAGCGTCTACTGTATCTACATGCTCTGCTCTTTCATTTGCATCTTGCTGAGTCAAGGCTGCTCCACGAAAAGCCTGGGCGGGTGGGAAACCGTTCCGACATCGATGAACGGGGCTTAAGTTTTCGACCCCTTTCCCCTCTGAACCTGAGAATCGTGCTGACACAGGATGGCTTCTAATCCCACTGACCTTTCCACAGCACCGGGTTCACCCGGCTCCCCCGGCTCTCCAACCAACTCAGTGCCCAGTGACGATGAAAGGTATCGCGATCTGAAACGACCTGAGGAGTCGCCAAAGCGCGAGAGTCCGTACAGGAGCATCAACCTTAAGGCCAAAAAAGCGCTCATCACATGGAACGGCGCCAACGGGCAGACGGAAGTTCTCGGCTGTTGCCAAGAAGGAAAACGCTTCGTGACGATACATTTCACAGCGAATATGGACGAGCATATTGGCATGTTTCGAGTCCTCATCCCGCTTGACAGCGCCACTGTGCAAAAGCCAGTCAACCTTTACATGTTCATTGCCCCCGAATCCATTCACTCGGTCTCGCTAGATGAGTCGGGGTCGGACATCGCGCAAAAAGAGCTCCAAACCCAAACCCACTGCCTGCGGTTCACGCTCAGTCGGACGGTCTCTCTTGTCATCCCCAAGAGTCTGGATCCCACCTCCCTTGACAGCACACCGCGTTTCGCGTCTGTGCGTGCTCTTGCTTCTCAAACCGACTTCTCTATCTACATCCCGGCCAAGACGTGCTCCAAGCCTGAACTCAGGGCGCTTTGTGACGCTGTGTCGAGCCCAACCCCAGGCTATAAAGCCGATCCACGCAGTTCCAATATCAACAGTTTGTACGCCGGTGAAGGGGGTCAACTGCTTGAAGATAGCCCACCCGGGTACGAGGATCCAACTGGTCCTATTCTTGCCCAGGGTCCTGCTGCCGAGCCCGAGCTAGACCCTGATCAAACCCTAAGCAAAAAGAGACGACGGCGCAGCAGCTCATCCACCTCGCAAGAGCGGCAGTCCTCAAAGATAATGTCTATTCTTGAGCGTCTCACTGAGAGCGTCGACACCTTGTCAGCTCGTGTAAATCAAATGTCCTCTCGCTTGGATCGTTTGGAATCGCACATGGAGAACATGACGGAGAACCTGCAAAGCGAGTTTGAGCGCGCTCTGCAGGACACCCGCGATGAGACCCAGAACACGCTGGATGGCACGTATGAGGACCTGCTCTGGACGGCACAGGATAACCTCAAGGATCATGTGAACGAGCAAATAGCCGAGATGGAAGATAGGGCGTCGAGGAGAATCGTGCGCTCCCTGCGTAATGCCGCCGTGACGTTGCAGCTTGATTTAGTTAGTGAAGGCGATAGCCCGTAAATGATACCCCGTAGCTCATGAAGATCTTCCTCTCGGTGATGCATCGGTAAACCGGTTTACGAATACATGCGACTTTCACGATGTTGCGTTCGGCTAAGAGATCTTACGGGTTGATCTTAATTTCTACTCTATTGACAGTTGGATGTGAAACGCTGAACCCACCTCGCGTGCAGCTCGTAACAATTTCAACGATCATTGCTGGGACCAACAGGACTTGACCACCGATGTCATGATACTGCTCCCTCCGTGGCTATATATTCTGTCTAAGATTGTAACATCCCCGGACCCAGTCTCCGTATCTACTGCAAGATTCGCTAATATAGCCCTTCCTATGTATACTCTAGAAACCCGAAGGGCATGACAATAGTACAGAACGGGCCAAGCACGACGCTTCACATGCCGCCCCTCTCTCTTCGCCGGATTCTCATCGGTACTTTGCCAGCCGGACGAGCCATGCCGCCGCCGAAGCCCCTCAGCGTGGAGTCTTCCTGCACGTTTTCCCCCTCTCCGAGAATCTCGCAGTCAAACAAGCTTACCATCAAGGCGGTGGTTAGCAAGATCTGACGTTTCGCAAAGTGTCGGCCAGGACAAACTCGTGGCCCGCCACCGTAAGGGATCCATGAGCCTTCGTACTCTTTCTTCGAGAAAGTGGCAGAAGAGGCAGGGTCAGGTGACCCTGTCTTCCCATCATTACTTGTGGGTGGGTACTTGAGGAATCTTCCCACCCAGAACTGATCGACGGGATGCTCGTTGTCCAACCCGGTGTTCCACACTTCGGAATCCATGTGTGCAACTGTTGTCGGTGTGACAATGAACTTTCGCTTGGGAATGATCCAACCCCGGATATTCATGTCAGCCCTGTCTGGCATCCTGATGATATAGACGTGCATTCGGAGACGCAGAGTCTCGGCATAGACGGCTTGGAGTACTGGCAGCTGAAGCAATCGGCCAATGTCAAACCTGATACAGCCGTCTGCAGATTCAAGCACACAGGCGTCAACTTCGGCCCTCACACTCGCGAGCAGCTCAGGGTTGCGAAATATCTCGTAGACGGCCCAGGACGCGGCAGTGACGGAGTTCGTGACACTACATGCGGGATTAGCTGGCTGTGGTTCTACTAGAAAGCTACTGACAGTGTGACCTACGCCCATATCGCTCCAAAGTCCTGAGATGCGATGGCTGCATAGTCGAAACCGTCCATGTCGAGGAACATTTTCTGCCTCTCCCGGAAGAAGCTGCTTCCCCAGTATGGATCATCACCGTCAGCACCGACGGCCGAGTCGTTGCAGTTGTCTCTCGCATGCTGCTGCCATACTTGAACGGCGTTCAGTACCCTCTTGCGAACTGCGTACGCTTTCGGAGCGAGATACCAAGGGACACCTATGGCCTAGTCAGCTACGGAAACTGATGTGCACATCTGAAGGTCGTACCTTGAAGGTAAGTGTGCAAGTTTCGATCGAACTCGAAATAGTCTTCAAGGAACCGCGGATTCAGCTTCAAAAGATATGGGCCGCAGAGAGCATTAAAGATTGAGACGGTAGTCTCAGACCCGACGAGCTTCATCAAGTCGTCACAATATACCCAATTGGATCCAAGCCGGTTACGCCAGTCATGCAATTGCCCCGTGATGTTGACTGAAAATCTATTCCAAAATGGCCAAAGCCCCTTCCCTTCCAGAAATCGGACCAAGGACTGATGCACATGGTAGTCGATTCGGTTACGGGACTCGACCGTGCTGTTCGGATGAGGCACATGGCCGCCACCAGAATCGTCCTTGTCGTAAAGACTCAGTGCCTTGGCCGGCAAGCCAAAAGCGTGCCCAACTGCAAACTTGCTCAAGGGGATTGACGAGCACGCTGCCGAGCTCCTGAAGAGGGCTTTGACGTTCTCCTGTCCGCGGATGATGTAAAACTCTCGTGTGAGGATTTTGACCAAGACCGGGTGCGCGCGTTGGAAAAAGCTGCTGTGGTAAGTCAGTCATGGCCAATAATCGGCTATATTGGTATGTGCCGGGCTTACTTCCGGTTCAAGATGAAGGCTTTCGGCCGCCAGAGGTAGGGGAGCGGCAGATTGCCCAATAGCGGGAAGACATATGGGAATGCCAAGGGGATACCTTGGGCGCCTCTTTGCTTCTCATATGCTTTGAAATTGTTGAGTGCAGCAGCATATCGGAGCCAAAGTACAACAACAAGAAGGAAACAAAATGTTCCGGGGTTTGTTACAAGAAGATCGATAATCATGATTTCGTTTAGTTTGCCTATATTGTAGTAAATTGGACATTTTCAAACGTTTTATATACATAATCAATAAGATCTAGAATCTGAGGTCGAGACTCTTGCGGACTGCGCTTGCCTCGGCTGGCGCGCGACTTCGACTCCCTTGCGTCGGGGCTGTGGTCCAGGCCAAGATGGTTGCCCTTTTCGCTGCAGCGAAACCCACTAGTCACTCTTACCATCAGTAATCCAGTAGTTTTGTTGGACGATACCACTGATCGAGGCGCCATAGTTCATGTCTGATGTAATAGCTGAAAGATCGCAGTGCGTAGGAAAAATGAGGACACCCGCGAGCTGGCTCCAAGCTCTATCTAGGCGATCGTATTATGCACGTAGGATTGGCTATCTGGTCCTTCTTGATTCTCAGATTTGCTTTTACATAACAACACCCCTTAAAAATCTACCAACAGACAGTATCCTAGATCAAATACATGGGAACCATGGCGACTCTATCGGATCACCAAGAGGCTACTAGGCTTGTCGAGTCATCCACCCAAAATCACGTGTGCATGTTCCAAATAAGCAACTTCGATAGTGTTGGTTTGAATGAAACTGAAACCCGTACATGTGGCTCTTCGGGCGTTGACTGTATCAGCCCTGTACTGCTTTGTTGTGCAAGCGTGCTTATAACCACCATTAGGCATTTAGTTCAGTAAGGTTGCACAGTTTTTCCACACTCGAAGACAAAACACTAGTGCGAGTTCGGACCAACTCGCACCGATGCAATTCGCACTCATTGACCGGGCCGATGCCTCCGCTAGGCTGATTGTATGAGTCTTCCCCATGGAAAGACACTCCGGAGGAGGTCGGCAAGACGTATGATTGATGCCGTACCGGACCTGTATCAGAAGCACGTTTCACAGCAGACTCCCTTTGTGACATTCCAAAACGTTTCCCTGGCCAAATGAACTGTACATGGGCTTGATGGTTGGAAATTCCAGTTCCGGCCCAATCTTATAGATACGCTCCAGAGATTGATGTAGCACACAGCATTAGCAGCCTTGTGGGTAACACATAGATCGATGCGAGTTTCTGCAGTGATGGGGATGATGTGGCAGATCTCCTTCGAAGAATACGTACACAAAGTAAAACACTGCACAGCAAAGTAATAGTAAAGTCTCTTTGATGTGTTGGGGTAATGGGGTCAATCTTCCGGCTATGTCGAAGTTGCAAATGCGTGGCTAGGAAACCGAGCTCCGCAACTATCAAAATCCAAGACTCAAACCCCGACACAAACACTGTATCCCAACCATAAATTCTCGCAGTTAGAACCGATGCTGGGGTTCCAAGAATAGAAATCGTCCAAGGCGATGCCGTTATCGTTGGCAATGGCCCAGCAACCGTCTCCATCGACCACTGTATGCCATTGCTTGCAAGAAGAACTCGCACCGTCTTGTGTTGGCCCGGGCGGAGAAACTCCACCTGACGTCGACGTGGGCATGGCCGATGTCGTGGGCGACGAAGCCGGACCCTGGACGCAGTAAGCGTACCCAGGCCATAGGTTCGCGCAATCAGTACCAACTACACAATCATCAAGTCAGTCTATTTGTCGGCCTTGTCTGATGACTCAAATAAGACCAAAGGGATGCGATGCTGGACGGCTAGCTACCTGCGGGGTTCCAAGCATAGAAATTATCCAGGGCGATAGCGTTATCGTTGGCAATAGCCCAGCATCCGTCACCAGATTGCGCGACGTAGTACTTAACACAGCTCTCGACGATGCCGGTCTGCGTGGGGGCGCCGGGGCTGACCGAGGTGGAAGTGGTGATGGGTGCCTCGGTAGTCGTGGTGCTTGGGGGACGGGTGATGGTCGCACCTCCGCCGTTACTGTCCACTCCGACACACACAGGGCGGTCGGCCGACTCTTCCAAGTCGGCGTAAATACCCGTGTCGCAACTGGACTGGTCGCCGATCCAGGGGTTCCAGGCCATGAGGTTGCTGACGGTTACTTTATGATCATCGGCGATATCTTCGCAGGAGTATGCTGGAGATATATAAATTCTTTTAGTCATTTCGTTTCATCATGTACTCTTCGTATGCTCCATGTCTAGGGAACGGGAGAGGAGAGGATCGTTTACACGTAGCTTCATAGCCCTTGATAATTGTAAAGCAAGAGCAGGATGATATAGTACCCGAATGCGGCTCCTCAATGGGGAGACAAGTACCAGTTCTCGGTAGATCAGCTATTAATTCCTCGAATCAGCGTTTTGTCAATGGTTCGTAGTGCATCGAAACTCACGTGTAGCGTCCTTATGATCGCCACAGTACCTATAGCCTTCCTGCAGGTAGCAGGGGTTTACGGATTGCAGGCTTGGGTTCCACGATAGGAACTCGTTGAGGTCAAACTCGTACGCCCCAATGGCGAAGTAACAACTATTAATGGTATTATTGAAGGTAGGTACATCCGTTTGCAGGGACTGGTCCATCTGCGGCACGACGACATGGTGGCTGACGAATCCAAGACACCCGTCGGCTTCCGTAGCAGAGCCAGGAGCCAGAGATAGCTCTACGATTGGCGTCGCAATGGGTGCGACCGTCGGAACCAGCGACACGGCAGTCGTGACATAAGACGATGATGTTAGCGTATAAACAGGCGACGTGGAGTAGGGATAGTCGCTATAAGTATTGATGTCGCCCACAGGCTTGATACAATAAGATGTCTCGAGCCATAGATTGTTACAGTCAGGCTGATCAATAGACGGATTGAGGAAGAAAAAATCCTGTAGGGCGATGGCTTGTCGAATAGAAATGGCCTGGCAGTAGTCTCCGGCCTGCACCTCGTACCACCCGGCACACCGGGCATTTGACTCTGCTTTGGCGTTGGCAGGTCGAGGCACAGGCGTAGGCGGCGCTTGTGTGGCTGTCGGCGCCTCGGTGATGCTCGTCACATCTGCCAGGGTTCTTCCAGGGGGGCTGATACAGATCAAACTCTTAGCTATTGCGCCTAAATTCGAACATAGGGGATTAATGTTTGCGTTCCAAGTAAGAAGATCAGTTGCCCGTAGGCCTTCGACTGAGTCGATGATGCTTTGGCAGGTGTCATCGTATTGAACACGATATACTGTACATGGCTCTGGCAAGCAAAGATTCGCGCCCACCTGCAAAGTAGTACAATCCGGGTCAGTTCTGCCAGCCTTCACGATGCTGAGAGTCGAAACGCCCTTGGAGGTGGCAATCGAATCGCACGTATCCCCTTCTTGGACTGTGTACGGCGATGTGCAGGTCGGGGCATCTGTAGGCTGGGCACTTGGTTTGGTGCTGACGGCGTATGGTGCCGGTGAGGTGAAGGCATAGCCGGTGGCGCCACACCTGGAAGTGACGGATTGAAATCCCTCCGCGAACTGAGGATGGTAGCCAAAAGGAGAGCTCAATTGCTTGCTCACGACACTTAAAGCACAGTCGGAACAGCTGTCGACCTCCGTGCCGTTGGCAAGAGCATCCATGTATATTTGGTCGCAGAACATACCGGTGTCGCTGTCTTTGGTGCAAGACACATCGAACGCGTATAGGAGGTTCTCAATGACAAATGTAGCTGCCGCAATCTTTGTCAGTCGATTTGGGCTGGGTCATTGTCCAATAAGGAATAAGAGAATGTTTAACAAACCAGGATAAACGACTGAGCCAATTTCAAGCACGTCGGTACTGGTACTACAACCCGCAGCAATAACGTTTCGGACGGAAGTCAGAGAGGATCTGCAGTCTGCTGTGCATAGTACGTCCAACAAAGACGACGCAAGACGAGGCATGTCGACGGCTACAGAAGCCAAGAAGACTGAACAGCTGGCCACGGTTGTGTTAAGCGCCTCAGCACAGCTGTCGCTCAACCCCGGATAGGAGCTGTAGCCAAGAAGCCCATCAGGAAACTGTTGTGCTTCTGCTGTGCTGAACGAAGAAATGATGTTGACCAACAGAGCGGCTGCCCTGAAGTGGCCGTTCAACAGCACGCGGCTCATGATGAGGTTCCGGTGTGATGAAACGACAATTCAAAAGTGTTGTCGGAAAGTTCCCGAGCCCAACTTGTTGCTCACGACGAAAGAGATCCCGCAGCGCTTATGTGCCTCGTGAAGGTTGAAAGCAGCCCAACCTATCAGATAACATGGGCGGGTGAACTCGTGCTTCTAGTTGCTCAAGCGGCACCTTACAAGGACTACCGAGACCACAAAGATTTCCTAGGGCTATGCCGAGCTAAGGTGCCCGAGGCGGAGCCTCACCCGGCCCGGATGGGTCTCATGATACGATAACAACCTGACGCGCCATGCGGCCAAGTCCAATAGATTGGCAATAATGGACCAACCATGTATATTGTAACATCGAAATATACTAGACTAGAACCAAACCCGCATGCACCGATATTACTTTTACTTAGAACTTAGATTACTGTTAAGAATTGGATGTCATTGAGGCCGGCCTAAATTTATGTTGGCCGTGCACGGGACAATATATCCCTGTCAACAGGGAGTATAACTGGTTTCGGTAAGCTAGCACAATCGTTGCCGCCTGCAGCTCTGACAGGGGGTTTCCCAGGAGGGCGGTCGTTGTAACACTGTAAATGTGCTGGCGCGAGGCATTTTAGGCCTCAACTTGTACCGCTACGCGGACAATACTAGTCTAGTACACAGAATTCAACCAATTAACGCCACCACCTGCATTTCAACAACCGTGCTATTCAGTAGCATATACCAGGCTTGTCTGGGTACTTGAGCGCGTCCGCTGAAGGACTGTCGTCAAGTGTCCTAGTTTTTAAACTGGTCGTCGTTGGCGCGATATGGCGATTCGAACGCATCCGGGACGGGTGACCGGAATGAACGGAGCAATTGCAGGGGCGTAGCCGCCTAGCTAAGTGGATGGATGGATATCATGCTGCAACAGTATCGCTGAACTGGCTGTAGCCTGGAATCCTCAGGCTTGTCTCGGCCCTTCGATAGGAGCTCGTCAGACCACCGAGATACAGATGATGGACCGCCAAGCTCTGAATATTGGTTGCTTAGTTCGATACAGGCAACGATCCAATTTGCCGTATGCAAGGAACTCGATATCGCATGTCATAAGGTTTCGTTTGTCCGAACTCGAGCTTACGGCCGGCTTGGCGCTCGTACCTGCATGATCGGCCCGGGGCAGCCCAAGCGAGTACTCGGCTCAGGGTCCACTTTGCCGACTTACACCCACTCGCGTAGTTATTGACTCCTGCATAGAGCGATAATTAAACCACCATAGAGAGTACTGTATAATTGAAGCTGCCCTTGATGTTGAATCGGTTGTTGTTTTCACAATCTTGCGGCTCTTGCAAGAGTTGAACCCAAGGCCTTGGTAATGTCTTCCTTGAAGTCGCAGCAATATTCCATCTTCTCAATCCTCAGTCTGCTTTCCCTAATTATCCTAGGCTTCTACTTTAAGGATGACGGCGAGAGTCAACCGCAAAGTTTGGCGCCACTGAGAATCAGACAATGGGCTCCTGCCGCCGACAGTAACGTCACCGCGGGTCACCTCTCCTCAAGGGCCGACGACCCTTACACTTGCGGGCCGGACCGGCCCTGTTCTAACGGCGCCTGCTGTGGGCCGTCTGGTAACTGCGGTTATGCACCAGCCTACTGCGGCACGGGGTGCCTTTCCAATTGTGACGCCAACGCTCCTTGCGGTCAATATGCTAAGGTCCCCGGCACGACATGTCCGCTCAACGCTTGCTGCAGCGAACACGGCTTCTGCGGCACTACGGAAGAATTTTGCCAAGCTGGTTGCCAGTCGAATTGCATTCTGGAGCCGCAGCCGCCTGCCGGGTCGCCCAAAAATGCATCCATGGATATCTGTAAGTCGAAATTCCAAGTCTCGTGCTCAGGTCATGGAATCAAGGGGATTACAATCCGCTAACGCCAGGTTGCGCAACGTTGTAGTGATTGGATACTACGAATCGTGGAGCTACCGGTCAAAGTGCAACCAGAAGTCGCCAAGCGACTTGCCTCTGTCTGAGCTCACACACCTCAACTATGCGTTCGCCTTCATTGACCCATCCTCTTACGAGTTGACGACCATGGACAAAGAAACTTCTGAGGATTTGTGGCAAATCACTGTCGACGCGAAGAAGTACAACGTCAACCTCAAGGTGTACGTTGCTGTCGGAGGCTGGACGTTCTCTGATAACGGGACTGTCACCCAGCCGCTACTTGGCGAGATTGCGAGTACTGAATCAAACCGCCAAAATTTCGCCGACGGCGTTGTCAAATTCCTTAACAAGTACGGATTCGACGGTCTGGATATAGACTGGGAATACCCAGGGGCTCCTGATCGAGGTGGCAAGCCCGAAGACACGGCCAACTTTGTCCTGTTGATGAAGACCCTACGGTTGACATTTGATGCCTCGCCGCGAATGCTGGGCCTTACGTTTACCATTCCTTCCTCGTTTTGGTATCTAAGATGGTTTGACTTGCCCGGTCTCCTGCAATATGCTGACTGGACCAACTTGATGAGCTACGACCTCCACGGCACCTGGGATCGTAATAATCCAATCGGCGCCATCGCCCAGGCCCATACCAACATCACAGAGATCAACCTGGCTGTGCAGCTTCTCTGGCGCGTTGGGGTTCGACCTGACCAGGTAGTGATCGGTTATGGCTTCTATGGGCGTTCTTTTGAACTTGCTGACCCCAGCTGCTCAACCCCTGGATGTGCCTTTAGCGGCGGAGCCAAGGCAGGACCATGTTCCAATGAACCTGGAATCCTGATGTACTACGAAATTCAGGCTATCCTCAACCAGGTTCCAGACCTCAAGCCCGTGTTCGACCGAGAGGCTGCCGTCAAGTATTTGACCTTTGACGATAACCAATGGATCTCATACGACGACGAGGAGACATTCAAAGTCAAGAAGGCATGGGCTAATGACATCGGCTTCGGCGGTAGCATGATATGGGCTGTCGACACCGACGACGACAAGTTCACAGCCATGACCGGGCTAGTGGGCCACCAGGTGTCTCACGTCAACACAGAAACCGTTTTGGCCCTGGCGCAAACATCCGCCAACGTGGCTGGCTCTCTGCAGGGAGAAAATGGGCAGGGATGCAAGGTTCTCAAGGACTATTCCTGCAAAGCGACAAGCGACCTGAGGTGCGCCAGCGGCGAGACTCTTGTGGGGTGGGACCGAGACGGCTGCGACGATGACGAGGGGAAGCCTATCTGCTGCCCCGGCGACACGGCGCCCAACAAGTGTGTATGGCGAGGTAGTGGCAACGATGGTGGCATCTGGGGCGACTGCAACGGTCAGTGCCATGCCGGCGAGGCAAGACTGCTGAACTCGCGATGGGGAGGTGGACCCGAGAAAGATAGGGAGTCCGACACTTACGTCTGCGCTCGGGGCGAGAAGGTCTTCTGCTGCGAGGCCGGAGACTGGAAGACGGTTATCGATGGCTGCCGCTGGACGCAGTGCCTCGACTCGAACGGCTGCACGTCGACTGAGACGGAGGTGGCGACGAAGAAGGGTGCCTGTCCGATGAGTGCCGAGCTCAAGTACTGCTGCCCCCGTGACACGCCGCTGCACGATTGTACGTGGCGCGGTAGCGCCCCGGAGTGCGTGGATTCTAACTGCAAGATGAAGGATGATGACGGGAAGGAATTGAACGAGGTCCAGGTCGACGCTCACGCCGGCGGCAGCTCCTGGAATCTCTGCAGCTGGGAGAGGAAGAAGTCCCTGTGCTGCCAGGTCAGCAAGAAACTCCCGCCACCCCTGGTCTGCGACCTCACCACATGCGACTTTGACCCTGAATTTTGTGCCACCGACGACGACGGACAGGATGACTTTGATGTGAAGCGAAGGCATTTGACCGCCTTGGATCAAGGAGACGGCCTCTCCCTTCTCGAAAAGCGAGGCCCGCCAAGGCGGTTCAAATGGTGGACTGTTAGCGAACAGCTCATAGAACAGCTGTCCCTTACCTACATCACATTGCGGCAATTGTGGAGGCGCTCGCAAAGCGAAACCACGGGCGTGCCAGACCGGTGGTTCGGCCAGCGCTCAGAGCAGTGTGATAATCCGCAGGTCGAACCGCGTGAAATCGTGGTTGGGGAGGATCACAGCATGCCCTCGGATATTCAGGTCGAGCATACACTGCCGGTAAGATGGAACTTCTAACTCAACTCCTTCCTCGGTCGAAATATCTCCAGCTCAAATCATGTCCTAGCCCATTCAATAAGGTTTCCTACCCACAACTTTGATCATTAAATCTGAACTTGTGGCTGATAACCCCAACCTCGCATAGGTTCTAATTAATAGTCGCTTTCCTGCGGTCGCCAACCATGGCCGGCATTGGGAACGCAGTCCCGCTGGCCATATCCGTGCCGATGGCAGACGGGTCGGACAGGTAACGCCAGCGGGCCCGCAGACCAGAAACCCGGGCATACGAGACGAATTCTGGCAAAATATCTGGAACAACGCCCAGGGCCTGCCCGCCGGCTTGCCTCGCGTGACGCCCAACTCGCCGGAACTAAGACGGCCGGCGGACCGGGTATATGAGGCCTTAGGATCCAGAGACAATATCGAACCCTTCACGTTCCTGGAGGCAGCCATCAACAAGCGGAAAGGCGCAATCGAGATGTATAGACGCCCCATGGACCCAGTCGTACTATTGACGCACCTGGCAGACGCGGTCAACGGGAACACGACGTCGGTGCAGATCTTTATGGCTCCGATGCGCGAGACCAGGGGCGTGTTCCAGTACCTCCGAGACGACCAGGTCGTGACGCAGCTGGACGCCACCGTCGCTGCTGTCTACGAGCAGCTCCAGGTCATCGAGGCCAATAGCCTGGAAGCGGCGGGACTGTCGGCGCACTGGAGCGAGTTCTACCCATACTACTTCAGTCAGGTGTCCCTGTTCGCACGCCAATGGGCCTCGGAACAGATTTCAGAGATTCGAAGGCAATATAACGCCAATCCACTCGCAGCAAATCACGACGAGGTGCTCAAGGAGCTAAAAGAGCTCGAGGACAGCTTGACTGAATGGAAGTACAAATTTGAGGACTAGATGATTTCGTGCTAAGCAGCGGGATATATAGAGTATATACACTTCGAGCTGTGAGTGACAGGGGAGAAATAGGGCTTCCTCTTCTTCCATTTCAAACATGTGCAGGGAGGTAGACTACTGGACGACACAAGCAACAAAGTCGCTCGTCCTCCTGGAATAAGTATGTAGGCACGGGATAAGGCATAGATTAAAAGATAAGTACCAATCTTCTCTAATAAACTCTGAACCAATGTCAAACGCGCATGACGTTCCGTACCGATTCCTACCCAAGGTAGGTACGGTACATATATGTATATAAGTACATAGTCGCAAAATTGGATAAATCATCCGTAAGTATGGATTGTAGTCTGAAATTCGCGTATATAAACAAGAAATTAGTCGTTTACAGGGCATAGGCTAGTAAGGGATTGTACTTCTCACCTTGGCAGGTGTACCCCACAATTTACTTATCTATAAAGAACAGAGATCCCCTCAGCATCTCTGTGATTCCCTTTTTCTATTAACGCATGTGAAAACCGCGACATGGCCACCACCACACCTCGTTTCGTTACCCGATTATTACGGCCCCACCGTCACAACTACTACAATAATTTCTTATTACAGCGATCCTACTACCACGTAAATGTAGCTACGCAATACCGACCCGGTATCTCTAAATCAGTACCTACACTCAGGCCTGTACTCGCGCCCCACTATCTACGGCCCTTTATGTCGTCGCCAACCTCCCAAACCATTGTGGGAGACGAAGGACCGGAGCCGCGCGATTACACGGGCGCGGAGTGGGACGCCGCCTCGTTAAGCGGAAAGCTTCAATTGATGTTGGGCGCCAACCCGAAAGGCCGGCCGCCCCGGTGGGGTTGGGTCGTTTACCGCACCGCGTACCAGCCAGAGCTCGACGGCGCCTGGGCCGCGCTCGAGGACCACATCAGGAACCGAATGCGGAACTGGTTATGCGCCCCCAACGAAGACGCCGACATCGACATCGTCAATAAGACGGACTGGGTCTTTGTCCAGGATGCAGCTGCCCTCGACGGCATCACGCGCGACGCGCTACGGCACCAGTTCCAGGCCTGGGCTGTTGCTGAGGCACCCGACCTCACCACTACCAACTGGGCCCGCGGGGTGCGCTACGAGTACTTCCTACAAGCGGACGAGGACGCGTTAGCGAGTGTGCTGCAACCACCCACCGTGCCCGGCGCTTCGTACGTCAACCTTGTACAGGCCTGGCCCGAAAAACTCCCCGCCGACGTGGCGTTTGACGAGGATGGCAAGCCCTATCCCCCGGAGGACTGGATGAAGATGACTCTACAGGCTCTACACCCGTCAAACTACATTGAGTTGGATCATCCTGAGGCTTGGTATGTGTATTACCGCGACCCGGACGAGGGTGCGTGGATGTATTAGTGGTAAAGCTATTCGGAGGCTACTCTTTCAAAGGGGATTGCAAGTGAGAGGTATGCGTCCATGAGGAGGCTACAGAGAAAATGTCTACAATGATGGAGGCTGTCAGCGGTGAACCTAAGCTGTTTACGATAATGGAAGGATTCAATAATGGCTGGAGGAAGTTTCTTGATCATTGTGGCAGGGGAGAGACATATGGGACGACTTTACATACTAAAGGCTGTGACAATAGAGTTATCGTTCCTTGAATCATCGCTTTTAATGAAAAGGGTAGGCTTGGGTTACGCACTATAGCAGTTGAAACGGGAGGATACAGGTGCAGTGTATGCAGAGCTTGGAAACAGTATGATCAAGTCAGCACGCACGCATCTTGTCAAGAGGTAGCAAGGTCAGGTATAATCGTAAGTGTGTGATATTGTCACAAAATAGCCACTGCGCTAGCAGTGCCAAAATGAAGCTCTACTTGACCTAGCGCTTAATTAGGTATATTTTGGTGCGACAGATATGGGTTTGCATTCAACGAGGGACTAGCCAGGCCTGCATTCAGGTTGTTCTGCCTGTAGGGCAATAATTTAATCTAACTGTTGGCGATGAACTGTCGATTTGATTAACTGCTTTATTACGGCGCTGGACATACTCTTTGATACATTGGGTATATATAGTCCATTTGTGGTAGTACACGTTAAATCAGTCGTCTAGGCATTATCAGGATGGTCAGGTTCAACTACTAAGGGCACGAGGATAATACAATGGAGCTCTTCTGGTGGAATGCTGAAGTTTCTGTAGCGGGATGATGAATTCGATCACAGCCACTCGCACGCGTTTTGTCAAAAAGACAGAAAATACTGATCGAGTCGTCCCGAGAGGCGGAAGTCTTTCGCATATAAATATCCTCTACTAGGCATGGAGCTACCCTCGGACTAGATGGCTAGCTGAGGGCAGTCAGCAGAGCACGCTTTACTCACATGATTCAGATTCACTTGCTATGACTGGCCTGGCTTTCCACATTTGGATGTCTAGGATGGGACCCAGAATGTACGTCAATAAGTAGGGCGGGATCCGTGGAGTGCCGAATACATGAGAGACATGTACCGACGAGGTACCAGACGGGGCAGCAGCAGGGTATATGCGTCGTGGTCCGTGCTGCAGAGAGGCTCGGGCTGCGGCTGAGGCTGAGGCTGCGGCGAAGTCGTGTACTTAACAACTTAACGGGAATCGCTCTCATTGCTCAGGATGAGATAGATGCTTCTTCACTCCATCTCTCCCTTCAGCTGAGGCCATGGACCCTCAACAGTCTTCGAGGCTTTTTGCTTTACCTTGGGAACTGCGCCGTGCCATCTATAGGGACCTCATGTCTGATATCGATGGTGCACACATCTCGTTCAATCCACGCAGCGGGCTTTTCTGGTCACCATGTCTCGGTGCCAATGATGATTCCATGCGCCAGTCATCACGGCCCATATATCACAACGGACCTCTGGAAGACTTCTCTAGTGCATGGGTCGAGCGTATGAGCTCAGACTGGGGCTGTCACTGGCAGTGCGAAGAGGAGGCGCGCAGCTCGGCCGACCTGTGTGGCGAGTCGCGATGCTGCAGCCGTATGCACTATGAGTACGTGACTGTCATGATGGAGCATGGATCCATTCATGTGACGGATCTCGCAGTCCTCGAGCATCTCGTCGGCAGTCCCGTGTCTCGGGTGCCAGCCGGAACACCAAGTATGGGGCGGCAGCAGGATATCATAGGTTCCAATGACCTTTTCTTTGGTCTACGGACCCTGGATATCTCGCTGCGCCTCAATCTGGCATTTTTTGTGGCCCTGGACGCTTCGGCCCCCGATGACCGGGCAGTGGATGTCACAGGTCGACCAGAATCTGAGACGGAGACGGTGGGCGCGGCTCGTGTCCGACTGGTTAGCCATCTCGCTATATGGAAACGTCTACCACAAGTTCTCGGCAGCTTTCCTCTTCTAATCCAAACAGATATCCGTCTGGATCACGACGATGTCTTGCCATGGGCACTGATCAACGAGCACGCCGTCTTCAAAGAGTTTGGGCAGCCGAATAGCTGCTATCAGACTCAGGTAGACGTCACCTTACCCCTGCTGCTGCCATCTGGCTTGGCGGATCCGACGAGACATTTAATGGTCGGTGTGATGGAGAACATCGGACCGGGCTTCCGGATCCATCGGCAAAGACGTTTCCCCTATGTGGTAGCCAAGAATGCGACGGGATGGGACATGATACGGACGTGTTATGATCGAGAGTTCTCGCATGCAAACAGCCTCGACGAGTATCTAGATGAACTTCGATTGTATGGTACTCCATTACAGGATCCCGACGAGTTACATCCCGAAATCTCATTCGGTCCTCACCTTCTCGATGAATTGCTCACTTGGAGACCCCCGGCCGAGGGAAACGAAGAGATCGTATATGAAGACTTACCATCATGAACCACCGACAATGATGGTAAAGCTGGAAACCCTGGAATACGACTGGATTACCGCTATGCTCTAGAGCGTTTTGCTAATGGCTACTTGCAAAACGCAGCTTATAGGGCTGACTATTTTAGGCCCGAAGGAGGGGATGCGGTATATTCTGCAAGAATAAGTCTAGTAATACAGAATACCCTCCCCGGCATCTTCTGTAACCTAACGTATTCCGGTGATTCTTTACAGAGGTTAGCATTGCCTTCGTAGAAGCGACGAGGGCGTCCATTATTATGTTTATTATTAGCGAGCTATCTATAGCGCTCGGCGTTTTAAGGATGCGGCGGAGGTTAGGTGGGGCGGCCCCGGAGGCCGTATTGAAACGGCTGCCATGTGGAGCAACGGAAGCCCGATAGCAAAACGGCAGAGGTAGCCAAGTACGGCAGAAACCACCAACGGACGGATGAGTCAGGCCGCAAAAGCGATCCGGGTCGGTGATTTTGCAGTGACTGTACAAATCCTTAGTTCTATCAACCACACGCTCAAGGACAGCCGGAGAAACTCACCCCAGCAGAAAGCAGTTCACTCACTAGCGCCCCAACCTCCATTCGTGTCAATAACACGACAAACGCCAGCACTCCTACACTAATACGTTCGATCTAGTGGTCGAGGACTAGGGATCAGATTATCACATCGCTTTCAAGACAAGTGCATGGGCCTCTAGGAGAAAAACTTCTTCTGATAGCCACACTAGAAGCCTTTCTTATGTCAAGTGCGTGAAAATTGCGTTTGGTACATTGTAAGGAGCAACTTAAATGTTGGTGGGGATAAGACTTAGTAATCTGATGATATTGGTTGGTTATGATGTAGAACGGATAACCACATATATAATTCATCGTTTTTGCCACGTTCACATATCGACTTCTGAAATTGGGTTTCGGAAAATTGTAGGACCATATAATGAGTAACATTAATAAAGGGCGAATAAACTTGTGTGCCTAACCGCCTAGCCCGAATCACAGCAAGTTACAAGAATCTTGAGGGGGCAGTGCATACCCCTTGAAGATAGCGTTGGCCTTGTGCACACCGAATCAGAAGCTCACTTAGCCAATGGCACGGCCACCAAATCCATGTTATGTGTCGGACATATACGGCTGAGCAGCCACATTTGACCGAGCGGCTATTTGGCGGTCAGCCCTACGAGGCCGCCAAGCCGAAAGCGAAAACATACTCATCCAATCATGTCATTAACATTAATAAAAGGCGCTAGAAAATATCCCTTGCCTGCAATACGATGCGGAATTGCCAGAGTCCACTAATGGGTGTCACGTCAGCCATAGTCACACGCTATGGGGCATCTGACTCAGCCTCGCCCTTGGCGGCCGCCTTGTGTATGACGAGCATCGTCAGCACCAACATCCAGAACCCTGACAAGTTAAAACTCATTCAACGGGCTTATACTCTATAGGTTGTTGGTACAACCGGTATGAGAAAGTCTCCCAGTCAAGATCAGGCTTGATTTTGGGAAAGGGAGGAAGTAGTTTCCAAGGTGGAATGATCAATAATCTAGAGGGGTGCGCTTTTCAAACATATTTCCATATTCAATCAGCGCCAATTAATGTGCAAATTGAGTTGGCGCAACAGGTCAGTTAATATTCAAGCAAGTACCCAATACCTCGGTTCATATGCTGTATAACGGCTTGGTTTTAACGGGCCGTCTCTGCAGGCTGGAAGCTGGTGTGTGCGGCTGAGAACTTGGTATCGGTTCGTGCTGACCGGCTATCTGCACAAGGCTTCCATTGGTGGATTGAAAGATGTTTCCTAGGACGGCATGGAAGCCGCAGCCACCTGCCTGCCTGCCTGCATAGGACTTCCCCGAGCTTCGCAACTTGTTCCATCTGCCTGTTGGCTGGCTGACGACTTTATCTCGCTCCGTATTCAGATCTCTCGGTGCCTATATAATAATGGAGGGCCCCATACACAGATCTAAGTACTACCTGCTCATATTTCTTTCCCGCAAAGAACAAACCGTACAGATTTGATTACATTACTTATATTACCACCTGAACATGGGACTTACGCTTGACCCCAAGATTATCCAAGGTGATATCCTGTAGGTTCCAAGGCCACATCGTCCGCCGACTTGAAAGTTATTGAGCTAAAAAAAAATCGTAGTTCAGGATTAGCCAAGAAGAAGGAAACATTCTACTTCTTCCAAATCAACTCTAACAATGTTCCTGGCTTCCAGAAGCAGCTGGCCACTTTCGTGCCTCTTGTAACCACTTCGGCGAAGGCTGATGACTGCCGCAAGGACATTAGGAAGGCAAAGGAGGAGGCTGCTCGGAAGGGAGAGAAGTGTCCTCTGATAGAAATTAGTGGAGTCAACATCTCTTTCAGCCAGAAAGGGTTGAATGTCGTACGTATTATTGATCTGATCGAAAGAGCTTTGTCTAATATTAAATGCAACATTAGCTTGGAATTAAAGATGACATTGGCGATGAGGACTTCAAGAACGGCATGCTTTCAGAGATCGACGTCCTTGGCGATGTGCTGCAGGACTGGGACCCTGCCTTCCAGAAGGACATCCACGGAGTCATACTAGTTGCAGCGAACTGCAAGTCTGTTCTTGACCAGACACTTGACCACATCAAGAAGATCTTCAAGGTGGGCGACGCGCAAGCTGGAATCATCGAGATCAAGACCCTTGAGGGTAGCACCAGGCCCGATGAAGAGGACGGCCATGAGCAGTAAGTGTTCTTGGCGGAAGCTTGATTAGTATGTAGCGGCTGACAGTGCTTGCAACTTAGCTTCGGCTTCAATGACGGACTGTCCCAGCCCTCCATCAAAGACTTCGACACAGATCCACAACCAGGCCAGAAGACGATTGACTCAGGTGTCATTCTTCTAGGCCGCGATGGTGATGCCAAAAAAGATACCCGTCCATCATGGGCCTGTGAAGGCAGCTTCCTTGCTTTCCGCTATCTGAGACAACTTGTACCAGAGTTCAACAAGTTCCTGGAAGACAACATCCTTGTGATAGATGGGACTCCAGTGCCGGAGCTACTTGGGGCTCGCATGGTGGGCAGGTGGAAGAGTGGTATGTGCCAATCTCCCATCATCCCTTTCGTGGAGATGGAAAACTTCCCAAATAACTGTTCTAATACTGACCTGCAACAGGCGCTTCTGTACAACAGACACCAACACAGGATGACCCAGAATTCGTGGATCCCTCCGTTAACCAGGCGTTTACACATGACAAGAACAGCCAAGTCATGTGCCCCTTCGCCGCCCACACCCGGAAGACCAACCCGCGTGGTGACATCCCGGATTCCGCCATCGCCCCGAGCCGAATTCTGCGCCGCGGGATTCCATTCGGCCCCGAAGTTACGGACGAGGAGAAGGCAGCCAAGAAGAGCTCGGACGACGAGAAGCTGGAGAGAGGCCTTCTATTTGCCTGCTACCAGAGCAACCTGGACAAGGGTTTCCGATTCGTCCAACAATGTATGTTTTGAGGATATATATCCAACCTATCCATGCCATCTAAGAGAATGTACTAATTGTCCAATTAGCCTGGGCGAACAACGCGAACTTTCCGCCACAAAAGCAGAATGGCATTCCCAAAGTCGACCAGCCTGGTATCGACCCTCTCATTGGAGTTGGCACGCCTCGCCAGATGGCGGGAAGCAACCCGGACATTAATGCCGCCAACACAAATCTTCCTTTTGATGCCAAGTGGGTCATCTCACGCGGTGGAGAGTACTTTTTCTCTCCTTCTATTCCTGCGTTGAAGGACACTTTTGCCGCCAAGGCGACCCCGGCCGAATTGTAATGAGCGAATCTCGTTCTTTAAGGGAGGATGTCTTCACTTTTTACTAGCATGCTACTAGTTTCGTTTAGATCCAACTTTCTGTAGTGCAGCTGTGGCGAACGAAATTGAATCACTTGAAGTATCTGCCTAAAATTTTGCACCTGTATTACCAACTCCAAACCTTGTTCCTCGCTAGTATCAACTCCAGGCATATTCCCACCAAGCATAACGCAGTTCCTCGAACCAATTTTGACTTGAATCATTGCCTTGACTCCAAAGCTAAGGACCGCTGCGCTGAATATGTCTTGGCCTGACTGAAGATGGCTCTAGGTTGCAAGCGACATAATAGAGCAGCCGCTGTCGTCTCTATCAAGGTGAGCGGCATCTCAATCTGACATGGCTTAATTTTCTGAGTGGGACTGTTTACAGGGCCTTGGTCAAGTCGTTTGGTGCCAATTGGAGTAAATGCACCCTAGCCGGGTCGGGCCGCTTTCAGACTGAAGAGCTGTGGATCACGCAATCCGGCCCGATCACAACCCCGCACAAGAACACTTGGCTTTATGTCCATGGGGTCTAGGACTCTGCATACATAGGGGATGCCCAAGCGAAGCTGCTAGTCAAGGATCTTGCACAAAGTTATACCATCTGTTTTGATGTCTTCAAAAGCAAGAAATCAAAAAGTCAAGACAAGCAGAGGAACGAGCAAGCGGGAGTCCTCTCAAGTAAGCTCGACCCACTAGTAACTACTCTGTGCTAGTGTATACTAAATTCGTAATTAAAGGTCGAAAAGCCACAAGTAACAGAAAATCGGATAATCACGAGGAGCCAAAGCAAGAAAGCACCGGAAGTGAAGCAAGCCCTGCCTTCCTCGGAAAACCGCAGAGTGACAAGGAGCCAGAACAAGGAGGCCCAGGGACTATCATCATCTCCAAAGGCCGAAATTATAACACAGGCGCTTCGGAAGACGCCCGGACGACAAGGCAGGAAACCCAAGGGGTCAAAAGTCCGACCAGTAACATCTCCGAAAGTCCGACCAAAAGCTCAAGTACCAAAGGTGTGTCTTCACGAATCTTACAGTGGCTGATGATCTGGTGCTGACGGTATTCTGAAGCGACTGTCTGCGTGGCTTAGTGACGTAGATCCGACCTCAGCTGAGCCTATAGACCTCAGCAACCAAGACAACAACGACGACGACGACGAAGACGACGGCGGCGGCGACGTTGAGGACGCAATCGAATTATATATGGAGTCATCAAGCTCAGTTTCTGGAACTTCTCGTATATTTTCCGATGACGCGTCAACCACGAGAGGCAAGCCAGGTTCACGGCAGGATATTTTGGAAAAGCTCCGGACTCGTCGGGCAATGCCTATTCGACCTACCCCAGATCCCAAGACCGATGGCTTCAAGTTGACATTTGGAATCTCCGAGGATATCGCAATTCCATTTAAGGATACAAAAGGCCTACAGACAGTGATAAAGTCATTTTTGCGAAGAGCTGAAAAGGCGCCGTCTGGAGAGAACAGTTATGAAGCGATAGAAGACCTCTCCAATGGGATCAATAAGTGGAGATCTACAGTCCAACTAGCTACAGTGACCAATCTGGATTTCCGGAGCGATCTCGAACATTGCCGCCTCTCTAATGAAGCAGTATTCCAACGTACCATTCTTATGTCTATTATAGATCGTTGGCGCCTCGCAGATATGTTTGATTACAATTGTGAGGGTCATTGGTCCCTTCAGGGCAAGCACTTCCCGTTGCCCTCAACACAGGGCCCAAAGGACAAAGTCACAGGACCAAAACCGGACCTTGCAATCTTTTTCAACTTTGAATCGTTGATCGGAAGCGATCCCCAGTCAAATTCCGCTCCTATTCCTCTTGATCTGAAGGGCTGCTTACGTCCTGATACGTCTTTCCATCGCTGTTTCCCGTTTGTGTTTATTGAGGCTAAGAAGGGATTTCATGATCTCACCACTGCGCTTTATGCCAATATGCATAGCGCGAGTCAGGCACTTCTAAACATCCATGCGTGGATGGAGCGAATAGGCGACACGGACACTTTCTTTGAAGACGTCCGCCTTTTTTCAGTTGCTATTAATGCAGACACAGCCATTGTCAGAACCCATCGAGCCAAACCGCTGGATGGAGAGGGCCTGGTGTACCTCTTTGACGAGCTTTGTGTACTCAAGGACTATAGAAGAGATGATATCTGCGTGCTGATTCGCAACATTCTGGTGAAGTATGGGGCCACAACTTTACGTCAAATACTGAAGGATACGTTCGACCAAGTTTCGAGCCAGTATCAGGAAGAGCTACAACAAGATAACGAGCGTCTGAAGAGAAAGAATGCTGTAGCCCGTGGTGCTATCACCAAAAAGGCTCGCATCACGCAGAGCACCGGCCGAATCACAAGTCAGCCACCTATGGATCCATCGAGTTCGTTTGGAGCAAGCCGTATATCACTCGGTGATGATTGAGACCAGGAGTATGCTCTAGCTATTCTAATGGCTACCTAGAGGCTGGTTAGAAGTGGGAGAATGGATTCTATGACTGGCAGCTTTCCAGTAAGGGCCAAATGATCCGCAGGTACCACACAAGTGTTATCGTGGCTCGCGAGTGTAGGAATAATTATGCTGTTGTAGGATATGCAGACTCAAACGTAATATCAGGTGTGGATAATCACAACGCTGAAGTCTAGGGAGCAGAATTTGAGACTTGCCGTTGGGGGTTCTCTTATTTCTTATTGAAATGCTTGCAAGGTAGCAAATTTACTAGTCGAGGCATACTATGCGGGTACGTGACAAACGCATACGGAACCTTTATATATGGACAAAAACGTACTCAATGGATTACAGTTCTAGCTCGCAGTTGGAACATTAAAACCCTACGAGAGATCCTAGTCTTACGCGGCAACTATGAGGCTGTTATACGGGAGCAGACTCGGGATACAGAAGTACGGCCTATCAGATGGCTCCAGTTGTTACGCTAAGGGCGCTATCGAAACTCCTTAGCATGGGGGTGCTAGTACATACCTTTTTATTGATGCTACATGCTGGAATTTGCAGCCTAATCTCGACTGTCCGACCACTTCCTGCAGTCCTAAATCGCCATAACATTGGGAAGAACCTGATTATTGTAATTTGTGTACCTTTATCGTGCCGCGGTGGCCCAGAGATCAGTTTGTTATCAGGAACCGGGACAGTTCGTTAATAACACAATTGGCCGCCGGCCGCCAATTGGCAGACCCCGCTGCAGCTGGCAGGTGACACCTGCAGATTGGCTACTATCAGCGATAAGATAAGGAATCTTATCCCAAAAATTTGGGAATCATCGTGGTGAACTCGATGCCTTCAGCGCCTTGAACTTGCAACTTTTCGGCCTCTTCTAGACCGTTCAGTCCTACACAATGGCGCCCGAAACGAAACCAGTGAAGAAGGATTCCCGGGCATGGGACGCTCTGACTCCCCCGCTCGCCGAATGGATCCTCGACTATCTATCTAGTTCAGGGTTTGCGCGCATGACACCAGTACAAGCCGCGGTGATTCCTCTGTTCAGCTCAAGCAAGGATGTGGTCGTCGAGGTGGGTTGAGATTCCATTCGCGCTATCGCCACATGTTACTGACTTCACTTTGCAGGCTGTCACAGGCAGTGGCAAGACCCTCAGCTACCTGATCCCCATCATCAACCGACTCCTCCGCCTCGAGCCGACGAAAAACCGCCATGTGGCTGCCGTCATAGTGTCGCCGACCCGTGAGCTGGCGTCGCAGATCTTCAAAGTGCTTACGGACCTCCTGCGCTTCCACGCGATCTCGAGCGAACTCCTCCCTTACTTGGACGGCGACGAAAAGCGACCGCCGACCACCGAACCCTTCATACTACCACAGCTCCTGGTTGGCGGCACGACGACGCCGGCGCAAGATCTTAGTTTCTTCCTGCGCCATAGTCCGAATGTGCTCGTGGCGTCGCCCGGACGGCTGGTGGAACTGCTGTCGTCGCCTCACGTCCACTGCACGCAATCGTCGTTCGAAGTGCTCGTCCTCGACGAGGCCGACAGACTGCTCGATCTTGGTTTCAAGCAAGACTTACAGGGGATCTTGAGTCGCCTCCCCAAACAGCGGAGGACAGGCTTGTTCTCCGCCAGCGTTAGCGATGCCGTGTCGGAGATCATTCGAGTCGGTCTACGGAATCCCGTCAAGGTCGCCGTCAAGGTCAAGAGCCTAACCACCGGAGGCGTGATAGAAGAGCGAAAGACGCCGGCGAGTTTGTCCATGAAGTACTTGCTTACGCCTGCGAGCCAGAAGATGCCAGCTCTTGCCAAGATACTGGAGCAGGTTGAGCCGCGCCCACAAAAGAGCATCGTCTTTCTGTCAACATGCGCTGCCGTGGATTACTTTCAGCATGTGCTGCCCGAGTTACTGCCAGAAGGTTTTGCCTTGGTACCGCTCCATGGCAAGCACCAAAGTCAGGTCCGACAGAAGAATTTCGCAAAGTATCTCAACTCGACACAGCCTACAGTTCTTCTGACCACCGATTTGGCTGCAAGAGGATTGGATGTGCCACAGGTGGATCTGGTAGTGCAAGTAGATCCCCCATCAGACCCCAAGGTGTACCTGCACCGCTGCGGACGAGCAGGCAGAGCCGGAAGGAAAGGTCTGTCGGTCATCTTCCTCCAGCCAGGAAAGGAGGAGGACTACGTCCCGTTCCTAGACATCCGCAAGACACCAATCACGCCGTTGACAGTGCCGGAGATTAAAGTCACGGAGGTAGAGGTGGATGAGGCAGCAAGCAAGATCAGAGAGGTCGTCAAGCAAGACCGCGCTCTATACGAAAAGGCACAACGAGCCTTCGTCTCATGGGTCAGGAGTTACAGCAAGCACGCGGCCAGCTCCATCTTCAGGACTGAGGACTTGGACTGGACCGACCTCGGCAAATCCTGGGGCCTGCTCCGCCTGCCCAAGATGCCCGAGGCCAAGGGGTTCGACGGGGACAAGACCTTTGGCATCAAGATGGACTGGGACGCGTTCGCATACAAGGACAAGTCCCGGGAGGCGGCGCGGAAGGCGGCGCTCGAGGCCGAGGCGGACCCGGCGAACGAGGAGCGGGCCGAGTCGATCAAGGCCAAGCGCAAGCGCAACGCCGAGGCCTGGAGCGGCAAGCACGAGCAGGAGGAGACGCGGACGGTGCGGCGCGAGAAGCGGCAGAAGAAGCGGGACGCCGAGCGCAAGGGAAAGATGACGGACGAGGAGATGCTCAAGGAGCGCGAGCTCGAGGATCTGCTGGCCGAGGTCAGGAAGCAGAACCAGCTGAAGTTTGCCCAGGAGGCTGGCAAAGCTGGCAAGGCCGGTGGTGATGACTTTGAGGGATTTGATTGAGACATAGGTTATTTGAGTCGAGTGGAATGATAATACCCCTGATTGAACCAAGGCTGCCAAGCCTCTCGAGCACTTTGAACGTGTCGGACAGTCATTTCATCATGCCCAAAGTAGTACACGAACATAATCTTGTAAAAACATTGTATTACTAATTTCGTGCCTAGGAAGCCATGAAGCGATCTAGGAAAACTTCATCAAGGATGAAAACATAAAAGACCAAGCGAACGGCAATGGGTATCCATGTGGGTATCCGAATAACAAGCAACAAAACAGGACCAAAGCCAGCCAATTACCCCTTCGAATCACGTCGTATCCACACCTCAGCTCATATCGGGGTATAACTCATGACTGTCATCTGCGCATCCTCCCAACTTCGTGTAATAGTACAAGTGTCACGTGATTGTGACGGGTATAAAGGGAATTTGGTTGCCGTCGGCGAAGGGACTTAGATGTTCTCCACGACGCGGGCGTTCATGGCGCGCTGGAAGCCTGGGTCGGTGCTGCCAAAGTCGTTGCCGTGGCTGGACTCGTCCTGGGCAAAGGACTCGCCCTCCTGGGCCAGGGCGGCCTTGAAGGCCGAGTTGCTGGGCATGGTCTGGTTGGCGGCGGGCAGGAAGATGACCTTGCTGTTGGCGCTCTTGGCCATGGCCTGCATGGCCTCGAGGTAGCGGATCTGCATGGCCGGGGCGGAGCTGAGGATGTCGGCGGCCTGGCGCATCAGCTTGGCGCTCTCGACCTCGGCCTTGGCCGCGATGATCTTGGACTCTCCGATACGCTTGCTCTGGGCCGCCATGGACAGCGACTCCTGCAGCTCCTGCGAGAAGACAATGTCCTTGATCAGCATGGACTCGACGGCCACGCCCCAGCCGGCGGCGACGTCCTCGATGATCTCTCCGATGCTCTGGGCGATCTCCTCGCGGCGCTCGATGACGTCCTGCAGGATGCGCGCGCCCACGACGTGGCGCAGGGTCGTCTGGGTGCGCTCGATGAGGGCCTGGCGGACGTTGGCGATGCCGAAGGCGGCCTTGTGCGGCGAGACGATGTGGTAGTAGATGACGGAGGTCAGGTGGACGGAGACGTTGTCCTTGGTCATGCAGGTCTGCTTGGGGACCTCGACGATCTGGATCTTGACGTCGACCTGGACCAGACGCTCGGAGAGGGGGTTGATCTTGACCAGGCCGGGGTCTACGGCCTTGTAGAACTTGCCAAACTTGGTGACCAAGCCCACGTTACCTTGGTGGACCTGCTTGTAGGGGTTCGGGCACACAATGCAGCAGGGAACGGCGCCAAAGGTTCCCATGCAAGACCCGAGAGCGTTGACTGTGGAAAAATTAGTCTCGTCTTATCTGGCATCTAGATACCGCATGTGGCAACTCACTCATAGAGCCATACCATCCCTTGGCATCGGCATCGTTTCCTACGATGGAGGCGTAGCTAGGCTGGAGATCCTCCTGGCGAGGAGGCTCGACAGCCATGTTCTGCTGGGGCCGGAAGCCGATCTGGACGTCGCCATTGGTGCTGGTAGGAGCAGGGGCCTTGCTCTTGTTCAGAGGCGTCGCACTGTTATCGGTAGTAGACATGACGGCGGTGGTGGCGGATGTTCGTCTGGTGGACAGCGCTGAGGATGCTATCTTTGCAAGGTAGCTGTTCCGGACAAGGAGCCTGGTGTGTTGTAAAGTTGCGAATCGAGGAAACACACGATTTATGTACGTGTGTGTGCTTCAGGTGGGAGTGTAAACGGATGTCGGGTAGTGGTGTGACGTGAAACCGTGACACTTAAGTACAAGAGCTCCTGCTGGAGATCTTAGCGTAGGTGCCGGGGTGCCGGGGTGCCGGGGTGGTGAGCTGTGGCCTGTGGGAGCAGGGGGAGCTTGCTGTGGGACGGGTTGCAGCAGGCGTGCGGGGAAAGCTTTGGGGCTGTGTCTCGCCCAAGAACGCCCAAGAGTGTGCCACCGAAGCGACTAGTTAATAAATACGGAACTAGCGGGTGATGTATGCCCAGTACTGCTGGATGGATAGCAAGATGGCTTGACGTTCTGTTCTGTTCTATATTGTACGTCGCAAATCGCGGTCACATCAGAACCACAAGAGCATTGCCTCCCTTAAGTACATTTTATTTTGGCGTCAGCGATGCGCGAATTCTAGTCGTCAAGCAGTGGCCATACTATGTCGACTTGAGCTGGTGACTTTTTTTTTGGGGGATGGAATCTTTAGTACCATATGCCTAGTGACAGCCTAGAGCAAGGCGCACCCACAGGACGAGCTGGGCAGGATGGGTTGGAATGCTGCTGTCATTGACTTGGGAGCATTCCCACGCCGCCAAGCGATCTATTGCCCAAACAACATGCCGCATGCCGGTTGTGGAGGGTCGGCGCAGAACGTAAGCGGTCAACAGGGCTGAGGCAGGCCAACCGCGGTTAGTCTTGGAAAAGCTTGGCCACTGCCGATCCCTTGAAACCCTTTGGCAACCCCTGCGCTGCAATCGAAACATGAGATGGCGACTGCGGATGTGGTCAGATCCAAAGTCTCCTGACCCGTGTCCGACTTGGGGATGCAGACACCCTGAGATCTCGACTATAGGGCGAGGCATTCATTTCATCGTCAAAACGTGCACAAAGTATTACGCGCATAGCTAGACGATAGACCAGTCTCGCCCATGAGCTCAATACTCCATCTGGCAATCCGTTGCGTATTCGCCCGTCTTACTGCCTCCATCAGCGAGACGGAAGTGCCCATCTCGAAAAGTCATCAAGTCTACGCCGCGGCCGCGCAGTCAATGGAACAATTCAGCATGACATCAGTCCAGTTGAGTTTGCGTCTTTTTTCCCTCTAACGTATCCATCGTGACTGTTGCACTGCCCCAGCTCCGAGCCATGACGCCCGGTCAGTGAGGTGAGATGAGTTGCGCTCGCTACGGAACTGCACTTTATGGGTCTCCGATTTCACCGTCTCCACTATCACCCGGACCCGGCTTCTTCCTTGGGAGCCACACCCGCCGCCCATAGGCTGATCCAGGCGGCCAAGTGGGCTCGCGGCCGACTAAACCCCATCCTTCGCCCACACAACCGGATCGGGCGGCTGTGTTCTCCCAAGGCAAAAGGCGCCTGTGCAGGTTCTCAGGGTTCTTTGGAAGTCAAGTGACCCAGATTCACATCGATGGAATACTGCTAGTACGTGGCGATAAGCGTATTGCGGCCCGCCGAGAGTGGCAATGCACTGCATGCAAGGCGTAGAACACTTCCAGAATCCTTCCGTATACAGCCATCTACGGTACGCTATACGCCTCAATTGACCAATGAACGATGCCAAGGAACCCGGCCACTTTTCGCCGCCGGGCGTCCTTATACCTGCAACTCAGCTTGCAGCAGTCCCGGCATGTCATCGCCCCGAAACGGAAATAAAGCTCATCTTCTTGTCCAGTGGCAGTGGTATTGCGACTCTGTTCGTATGCAGTCGAGTGCATAATTGACAAAATCTTACATGCGATCAACCAGTCGTATCGGACCTTGGCTTGCTGCGCCTCCATAGGATGGAGACCCAAATTGTCTCGGCCATCTTATCTGCCTACGAAAGTCACAACCAAGACGCCATTCGAGAATGGTTTATTCTGCCTGTCAGCATTTTGCTTGCTCGCTACGTAGCTCATACGTTGTTAGTAGGACTATGGATGTTTCCTTGTTATCAGAGCGGACAAGGATAATCACCATTGAGGCGCCTCTTCATTGAGTTATTAGGGGGTCAAATTGACCTCTACGAGCACTGATACTACCCAAATCCTTTAGAGGTGACGTCAAATATTCTATGTGCATGCAAGACCAGATCTCGTCCCTCTTGCCACGAAGCAAATACACAAGCTGACTCCTTTTCAATTAAACCGAAATTCGCTGGGCCAGCCTAGTCTTTTCTTAGAATCTTACGAAACACGCCTATTAGCAACTCTGCAACTTCATAGAAACTATGTCAAGGGTGTCAGTGGGTCAATATTATAACCCATGCTCGTCCTAAGTGCCTCGAAACGTCGATATGGTGCAGTTTGCGGAGAATGCTGGATCCCTGAGCTGCACCTCCTCTGGCGACATTGGATCTGCAGAGTTTATCTTGCCATCGCGGTCGGTGTAGCACCATATCGCAATGTTTTCTCGCAGCGCCAGATTCCCTGCTTCTGAGTGACACGCCGTTCCTGCTTGGCGCCTCCAACTCTGTCAAGTAATAGGGAGGTCAGGTACAGACAAAGATAGATGATATGGGGTTGTATTCATATTCAAACAGACTGAAACTTGTCCCTTCCACAAGTAAGGGGACAATATTAGGGGCATATCTCGGATTCTGTGAGGTACTTTCGGACCTCCTGTAAACCTACTGCATCGCCGTGACAAAATCGATGGGGATAGACCGTAAATTTAGTACGCAACGGTGTGGTCATGACATAACGGGCGGGTTAAAGCATTCTCCATTCAGCACTGAGCAGAGAACCGGTGTGCTCAGGAAAGGGCAAGAACCAACCCTATAGTCACGATCTTGTGTGTTACAAAATCTAATGCTCATGTAAGGGGTCCAAATTGATGTAATAATGATCTAAAGATCCAATGCAAACAGGCGCGAGACTCGCGCTTTGCATACTCTATCAAAAGTAGGGCATTCTGCTATGTCCCACAACCACTAGCGCCAATATTCACTTTGCCAACCTCTAGCTGACGGCTCACCGTCATAAGAGCTATCAACCTTCTTGATATCGAGCTTATATCAGTACCTTCTTCCACTGCTGCTTTTCTTTGCGCAGAGTAAGTATACATAGCTGCTCCCAAACTGCACCAAAATCGGGTGATCCGCCGCCATTAAGGCAAATGAAGGCCTTACGAAGGCGCCTCCTTATACGATGCCAGTACCAAAAGGTGAAGCTCAATTCTTTTCTGTTGACTGGAACATAGCCTTTCACGTATATGTATAACTCCATGATGCGATCAAGGGTCACAGTATCAAACTTGCAGCCGTTTGCCAATAAACGAAGCGCTTCGAGATGGGGTTGTTTATTGGTGGTCATGTATCGCACCGTCGCAAACCCCAAAGGGGACAACCAGAGATCCGTGTCATGAAAAGCTTCTACTGCAAAATTAGGATCCGCGCCCTTGTTAAGAAGCATTTTGATCATCGCCTGATGGCCATCTGATGTGTCCGGAGCGGAGCCCACGAGTGTTGCTGGGCAGGGATCGTTGTTATAAAGGGCGACAACATTCATGAGCAGTGGCCAGTCTGTGTGATATTTATTCCAGCATATGCATGGGGCGACTGCTTTGGCTCGAACGTACTCGACCACATTGCAAGCTGTCGCCAAGGATAAAAATGAGTAGCCAAAGAAGTCGACCATCTCTTGGTGGGGGATGAGCGAAAAGGGTCGGTGAAGATGCGCGCTTTGAAGAAATAAATCAGAGATATTATCAAGCTGGTCAAGCAGACGTATCATAGAGTAAATACTCCCCTGCTGGACGGCGCGGGCATGTGCGAGACATTTGACCGCATGTTGGTTCCACAAGTTCTGCAGTGAAACGGCTTCCAAATCCATCCCTTTGATGTAAGCCAAATGACCCGCTAGTAGCTTTAGATGTGGGTCGAATGGTGCATTTAAGGCTGATTTCAAGGTCTGACGAACGCCGGGGCTTTCAATATATTCCTTAACCGTCCGGTGAAGAAATTGAACCGTGGTATTCTCATGACTCGAAGCATCGTAGCTGAAGCCCTGGGGTGTTGAAACCCCTCCTTTGACCTCCAACAATCCCTTAGATCGGCTGTTAATGCGACGACGGACCGTATCTATCCGAATGCCAATCTCTTCGGCAGAAAGTGGTGTGACAGCCATGCCCACCGCAAAGATTGGGTTTTCCTCGTCAACAAAGGATGCCAGAAGGAGGCTCATCGGCTCACCACTGGCGCCAACCAGAGAGAACAGTTGCGCAGCATGCTCTAGATAGAATGGATCGAGGCTCTGGAGTATCTTTTCATAGAGGTCGGTGAGATCAGGAGGAAGCAGATTCAACCTTCGCTGAAAATCTGCCACACGATCACCATTCCCCATTCCTGAGAGGAGCGAAGATACAACAAGCGATACCCAGAGGAACACTCCAGATGCCTTGGAGACGATATCCTCTACTAGCTGATCGGCAAATTGCCTCTCCCTCCGTCGAAGTTGAGCGAACCTTGCATCGCTGTCGAATCTCGCGACGATGAAGTCCTTGATATCATTATATGTCAAGTGCTCAAGCATCAGAGATGGCTTCTGATAGAATCTGTCTTGGAACTCGACCCAAGGTCGACTTGCGACACACAGCTTGTAATCTGAAAAGTCATCGATGCCTTTGAAAGTGGACAGAAGATCTTCTGGGTCGCCTTCGAACTCGTCCAACCCGTCGACAAAGAGAGCCGCTGCAGCATTGCAGCGCTTCAGATTTCGGATACAGAGGTGAAAAATGCTTTGCAGCTCAGAGTCCTGCCAGTCTGGGATTTGGCCGAACAGGCAGAGGCTCTCCCACCTGCTAGGGGATGCAAAAGATAAGAGGTCGGGGCACTCCTCCAAGATTTGCCGGAGAAGCGTCATCAAGAGACCCTTCTGGGTAGTCTGCACCTGGAGTCCGGAGTTCCAGAAGTAGAAAGATGCAATGATGAGCTTCCTTGAAACTGCCCACTGGTCCAGGTATTCGCGGCATCGAGGGTGGCCATGCTTCCCACCTGTGGAAGATCCCGGACCACTTACGTATCTCATCAGCGTGCTTTGACCCGATCCCGCTTTGCCAGTGACCCAATAAAGCCTCTCGTCAGATTGGAGCCAGTCTTTGAAGCTGAACCATCTCTCGTTGCTGGTATCATCAAACACCCACTTGAAGGTCTTTTCGTGAGCATCCGAAATTCTGTCCTCACGATCCTTCATCCCTCGATACTCGAGGCTGTGGAGGAGCAGCGCGATGGCCTTGTTGTACGTATCCTCAGTCACCTCAAGTTCTGAGTGAGAATTTTGGGGCGACAGGGATGCGTGGCCTTGTATTGCCTGCAAAAGATCACTGCGAAGGGAATCCATCTGTGCTGCCCGCGATGATTCGCTTAGCCCAGATGTGACATACTCTACCACCGACAACCCCATACGGCTTTCCTTGGGGCTGCCCAGGCTATGGCGTATATCTTCCTGTCTGGACAAGGACTGACTGGCATAGTGGCTGCATCCCCTTGCGTTAGTAGCCATTTCTTTTGACACTGTGGAAGGGAGAGACAACTGACCGGACAGATAATAACAGGCACAATGTCAGTTGCGATCTGAACTCGCCCAGCCTGCCCTGGAGCGAAACGATCTCCTCTTTTTTCCAGGCCAGTTTCAAGGCGGCCCACAGAGCGCGACGTTTCGTCTTGGCGTCCGCAAGACCAATCTTGTGGAGAGTCTGCACAAGCTCCTTCGCGAGCTCTGTGCATCCTTTCGCAAGTTCCCCCATGCCCCCATCGTCCTGGCTGTCCGATTTATTGACCGCATACTGCTCCTGGATGGTTTTCAACGTAGAAGACAGGCTTTGATAGACAACCTGTAGCTGCGATACCTCGTTGGCATCTTCGCGGCCAAGCTTCGATGCTCTAACAGCCTTGAAGGCGGTTGTTGCGACCTTTGTTCCGAAGTCAATGACCTGTAGTATGGACGAAGCCAAGCTTAGCGTTGCCACTGCTTCGGCCATGTTAGCCGAATCTGAAGTTACTTGAATACTGAGACACTGTGGACGAGTATGGATGATCTTGTGCGCAAAAGTGACGTGGATGGACGATGAGTTTTCTTCCAGGAGCCCATTGCAGCTTTGGTGCACAACCTTGTCTGTTGGGCTCAAGACCTTCATGTCACACAAGTGTACAAGCGCCAAGCTACCTGTTGCTCAGCCATTGTACTTTCCAAACATCAATAAGACTACCAGCCGTAGCTTCTCTGTCAATTCACGGTAGATCTCTCCTTAATGCACAGTGATAGGTTTTGAACGTGAGGATTGGAGATGTCATTTATAACAACCGCCAAAGCCTCGAATAAACAGTGGGATAATGTCGAACTGTTGAGCAACAGATAATCGAATACGGCAAGGGTACTAGTACCCGTGGACGGGACTGGATTATACGGTTATGATTTATTCCGCCCGGGGACACTAGGCCTAGAGGACACTAGTGCAATTTACTCCCCACGTCCACGTCAAATCTGACTTGCATTGGCTTGTACCTGATATTGCACCTATATGATACCTGTAATGCAATCTACATTACATTGTGCATGTAAGCGCAAAACCGCTCACCTCAGACAAAAATTGGCAGCGTGTTTTGAGTGTTTTTCATCAGATGGCAGCTTGCCTCTTCCTTCTGAAGTCATCGTCAGCATCCACTGCGTTCATTTCAGCACCCCCCACCCCCTTCTTCCCCTAAATGACACCGGGAGGGGAAGTTACTATAGCATAATCAGTCAGCATATGTTGTAGGCTATGTCGCGTACGAGCCTCTGGTGTAACTGTTGCATCTCACATCCGGCAACGCTTGCGAATTGAAGTCTTTGGTTGTAGATGTGTGATTCCGACATGGGGGATCACACTTTATTGATTCTACGGTCTGCAGGATCCTGATTTCATCTATCCGAGATAGGCCGGCATGGAGGAATGGGAGTGTTCCTTGCTCGTCATAAGCTGGGGGAGCGGAGTCGGCCACGGCCCTGTCTTGTTGGAAAAGACCGGGTTGGAATGCACTAGTTTGACCTCGAGGTAGGGGAGATGAAAAGTGAGAGGTAGGAGCACCCTGCGCGTCTGCCGTAATGTTGTTCTTGGCCGCACTGTAGTCTTGCCGAAATCTCTGCCGCAGCCATGCTCGGAAACGAACTGGCATCCCGTCGTGTTCAGCGTGCCTAGAGGGTTGTCCCAAGGATAGTAGGTTATTATTTGTAGCTTTCTTTGTCTTGGCCGCTGGCCTTGCCTGGTTGCTTCGACCTTCGCGGCTTCGATGTTCAGCCATGCTTAAGTTTGCGCTACCACTTGTCAAGAGACACGAATGAACAACCAACGTTACCATCGGTGTCAAATTTCAGGACCTTGCAGAGAGTTCATATTATATACATATAGCCAAGTCGTCGGAGATAGACTGTAAAACTTCTTGGTTATCAAGGTTCACCCGGAAAGGGATAAGTAGCACGCAGTGTTTCTATGGAGCAGGCACTGGTTAGCTGACCTGCTTAAGCTGAGAGCGTGCTACGCCGCTCAAGTGTCCACGCCGCAGTAGGAGCCCATAAAACGCTGAAAGATGATATTTTCGCAGCTGTAATAAGTGGTACATTAAGTCCGCTACTCTGCGAGATCACGCGTCTAATCATCTACTTCTGAGAGTGAGCACTCGCCAGCTTGATAGGTAGAATGGAGTTGACTGCAAGCGGGCTAGGAACCGGAAATGAGAAGATACAGATACGAGTGGTAGTATAGACTGTGACGCACAGGAAAAAGATCAATGAAGTGTCGCATGATTTGAGCCAAGAAACAACAGTCCCAACAGCATAATAACACTTAGTACTCGTCTTCATCATCATCTTCACCATCGTCCTCGTCCTCATCCATGGTATCTTCGTAGTCATCTCCATCCATGTTAGACTTATAAAGGGTTAGAAATCGTTAAGGCAGGGCGAGATGAGTGAACGCCTACCTGGTCATCCGTGTTCTGTAACTCCGCCATCTGATAGCAGATGTCGGGCAACTCTTCTCCGTTCTTGGCAGTGATGATACCGAATTCGTAAGTGAAGCCCGAATGCTTCTCGCTCTTGCCATAGAAGCCCACAATTCGCTCATCGTCGGCTGGCTGGAGGACTTCAACGCCCTTCTTTCCATGACTGTTGAGCTCACCCCATTGCGAACCGTTATCCAGTGTCATTCGGATGCCATTGAGGCTGCCCCATCCAGAATCAACCCTATTAATCTCGACCTTGGAAATCGCTGCATCGTGGGGAATAGAACGTTTCTCCGAGGCGTGACCCCCAAATGTGTGAGGACGACCGTGGCGTGATACAGGGCCGCAATTGACATGCACTCCACTATCATAATGCACAACAGCCCCGTCCATGGTGCATCCCACCCTTAAATCGATCGCGTTCGCATGGTCGAAGCTACCGTCGCTTTGCTTGCGCTTCAACAACGTGGCCCAGCGGTGGTACTGCTGGTCTGTGTCACTGTTCAAGCCATCGGACTTTACTGACTTCTTCCCAAGCAGCATATCATAACCAGGGATACGGATGGAAGGCAACTCAGCCAGAAGCTTCCAAATATTGTTACAGACCCTCTTCCTGCCGTTCATACCCAGTGCAAAGACAGCGATCTCCTCGGTCCGGTCGAACTGGGCTTCAAGGTTATTGTATGAGACACAGAAACTCTTGCCGTCAAAATCGGCCTTCCTAATCGCACATGCGTCCGTCTCAAATGGTGATCTGAAATGAGCAGCTTGTATATTCTCCCCAGTAGGACGCTTAAATGCGATTTGAGCGATTCCAAATTGGCAAGAGACCTCCAGAAGAGTATCACCATCTTTTAGCCTAACTCCTATCTGAACGGCAGAGTCTTGGTCGTTCGGAGAAAATAAAAGATCGGCGGGCAGCTTGAAATGAGGCTGCAGTTTGAATCTGAGGGCATCCTCCAAAGCCCATTTTGCGTCGTTGCTATCTGATTGATGGGCGACAAAGTTCTTGGACCAGTCCTTGGAGTACCCTCGAGCCATAATGCCCGTTGTGTGATCGGCACCGAACGCGTGACCAACCTCGTGCAGAAAAGCGCCTTGGCCAACAAAGCAAGCCCCACGCATGGTTCCGCACTCTCCATTGTCGTTTCCAACCGCGCTTCCGGTGGGCGTCTGATCAAGAAGGCAAGCCGGGATTTCTTCAAGGAAGCGTGGCCAAGAATAAGTGGTGTGGCTTCCGAACACTCCCAGAGATATACCGTCTGGCTTGTGGCACCCCAGCGCAGCATGCCCCAGTATAAGGTCCTGATCAATGGAATAGTGAGAGTCGAGGATAAGCCCAGCCACCACGGGCCGCTCCGATGCAGTGAAAGGAGCACCATGGGCTTTTAGCGCCTGCTCGAAGAACTTGTGGAGATCATCCCGCCTACGTCCATGTGGATTCTGCTGTGCAACTGATGCGTCTCTCAATTGCGCAAGAGTCTTGTCTGAACGGACGATATGTACCTTCGCAGCCGTACCTGCGTAAGCACGAGACCCAGGGTCAGTCTGGAGGCTGGAGCAGGTGGTCGTATCGATGCCCCACTCTTCGTCCAATCGAAAGCATCGGCGGCCCAGGCCTTTGAGACGCAGATCCTCAGCTGTGAGAGCTTGCCACATGTATGCCGCCATGCGGAACTTGGTTATAGCCCCATCAAGCGAACTGTGCGTTGTTGAGATGGCTCCGCGCTTCGCTGGTGGACAGTCGACAAGCAACGGCGAATCTTTGGCCACCAAGATGGCGAGGTGCAAAGGTGGAAGCTGAAGCAAAGGCTGATAGGTGATGTCGAGCTCATACGCCTTCGAGATAGTACCAGACTGATTAAGCTTTACCCGAATCTTGTTGTTGCCAGAGTTCAGCATAAGGAGGGCTTTCCATTTGCCTGAGGCAATTGGCCAGTTCTGGACCGGCGATGCTTGTCCGAAGATGTCGGTAACTTCGATTGATATGAAGTCATCGGATTGCCCATGATTATTACACTGTCCTGTGAGCAGGAGACACTTTTGATGCACTGTTTCACCATTGGTGATATTTTCGACTTCGAGCTCCGGAATGGTTATCTTCATGTTGTCGGCGGTGAGTTGAATCTGGACTTTGAACTAATAGAATTCCTACCGGATAATGAGGTGCAATTGGATATCGAATATTGAGTCACCTCAAAGCATCCGAAGCAGCTTATATACCCAGCGCCTTATAGCAGACTGAATGATTTGCGACTTTCAATGGAGCCAAAGTGGGCCACTGATGCCTGGGCGTCTCATGCGACACGACGTTTGATTGGTGGGGCTGCCTACGCAGGAATGCGGGCTATACTAGGCAGATGGCCCCACTTGACAAGAGCTAACACGAAAGATGTGATGCCAGGGCAAACATCTCACTGAGTTTATTCGTGGTGTCATCGGCGCTATGATGGACTCTAGCACTTAAGTTCCTCTTTTCTGCATCGTTCTCACGTTCGCAGCTGAGAAAAGCCTGACGTTTCTCTACTATAATAAGCAGGCTAAACATCTCTTTCGAATGGATAACAGGGAGTGTATTTTATATACCAGCAGCTATAGATAGCCGAGAAAATATTTACAGGAAAAGTTGGAGGTAAGGCAATTTCTGTGGCAATACTGCCGACCCTTGAGAAGTTTAGAGTTGAGACAGGGATCCAAAAGACTGAGTTTTGTCTGCCGTGATCTAGCAAGAAGCACCCGAGGGGACGTTCGAGCACTTGGTGCTCTTCTTGCCACCTGTAATGGAGACCCCAGACCAGGTCCAGCCTGAGCAGGCACCAGAGGCACACAAGATGTAGACATCGGTAGCTCCACTTGCAACAGTTCCGGTAACCTTCTCAACCTTGAGGTCGGTGATTGGGACCCCATTGGTAGGGGTGCCGGTAGGGCTGCCGTTCTCCTGTAAGGAAACAAATTAGTCACTAAGATCCAGCTAGACGTATCTATAATATAGCAAGAGAAATAAGAAAACGGGATGTTAGGAGCACCGACATAATCTTGTTCAATCACGATTCCATATTTGGCGATGTTAGAGAGCGTGATGCCAGAGTACTGGACGTCTGAAACCGACCCAGTCGCTCCTGAAACTGTCTTGATGCGCACCCCATTATCGCTGTTCGATACCGAGCTGTTCTCGATCCGGACGGTCTTCACAGTGTTGTCTGACCGTCCGCCGACTGAGCCGATCGACAGGCCATGTCCGCCGCTGCAAGACCCTCCGGTAAACGTAATGTTTGTGCCCGAGTTGATAGCGAGGCAGTCATCTTGGTTCTTGACCTTTGCGCCTGAGATGTAGACGCCATTCGAAGAGCCAACGTCGAAGGCATCTGTGTTGTGCCCGCCATTGGTGACATCACCAGCCGAGTTATCGATGGTGATATCTTGCAGGGTCAGGTCCGTGGCGCCGTTGATAGAGAAGGCCTGGACGGGGGTATTCTTCACGTTAAGCCCCTTGATGGTCGATGAAGTCAAGCTGTGGGCGAAGAAGAACTTGGGCTTGGTCTTGCCTCCGTTGGAGCCCTTGCCGTCCCACCACTTAGCACCGTTTCCGTCAATAACGTGCCCAGAAGCACCGGACACCGTAACGCCCTTGCCAGACACGCTAATGAGAGGGCCGCTCCATTCCTTGTACCCGAAAGAGGTGGTTCCCTCGAACTATGCGATTCATTGTCAGCGTAAGATGAGATGGAGCACGTAGAAACCTTGCAGCCGAGTATCAGACCAGGTGACTGGGAGTGTCTTACGGTGACGGTTGTGCCATCGTTCAATCCAGTCAGGTCAAGTGTCTGGCCAGCCGGGACAGTAATGCCATTGAGGACGATGCTGGAGCAAGACGCCTTGCTGGCGCTGGCAGCTGCGGCAGAGGTAAAAGTACAGGCCGAGGCTGCGCTCTTCAAAGTCTTGCTAGGAGCGGCGGCAACCAGCGAACTGGCGCCAAGGAGGGCAATAGCTGTAGCAGTATGCATTGTAAAGATAGACACAGGTATTTTGTGTAAGTGACAAGTGCACACCCGTTGGAGTTTGTGGAGAAAGATCGTAAAAGGACTAGCCTTAGAAAAGTTGAATGGATGGATGAGTGAATGAATGGAACGGTATCTTAGAGTGCCAAGCCTTAGCTGACGAGTTAATGGCTATGGGGAACTCTTGATCTTATATAGAGAAACTCCATGGCAGCAGCTTGGGAGTAGCCGCAATGCTTGGCTCGGAGATTGAGAGCGTTGAATGGGACTTCGTGTCATTGGTGGAGCTCCAAAAGCAAGCGGCCGCAGGATATAGATTGGGTTTGTGGGGTTAGTCTCTCGGGTCTGGCCTGATTCAGAGCATCTGACTTCTGGACTAGGCAATGGTATTCCAACCCTGCTGCAAGCAAACTAATACGGCAGACGTTAGATCTGCCGTAGGACCCGAGGGTAACAGTCGACGTGGTGTGTATTTTTGTGGGTTGAGGCTTGCCGGGGAGCCGTAGCGAAAACTGCAATATATTGGATCCCCACATTAGAAACAAGCTTTAGCCAAGAAGGTCAAGCGAATTTGGGGCTCCATCCCTGGAGAAATGGCCCTAGGGGCGCCTAGGGGCTGCGTTAAAATGAGCACCGAGGGGCATGAAACATGCTGGATTCGTAGCCCTGGGACGGGCTGGTCCGCAGACACGAAGTTGGCATTCACTATCCACACCAAATGCCGTCCCAACCACTAACGTAAGCTCAGTTGGTTGAGCAAAGTTCAGCGCAATTGGTGGAGAATACAGCTTGGCATATCCGACAGGTGCACGGGTCCTTGTAGGTGTACCGGCCACTAGTTGATCCGTATCAGGATCGAAGCGGCTCAATTTGCTCAGCAGAATGGAATCCATAGTGACGATCCTTGCCATGGGTCTCCTTGTTCTCACGACATCCCGGTACCCTAGCAAGCCTAGCACTGCACTGACTGATGACTTGGCGCGACTGAGGCCCTTCTGAGCATAGCAATCATGAGGGGCGATTCTAGACCAGACGAAAGTGGAATCAGTGTGCTGCCCGGAGATTGAACTAGTTTTCGCAACTTCTTCCACAATTCATCCACGAAACAGGAATCTCGACAGGGTTATGATGACATTCTCTGGATAATGACCTTGCCTGGTAAACGAGGCTCGTTCTGAATAATGAATACAGAGCCCAATGGGCTTCTACAGGCTGGCCACTTCACACCTTGATGTACCTCATCACAAGATCCGCTGTATGAGTTTGACGACCGGAACTCGTATTCGTCCCCAACACTCACCCTCGAATTGCCATACTTTGTGAACAGAGATCCATCCAGTATTCCAGCAAAATTCTCCAGGATCAAGTGAATCCCAGCTCCTTGAGCTTCTCCATCACCAGCTTAGCAACAGCTATCATGCCTCTAGCATTTGGGTGATATGCATCTTGGCGATACAATTCCTTGAGCCCAAAGCCATTGATCCAAGGCTCTTGTGAACCTAGTCCATGGCTTGTGCTGACCGCCGTTACGGGAACTCGGATGCACCACGATTCGCGTCCTTGGACGGCCTTGACGGTAGCTCTTCGCAGTTGTTCAGCCATTCCCTTGTGTTTATCCAGGAGTGCTGCATCAAAAGGTAAATCAATACCAGGCTCGAGATCTGGCCCCAGCATCGAAAGATATTCAACAACAACTACCTTGGCGCTTGGCACTCTGCCGTGGACTGAATCCAAGACTGTTCCATATCTCTCTGCTAACTCCTCGGTAGTCAATGAGGGGACCTCGTATGGAACCCATCCGAAGCAGCCGTAAGCCCATGTTATTGCTCGGTATATCCAATAGGCGTTGAAGCTGTCGACAAACATTCCACCAACGTACCCAATGTCATTTCCACCGCCGAGTACTAGGACGACATCCGCATCTTCCGGAATCTCTCCAATCTGCGGGGCAAACGTCTTTTCTGGCTCTACCTGAGGTTCATTCAATAGATTGAGGAGGGTTGCACCCGACACGCTCAAGTCTGTCAATTTTGCCTCAAGTCTTCTGGCGACGATGTGCGCATAATTCTCGCCAGATCGGGCTGCGGGGACGTCGACTTGCGGGGGAATGCCCGGTCCGGCCGCGAAGGAACTACCAATGTTCACGATATGGAGGGGCATATTTCTGACGTGTGAAGTTGAACAAGATAGATGATTGTATGAGACACGCTTCATGAAAAGTGCAAAGTCCGCGAACTAGCCTTCAAGTGCGCAACATCGGGTTCAACTCGTCTACGTGTAAGTTGAGGGCGGCTCTGCGGGCCAGACTTGGCGCTGATTCTCACTGGCTGGTCGTTGGCTGCCTAAAGTGTGCGCGTCCTCATCGCACTGGGCATCTGCGCAGGTGCGTACCTAGGTGCTCTGCCTGATGTTCACCCATTGGGCATATTGGATAACTTCATCGAGCAGAAGAACGACGATGGCGTTGTAATCAATTGCATTGTCCAATATCCACGTCACCGCCAAGATACTAAGGGTTCCACTGCCGCAAAGCGCTATACTGTAAGACGATTGGCCCTACGTTGCGCAGCTAGGTGTTTTGTTCTGCCCGCAGAGTCTCAAATTTCCTGACGATTACTGCCTCGTCCACAGCACACTCCTCGGAACTTACCAAGTAACGCCCTTCCTCGCGCCTAGCTTGCTTGATGGAACGCCTTGTCGCTGTGTTGACTGTGGCGGCGATGCTCTTGCAAATGCCCTGTCCAGAGTAGGCCACTAAGCCCAAAGCTCCTGGGTGATATTAGCACTTGCATGACTTCACCGGATTAACCTAACGCCCTCGGTAGATAGAGTCGACTTACCAGAGGATGTTTTCAGTACCATGTTTGCGGATCCTCTGCCTACACCTTTGATCGCGCCCAGTGCACCTTGCTCTTTGCTGCCCTTCAATGGTTCCCGGATGAGGTCCGCGAAGCCATCCACCATCCCATCCTTGAAATTCTTCCCTGCCACAGTAACGCCTGTCTTCCAATCCGTGACCTTACCAATCTCTCGAACTTGACCGCCATACAGCTTAGGCATCGACCTGAGTCCTTCTGTCGTCGCCAAGGGCATGTCTACATACATGCCCTTGACGAAGTATTTGATGAAACCGCCAACGCCTGAGGCGGATCCCAGGATAGCTTGACCCAAGCGGTTTCCGGCATCAGAGCCTTGAGACCGTGAGCTCTCCCCCGCATTGGGTCTCAAGTGACAATTGGTCTCTCCTTGCTCGGCCAATGAAGTGGGTGCGTCTTCATTCTGCTTTTTGGACGGAATATTCAAAGTACTGGATTTCGCAGGTGATTTATGGTACACTTGGACTGGCTTGATGACAATGTCAGTAGCTGAGACGACCATTCCTTTCACGGTGCTAGCGAGTGAGGATGTTGTGGCGGTGACCGGTTCCCATCTTGTTACATCAATGACCGTGGGACATGGGTCATAACTGTTCCGAGAAGCCCCAGTGTTAGCCAGCAGGCAATTGAAGAGGATATACATCACCATAGTCTTACCGGGTAACCTGGTCCCAAGATATCTTAAGGTTGTCAACTAGTATATCCGCGGCCAGTTTGGAAAGCTTCAATTGCGTCTTCCCTTTCTTGTATCTCCACACCGCAGCTCTGTCCGGTAGGACATCACACCGAAGGTTCTCGAGAGGCAAGTTGGCATGGAACATGTCGACCGCTGTTCTTACGCCAGACTCGTTCCTCATCTTCTCCGCCAGAGAAAGCGCAGCGACTGAAGCGTCTTGGGTAAGGCAAAATGTTATCGCCTCGGCCAGATTGTCACTATTAAGTTCTCTTTGGGGAATTGGGTTCGGGCCAGCCCCAGCTGCTGCAACCATGGCTCCCCAGAATGGTTGGCTGCAACGCAATACTCGATCAGAAGAATCCTTGCGAACATTAAATAGGGTATCCACTCACTCGCCGAAGAATGGAATGACCGTGGTCGGTCTGCCATTCAGAAGACCACAAGCTGTCGTTCCTGCTCCACCATGGTGAATGACTGCAGCAACCCGTTGGAAAAGCCATTCATGGGGACAGTCTCCTATGAACAGCACATTCTCGTCGACTTCGTTAGCCTCCCCAAGCTGACTCCATCCCCGCGAAATTATTGCCCGAACTCCGGCAACCCGAATAGCTTGAAGTAATGTTGTAGTCAGTCGCTCCGGGTCATCGATTACAATGCTTCCGAATCCAATGTAGATTGGTGGGGCCCCACTCTCTAGAAAGTCAGCCAATTCCCTTGGTGGATGAAATTGCGGAGGCTCCCGAAAGAAGAACCCGCACACCCCTAAAGGAGTCAGCAAACAACCCAGTTAGATTCCTAGATCGCATACCTATATGGGAAGGCCAATCTGAAGGTCTTGGGATCAGTGCTGGCGACCAGCAGTAAGTAAAGGGAATTTTGAGAGATTCTGCTAGCCTCGGTCCCTCTGAAGTAGGAATAGGTTCTAGGTCTAAGGTTCCTCTCCAGGAATTGATGAGATCACCGAGCCTAGTTAGACTTCAGTATATCGTAAAAATGGCTGAATCTGAGGTTCCTCTAGGTTCCAATATGGGAGCTTACCCCTGCCAAGTGAGAAACTCAACTGCTAGATACGACACATAGTTCGCTAAACCCACAGGTACCGTTGTATTTTTCAAATCGAGGTTGATCAGTGGATGTGGGAACGCGCTGGTGCTGGACCACGGCATGGTGAACATCAGATGCAGCGGAATGCCCAAGGCTTGGGCGCAGTGGATGTGGGCGAAACTTGGCGGATTTGCAATGATAGCCTCGGCAACGAACGGCCGCCCCGTGACCGGGTCTGGGTCAATGCAAGATTTCCAGCATCCATCTAACATTTCTGCCACCATCTTTCGTTTTCTCTGTATATCGCCTTCGCGAAGACTGCGCATGCTTGGAAAGAGACCTGGGTTCTTCACCATGTAGGCCATAAGCTCAGCTGGGTCGCCTCCGATAGGGTAGAACTCTAAGCCGGAATCGCGGACAAAATCAGAGAAGACATTGTGCGTAGCCAGACGAACCCGGTGTCCGTGTCGAATCAACTCCGTGCCGAGGGCAATGAACGGCTGTACGTCGCCACGACTTCCTACAACCTGTATGACAATATTTAACCGGAGGTTGAATTGCTTGCGATCGAAAGCTTCATATTTTGGCGGCTCGCCCCAGTCGTGGTGGTCCTCCTGGTCTTTCCGTCCTTGCTCGCGAGCAGCAACCTTGCTTAGAGTCCTGAACAACCGTGACTTAGTATCCAGCTCAATCCGTCCATCATCTACGTTGGAGTGTCAGCCAAATGTCTCCAAGTATACAAGCGCCAACGGCAATTTCACCTCCAGTATGTTGCGCAATGGTTGGAGAACCATCTGCTACTGCATCTGAGAGAGACTGAGTATATTCTGGTGGAGGGCAACTTGAATCTACAGGGAAGTCCTCATGCATCTTGAGTCAATTAATTCAGACCTCAACGAATGATTGCTAGGGTTCAGAGTGCATCACGATGCGTGAAACGGGAAAGGACATGACATTAAATAGCTGACTTGATCCACCCTTAAAAGGACTGCACGACGCCATATTGCCCAACCCACACTTGACAGGTCGGACTGTCGTAAGTAAGTGGCGGTGCATGATGAACGACTGATGTCTGCCTTATGTACAGTGGAAGGGTACTGAGATGTAGACGGCAAATGGCGCCTTTCCGGCGTACTAACGTGAGCCAGCGGTTTCGGTATGTCCAATCACCCGCGGGCTTGGCACATATTAGTTCGTCTTTTTCGCCAGAACCCGAAGTCTTCGGGTTGGTTCAGTTCGGATTGTGCACGAGCAGCTCGGCTAAAATCCGAAATCCCCACAATACTACCGATGCTCAATAACAGGATTTGGCTTCAACCAATCAAAATGGGCGGCGTACGCGTATAGATAGGTGATTTAGCAAGCGCATGCGGGTCGTGACACTGGGGCCGGGGCGATGATATAGCTCCTGAACTATCAGTTACAACTATGGATTCTCTGTTTTTTTATGATTCATTCCCACACCCGGCGTGTGGTTACCTATCCTCCATTGTGAATCACTGTTAATGTTGTTATGTGGCTGCAGTATATATTCTCCCACTCCTGTTTTAGCAGAGTGGCGAGGACGGCAGCACGCTGCAATATTTCTACATCGCAGATTATCACGTGCGTACCACAGTAATTTATCAGATAGTGTTGAGCAGTCATGGAGTTCAAGCTCGGTGTTGCGGAGATGCTCGAACGTCAAGGCAGGGCAGCTCGTGACCTACGTTTGAACACACGTACCGGCGCATTCCGTGCTGGGCAGAGTTATGAATTTGCATCAAACTCTACACTAGATCGGCTACTGGACGAAGAACGAGAACTTCAAACGCTGCACGATGAGTGCCGGAAAGCTCGTAAACGCTGCAACGATCTCGAGGAAGTCCTGGGAGCGACACTAAAGACTCTAGACCACCGTCCGAAAACGACTTTAAAGCGCGATGTGAGTGTATCTCCTACGCACGACCTATCCATTGGCAAAATCTGCGCGTGGTTCAAACTGTACCTAACCGCCATCGTAGCTCGCGTCCTGAAGTCTCTTGACTTACCTGTCGCTTATTTTCATAACTATTAACGGGAGACCTGGTTTTATCTAAAATTAGAAGTAGCACATCCCGGTTGGCCGGTATATGATAATACTTGTCTTCTACACTTATATTCATTTCGGGTTTGTGGCGTGTAGCCCATACAATGTCACTCGCCTGATTGAACTTACATAGGCAGCTTGCAAGCCCACCCCAATGTGCATGGGGCTCATAACCCTTAAAAGTACTGTGGCTGACAGAGGGGTTATCCGAGGGAGCTGAGGACGTTAGAATCTAGCTTACCGACTTGGTGTTGGTGGATGTTCCACCGACGTACCACGCACCAATGCAAACCAATCAGCCAAGGCTCACCGAAAACGTCGCACACGCAGCCAATAGGACTTTGTCAGACGCAACCAATGAGAAAGCTTGTGCCTGTGGTTCACACTCTCACAGGTCACATCAGAGCCTCGCAACGGGTACGATGAACCGAGTTGACACACAAGGCTGCAATGGCGTGTAATAAGAAAGGCAATCATGCGGAAGGATACCGAGCGACCTGCGTATGCTAGCACCAATCCCACCAAAGGTAATGTGAGTCATGTGGGAGTATGAGGTCAATAGGCAGCCTGCTTATGTTTTAGTCGGCTGTATCGTATCCGAGGATTTCCGACCGACGCAATTAGTCAGGTATATAATCATTCCGAGCCATCGCAATTCCTCAATACTCCGAGACTCGTGCAAAGCACCCTGTTGATATATTTCCAACTCAAGATGTCAACGTTTACATTTCCACGAATGCTATCGCAGAGAGGGCCGATGTACTTCATGCCCCTGGGCCACACTCAACCTCCTCAAAACTACCAACAACCTCAGCGGTCTAGCCAATCAAGGGGCCAGGGATGGAATACCAAGGAAAAAAGACTTGTTGTTCCACCACCAGCTTCCAGGCCGCAAGCGCCTGCTCGGTGTACACCGAACGAGGATGCGCGGCGGCGTGGAAACACGCCGCCGTCGAAGCCCCTCCCCACCCAAAACTCGAAGGTCAAACTGCCTTGGGAAGCCGTAAGAGCGCCTCAAGAGGATCACAGCAACAGACGGGGTGAGACCAGGACCGAAGTGGAACGGTACTTCAATCGACCGATCCAATCTCCGGTGAAGAAGCCAAGAGGACACCATTAAATCACCACGTGCGCAGGAAGCAACAGTACATGACACTTAATCTCGTCTCAATCATTATTGAATTCGCACCCTGAACGGCTTCTGCAGCGAAGTTCCGTATCTATCTGGTATCTTAACATAAATAAATCATGGCAACTATATACATGAAGGCAAAGTGCAAGTGGAGCATTATTGGACCATGGACTTTCCAATCTCCGACTTCCAGTCCTTTGCCCGTTCAAATCCGTTCGAGTGGGTCTGGTAGTCAAAGAGGGCCTGGTATACCTCCTCCTTGCTGCTGAGGACAAACGGGCCATATTGCACGACCTCCTGGTCGAGGACCTGGCCAGCGATCAGAACAAAGCGGGCGCTGCTCTTCGCATCTTCTGGAACCGAGGCCTCCATCAAATCGCCGTCCCGCTCGAAGACGACGTTGTGGTATTGATCGACGCTCTTCTCGTCCTTTCCAGACCCGAATTTGGCAACTCCTTCTAATGTGTACGCGAACGCATTCCAACCCTTGGGTATGGACTGCGCGATCTTGCCACCGGGCTTGATCTCGATATCCAGGATCCAGACTGGCGTGTAGGCCAAGTCCTTGACACTGTCGACGCCGGCGGATTGCCCAGAGATAACCTTGACGTGCACCTTGTCATCGTCGATATCGACCTGGGGAATCTCCTTGGCCTTCAGATCTCTGTATCTCGGTTCGCACATCTTGAGCTCCTTGGGCAGGTCCACCCATAGCTGAAGACCGACGTTTGCGCTTCCGTCGGGGTTCTGCCTCGGCATTTCGGCGTGCAGGATTCCCTTTCCAGCAGTCATGAACTGGAGGTCGCCGGCCTCGATCGTCCCCGCGTTGCCGGCGAAGTCCTCGTGGTCGACTGCGCCAGTCAGGAGGTATGTGATGGTTTCTTGGCCTCGGTGAGGGTGGTCGGGGAATCCGGCACCGGGCTTGATGCTGAAGTGGTCGAGCATCAGGAAAGGGGAGAAGTTGCGGAGCTGGGGCGTGCCGATGGAACGGCGCACTCGAGCGCCCGCGCCTTCGGCTTGCTCGATGGCAAGGAAGACTTTGCGGATCGCTCTTGGTACAGACATGTTGGCTGTTACGGCTTCTTGTGAGGGAGAAGCGTTCGAGGTCGCTGTATCGTCTTTCGTAGTAATGAAACTATCCCTATAGTAGTGGTTCAGTGTCTCCAAGGTTGTGGCCGCGAAGTCAACGACGTGCTCCCTGAAGATGATGGCTGAGAAGACTGCGACGAGGATGGAAATTGCGATGGAGATGAACTTCATTGAAACGGATTCAGGAGGGCCTGATATACTATTCTGACAGACTGACTAACATGGTGCCCAGATGCACGACGCTTTATGTGGAATTGTCCTGAAGATTCGCCTCCCCAATGGGCAATTGGCAATCCATGCCCGCGTTGCTTTGCTGAGCATCGCAAATTCTCCCGAGGCCCCGCCTGAAGGCCTTAGTAACTTTTACATCAGCGACGCCGACGGGGCGGCTTGGATGTCCGCCAAGCCGGATCAGGACTAGCCAACGGGCGCTAAAGAGCGACAGGGTGCTGACTGAACAGCACGTAATCCGGGACCTGGTATTGGACAATCAACATCAATCCATTACCAAAGACAGGACTTGGTCACGAACAGACTTTGAACAGGCTCCTAGACAGACCCCATACTGGCAGGGCTGATGAGAGTTCCCAGTCAACAAGTGTCGAAACTTCGCCGAGTTGCAGCCTCCCATATACTTACTTAGTCGTGTCTTGTACTCACAGCCTCTTGGATATCTAGCGAAAGAACTGACACGGGACGCAGGATTCCGTCTCTACCACGTACTCTATAAGCAGCAATGGACTGTGCAGTTCAGGATACATTCATCGATACATGTGCAATACGCTGAATACGCCACAAGGGTAGTGACGATTAGTTCTTATAGGCTGACGAAAACACGCAAGATCGCCGGTGATCCATTCTGGATAGCGTCGCAGAGTAGTCCAGACTGCATTCAATTGAGTCAAATATCTTCGTCTTGTGCTCGCTTCTTTGGTAATGGGTACCCTCCGAGCTCTTCGAAGAACTTCCCTGAGACTGCCATCAACTCTACCAAGTCTTCCCCGAGCCAGGAACCCATCAATGCCGCGCGCGTCATTTCCACCTCTCTTACTATATTGCCTGAAATCTACAAGCGGCAGTTAGTATATCTTAAGCAGCGATATGGCATACATCAGTGCTCACCATGATACTGTTCCCCTTCCGAGTTGTGTCCAATGATATTTGTGCGATGGCTGCAGCAACACCTTCCGGCGTGTTCGCCACATAGCCTGCCTCTCTCCACTTGTCCACATAGGATGCCGTGATATGCGTCGGCGTGACGAACGGAGCGATTGCATTGACTCTGACATTCGCCTTACGCGCCGCTTGTTGTGAAGATCGTAGCAGTCCCACAACACCATGTTTCGACGCAACATAGCCAGCTACGCCGGTACCGCCGAAGTAGCCTGACGTCGAGGCAACCAACACGATAGAGCCGCCTGCAGACTTCTCTGGACTACTTCGCATGTAGTGAAGAGCTAGTCTGAGGGCTATGCAATAACGTCAGATTTGTGCCCTGATGCAGAATGAAAACGTCTTACTGTTTAGAGTCCCCTTGAGATTGATATCAATGACTCTGAATCCTTCTGTCGACTCCAGGAGATCCCCATTTTCGTCGACAGCATTCTCATCCAATACTGGAGATGTCTCCATGATTCCAGCATTCGCGACTACTATGTCGATGCTCCCGAATCGACGGAGTGCCTCCTTGAATAAGTTCGTCATCTGTGCCCAATCGAGGATATCAGTCGGGATAAACACTGCGCGCGGTGGGTTGGGGAGGGACCGTATGAGTTCGTCTGCTGCTTTCCGGCATGATGCTAGGTCAGCCACGACAATATTCGCTCCCTGTGTATTATACAGCCGCGTCGTAGCTGCGCCGATTCCATTGGCGCCGCCCGTGATGATCACTGTTTTGCAAGCGGCTTCAGCCAACAGACCCGGATTGAGGGCTACGTTGGGAACCATATCTGTATCTTCTCGAGATCTCGATGCTGATGAGTTGAGAATATAAACGTATGTTAGGGGGGTGGCTCTTGTCGACATACACAGTTGCCCCAAGGCGGGGTGACCCACACTTCTCCACCTTACCGGCATGAGCTAATGCATCACAGGAACAATATAAACATGAGATGTGACAATGTTGCGGCGGGGAAAGGACAATACGGCTCGCGGTAGAGTACCAATGGTAGTGACAGACGTGTATATTCACTAATACAGGATAGAAATATATGCTAGTTTGGCAAACAAGTATTCGATCTCCTGCCGTGTACCCCGCTTTACTAGGCCTTCTCGAACTTGACGTCGGCTTGGAAAGACTGTGCCCGTGTCAGCAACTCGTACAACGCATTAAGTCGACAAGGTTCAACTCACAGTACCACCTGCTTGCGGTGAAACAGTCATCTTATAGCCAGAGCCTGACCAGGTGAATATCTCCGCCGGCTCCTTGGCCTGGTAGAACTGCCCAGATTTTTGGTCTGGCACAGACACCTCGTAGTAAGGCGAGGTACCCATATGCCAGGACTGGACGGGGATATGGATGTTCACCCCAAGATTAACACCACCTGGAGACCGCCAAACAACGAAGCCGTTCGCCTCGCCCATGCCAACATCCGGCACGAAGTAGTGCCATTGGAGACTCTGTTTTCCCATCATTCCGTGCGCGCCTTTGAGTGTCGTATCCGGCAACGTGGTCACACGGTCGGTCATATCGTCTTGCACGCCATACGATGCACGGGTCCAGTCTTCCCCGGTCAGGTTGGTAAACGTAAGAGAAAACTCTCCCTTTGACACGGAGAATAGGGTGACAGGGCCGCGACGCTCTTTGGGTTGCCGCAGGTGGCGTGAAAGGGTAGTCGCAGTCTGTTGTCTTTGTCAGTGTTCGCTTCGAGACGGAAGGTCATTCCAACGCTTCGCTGCGAAACATACCGCGACTGTCATAACCAGAAGTCCCAAGGCCTCCAAGAGGTCAGTCCCGCACGTCACCAGGATGTCCTCGAGGCAAGCCGCTCCTTCTTCGGCCGCGTTGACGAGGACAGTGTCACCCAGCATTAGCTCGACAGACTCCTCAATAGTGGCTTGGTAAATCAGCTCGGGTGTGTCAACGCCAATGTCCAGCAGGGTCTGCATTGCTTGTTCTAGATCGGTTCCATTCTGCATTGCTTGTGCAAATCGTTGCACAGCGGGCGGCGGAGGTGTGGGGAGTGGCAAGGGAGGGTCTCTAGGCCTTGCTGCAACCAATTTGGTAGGCACTCCTCCGCCTTTACCGTTCGAGAGAACTGAGGAAAGTGCTTCATTGGTAATGGTCGGAGCATCCCGCAGGAATTTCCAGTGCTTATCGGTATTCACTATCCCCCAATACCATTCGCCGTCCTGGTCATAGAGTGAAGTGGTAGTCATCTGTTGATGTTAGCATAAAGGCTCTCGACTCGTGTGAATATAAGCCAAACCTTGCTGTTTCCCAGATACTGTAATGCTACTGATTATGATGACCGGTACTGGTTGCCTTATGAAACTGTATCGGCATATATTAAAATGCTATCATCGAGCAAGTACTTATAGTTTCAAGAGTCTCGGTTTTAGGCATAAGTTTCTCTTCCGGGTTCGACTACTTACCAACATCTATCAGCCAGCCACTTTCGATCAGCTGCCTTCCAAACGTAGTTCCGATTAATTCTCTCAGTTAGGTCACGCATGCTTACAATGTCTTATTATCTCAGTTAGGCGCGATAGAGTGCTAGAGTGAGTTCCTGCCATAGTTTTTACTAGCTGCATACACAGCGATTGTAAGCGATTGTAGGGAGCGCCACTTACATCGGCGGTTCCGTGTGAGACATTCGTCTCAGCTGTCACCGGCAACCGCAGGCCTGAAGTCTTTGATGGACTATGCCTTAGTTTACGAGCTTGCGACGAGTGAGGGTCTAGGCCTTCATTCAAATTTGTTTTTCTGAGCGCTGGTGGTCATGGTACACTTGCCAAGAACAGATAACCATGAAAGGCGAGAAGCCACATATTACATGCTACAAACAATACAGTATTTTGCCAAGTAAAAACATACCCACAATACTTGGAACTAGGCGTTAAGGGGGGCTTGTTTGATTTGGTAGATTTCCTGGCAACTGCCCTCCAGTGCCGAGAGCTGAACATGTCATGCTCAATGCCAGTGTTGAACGAAATTCAGAAGTCGAAACTACGTAGAATGTGATGATTTCAAGCTGACTTCACTAAAAAGAAATTGATGATACGGTGCGCACCGCGAAATCATCCGGTTGAAATCAAGACGTGCTTCCGTAGGTTGCTAGGCCTTCCTCCAACGCCTTGATCTGCAATGCCAAAAGGAGTGAATAGTATCGCGACAGTGCCAAATTTCCGCCCATGAACCAGAACCCAGGATGGCCGCTTCGACGCCAGATCGTGCGGAACTCCCCTTCTTCGTCGAATCCCCACACGTCATTCAGACGGTCAGCAACGTTGTCGCCAAATATGATCCTGGCTTGCGTCCTCATGTTTTCATACCCGGTAGCAAAGATGATCTCATCAGCCTCGAGCTGAGAGCCATCAGTAAATTTTAACCCATGAGGCAGAACCTCTTCGACCTCTTGTCCTTGCTTGATCTTTATCTTCCCATCGATGATGAGCTGACTGCACCCAACGTCAATGTAGTAGCCACCGCCGCGCTGTAAATACTTGTAGAAAAGACCGGCGCCATTTGGCCCTTTGTCCACTCGGAAACCTACACTCTGGAGGCCCTCGAGGGTTTTGCGGTCGTTGTCGTTTTGCAGATCGCAGACCTGAATTTGCTGCCTCTTAGCCAACTCACTTGGCAAGCTCCACATCAAGACATCGGCATCATCAACTGGAACACTTCCTTCCGAATAGAGTCCCTTCAGAGCAATATCAGTAATCGACTCTGAAGATACAACGCATGTGCTGGAACGCTGGACCATCGTAGTGTGATAGCCGTGTTCATACAGGTCTTGAGCGATATCGTGCCCTGAGTTGCCTATCTAAAGTCAGTATAGTTGTCAATTACTTTCTCTCTGCGGATTGTGCTGTTCTTCCACATGAAGGTGGCTACTGGGATACAGTATAATTCAACCCAATCCCCGATGTATCCTTGGGAACTGCGCTTCGAGGTAATTTTGTGCTCAACACCGCGGATGATGGTTACTCACAACAGCCGACGACAATTGCATGTTTCCCATGAGAATCTGGTGTAGCACCAGGAAACTCAGAACTGTGGCACAAGCGGCCTTTGAAAGATTCGGCGCCCTTAATGGTTGGGAAATTCTTTTTTCCCGAATGTCCTGTCGCTTGGATAATATGACGTGGATGGAACGTGTGCGTTGCCTTTTCCCCATTACTTTGCCGCTCCAGGGTGACAGTCCACTGCCCTTTGCCCTCGTCCCAAGAAGATGAAACGAGCTCTGTCTGAGTCCAGACATTCAGCTCGAGTGTACTGACGTACGATTCAAACCATTCGGCTAGTTTATCTTTGGGAGTGAAGACGGGCCAGTAATCGGGGAATTTCATATAGGGGAGGTGATCGAACCAGACGGGGTCATGGAGGACAAGGCGTCTGTATCTGTTGCGCCAATTATCACCCACTCGCCCCTCGCGGTCGACAACCAATGTATTGACGCCAAGCATCTTCAGACGAGCAGCAACCGTGAGTCCGCCTTGTCCAGCGCCTGTTTGTGATTGTCAGATACTGCTACTATATTCGAGGAGTGGCTGGGGAAAGAGAACGGACCGATTACCAAGACTGTGGGCTCTTTTTCGTGGTAAGTCCGATCATCAGTCCTAGTTTCGTGCCAATTCTTGCCGTTGCGGCCGCCCTCATGGCCTGTCGGCCGTCGCGACCCTCGCGGTTCTTCATGTCCATCCAGTTTCTGCAAGGTTGTGAATAGAGTAAGTATTTTCCAGTCTTCATTCCTCTTTGTCAGCCTTAGCACTCCTTGCCCGGAGCCCACATCAGTGGTTACTTTGAGGAACGTAGTGACGCATTTGACGTGCCCGTAAACATCAACATTAGCGACTTGAGGCGATCGATGAGCCTCTGTTTCGTCAATATCGATATGCGGGGCTTTTGTCGCTGTTTCCAGAAAGCTTGAAATCCTATTCCGACCTTTCAGTGTGTGAAAGTCCCAGGAAAGGCACAGATGGTCCCGCCAGTAGGAATCATCAAGGAAGAGATCACCCAATGCCTTATAATCCTTCGACTTGATGATTTCGTTGAACTCCGCCACGATAGATCTGGCGACTGCTATGGCGTCTATCGATGCCGTATTGATTGTTGGTGGGTAATCGACAGCGACGATGTTGGTTGCGCCTACATCTTGCCGCTCGTCCGTCGGTGCATTGAAGCTTGCGACTGATACCGAACCCATTATATAAATGACAAATTCTATTTGACGGAAACTTAGGGGTCAGGTATTTTTCAACAGATAGTGATGATCCGGGTGAGTCCGAAAAGATATTTGATGCTGGGGGCTCTTTACGAGGTCTAGAATGGCACACTTGGCTTGCGTTCGTCAGAGTCAACAATGTTAACTTTCCTAGTGAGCTGTTGGGCTTCCTGGTGCCCGCCCGGATGACCGCAAAGAGGTCATCTTGCAGCGATCCACTTTCCCCGCACAATGGTGTTCCTTCGTGGGGAACAGCTGCATACTACTAGTAAGCAGTTGCATCACGAAGGTCGACCAGCCGGACAAGACGGACTTTACTCCGGTTGTGGGGCAGTCCTGCTATGCTGGTGGAAGGTTGATGGGAAACCAGCCCCGGAGCGTAAACCACTGACTCCAGCCAAGCGCTCCTAGCACCGTATCATCGGCCGTACCTCGCACGTGCGGAACGACCCACTGCTTATGAAACAGTTTGCAAGAAATGGCGACGAAGGGGATGATACGAGGGAATTTTAAATATACTCCAGATGAACGTCGAGAGGTGACCTGTGTTATCTAAACCCAGTTACTATGTTGTTGGGAATCCATACAATGAGCCTGGCATGACAGCACACCACTGCTGCACGGGCATACTAAGCAGGTCATTGGTTGTTCCCGTGAAATTTTAGCTCTCCAGAAACGTATATCAACCATGACAATGTTAGCAACTGATATGAAGGCTGGGTAAATTACGGCATGTGATGTAATAGGTAGACAAAAGCCAACCCGCGCCTTCTATGACGATGCATTGTAAAATTGCGGTACTTCCTCCACGAGAACCCAAAGACAGAGCCTTCAGCATTACGAATAGACATATTTGAATTAAATTTCGACTTGACAGGAACTGCCCACTGAAGATCTGTTCTTCACAGCTTAAGCGAGACCTGGAAAGTGTCAAGTCATTCTTACTACTGGCTACTGGACTTCAGTCTGTACAAAGCTACTTGGACTCGGATGATGGACGTCACAATCTGAGGTTTCAAGAAGTGAGATTAAGGTGTCGGAAGAGACTGGGATGCGATAGAGAAGGACTTCGTCTTAAACATCCACAAGGCCTCGAAGAGACGAGAGCCGCAAGACTACAACATCCACCAATTTACGACGGAGCAGTTCTAAGCCCTCAAGTCAACTGTTAACAATGTGGCGTATATATATATGTCCTCGAACTTTTCTACAAGGATTTAGACTGGCCCAAAGATCCGGCTGCTCTCACGCAACAGCTGAATATACTCTTGATCATTGCAAAAACCGGGTCGGCTAGGAGGACTATTGTTGGCGCTCTGCTCAAGAAGTACACCGGATTGAACATGTTGGTAGAGGCTGCCGCATCTCTTCGAAATGATGCCGACGGATCAGCCTGCCCGAGAACCGAGAATACTCAAAAAGGATACACGGACGTTCTACATGAGAATTGGAACGAGTTCAAGGTACCAGATATCAAGACTGGGTCGGCGCTATCGGACTGGCCGGATGACTATTATGGCTATCAGACTGTTAGGTACAAGACTGGACCGTACTGAAACATTTAATGGAGTGTGGAATTATCTAAGGGTATTCTGAGGCTAGGATTGCACGATCGTTTGGAAGGTTGGATCTTCGGGATGGAAAACTTAGCATATATAATTCCATTCAAAAAGCAGGCTCGAAATCGCCAACTTTAGTCAAAACGCCTGATAGCTGCTCTGTTTCCTTACTCGCGGAAATTAGGACGGCACGAAATATTCGACGTGAATGACTGCACCCAGGTTGTGGCCACGAGTGTCAAACGGACCTAGGCAAGCATTGTTAGGATAGCTTATGACATGCTAATATCGGCTAGAAATTTCAAACGATTCACTCTCCACGATTGGATGGGGGAGAGTCACGTGTGATGAAGGAAGAATCGAAACGCGATGTCCTTGACGGCGACTGGGCACGGCGTTTGTGTCGGATAGAAACATTATAATGCCGCCACTATGGACTCAACGGACATAGGTAGCAATTACTCTGGGAAGATACACAGGCAGCAACGCCTTTGAATCTGACTCGTCAGGTAATAGCGCTTCTCATGCGGGAACATTTTAGGGCGAGTGGTGAGCCGGTTGGTAGTCACGCAGTGGCTAGGCATGATTACGGGCTTCTGTGATATGAGATGCGCTGTTGGGTTTCAGGGTGCTATGCTAGGGCAAGGGATAGGTCACATTGTAACAAAGTCAAAGCTCCCTGTAATTGCAGAAGAGCCTGACCCGACCGCGTTCTCGCAAGGTTGCAACCTGGTCTGTCCAAGCTAAGCGATACAGCCGCTGCAAGTCCAGCCTTCAGCTTCAGAAGGGCACTTCATTGATCTAAGACCAGGGGTCTGGTTCTCGTCAAAGGACAAAGCAACAATAATGGCGATATCAGAAGGCCGATGTTCATGATGCATGTGTGAGGTTTCTCAGATATCGCCTGGGAGTACTCAACTAGTTTACGACCACAGGTAGTGATCTAGCGTCTACACCTACGACAAAGCAGAGCTCAAAATAGCCGAGTGTCGCTCTCAAGTAGATTTTCACAATCAAATTAACCTTGTTGGCCCGTGGTATACAATCAGCCTCTAACTTAACGCGTCAAGGTTTCCTCGACCGCGCTGACTAACAGCTTGAAAAATTGTCTGAGGTTGTAGCTTATCTATATGGAGTTATGCTTCTCTCAAAGATCAATGTCGGTGTCTGTAAACGTTTAAGTTTTCATAATCATGCCATGGTCAACATATTACAGCTCTCAACCCCGAGGAAACCGCCCGCCCTGGGCTAAAAGTCACAGGTAGGCAATAAACATACCGGCCTCGATGCGACTGGATATTGTGGAATATGTTTCGAAGAGACTGTTTTCGCTACACACTCCAGTCTTTTGCCTTCCATGTGACTGGGCGAGGCTCATCCTTGACCCACGGGTCCACAGCTGTAAGCATGGCTCACGATCGACCGGATACCCGAAGACCTGCGGGCTCGACCCCTTTTACCCACAGTAGTTTCATGCACTTCCCTAGCACTTCTCCAGCACGGCGTGGCAATCGCGGCATGACAGCTTGATAGCCTATTTGTTCATTACTCAGTATAAGGGTTTGCGGCCTTGAGAAGCTTTCACAGCAATGGGCCCATTATGTTGACTCCACCAGTGGTGGAAAGGCGGACACGAGAGCGCTCTCTCAGATGGAAGATTTTCAGGATTCCCTCGGCGCAAAGAACCTGGTGGCAATCTCTCAGCCGGGCCTGAATTGCTCCATACGTAGTGTTACATGAAGTCGATTTCCTTGTGGGGGGAGATCGCATCGCTTGGGAGACAGGCGAGGGTTCAACCCAGGACCTGGCAGCGCACAGTCACGCAACCAGGGAGCTGGCCGGTTGGCGTATCTAGGATCAACGTTTACCAGTCTGTGCGGATGTAAGGTCATCCATGTTACGGCAGGGAAATCCTTCATATCCGTATAGTGTTGTGCAATCTACATGATACATTGAATGCTAACCTGCCGGGCACGAAGGCACAACTTCATCACTAAGAAAATGGGTACAGCAGATTCTTCCTGTCAGTCTAGGCCCACAACAGCTGCCTCTGAGGCTGACTGACAGTATGTATGGGGTCACAAAAATCCCTATCGGGCAGGATTCGCCGGTCGGTAGCGAATTAGAATCGCGATCTGCCGCACAAGTCAACTGCCGCTGGTGCACAAATAGCTGAAACGGGCCCGTCGTGGACGAGTCTGCCAAAGCTGGGCCCTGCAGCCGCGCTGGCACACCTTCAGCCAGGACCGTCAGGGAGGGTTTCGAGACGATCCTGGAGACGGATCGGCTTTAACGCACCAGAGTGGGCCACCCGATTGGGCCGGTCCAAGCTGAACCGACACAGTAGACCCGATCTCCGGTCACGTGGATCCTGGTGCAGAAGGAGTGGAAGGGCCCAGTCAAGAGCTTCGGGAATAGGCGGGGGGAAGAATCGTTGGCTGTGCGCAAGCCACGATACTGGTCAGACATGGAGGAAGTTACCCATGGATAGAAGGCGAGTCAAAGCTAACTCGGACAGTTCTCCGAATGTCAGTAGGCAACTCGAGTCAAGCTCTGGTTTCCCCACAGCTTTCTGTGTACAACGTCGTGCGCGAATTGTCCGTGTGTCCAGACCGTGGCGCTCGTCCGCTATCGTTGGATTAGAATGTAACCAGTTCATCAGGCGTAATCGGTAAATGTGTAAGTGGTGACCGAACGAGATGGCTCCTTTTCAGTGATACGGTTGCTGCTGAACAGACCGCTTTGATATACGGCTTGATTACTACCACCATACAGTGAGTACAACAGTGATACTGCAAGCACGTATGTCTGCGCCCAAGGTTGGAATAGGCCGTAAAGTGAAGACCAGGCCGTCCGTTTTTGTAGCACTTGGCACAGTGCTAGGATAACTGATCTGCTGCGACTTTAAAGTGTTTCGAATTGTTCGTTGGTGGCATCCGAACAAACGTCAAACATGGAGGGTGGCTGGGGTTTTGCAAACCGGGGAGTGCGTTTTAATAACGGCTGTGATATTGACCCCCTCATGCAACACCATTGCCGTTTGCTGTAAGCTGGGTATGTCTCTGCAACGAGGGGATTGGTGAATAGTTCGCGTGGCCACCCTTGCTGGGATACTCCGCTAGTTAGTATCGCGACGATGAGGCATGTTCCATACCACGCAGGCCTGGGCCTTCTCTCCATAATAGTTAGAACGAATGACCGTTCCCGCACAAACCCCCCATTTTGGACCTACTGGTACTCGTCCAGGCGTTTGACGCATCGCCATATCAAGAACTGTTCTAAATTGCCAAGTATGTGTGTTACCGTGACTGATGACGGGTGTCTGGCGGCTAGGCACATTGGACTGCGGCTGTCAAGGATTGTGTATGCAAACGGGTGGGATCGCGTACGGAAGTTTTACAGCCTGCAGAGAGGCCTTCAGGGTCTGTTAGTTGATACACTCGTATTACGCACTGTGGCGTTATCTCCAGGAACAGGCCTCTTTCAGACAGCTCACGTATGATCACGACCCAATTATTGACTCGTAGATGCGAATATATGTCAACCATGGCCTCAGGCATCCTGACTTGAGCGATTTAGGTCGTCGGACAGTGGCCGTCACGACGCGGGCTATACCTTAGCTATCAGCTCAGCCCGTCAGCCCCTCGGCCCCTCAGATGCAATGCGAGATGCCGTCGCTCGTCCCGATCGACTAACTTATCTGACTTGGGTTGTCGCTTCGCGAAGGAATGGAGTCGTATGTCGATCTGGCTCAGCAAATTCAGCTCAAGTGTGATTGCGAGTCAAGCTGAATCTCCGCTAACGCAAGCTCCGGCAGCAAAAAAAGAACCAGTTGGATGGGTCATAGCGTGCAGGACGGGCAAAAGCACAGATGGTGATGAGCATTGCATCGAGGCACTAGCACTAGGCGTAGCCCTGTCCGTCCTTTGTTTGCAGCTGCAAGTCACCAAGTTAGATGAGCATGCGGCCCACGCTGCCAGTCGCTCGATCAGAAGAAAGCAAGCGCCTCGTGCAGCGAGTCCTAATGGCTCATGCGGGCCTCGTGTTGGATATGGCCGACTATTAAGTATCCGTACGCAGAAAAGAAATGATGAGGTCCATGGTTACTGGAGACATACATTTGGGTGGAAGCTGGCAAGCTGCCAGCTTCCGGCCAGCTTGCCAGGATCTTCTCCGAATCACATTCCAGGGCCCCACGCATAGAACGCCAAAGCGGCGTACATCAACCCTACCCCTCCATGCACCTCCCTCCATCAGCACCAAGCCAAGAGCGCACCCCTTTTCTGATCCCAGTCGTGGCCGACGCGATGTCGACGCTAGCCGGGGTTCCGTCTGGTGGCCAGGAACCTCGCCAGCTCGCGCCAGATTGATACATTTGGCGGACCACCGTAACACAGTTGCAATCATCATCTCCATGCCATCTGGTCGTCCATGACGCGATACTTGAGCATGACTGTGAACAATGGTGATTAATTAACTTACAATTGGAACCTATGATCAGGTGGCTACACATATAGTTAATCGGCAGGGCTCGACTGAGGGGCCCGAGTTTGTTGCCGAACCGCGGCCTTGGAAGTCGAGTCTCGGTGGATGGGGTCCTGAGACAAAGAACTGAAATCTGTTAACGAGCGAGAAGTCAAGACACTGATTGACTTTTTGCCTCTTTGGAGAATCATCCAAAGATAGGTCCTTCGTAGAGCTGGTCCCATCAAGGGCTCCTCCCGGCACTCTGAATCTGTAAGCGCAGCATGTTGATGAACCATGGCCTCGAACTTCGGACGGTCATGCGCTCCCGGACTTTGGGGTCACAGTCAGCATCGCAACTCTGTCAAGGCTATGCTGTCGCCTTGCGCGAGAGAAGACCTGGATCGCCAAATGCGGCATGTCAGCTGTTTCAAAACGTTCCCGAAGGCCAAAGTTTATCTCTCAACTCCCGCCTTAGCCTTGCTGACAAAACCTAAAAGCACAAGGCTAGAGGAATGGCCTCGCACCTCGAGGGCCATTCAACGTCCAACGTTGGGGGGCTTGGCCCGACGCTGCCGTTTCCTAGTCGAGGCATCGTGAAATCGTGAGAGGCACCGTGGGTGTCGTCGTGGAATCGTCGTACTCATCTCCCGGGAAAGTAAATTGCGCCCGCTCCAAGGTCTCCCACTCCAGCCAGCCCTTGCGCACCGTCCCATGTCTCGATTGGCTGTACCTGGAATGGTGGAGCGGCCAAAAAATTAACAGAACAGGGGGCAATACGCTAAGGGTTATCGTTCTCTGGAGAGCCCGTGGCGCGACCGGGCCTAGTGCCAGGTATCCGCGACTTCGACGTGCACTGGGGCATGGCGGGAGCGCCTGGAGCAGAGCGCTGAAACGCCACGGCCCCAGCGAGATCCCCCGCGTACAGGGTACTTGGTGCTGTTGCCCAGCCCCCTGTCCCTGGCCGCACCCCATGCAACAGTGCAGCGACAGTGCAGACCTCCCCCATGACCATCTACACCTCTTTTGTCTTGAAGCCTCCACTGGCCCTGGCCTTTATTTCCCGTCCCCTAGCTGCATAGGAGAGAGAAGAGAGGGCGCAAGAAGCGTGCGCAAGAGCTGCCCTGCATTGCTTGAGCAGTTTACCTGGCTTTCCTAGACGGGTGGGTGCTTCTCGGCCTGTCCCCCTTCCTTGGGCTAGCCAGTGATTAGTTAGTTAGTGAGCAGCACCCTTGACAGCCCCCAAGTTGGTAGCCCTTTTCTACTACGCCTGGTCCGCCTGCCTTTCCATATCTCGGTTTCTTTCCCTCTCCTCCCTTCCGAGCGTCCACCCGCACTCCCTTGGCCTCTGTTTCTCCTCCGCCTCGTGAAGCAGCTGCCAGCTGTCTCTTCGGTCTGTGACAAGATCGGTAGGACACACGCAAACGACTTCGGGCCTCCCAAAGTCGGAACGCGGCGCTCTCGGCTTCACGTCCTGGTTGGTGCTGTATACAGGCAAGACGTCAGCTCGAACCGAAAGCTAGCTTGGGCACCATTGCTTCAACCCAAACAGACTGGTACTGTCCAATTACCCGCGGCCGTCGACCCTGCCGCTTCCATTCGACGCTCGCTCGCCGTAGCTGTACCTACCACCTGGTGTGCTGAGAACCTGGCATAAAGCAACTTGGAGACGACGCAGGATTTAGACCCGAAAGCAAGCAACATGGCTCCGTCTCTCAACACGCACTCGTCGTTCACGCGTCCGCGCACGAGCGACCGAGATGCCCGACCTAGCACCCGTGATCAGAACGACACGAGCTTGATCATCCCGAGCAGGACCTCTTCCTTACACTCGCGTATTACTCAACCAATCCCGTCCCAGCTCAACTCCAAACCCCAGCAGAGGACCCCCAAGACGCTGACCCATGCCTACATGGTATGCGGTGTTGGACGGGAGCCTTCGCAGTGGGTGAAGGCTCCTGCTCCCGCCCAAGGAAAGATTGGTCACATGAAGGGTGCCGTCGGCCAGTTCTGGCTCCCTGAGATCCTTGGAAGCAGCCCCAGACTCGAGCAGGACAACGAGGTTGCTCGTTCTCTGCACGCCGCCATGAGAGTATGTTGGACGCCGCTATCAACTTTTCAATGGCCATCCGCTGACAACCACAGGCTTGTTTCCCTCATGACGTTGAGATCTGCACCGGCCGCAGCCAGCCACACTGCGTCCACCATGCATTTGTCCTGCAACAAGACTCGTCGCACACCTTGTACGGTATCTGTCTGCGAGTCTGGTCCCGCGCAGATGAGAAGAGGGCAGAGACCATCCGTGACCTGAGAAAGCGCACGGAGCCCGACTTCTACGACAATGCCGACGAGACCTACTGGATTCCTTACTGTCTGTCTTTCCTTTCTAGATACCCCCTTTACAACCTGCTGGGCGATTACCTCCGCGGCATGTGGATTCACTGGAACAAGGCCACCAACTTGTTCCACGCCGAGGAGGTTTCGAGAATTCTGAGCTTCCCAGCTCCCCGACTGAACGACCTGGTTCGAATCGACATGAAGGACTACGCGCTATGCTACCAGTTCCCTTCCTCCCCGACGGGATTCCAGAATTTCGCCATGTGGCCGCTGTGGGCTTGTCTGTCGATCCCCAATATTGTGGGCGTTGTTGAGGCTGCTATTTCGCCTACTAGACGAATAATCTTTGTCAGTCATTACCCGGCTATGCTTACCATGGCGGCCGAAACTGTCCGCTTCTGCGTCAGAGTCTACGAGTGGAGTGGTCTTTACGTCCCCGTCGTCCACGCCCGCCACGCTACCGAGTTGGTTCAGGAGCCTGGTCCCTATATTTTAGGTATTACCGCGGAATGCAGATCTCTCTTCACCGCCCCCACTGATGCGCTGGTGGTCGATTTGGATCGCAACTTTGTTCTCACCTCGAGCCCTCCCACGGCCTTGACTCCCGGTCAGCGCAATAAGTTTGTGACTCGCCTGACTCAAGCGCTGAACGGTGATGTTGCTCCTTCGGGTGTCCCTGCCCACCTACGCTCCGCTTACGGTGGTGGTAAGCTGGTTCCGGCCGGCCAGATCATCGTCATGCGTGGAGAAGTAGAGTCGATCCAGGAGCCCGCATGGTGGAACCAGGATTCCGTTATGGCTGTGATGGATCATGTCTGTGAGAAGATGGGTCGCAACACTGGGTTGAAGGCGGTCTTCGGCGGATCGGTGAAGAAGCCATTGATGACCAAGGTCTCGATGAGACATCTTAACGAGATCGTCCGAGAGCGCAACCAGTACTCCCGTGATGCCCAGGAAGCTTGGCAGGACTTCATCAACCTCAAGGGGCGCATGGACACCGAGCTCGCCAAGGTTACCAAGAGAAACAACTACCTTGTCGAGGAATTGGAGAGCTGGAAGACACAGTTCCTCAAGTTCCAGGCCTTTGCTGAGCAGCTCACCAAGGAGACACAAGACCTCAAGGTCAAGATTGAGAACCACAAGCGCGAGAACCGCCGCCTTGGAACGCTTATCGACCAGCAGAAGGATGACAACGCCAGACTGTCCGTACGTCTGGCTGGTACCGAGAAGCAGAGAGACGATGCTCTGGAAGCTCTTGTTCTGCAGCAGGAAATTGCCGAGGAGCTCGAGCGCGAGCGCAAGCGAAACAAGAAAGAGCTCGCTGCCCTTCAGCACACCAACAGCACCATTACACGACAGCGCGACGAGGCTCGCCGCGTTGTTCTTCACTTGCGCAGTTTGATTGGTGGACAATCGCACCACATGGAGCACCTGGTCCAGTCTCTCACCAAGCCTGAGGAGCTCACTGGCGAGATCCAGGCCGGTTTCGATGAGACCACCGACGATGCCCAGGGTAAGTCTACGAATGTTCAAATCAATGAGCCCTCACTGACTAGTACAGCTGCTGCCGATGAGCGCCTTGGACAGACCCTCACCCGTGCCCATAAGGCCAACCAGCGCATGAGCTTCATGGACGTGTCCGACCGCCACCTGAAGGACAAGACCGATGCCATCGCTCACATTATTCGCAACATCTCGGAGCAGTGCCAGGCTGCTGTTGAGAGCCTCCAGCTTGCTCAGGATGGCGAACTCGAGTCTCGCGCCAACTCGCGCCGTGCAAGCAACCTTTCTGTTGGCCCTAGCGATGACGGCCACGACAACTCGACCACAGCTTCGGATGCCGGTGACGACAGCATGCTGCACCCCTCGGGTCGTATCTCAAGCATCCCTCCCACTCCGGATTTGATCCCCAACAGGAGCAGCACCTCGATGTCTATTGCTTCGACAATGACTACTCCAGAGCGCTCAAGCCAGCAATATATGACTCACAGCGATATCCCCACCAAGATCGTTGAGGATGATGAGGAGAGCTTGGCCGGTGAGAACGAGCCCGTCTCTCACGAGCCTGGCTTGGTGGGCAAGCACGCCGCGAGCCTGATCCACCGTCCGTCTGGTGCTAGAATCAGTGCCCTTGGTGGTACCCGATAAGGAGCAATCTATATCTTGCACCTAGGGTGCGTGTAAGAGCTTGGGCTATTCTCAGCGCCACGATTTACGGAGACAGACTCGACGTTTCGACAATTCATGTGCATACCCCTTTTATTATACCTTCTGCTTCGCCTTGATCTCGGTCGATCAGTCCAGCACGCGGCGTTCTTCGGACCATTGGATGATTTATGCTTTTATTTTACTTGCTCACCTTTTTTCGAGCGTCATTGGGCCCAGGCTACGGGCACTAATTCCCTTTACTACCAAACTACCACATTTCTCTCCGGGGGGGAACAGTCAGAAAAAAGGGGCGGGTCGCTAGGACAGTCTCACCGCGTTTGTCGTATTTCGAGTGGGACTTGAGGTCCTGCCGCTGTTTGTGGTGGTCAAGACGTGGACCGAGGAAACACATCCTCGTGGATCTCTTTTGTCGACAGTTGCACGACTCAGCGCTGTCTGTATCTGTGATGCCTTTTAGTTAGTTCTAGTTGCTATCTTGACCCTGACCGTATACGGCAAAATAAGAGAACAGCTTTATACAAAGGCAATCTGAAGTCGTTTGATTTGTGACATGTAACACTAAAATCGTGACAAAGATGTCGAAGGGGCCGTTGCTTACTGAGATCCTTCAAGGTCCGCCAGCCATGCCTTCACTGCCACAGTCTGGCACGTTACAGTCGATAGAAGCACGAGGCTGTAATTGGCTTGTGGAACTAGGAGCTATATGGCATTGCAAGTAGTACTTGTCTCTAATTTGAGACATGCATATAGGTACCTGGGTAAGTGCACTCACGACCAAAGCGAGCCTCTTTGACGTCGATTTCGCGAGAAGCCTACTTGCACAAGACGTTGGCTCCCTATGCTACTAGTTCCACGCGCCTGACATACCGAGCGAGCGCTCGAGGCAGATGTGAAGTCGTAGGTTAGGGATCCATGCTCATGAGCTGCCAATATAGCAGCCTACTCGACTTCCCGGTACGCCGGCACAGCGTTCTTGTCTGTTGTATCCTCCTAGGCACTCAAGTCGGAGATTTTCTTATCTTTACTATATATATGTAATATTACATTCATTCAAGTCAAGCTCAGGTGACCATGATGCATGGTACGCTCGGTTTCCCGTGTGCGCGTACCTACATTTCGATTTTGGCTGAGACAAGCTTCGATTATCACGATGCGCACTTCCCACCCTTTTCTAGTTAGAGATGTGTTTCCATGGCAGAATGGCAGCATGATATATCACGGACATGCGGGGCATCGGATCACGTAAAGCGCGGGTAGACCCTCAGTCCATTCAGCGATCACTGAGATTGAGGACTGCTATAGGCAGATGCCCGCCCACGAGGGCTCGGGATCGAGGAGCGCCTGGCCATGGCTCAATGGTTGCTTAACGACACGGGCGAGACACTAGCAAGCTGCTTCTTCTATTGCTGATTGCAACGGTGTTACAGGGCCGCGCTATGTCACACCATAACGGGGGTTTCCCGAGAGAAGAGAAATCTATTGATGGCCGTATATATCATAATCCCTCGCTTCAATGCCCCTTCAGCGTCGTCCACCGTCATTACTCGAGCGATTCTCCACCGACACACGACGCATCTTCAATTGGTATCAAAATAGAATGAAAAAAGGATGTACGAACAGCAATTTTTTTCTTACAGGAAGAAACAAGCCCAATCAAACTCCTCAACGGTGTCCCCATCAAGTCATCTATTGGGTAATGTCGTTGCCGGCCTCCTTGGCCTTCTCCTTGCTGCTTCTCAGGAAGTCGCCGATCCAGGTGAGGGCCTCGGACGTGATGACCAGGCCGGTCGAGATGATGGCCTTGCCGTACGTCACGACGCCGTCGCCGCCGACCTTCTTAAATTCGGAGTTGTAGACGCTGAAGACGTGGTCGGTGCCCTCCTTGGTCTTGACGACGGGGAAGAAGGCGATCTGCTTGAGCTCCTCGGTCGAGGTCGAGAGCACGGGGATCTTCTCGTCCAGCTTGGTCAGGGCGCCGGCCCCGAAGTGGTCGGCCTTCTTGACGTAGGGCGAGACGTATCCGTAGGGCTTGGCCAGGTACGGGATGACGGGCTTGGCAAAGGTCTGGTAGGCAGAGTCGCCCAGCTCTATCGACTTCTTGCCGTAGGGGTTGTTCTTATAGGCAGACAGGGTGTCTTTGACGACAGGGTAGCCAGTAATGTGCTATGAGTGCGGTATTAGCCAACTGACGCAGTACAAATGACGGCCATATGCGCGATAAGCCCGAGGTAGCACCGCCGGTTCTGGTGGTGGGTGCGCTTGGGGTTTATCGGCGTATTAGTAAGGGGTGGTGCTTACTTGAAGTGTCGCCGACGATGGCTGCACCTCTCCGTTGACCTGGGAAGCCATGCTGCAAGAAAGCGCGTGGGTGGATGGATGGGTGAGTGGATGTGCGGCAGCTTGGTGCGAGCTATCCGAGCTGTGGCATGTCAGTTCAGATGTTGGCTGATAAGAGATCGCTCGACCCCAAGTCGCAATATAGATAGACGATTGACACGGATGGAGTTGGCACTTACGAGAGCAACAATTGTGGGCACGGCAGCTGCGGGTTGCGGCAATTCCGACTCGGATTGAGATGAGAACTGACAGGAGGTGAAGCTGATGGGTGAGTGGTGTTGGAAGAGGAGGGAGTGGCAGGTAAAGTTGAGAGCCAAAGAAAAAAAAAGTAGGTGTAGGCAAAAGGTCGTCTGGGGACGGGAAAGTACTTTTAAGGTGGACGACGGGCGGACAGTCACGACATCTGGCAGGCATGCGGGAGGGAAAACGCATAGACGGCATAGACGGCAGAGCACATGCACTCACTCATCAGTCACACACTTATCAGACCCCCGAGCATGATTCCTGTTACATACATACATACATACACATACATCCATCCATCCAATCCAATCCGCACGGCAATCGAGGTACACTCACACCATGGACCGGCAAGGGGCCCAGAAGCCAGTGGAGGACCCAAGAACCGATCCCATCCGGGTTGACGCCACGCCACATCATGGGCCCGGCAAGCTCCCACCGCGCGAACGAAACAACCAACGCTCCTCGCAGATTGGCATGTGCGTGGGCGTGTGCGCGGTGCGCGGTCGCAGTGCGTGGTGCGTGGCACGTTGTGTGTTCCTGGTCCCTCTGGTCCCTCTGGCCTCTCTGGTGGATCGGCCGGTCGGTCCATGTTGCATATCCGGCTGAGTCGGGTGTGTGGTCGGGTCTCCCAAATCTGGGCTGGGTACAAAGTTCACTGCCTGGGGAGCGCAAGCTATCCTTCCATCTAGCTCTCTGTACCTAAGCTGCTGTGTACAGGGTTTGGGGAAAGCTATGCCACCAAGCTTGCCCTGACGTAACCAATCTGGAAAGCTCCTCGATCTCTCTCAGCTTGCGTAGACAGCACCCGTCACCCAGTCCATGCCTGCGAATGAACAGATAGGTACCTAGAAAGGTATGTACCTAGATGTGTCCTCCCACCACCATGCGCGCATTGTACAGCACTTTACTCCTTGCGCGACAAAGCTTGGAAAGTGTCCCATCGATTGTCGCAATTCCCAAGCTTGCCCGAGAGCATTCCAGACCACGACCCAAGCTCCAATGAGATGGCGTCCCAGGCCCCCCTGGCTGCCATGCGTTGGTGGGTCATGGCGGCCTTGGGTGGGCGTTGGTGGGGTGCTCAGTGGCTCTAGCAGCTCTAGCAAGGACGGGATAGGGAATCCGGTGGGCTCTGTTCGATGCAGCTGCAAGCTCTAGTTGGCCTCTGCAGCCCCCCAGAGGTGCGACAGCCTTTTGGCATGTGAAAGCCTATAACTGAGTCTCGGAGCTTTTCTCTGCAACCCTGCGTCATATCATTCTCTTATCTGCATTTTCCTTTCGCAGCTTTGGACTGCCTGTCGCATGTCGCCAGCCGCACTTCACCTTGCGACTGATCCAGCTCTGACCTACCGCCACCAGAGACCCGTATGTTTCTTTTCACCTTGGGTAACTAGTCTGCATATGATCGATCTGCTGTCCGTGGGAGGCTGGCTTGCGCCGGCGGAAAGCCTAAAATACCCACCTACTGTACCTAGCCTTTGGTGAACTCCTATCGCGTCCGGTGTCGTTCCTCGCGCCAGGGTTGTACTGTGCCTGCTGTCCTTATCTCTGTGCTGCCTTTATTTAGCTACGCTTTATCAGCATGCATCAACCGGAACACCATCCTGAAGCCCCTAGAGCGCATTAAAGGTGGATCACCATCCGTGTCTACCTGCCTGCAGGCCCAGTCGCTTCCGTCGACTCCTAAACTCCGCGCGTATTCGCCGACGGATATTGCAGCGAATGACAGCAAACCCGTAGCCACACCGACCCAAGTACAGCAGCTCCCTATCTAGATTACTTTCGCTCACCGGTGCCACATCTTGCGCACCAGCAGCAACGTCATACACCCTCAACTGGCTCGAAGCATGCTGGTGTCTACTAGTAAGAGTGTCTGATTGAAGGACCTACTATCACGTCGGGCGGCCGACAGCCAGGCGCCATCCGATGTAAAGCATTTAGCCTTAACCACGACAAGGTAATTTTGGATTACTAATAAAAAAGATTGGATGACTACTTGTAGTGGCTCCTCTCCCTCATGTTCCATTACGCGGCTCTTGGTATTCCCATCACCTCGGCTTAAGCGTACGAAATCGCCATGGTGTTGTGCCGTCGCCACCCTCAGCTGCCGAGACAAATTTGGAGATGCCTAGGTTTCTGCAGACATCTGAGCAAGCATTCTTATATGAGGCTCCTCAGCAAACCGAATGATTGGCAGGGGTTTTGGCGCGGAGATTTCCATTTTCCTCCTGTTCAGGCATGACATCGACCCACTCGTCGACGATGTCGATCGCCTCAGGGCTTGATGGAACACAAAGGGTCCCATTTTCGCCCCCCCTGCCTCTGGTCTTTTCCCACTAACGCCGGCCGCTTTACAGGGGCACAGCCCGCTAAACTTTCACATGTCAGCGAGAATGCAAGCGAAAGTTTTCCTTGTGTCATCAGTCCGCAGCTCGGCGTGAGCTCATCACCGTTCGATGCAGAACTCGCCAGAGCAGTGCCACAGAGGGAGGCGATCTGAAATGAGCAACTGGACAACGTCCTCGTCTCGAAGCCCGAAGCTGCGAAGATGGACTGTAACCGTGAACATACCAGTTAGGTCGCGCTATCCCAAGGCAGAATAGGTGCATGACAAGGCCGATGCTTTGCATATGTTGGGAATCGCCCGTTTACGCAGCACGCTCCTCAACATGCACCTTTGAGGCGGCTTTCTTGGCCAGTTGCCACCCAATCGTTTTGTTTTGTGTTCGATGCATCGAGATCCGGCGGCATTTAATCTCTGAGATTCGAGAATACCCATAGACGGGATACTTCTGTTATGGTTGATGTCTTGATCTCTAACGTATCTAAAGAAAGCGAAAGCCAACGTCGGCCGGATGCTAAAGATTGAGAGCCAATTCCCGAATCGATTAGAGAACTAGGAATAGGGTCCATCAGGTATAACCTTCCAAAGCTACTAGACCGAGGGATTGCAACCACGAGCGGCGCAGTATGGAGTGCCTGAGCTGCGAGTTGGCTTTAATATGCAAGTATAGGATCTGTAATGTGGATGGCCAATCATAGAGCCCTTGGACTGCTGTTGACACCGCTTGATGGGGAGATATGAGGACGTCAAAATGAACCTTAATCGATCGTTCATGTGAGGTATAGAACATGCTCTCGGAGAGCGAATTCCCCCTTCTGGCCTTGAAGGGTATGGAACTGGTAACATCCCAGATTTAGCCTGTCAAATATATGTTTCACGATATCCCTGAAGTAGTCATATACAGGAATTGCTTATGATTTGGTTTATGAGTTATCCTCCCTGGCCTCGCATTCTATATACTCGCTCTGCTCCTCTATGAATATGCATGAACCGGATCACGTTCCAGCGAGTAAGGAAGTTGTTATGACTGGCTGTACTCGGTCTTGCATGTTTCTTCGTTGGCAGAACGGAAGCAATTCACTACTTGCGTTGTAATCCTTTCCGATTAGAACAGCTACTCATTATATTCACAATATGGGGTTGGAAGAGAATGATCGAACAAAACATTTTTAAACCTAGGCGGCGGCTACTATAAGCAGAGCCATAAGACATATAAGGTGATATTTTGGTACGTCCGCCGTCACAGAAACGTCAATTCACCAGTATCGTGGGCTGCCATATGTGGAAGCCGAGTATTGGCTTAAAGCTATACGAAGAGTTATGTGATCGTGAGCACATGCTCCCTTTGTGTAGGTCAACTCTCAGCTGGGTTCTTGTAGCCCCCTCAGAGGTTGAGCATGCTCAAGACTCTGAGCTTGTGGTGCTGGCCTCGAGGAGGGTGTCACGGCAGTGCATTAGGTTTACAGAAGGTCCGGTAAGACACCGAACAGTGTCCGCTATATAATCCCCATCTTGTCCCTCTTCCTTGAAAGGGGACAAGATTCAGTCTCTTGATGAATTGAACCATACGTTTGGACTTCTGACCATACCTAACCTCACAATCCCTTTGACATAGCGTATACTAACGTGAATCCACGCAAGACCCTGTATTCCGACGGCTCATCACCATTCCATCGCTAGTTGCACAAAATGGACTATCTGTTTCTCCGTCCTTGGATCGTCATTCTGATGTGGAAACAAGCAAGTTTCTAATGCAAACGAAATTGGGCTGAACCATCTATGGACTTGGGAAATCTCAGTCATTTGAGCAGGGGATAAATGAATCGACTGGCAGAGCGCCTGTTTGCCTCGGAAAGGAAAATGGCGGTTGATAGTCCGGTCAGCACTTGCCACACATAATCTTTCCTCCTTGGCTCACCAAAAGGATCTCAATTATTGGTGTCCTAGCCCAGAAGGTTGAATGATCTTGTATGTGTGGTCTCAAAAAAGGTTGCCGAAGTGCCTATGGCTCTTATATCTATATCGTCATGTTATATTCCTGTCACAATGATGCATTAAGTTTATAGGAGGTCCGGTGAGGCACCGCCTAGAGTCCGATATATATTCCCCCTCTTGTCCCCTTCTATATAAGAGAGGCAGGATTCGGCCGCAATACAGACCGGACCACATACTTGACCTTTGACAGAAAACTCAATTTCGTGAGGCTACTTATTGCACGTGAGATACTCACGCTACGTGTATCCATTATGGCTAGTGAGAACTGCAGTTTCTAGACTTGCAGAGTCAATATCTGAGGGGCACGCACCTCGCCTATTCAAACTGACATGAAATGCGGGAGACGACAAATGAGGTAAATTCCTTAGGCACGATTTACTATGGCCGACGCTGATTTCAAGGGTAAACGCGTAACTCGAATGCAAGATAAGGTTTTCGTCAAGTGTATTTGATAGAAGTGCACGATTGTGTACCAATAGCTCTACGATGCTTGCAGCGAGAGATTAGAAACAGTCCTTATCGTAGATTAGACTAGACACATGCAAGCCCCTTAAGGCTAATTCTCGCTCTCAAGCTAGCTTCTACCAACCAATTTCTACCACTACAGTCCCGCATCATCTACGGCCTACTTTTTACACAGCACTTGCCAACGGCGATTTCTTCCCAAACTTATACAACAAGCCAGCCAGGTTTCATAGATTGTGATTCTTCATGATTCCAGCGCCGTTCGAAGGGGCGTCATCTACAGTGGCGTCCGCATGTCACGCCGCCACAGGACTCCATTGAACTGCACATTCTCCCGAGGCTGAAGAGACCGAAGATATTCGGAAGCCGTCTAGCCAGCCTGCGTGTAAATTTTAAGCTTTTGAGTAATTGGCAAGAAGGGCTGAGCTGTAAACTCAGTAGCTCGAACAGCTTTAAGAGTTCGAATCTCTTGTCTCCTAAGTCTCTATAGCTCAATGGTAGAGCTTGATACTGTTAATATCATGATAGATGTTCGATTCATCTTAGGGGCGTCTAAGATGAAATAATCAGAGGGATATTAGCATAATGGTAATGCATATGACTTTTAATCATTCTTATATAAGTTCAAATCTTGTATATCCTAAATAAATAAAATTGAATTTAGAAAGATTGTACCATAAAATTGTTATAAAAATTAGTTAAATTTACTTTAAAAATAATACACTAATAATATATTATTTACTTAAATCTTAAATGTGCAACGCTCCAGGGTTGTCAAGCGTGCGACGTGCGTGAACCAGAGATCCAGGCCTCTCTTTGGACCCGCGCTATTACCCGATGAGAACCACCGACTCTGATTGGTTGGGAATCCTCCGGACTTTGAGTCTCTTGTTCATTGGCCAATGACCTGGTTATTAGTGGCTGACAGAGTTGGGCCCATGACACACCTTATGGAAGTTCGACAACGGACCTCCAAGGCGAGATGGACGGTACGGTGCCAATGCATAATCCATTGTTCTATGCTGGGCAAAAGCTCGCACTCTCGAGTAGCATCGTCTGAGAGTCTTGCGTGATCACAGCCAGTGAAGAAATGCACACTGAGTCAATCTAGAAAACATCATTTCCACTTCGCGATCAACTAGAGAATAGAGTACGAGGAAACAAGAGCATTTTGCACTGTAAATAACCATTCACAAGACGAACAATAAGGCTGAGCTCCCCGTTCCGTGGGCCCAGGGCAGTCCAGAACCCGACTCCACCGTGTGTCTCACTCGGCCCAAAGCTATCCCCTTATATGTGGGGGAGCAGAGACAGGGCATGGAAGGGCTTGCCGCAATGAACCAATGGTTCCTGAGACCTGTCCTCGGAGGCCTTCGCCGTCCCAAGTCTTTCGAATGATTGGCTCCCAAAGCAGTGCACTCGTGGTCCAATGGTGGCACATCCTTCTCGCCCTCGGGGCGAGCCCCGTGGAACCCTGAGAGTTCGTCATCTCCCCAGCGCCCCTGCCTTGATCAATCTCGGGCTTAAGAGCTACGATTGTACTGTGCAACTCCATGGGAACTCGTACAGCCAACACCACAACTTTATCAGCCACAACAATCTCACCCTTCACCTAGCCGACGAGCCTGCTGTTAGAAAAATCTTGTTCCATCATACGAGCAGTCGCAACTCGTTGCCCTTAACCTTTGGGCTTCATATCCAGTCCGAATATTCCCCGACCTATGAACACCATGCTCTCCATGAATCAATCCCAGTTCGGAGGCATGGGTGACATCGATCCCATGTTTGACCAACCTTTCATGTCTCAGTCCGGCAATTACGCGCATATGGATGATCCTCACGACTTCCTTTTCACGGACCCTTTGAGTGTCGACCTGGACTCTGGCTCAGCCCTGAGCAGTCCAACAGATGTGAGCTCTTAGATTCCTGGTTTTCCGACTCATGTTTTCTTCGGTTGGACACATCTCCTTGTACCTGGCCTTGCGAGGCCGCTGGGGGTACAGAGGCTAACATCATCGTCCAGATCACCCCATCTAACAATCGCATCGCTCAGAGTGTCGACTCTGAGAATAAACACCAACCATTCAAGCAGCCTCCCGTTGAGTCCCGACACCACAACCGTCGGAGTCCACGGTCAATCTCAGTTGAGAGCCAAATTATGCAGCCTAAGGCCAGCAATTTTGATCTTTCAAATGTCTCGACACTACCTCGTGGTATCGAGGAAAAACATTCCCCAGGCACCCATGGCTGTGATTTCGACTTGGCAGAGTCTCGACATGTCAAAGCGCGTCGGACAAGCAGAAAGGGCAGCATCGTCATCGCCAACACTATGGTTTCGCCCGTGTCTATGCAATCAGAGGCTAGTGACGAGACCAAGAATAACTCTACGGAGCCGTCTGAGCCGCCCGCTGGCCATACCACCAAACACGATATCCACCGCGAGAAGAACCGTATAGCCGCCGGCCGATGCCGAGAGAAGTCCAAGAAGCAGGTCGACGAGCTGAGAACGCGTGAGAGGGAGCTGTCGGTCCAGAAGGCCTGCTTGTCTACATCTGTCGCCGAGCTCAAGGACGAGGTGCTCGCCCTCAAATACGAAATCCTAAGACATGGCAACTGCGAATGTCCCTACATCCAACGATATCTTTCACAAGCCGCAGAATCCATATGATGGCATATGGGTCATGCCTTCGAATCAGCCTTATGGCGAATCGATTTGTTCCGAACCGAAGTTACCTCGAAATTCCATGGCATTCCGTGGCACCCAAGATCGCGAACCTCCGGAACAACCCTCCTAGGGTGCCCGAGGCGTTCTCGATTATATTACGATGTGGTGACGCACTTGCGTCTGATTGTACAGTTTCATTTGGAATTAGGGGTTGTAATTCCATCCCAGGCTTATGATACCCCGAATAATGATGATCTTGACGCTCTTTACTTCAGTTTGCGAGTTGGTATGACAGAAATGTTTTCTGATTCTCACATTAAAGGCTCGAGCCTTAGCTCCTCATACATGCGGTGATATCTACTTCTCCAGTTCCTATTGCATAATCTGGTATAGGCTCTGTCGCATACATGATGTGAGAAGCGCGACACGGTATATCACTACACGATGCGTTTGGAGTTTTACACTTTCTCGGTAGCAACGCCATCTCTAGGTTCTTCTGAAACGTACAATGGCCAACATTGATTGAAGATAAATTTTTGACAGATATTCTCAACTTGCTCATACTCTTCGTTACCAATTGCCATTTGGCAAAATGAAAGGCAGCTAAATGCACTGCGTTCTCTAGAGCGGCTAGGGAGTAGTCCAGAGCATGATCTCACTGACCGAGTTAACATCCATCATCATCATCAATCGTCTGGCTCATGAAGCTTACCACTACTTGATCGATTCGTGATCCATAAACCTGAGCAATTAACGACTACGATTTCATGCCATGATATCACTTTTGGACCACTCACGACTTTCACTCAAAATGAAACCATCTTTGAGCTTGGGCTCAGATCGACAGGGTGAACTAGGCTCCTAAGAGCTATGAGCAAGGCCTGGACCACTATTTTCAGGGCAGTGCCCATCATGTGCGGCCGCAATACCTTGCACCTTGCACCGCATTATGCGAACCAAAGGACCACTAAACGCGGCTTCTGTTCCGAGACCCCGCTTACAACAGCCAGGATTGTATGGTAACGATTTGTGAAAGTACGTCATGTGCAAATCCGCCTAGGAACTCGCAAGGTACTGACGTGACTCTGCATCCGAGCATTTCGCCTACCACCACATTGACTCGCCTGAGGGTATCCAAACACGCGCCATCACCTTGAAAGAAGCCGTACACAAGCCATTCTTGTCTTATTGTTGACGGTCAGATGAATCAGTTCACGCATCGTAATAGATTCTTTAGCCACCAACTGCGACATTACAGTCGTCGAAGGTCTGTAGTCGGACGTTCTACTTCACCCAGGGAAGAGAGTGCCGCGAAAGGTCGTATGGCTTGGATCACTTCCTATGGGCCATCTTGATTACTGATACAGAGGTACTGTAGAGATCTTAACTAACATAGGGCCTTGAAAACAGGGAACTCTTTAGCCGCTACGCCCGAATCATGTGGCCTTACACGAGTGGGCACATAACTCCTAAGCCCCATTCCACTCACTAGTTACGGTTCGGCGCGAATGCAATGGCTTCAGAATTGATCTGTAACCCGCACGCGAAAGTCAACGGCCAAGTCTCTCGCCGCAACTTTCGCCAGGCCGAAGAAATTCGATCGCGGGGTTTATGGACCCTTGAACTTGAGCATTGATGTGACCCAGTTTGGTGATGACTCTCGAGTCGGGGTTACGTGATCGCTCTTCGAACGCAGTAGCTGTGTGTACCAAGAATTCGACGAGAAAGAGTACAGTCTGCTCTATGAATTTTCCTATCAACGCTCACTCATCATTGGCTGTAATGCCATTGTATCTCCGACTCTACTCGAGAGAGACAGACATCTTCGTGGGTCTTCTTACTGATGGGCTTGATTTTCGTTTCAAGCTGTTGCAGCTTACTGGTCGTGTTTCTCGGCGGTGCACGTTAGCAGGCTCAGTGAGTCTACCCGATTGAGCAATTGAGCTCCGTTATTGACGTTCCAGTAAGTGAATGCGAATAGTCAGATCATATGATCCGCTTATCGTGTACAAGCAGATTTATATGTATCTACATGGCTCAAGTGCATGACTCCAGAAGGTTATACGATTATAGTATATATGTATGAAAATACTCATCACTGGCGCGTGAAGCTGGAATCTGCGATGTGAAGCTCACCCGTTACAAGCGTGGAGAGACCACACATCGCTCTGAAGCTTCCAACCATCCAGTTTGCGCAAGACAGTCCTCTTGAAATAACTGACTGCGAGCCTGCATCAAGTTGTCAGCCGATCACAAGGGCGTAGTTCAGACCTCTCATGCTACAGTGCCATCCCCTCTGTGTAACCGATATGACTCGGGGAACAGGAACAGGTTAAAGGCCTCACACCTGCGTTACTGCGACTTGTATAGACATAGACGAAACACGCTTTGCTAATAGGCACATAGACTATCGCATAGCTTCTGTTCTTGCGGCACAATCTCCGGATTGGAAGTTTGGCGGAACACAGCATTCATTACGGAACTGACGTCGCAGTCAAAGGCTTGGAGATGTGGCATCGAAGTGCCAGCCAACAAGCAGAAAAGCAGACGCAAGGGTGAGAACAGGTGACAGCCACAGCAAAGTCAGTCGAGGGACATAACTCGTCACAAGTGTAGACGGTTGGGTAAAGTCTTGGCGTCAGTTGGGCGAGCCCCACTCATGTCCTTAGGTCAGCCACGGCCCACCGCCTCTTGTCTCTCGTGGTGCGTGGGTGCGTGGGACGTGGGACTGTTGACATGGCAACCAGAGATAAACACCAGTTTTGCGACGGCCCCATCAATGACGGGGTGGTGATCTCCAAATTACCTATCAGGCATACCCAATATCCGCCGAAAAGTTCCCCGACTCCATGTAGCCGCATCACACGCACACACATACGCAAGAACAAGCAACACACCTGCACGGACAGAGACCTTGTCGCAACGCATTTGCGCACCCAAGACAAGAACTCCCTGCTGAGCCTTGAGAGATAAACATCAACAACGGCGCCCCACAGACTCGCGATGGAAGAAGCGGACAGCCTGCCGTGCTCGCCGGGCGCGGCGGCGCAATCACCACTGCAGCCCATGACGCCCGATCGCGTCAACCAGCAGCGCGACTCCTACTTCGGATCGCCGCGCTCCAGCCACGCGCGCGACAGCAGCATACACGATAAGATCCAGGCCTTCAACAACTTGTCGCGCCTGGGCCCGGGGTCTGCGGCCAACATGTCGAAACAGCTCGAGCGCAAGACGGCCGACGCCGCTCTGAAGCGCGCCATGCTCGGCCGCGAGGAAGCCGAGAGCGACTTGCGCCGATATAGGGAAGAGGCGCGTCTGCTGCGGAAGCAGATCGAGGAGGGCAAAGAGCGCGAGAGGAGAGTCGGTGAGAGATTGGAGACAGTCATGGTACGTCCAGCCTAGACATGCCACTGGCCCGGTGCTGCGTAACATACTGCTTGCTAACAAACCATCGCCGACAGGAGAACTACGGGCGCGCAAAAGAGACCTACTCGCATACGCAAGCCATATGGGAAAAGGAGATTCGCCGCGCGCGCAAGGAGACCTTCAAGTCGCAGTCCAACATTGTCAAACTGCAAGAAGAGCTCAAGGCTGCAAAAGCTGCAACCAAGTCCAAGGACGAGGTCCTCCAGCGCGAGAAGGAGAGAAGCCAGGCCAGAGAGCAAGAAGCGTTCACAGCACGCTATGAGCTCGTTGGCGTCCAGGAACAGCTCCAGCAGGCCTTGGAGCGTGTCAAGGTCATCGAGCAAGAGCGCGATGCCTTCAAGACCCTCGCTCAGAACGAAGAAGTGGCTCGCATAGCTGCCGAGGGACGCCTGCCCCTACCTAAGGCCGAAGATAGCGACGACGAGTTCGCATCACCGAAAAAGACCCGTGTGTCGCTTACGACTGCCGACATTGCCTCTTCGGCAGCCAGCGAAGCCGAGATCGACGAGTTGACCGATTTATGGCAGTGGGAGAGACAGAGGGCAAACCGCGCACAGGAGCATATCGAGTTCCTAGAGGCCGAATGCCAGCTTCGATGTTGCCCCTGCACCAAGTCACGGCTGAGACGCAGCCTCCTCGGATCGGCTCGCAAGTCACGGCCGGAGCCTATCGCCATCCTAGACCCGTCCGACCTGGCCATCCTTGGCCAGAAGGCTGCCTCGCCGCCAGCGCTGTCGCCAGCTGTGGAGGGAGACACTGTCATTCATCAGCCGTCCATCGAGTCGCCGACAGAGGAATCTGATGATGCCAGAAGCTTCCGGAGCTCCAAGGAGACCAAGGAGCCCAGACGTAGCACCATATTCATACCGTCTGAGGGTACTTTTCGCACGGTATCACAGACTGAACTCGACGCAATGCAGTCCGTCGAGGAGTCACCAATAGAGCCCATGACCCCGGCAGATCCGACGACGCCTGCGGACCCTGTTCCGGCTCCGATGCACTACGCTCGGACGCCATCCGTCGACCCGCCAACGTTTGCCCTCATAGCCGCCGAGCGAGAGAGGACGTCCCTCATGTCTCTCCTGAATGCGCCTTGCGAAACGGAGTCGAATTCAGCAGTATTGAATATCCCCACGACCCCCGGAGACACGGTGATGGGCCAGGAAGAGCCGGAGTATTCGGACGCTGTCGTGGACGACGCGAGGCCAAATCCATCCACAGAAGATGAAGCAAACTGTAGGCCACACACATCCGCCGCCTTCTACACAGTCACACAGACTACCACCGTCCCCATAGTTGAGAAGGAGAACGTCGACCCACGATCTTACGCGATGACAGGAAGACGGAATCAAGTGCGAGGGCCCTCGTTTGACAAGACCAACCCTGCTCTGACTCCCACCATGACGCGCGAGCAGGCCTTGGCACAGATTAGAGAGCGCAGAGGCCGGGCCAGAAGTGCTGCGCAGGGGGCAGCGACCCCTCGCAAGCAGATGGTGGCGGGCGGTGGCGAGCGTAGGGACGTGAGCGCGCCGGCCGGCAGAGCAGGCAAGGGCAGGAGCTGAGCTTGCTTCCAAGGTGGAAATTCAGTATCAAGAAATGTACGTTGAGCGGCATGGTTTGTTAGAGCATAGCGTGTGCTGGACGGCTTGATTTTGTATCGCTCCTTGGCTTGGAGTTCCGGGTCTGTTTCTGGCTTGCAGGGGCCGGCGTTCTAGCAGTGATTGCCATAAAATTGCGCATTTACATTGGTGTTTCGGAGTTGGGAGAAGCCTTCTGCCCTGGACGCCTTTCGATGCATGGTTACCGACGGAGTTGTCTACGGACTGGATTTGTTACTACGAGCTCCTCAGTTGGGAGGAGGGAAATATGTATTATTCTTAATGGCCTCGTGTACTCTTTTCGATCACCATACAGTCTTGTGAATCTGATAACTAAAGCAAACCATGTCTTCGGATACGCAGTGTTTCGACACTCGTAGGCTTTATTAGGGACATCGGCTCTCTCCATCCTCCTTGATACCACGCCTACAGACCGAAGACCCTACAGCAGGGGCTGTAATCCATTGGCTCTTGGTATACAATGACGTAGATGCACCGAACTGACGGCTCCAATCCATATAGGGCTGAAACACCCAATTGGGCCATCTGAGCAATGACGGGGCGGCGGGCGTATGTACCCCTGGGCTGGGGAGGAGGCTATTCTAGCACGTCCACTCGGCGCCCGCCGGGCCAAGGGTCCACCCCACACGGCGGCTTACTGACAGGGGGGTCAAAGCTTTCGTGTCCAGAACCCGCCCGGGAGGGTGTCCCGCTGTCGAGAATAACTGTCTGCAACCTGGGTCTCTGGGCTAGTGAGACGGCTACGCCACGCTTCCAGTCGCCGCGTCCAATCAACGCCAAACTTCCACGCATTCACGGACCCGATGCGCACCACCTCTGCTATGACCTGAGCAGCGAAGCCGAGGCGCGAGCAGCTTTGAGAGATCGTGTAACCCCGCCCATCTATGTGTGTGTGTGTGTGCTAGAGCGCGCCTCACTCCTGCCCGGATTCAAGTGGGCTTGGTTAGCTCTTATCGCATCTTCAGGATTATGTCTCATCCCCGACCGCGGAACCGGAAGCAATGAGCGAGTCCAATGCCAGTGAGGCCTCGGCGGGTTTCTCGAAATTCCACCTCCCGCCGTCGCACCCGCAGCTCATCTCCAAGATCCCCAAGATCCTGCCCCATGAGCGCGTCTTCCCCATCCAGATAGGTTCCGAGCTGTTCAAGCTCTCGGGCGCCTCCCTCTCGTCTGACGGTATGTTCCCATCGCCAATCCCGCCCGGCATCCAGGCCGTCAGGGGTTTCCCACTGCATGTAGTCAGCCATACTGCAACCTGTCGACCGTTCATCTCATCCCCTATAGTCCTCGGCCCTGATTTGTAACTTGTGGCTGACTGGCCCTCAGCACCGTCCTATTTCTCTCAGTACTTCGTCTGTCAGATCAAGCGCGCCGAGGAGAATGGCGAGGAAGTATGTTCCGCCATCCGCACGCTGTACATTGATCGAGACCCGGACACCTTCAGGGACATCTCCCTCCACCTCCAGGGCTACCATGTGTCGCCGCGGGACGGGCAGCACTTCGTGCGGCTCTTTGCCGACGCGCAGTTCTACACCCTGCCGAAGTTGATGTCGCAGCTGTATGAGGAGTCCATCTTCATGTCCATCGGCCACCGGGAATTCCAAATCCCGCGCGACCTTTTCTCATTGCCGGGTAACAGCCCGAACTTCTTCTCCCTTGGCTTCGCCATCTTCTTCTCGACGCCCGACGAGATCTTCCCCGGCCTGGAACGAGAGGGCCTGATCCGGCCGCCCTCGATCATGCCCCCGGCGGTCCCGGGTCGGTCCGCAGACATCTTCCAAGACTTGCTCCACCTGTTGCGTGGGTACTCCATCCACATCCGCGACGAGGAGCACCGCGCAAGCCTCCTTCGCGACTGTCGATATTTCAACTTCAAAGGGGTAGAGCAGAGGCTCATCCCACATAGTATTAGTTACAACCAACTGCGGCAACGGAAAGAAATCGTGCTTCGCCTGGAAGATATCTTGAAATCTGGCATATCTATAGCAAATGAGCCGGCTTTCGCCCAAGGCGGCGGAGAACTGATCTCGGCCTGGGTGAACTATGCGCGCCCGTGGGTTGACGACAACCCGCACGAGTTGATCCTAGAGATCGGTGGCGAGAGCACAAAGCTGCACCTGAGCACCATGCGTGCCGAGTTCTTCGGCCAGGCGAAAGCGCGCATCGCAAAGCTCTTCGAGGTCATCGCCGCGAAAATGAACCTGCCACCAACGACCCAGCCACTGGGTCTCCTCATGGTGAAGGGGGGCGCGGGCAGCCAGCCCGCCACCCCTGGACACACCCATATCAGCGAAGACCTGGTTCGCATAGCTATCGAGTCAGATGCATACATCGAGCTCGACGGGAATATGTATCCCACTCACACAGACAGTGAGGACGTTGCCGCGCCGTACTCGGCAACCTCCTCCATAGGCAATGGTGCCAGTCGCCCAGACTCGCCTGCATCCAGCGTCGGCGGTGCGCTGGGGCACTCGCGCAAGAGGAGGCGGCTGGACATCGGCACAAGACAGGGGACGGCGCAAGGGACCGAGGAGTGGGTGGTACGGAAGGGCCAATGGCGGCTCAAGATACAGGGATCGAGGGACGGCAAGAACGCCATCGAGTGCGTCCTGGTGGCTGTGAGGCTGGAAGCTTACAGCAATGAGCAATCGAGGAATGCCCAGCGGGGCTTCCTTAGTTGATCTGATGCTGTGGACATGTTGAATTATGTTGTCCCGCCCGCGATTTACGTATAATGTTGACGGGCGTTGATGGTTGAATGGCTAGAAGTTCCTAGTTACGAATCTATCCTGAGAGAGGCGAGCCTTACCGCTATGTCGATACTAGTAACTGTCATGAATACTCATGTTGCTTTATTTATAATCAACCACGTGCTGTGTGTTGACGGCTCGACTAGTGTCCGTTTCTCACTTTGCACTCATGTACGCAGACGTTTGACGAAAGGGTCATACCTCTTTACATTCTTAACATTAATAATAAAAAGGGAAAGTAAGTTAACGAAGGAAGAAAAATTAAATCAAGGTGTCCTTTATTATTTAAATTGTTAAGGCACCACAGGTGAATTGAGACTCTGCTGCAAATCCTATAGTATTGTTAAGAAAATCTAAAGCTAAGGAAAGGGAGAAAGAGGAGCTCCCTCCACAGCCGTGGCGTTTGCTATCTACAGGTGGGGTGGGCCACCCCTCGTACCCCACCACAGCAACCATCTGCACTAGCCAGTCCGTAACACTCAAGGCAATGTTTCGCCTATATTTCGTCACAGCTCAGATTCAGCTCAGGGTAGAAGCAACCAGGTGTTCTAGTCTATCAACAAGAGAAAACAAGGAATTACACCTATGGTATATATGAGGATAAAATCGGTTCGTTCTCTTATATCTACAGAAAGTTGGTAAAATCAAGGTTTGCGCTTGATCAGCCCGATGATCCACGCAAGCGCCGTGTCACAACCCCACCTGTAAATAGCAAACGCCACAGCTGTAGAGAGAGCTCTTCTTTCCTCTCTCTCCTAGCTTTATTTTTTTTTTTTTTCGCAATACTACAGGATTTGCAGCACAGTCTCGATCCCACCTGTGGTGTCGTGACACACTGCACCAGATCAAGCCATTGGGGCCTTTAGCACAATTGAAACAAGCCTTGGAAGACCCATCAGGGAGGTATGTGTGTGTCGCGATATTGGGCTGGGGCTTCGTTTCTTGGACATTGCGGCTCAGCGGGCAGTCCTCGTCTTTTCTACCCTGGGTCATGCAGCGACAGTACTGGAGCATTCTGTCTTTCCGAGACGTCATGGAGATTGGATCTGACTTGGACAACACCAATTTGCATCAACAACACTTTCGGTGAGTACTTTTAGGAGTGTTTTGAGGACGTTAAACTCACCTAGTCACAGCTGGCGTCTTAAGTCTCACTTTCCCTCGTATGCAAACCGTCATGACACCGACTGGAGCTTGTCCGTCCACGCTTTTCCCAGACATCGAGTGATGATGTCCACTAACACCAGCCCAGTTGGCTTCTGTGCCGGACTTAACCTCCTCGCCTAGTTTTATGATCTTTTGTTTCGCCCGTGAAACCAAACAGCTCACTCTAGAAGAGCTGGACCGTAAGAAGAACCCACCCGCTCCAGTAGGACTTCATCGAGCATTGAACAGAGGTCTTTTGTCACGATATAGGAGATATATAAAGGAGCGGAACGTCAATCCGGGGGATCACCCCCTATATAGCAGGCTCATCAGCCCATTTCTTTTGTAGCTCCTTAAGGATCAGCTCAAGTCAATTCCCATACTCTCGCGCGCGTTTTAGTGTGACATCTTTTCAGTACCAACCAAGGAGTTCATATCATATAAGCTGACCATTTGGCTTCCTTACTTTGTGAACCAACACATCTTCCGACAAAATATCGTCAAGCCGGCACCGGTCATCGAGAAGTCCGCGTATTGAGTCGGAAGGGATTCTTTCTTGCGAAAATCGAGGTCCCACGAAGAGAGCATTGGGTGAACTGGAGCGTTGCACATGACGAAAGAAAATAGAGAAATAGGTCTTATATAGAATGAAGACGCTTCGCAGATTTCGAGATCGAATAGAGACTGGCTTGCTCTTTCTTTCTTTTCGAGTACCGAGATTTAAAGAGTTTTTCAATGTTGATTAGAAATTACTATTCTATAGATGCCTTGGTGAAGTTGTTATGTTCGACCTCCAGTCACATATCTGAAGGGGGCCGCATGCAAGTCTCGTTGAAAAGAGCACTGCAACGAGCACTCTCTACAATATTTCCAGTCGCTCCCTTGACCTTTTCAAAATCGGCTTCCTCAGCAGAGCGACCCAGTCCGTCGCCTGCATGCACCTCACTCGTGTAGCCGTGCCGAGCGGGTGGCTCGTAGTGGTTAAACACTTGAGGGTTAATGACTAAGCAATGCAGTGACCCATCGCGACAATACGCCGATAGGCTGACGTCAAAGGCCTCATCGCCCCCCTTTGATAAGAGTGCCAAGAGTTTCTGCGCGCTTGCCTTTGTGACCCCATAGGCAAAAGTGCAGACAGTGACGAAAGAGGCTTGCACCTGGCGATGGCCAGCTGGCACCTTGCCCTGCAGGAAGTACTTTGACCAACCAGAGTACAATTCTGCCTCGCACCGAGTGTCATCGGCGTAGACAAGGGGGTGAGGCATGGAGTCTTCAGTGACAGAACCACAGTGCCCCAACCAGAGAACATCCCAGTCAAGGCCGAATGGTGTCGTATCCTCTTCGTGAGTATGTGTGTAGTTCCGCACGTTGTCTGATATCAAGCGCATCTGGTCTCGCAGTCTGACATCCCAGTCGACATCGTCCTCAACGATCAGGGCGGTCTCCACCTGCGAGGTGACAACATATTTGAGTAGATCGAGATGAGCGAGCCACGCCCTGGCTGATCCAGGTTGTGGAGTGCGTTGGCCTTCGGCTGCACCAAGATTCTGAAATGCTCGGACAAACTCGTCAGATACTTGCGGCTGAGGCGGTATGGTGATGTCTAATCCGGTCAATTTTGCGGCAGCATGAAGGCCTCGCGTGCGCCAACTTGGGCCGACTGAGACTGCTACCAACTTCTCAAACTGGACACGCAGTCAGCACCGTGCTTATCGGGGCGGCCGGAGTTTTAGAGGAAGAAAACACGTAATGAAAAGGGGTAAGTCGAAATACCATAGGGAAGGAAAAGAAGATGGTCTCACCCCTAGCGTGGAATTCGCAGCTGCATCTCGCGGAGGAAAAGGCATTTTGAAATCACGATGCATGTCTGCATTGATGGTATGTGTTTGGTAACGTTGAGTATGATAAACTGAGAAGAAGAACAATGAAGCTATGGACGAGATGACCAGCGCACGCCGTCGATGGGTGTTTTCGATTGCACCCATTGGATTTGTATTCAGTATACTGCGTAATCTGATGAAGTGGAGATTGAATGCCAAGAAAATATAAAGTAGGTATGTGGATGTGGAATGAAATATCTGAGCCGAACCGGGCTCTTCAATGAACGAGATAATATAGTAGAGACATTTGAGGACTCAGATCCAGAGGGACTTTCGCCCAACATGACCCTCGCAGAACCTAGCATTGTACGCACTCACACTTTAAGAAGCTGGGCTTTGGCGGTGCGGGGATGTTTGCTGCTGGGCCTATTTCGAGCCTGGCGCTAAATGAAATTGCATGGCGCCGGTTTGGGTCAGGATCTGCCTACTATGCAGCCAATAATTGTTATTACCGGGTCAGTTCACCGTCCCGACTGTGTAAGGGTTTGGTTGCGGAAGTGTGACCCGGATAATTTCAGCCAATCGCCATAGTTAGTCGCCCACACAACGCTGTGCGTGTTGGTTGGGACCCTGATAATATCAGCCAATCATCATAGCCCGCCCACACCACGCTGTGCGTGTTGGTTGGGACCGACGCACGATTGGCGCTTACGTACATGACATCGCGTTGGAAGGGTGTTAACCATTCGTGCATGTATCATATGCAGCCAATTTCTGCTTCCAACTAAGCTTCAGTGTTGATCGGCGCCTTTGGCAGTCTTTTTTGTCGCTCCTGGATGAAAATGCAGCTGTTTGTTGTCCGTGTCCACGTGTCGCACTTGCAACTCGTGCAGCGGAGGCTTTTGCACTTCGGATACTTGAGCTCCACGAGACTGAACCCCCGGTTCGGTATACTATTGGCTAGCATGAGCTATCTCTCATAGTGGGTGCCAAGGTCTCAGTGACCCGCCGCGACTGTGCTTGGGAGAGGTGGCAGTACACCTGAAACATAGATAACGTTGTTGGCTCTGCCAGACCGCAATTTCAGCCATTAGGCGCAAATATGGCACAGGATATCAATCCCCAAACCCCGAGTGCCCAGTCCTGTTTCCTATCATGCTCTTCCGACCCAGAGACTTTGTTGTGGAGTGACGACCCGGGACTGACGATGGCGCTCAACACCATCCTTCTTAGTCTGATACTCTCTGCCTTACAACCGGCGAGTGCACAAGACGACCGCGCCGTGGATCCCAATAATCACTTCCTCTATCCTCCCCTTCCTGGTGCGCAGCACACCGAGGACCCAACTGTTTTCTGGAACAACATCAACGTGACTTTTGGTGTAGCGCAGACTCAACCATTCAAGTGGGTTTCCGACATGCCGAGTATGCTAGTCACACTGAATCAAGAAGGGCAAGTGGGAAAAGTGCGATACAGAGAAATTTCAAGTTGGTATAATTCATGACATGTTTTGACATTTGGTTGATCATGATAGGCTGCAGTCCGGGCTCGTTCAACACTATTTACTGGGATGGTCGTATCGATCCAATCGATATCAACAATGGAAGTCAGGCTTACCTGGCGGCTTGGAACTGCTCCAACCTGTCTGCCAGCCCGGTCTTCTTTTCTCACTACTTCAACTTGACGGGACAGGCGCCATCGACTTCGACTTCTGTGGCCACTTCAGCGACGCCAGTGACTAGTTCAGCCAACCCTACATCGACTTCTTCGACTGACACGTCCAACACCACTCCATCGAGCAATGTGGCACTCATTGGGGGTGCTGTAGGGGGAGGTATTGCTGGTCTCATTGTAATCATTGCAATGGGACTAGCGTTCTGGAACCACTACAAGAAAAGACGCGCTCGGAGGAGTACAAGTGGCGAGCAGTCTCTCCGATGGGTACAATCGAATTGCTATGATGTTGAACTCAGCAAATCGATCGGCCCTACACCAGCATATGTGGAACACCAACCTCCGAAGAACCTGGCTCATCGTGGCCCATCGGAGCTCGCATGAACAGTATGCAAGGATTGTCAACTTGAGGAGGGGGAAGAGCTAATTAATCGAAGTTGTTTTAGTATTTTCTTTTCTTACCATGAGCGTCATGCTATAATTAGCCACCATTGGTTATGACTGGAACATTCAGAGTTCATACACAAATCATGTTTCTAACGTACTCTACAATTAACCATGAAGACGATCTGTTATGAGTTTTCCTGTATTCTTTCCTGGTGTACAGCATCAATTTGAAATCAACTCGTCTCTTAGCTGCGTCATAATGCTAACAAACATATAACTGCAATCTTATACTCATACATGGTGCCTCGTATTACCTAAAGTTGAATAGAATCAGTTCCCAGTACACTCACCATCGCAAGACCTTCAAGTTGCCATCTCAAGTATCGCTTGAGAAGCGGTGACCCATTTGAGAAGTGGTGTATTTTGCCATGCAAAATCTATAGATGGGCCATGGGCCAGACTATAGGCGTGTGAGAATTAACGCGACTGAACCGATATCAAAGCATGAATCGTCACTTATCGTTAACTTTGCCTGCTGTGTTACCGTGATACTAGTCTTAGCAACGGGGCTGACTGACGATGACGAGGGCCCAGCGGCGGCATCGGGGCTATTCTTAGTACGAACAAGGACAAGGAGGATCTCACCCTCTGCCGGTTCCTTCAAAGTAACATCAACCATAATAACGGATATGCCAGTGGCAGCGATCGTGGCCACCTGCGGGAGGCTGAGGTCGCACATGACGGGACTTCGTATCCTTACACACACCTCGGACTACATAGTCGGCGGCCACCAGCGCCGCACTCATATTCCACTGCGCTACAACGCGGGATTCGGACATGCGACAGGTCAATTCGCCGGGAGCAGAGACCAGACGTAGCGCCTGCACACTGACGTGACAGCCTGCGAGTCATGCCATGCGCTGCGATCCAACGCACGCTGCAGTACACGCGCCGCCAGTAAGGCCCCACCTGCTGGCGTGAGCCGGCGGTATTTACCAAAGTTCAAAGTTAATATGACTTTTTTTGAAAACGACAAAGGTGTTTAATATCATATTTATTATTAACGAGCTATCTAAACGTTCAGCATTTTAGAACACCTGCTGCTCCGCCACGGCATGAAGGCTGATCTAGGTGACATCAGTGGGACACCCCTTAGTAATTTGTTGCGCTCAAGGTCTGTGAAATTAGTCCAACGGCTTCAAGCTGGGTGCCAAAACCACCTCCTGTGATAGCCCGTGTCGCAATGAAAAAGAAGTTTCGTCGTTGTCTTTTACATGCGCATGCCGCAAGTGGTCGGTATTGTCCAGTCTTCTAATGCCCCTACGTCCTCCACCACAAGGGTCCTGACGGTAAAACTGTTCGGATGCTTACTCAAGTTGAAACTAGTCTGGGGCTATCTTCCGTCATTGTTAATATATAATCTGTGAAGTTGTCTAGGCGCGGAACCCATACATCGTGAATTGCACGTACCACCAGGGAAACGGGTGGGTCTCAAGTAGGCCTCATAGGGCCGTCGGCGGTCCTTATCGCAGGATCAGGAGGCTGAGGGGAGAAAGTGTCGTCCACGCCCGTCGGGTGAGTTTCCCACTAAGTGGGGTACGTTCTCGCGCGATAGCTTGTTATGAACAATGTCGATATTGATTTTTCATCTGAACACCAATCACTTCTGTTATCAGGTCAATTGTGTCCATCATTGACCCGCCTACCCATGTTTTTCTCTCAACGTCGCACTCATGTACGTACACAACTGACGAAAGAGTACTGTGGCGTTAGGGGTATCTTTTAACATCTGTTTATGTACCACGCTAGTTGGACAGGGTATGTTATGCGCACTTTGTGCAAATTGTTCGCGAAATCCACCAGCTGGCAAGGCCGCCGGCTAACCAGATGCCGTATAGCGCTTGTAAATCGGTACGTGACAGGGGCGATAAAACTTTGGCCTGCAGCCACAGCAATGCCTCTCTACATTCTCATCTTTGCAGAAGGCGTTCAAAACGCAACGACAGAGGGGGTAGGTGAGGAGGAAAAGAAATTGCCGAAATGCCCAAGAAAAAAGAAAACACATACAACACCAGGTATTCGCTGGTGGTCACCCACCCAACTACTAATCCGGCGGTCGCCAGCTTATCTATGGGAGAGCAGACGGGATCCCGAGTTCTCTAGCGCCTATGGTCGTATGTACCTGACTTGCCGTACAAAACGGTATATATCGGATGCAAATAAAAGAAGCAATGTCTGGTGTCACACTAACTTAGCCTGTTTCATATACAGGCGGGCACAGACAATCGTGCTCTTTGTTTCCAGCGACCAAATACATCATATGATGTCGGCCTGAATCAAAAATTCACAGAGCACAAGATTCCAAGCCCAACGTGCACAGAGCGTTGGGGCCACAGTGGGCTGCCCGCTCCTTAGCCTTGCGTTGAGTGATCGGGAGTGAAGCGCCTGCAATTACGCGTGTAGAAAATGCTCAAGTGCCTCGCAATTCTGTACTCTGTCAACACAGCTCTCATCGAGGAGATCAGGGGTCAATACTAGGAAAGTGGATGGTCACGTTCCATTGTTTGGGAAGACACCAGGAGCGTCGAATCACAGCGCAGCCTCGCATCACACCACTTCCATCCCTCGCTGCATCACAGCAATGACCTCCTCCTTTCCTTTGTTCAGGTCTGGAAATATACTATTTAGAGAGCAATCATCTCATGTATTGAATATTGCGGGGGTCAAACTCTTCGGAACCTATAATATAAGTTGGCATTTGATATCAGGGGACGTTTGGTCTATAATCGACGAACTTTTTTGAGGGCGTAAGATTAGAGTATTGGACTTAATAGATTTAACAGGGCATTAAAAGCCAGGGTTAATGTTGATGGGATCAATAGTGTAATACGTCATGATATCAATAGTCTCGCCATAAAACAGCTCAATAATAAGAGACCCGCAGTACGTGTACGCCGATATAGGAGATGCCTAGCTACCAGTGGACTCACCAGGTTCCTATGGGTTTCGTTCCACTTCAGCTCATCAACAAATACTCAGGGGTTTCCCGGTGAGCCGTCATCCGAGCCGCTGTTGAACCCTGGAACCAGATCGTTCTTAGCCCAGTTCAGATTGTCCTTGAAATTCTCATCCTTAATACCAATTTTTGGCTTTCCGCCTGATTTGGTATTGTCAAACACATAACTCATGAGTGTATCCCTCAATTTCGTGCTCGGAAAGCCATTCCAGCTCACGAGCGCGCTCTGGACCCACTTCCCCGTCTCATTCTCAACCTTGTCATCCTTGGCGGCCGCAAACCTGAAGGCGTGCGTGCTACCGCCGCTTTTGTGGTACACGATCTTGGGGTGATTGCCCTCCCAGCGGATCTCATCGGCCTTCTTTGTGTCAAAGTCACCATGGCCTCCGGCAGCGACGACCTTGGCGTGCCCGTTTTGGACGAACACCACAATGTGCTCCCACTCATGCACGTGGCCGCCAGCGTCGATGACATTGGGGACCGCCACATCCTTCTCGAAGTAGTAGTCATACATGTACGCGCACCAGCCGTTGTTGCAGCGCGCGCGCGAGTAGACGTTGGCATTTTCTAGGCGAGGTTTATCACGGCACCCCTCTTTGATATAACTTCTGTTAGTCTAATTGTCTCTTTGGCATTCGAAAAGGGTTTGCGTACCTGATGGTCCTGAGTAGTTATGATCCATACCCTTATTGACATTACCACTTGGGTCTATGGCTGCGGTATTATAGCAACTATCTGTATCAAAGTCCAGGACGGGTTGCCACTTCTTATCGTCAGATGTAGCCTTCTCTGGGAGTGGGTTGATCACATCACGGATGTGTAGCTGACTGTCTTCCATTGGAAGCGCGTGGCATGGTGATGCAATCAAGGCAAGAAGAAATAGACCCCCAAGGGTTTGAGATTTATGGGTTGAAGGCATGTCACTTCTCCGTTGTCAAAGTCGGAAATAACTGTACAAAGTGCGTATGGAAAGAAATGCGCGAATGTAGTTTGCACGAAGCATTCAGTACCAAGGTGAAGCACCTGTATTTATAACGTAATTACTCAAGCACCCTTACTGACAGTTTTTACTGTTTATACGTCAGAGGGGTGAGAGAACTCTATACTTAGCATACGATACGGAAAATGACAAGAACCTGGCAGCCTCATAATCCTATGACGACTAGCAGCAATCATTGGCAGTAGTCAGCCTCTCGTACTTAGGACAATGTTTATATTTTGCGAGGCTCTGGTCACGAAAGTGTTGGTGGCATCTTGCCAAGAGTGGCACAGACATAAGGATCAATCCCATTCATATGCTATCTACTCCATAGTCAGACCGTGATGAAATCTTACCAAAGATCAATCGTTCACTCATGACGCAGACTCAGAGCTAAATTTATCATCTTGTGATAGTCATGAAACAATATAGAAACTAAAGCCCAACTGTCGAATCTAATAATAGATACGTCCTTTGAAACCGTGAAGTTTTACACAGAAACCCCATTCGCGATGAGTCGCGAAGTTACTATCAAATTGACATTAGTTGCGTAGTTACCACGTCACCCTATGCCTTCTCGAAATGCGTGTGATTATCAGACGGTGCGAACTGCCACGAGTTAGTCTTGGTGTTTACGCGCAAGGCAGCGTATGCGATATCTGTAAGCATTAAATCACATTAAGACGAAGACTTACACGAATAATAAAAGGCCTGTAGATGCTATCTCAGTGTGAAACAGTAACGATTGACTTACTCAAGACCCATGTCTTGAGATTTCCCCATAATTTCATCATCTTCCTGAAAGCTACTTCCAAAGGTCAAAAACAAAACGGGCAAGCTAAGTCTGCACTTCGCTTGAGGCTGGAGCTGGAAGATCTAACAGTGTAACCCCCCATCGAACAGAAAGCAAGCCATTCCAACTAATCGCAGCTATTGGTACCATCATCCAAGTCTACACACATATCACCCCACTGATCCGCATCCTGGCGCTTTTCAGCCTCCACAGAAGCTCCATCTCGTGCCTCGTTTGACATGCCAGTCTCATCACGCTTGTAAGACCCGTGGTAGTTGAAAACACCGAGGTGAGTTCTGTCCACCATCTGCTGGTCAATATCGGTCATCTTGTAACTGGTGCCCCGCTTGTTCTGTCGCGTTGTTGGGCCGTTTTTGCCACAGAACCGCTCAGCCTCAGGACTGCCGGGGACAAGCTTGTGGACGAAGAGTGCTTCGCAAAAGCCACCAGGTCTATAATGATGTGAGTTGATTCTCTCAGTGTTTCAAATGTGGAACGCTGTCACGATCACTTACGCAAAATTACCCTGAAACTGAAAGTTGAAGAAATCACCTTGGTTGATATGGTCCTCGCCAGTGCCCCGATTGTAAGTCCTCGCAAACTCGCGGCCCTGGGCTGTTGTTTGATTAGTCATCTCTGTATTCCAAACCAGAAAAGGCAGTCCTTACCTTGCTGCTCGCCCCGTGTTCCAGGGAGCAAGTGGGCGTTCTCGCCTCCCTCCTCAACGCTTTCTGGAGGCCATTCTTCAGCGCTGATGGTCTGATCATCAATGATTTTGGCGTTTCGTAAGTCTCGATTGTGCTTGTCTTTGAATGGAGTTTTGGAAGCGCCTGAGGCAGTATAGTGCTTTCTTTTTTTATCTTTGTCCTTGTTACGCTGACTTGGAACGAGCGTTGTTAGTCTGGCTAGGATTGCCGGTAGAGAAGATATGCCCATGAGCTTACTATGTGACCTTCTTTTGGATGCATAGCATCTGGTAGCAGTCCTCCTCGGAGATGTCTTCCCATCCTTGAATACTCACTTCGGCCGTCTTGGGGTTGGATTTGTCGCCCTTCTTGCCCCTTGGAACAAGAGCATCGCGCTCAGCCACTGGGTTTGGTTCAATGATTGGGTTGCCAATAACCCAACAGGCTGAAAGGAGGACTACAACGACGTAAACAATTGTGATTCGTGTTGCAAACATCTTGAATTTTTTTATAACTTTTCTGTAATCTAGAATTTTATTTCAATCATCGAAGTTTCATCTCAAGTTCCATAGAATAGGCGTCCGTTGGCTTTTATAGGACCGAGTGCTTTTGGCATTTTTTCCTATTATCAGTGTTGCTCAAAATAACAAAGCCTTTTCCAGAGAATCTTGGCTATGCACCATGAGTAAATTCAACCAACTTACGGCGATCAACGTAAGATCTGCAATAGAAGGTCGTGTCTGTGTCCAGTTGATCCCATACAGTAGACTGCGCCCCTTCCCTGACGAGCCGCTTGGATGTAAGTTGAGTACATGTACAGGTCATGTCGCAAAGCCACGATCATGCATCTGGGTATATTCTCCTGAGGGATTATAGATATGGGGTCTGCACCTATCTCCGAGCACTTCAAGCCATGTAATGAGCGTGGCGCGGATCGTACAGGCCAGCCTATAATCGGCAGATAATAGTCAATCGTGGGATCGTAGGCTCTCAATCCTCAGCGTCATCTGGTTCTTTGACTATGCACCTGTAAAGTCCTACGCTAGTGACAGTTGCTTGTGAGAGGGTGTGGCGAAGCTGTGACTGTTGGTGCTGGGGTGGAGGGGAAATCTAGATCGTGCAGTGGCTAGGACTAGAAAGCCACTCAGCTTACGCATAAGGACATGGGATGAGGAACGCGGGCTTCACAGTACACACCTATGCAACTTACCATGCGAGCTGATTGCTGACCCATCCATCGCCATTGGCCCGAGGAAAGTCTTGTGTTTCATGTGCTGTGTTTTCTTTGCATAGCATGACGTCACGTTCCTGAGTCTCCGACTTTAGCTCATAGAATCTCCCCCAATCTTTCGGCTTTTTGACTTATCGAAAAGTCGCTTCTCTCCACTGCAGCCCAAAACTCACAACCTCGACAGAATAATCTCACAATGGCAATTCTCCTGTTCTGCGTAGCCGAAGAGGCTAAGCCTGTAAGTTGTGAACCCAACAGAGCAAAGCCTCCTATGTCGCATCTCATCCTTGATTTGCAGTTCATCTCCAAAATCATGTCTGTCGAGCAGTCTGAAAACGCTTGGTTCTTTGCGCTTGCCGAGTCTCGCGAGGGCCCTGCCGAGAATGGCATATTCAAGAACAAGACCCGAGAAGGAGCGACTGTCGAGACAGACTTCATTGGAGCCCCTGAGCAAGACTGCCGAGTTTGGGGACAGGAGCAGATGCAGCGCTGGAATACCATCGACAAGGGACTGCTTGCGATTGCGGACCAACGCACGGCACGGGATGAAACCATCTCATTACAGTTCTTCAATGAAGACTCGGACGACCTGGAGTTTGACGGTTACGGCAAACTTCCAGCCGAAAACCAGAAGTGGTACAACTTCAGAGTCAAGTACGCAGACTCGTTCCAAATCTACGCGGCACTGACGGAAGGCGCTATTGATGTGGTCTACCCAACGTATTTTGGACGTCAGCAGGAGCTCACTGGCGAGGATGGCGTATTTGACGTGGAAAGAGCAGAGAAGCTATGCGTTGAGTAATGTTAGATTTGACTAGTTTCTTGTCCATCTATATTGGGCAAATATGTAAATCACTCGTTTCCACAATTGAGATCTCATTCCACCTCATCGTGACACGCAGTAGCACAACAGCCTCGACCAAGTCTTCAATATTGGCTGTTTATTCGCGGGCCCCAATTAGTGTTATCTAGCAATACAAGTATCTAAAGTTTCTGGAATCAAGCTTCCCTTGTCCAAAAGGCAGGATCATGCATGAAAGCTCGTAGGATGTAGCCCAAAAACGGTTGTTAATGCCTTGTGCAGATCAATGACCAAGTAATTACATATCATGCTCAATAGGATCTTGTGGCGCATGACGGCGCTAACTGCGGTACAATATACCACCCTGTCGTCGAGCTATTCTTGTCCATAGACCACTTCAAGGCGAAGCGCAGTTAACAGCATCTTTGCTATGTTTTTGCGATAGGATCTTCGCCAGGTAAGCCACTATGAGGCGAAGGCTGCGTCTTCTTGGATCACATCGCCCCCTTTATAATCAAGGCATTGTCGATCTTTGCCCTCGCTTATAAATGCCCGAATCTAACACGGAAAACCATTTCAGATTCTCTACGGAGTTTACGAAAATAATGTAAATTTCTATTTCGGTATGCATGGAAATGACGAAGCTGGCGCGATGAAGTTGACTGGCGTTGGATCAGGATGCTGCAGCCTCTTGTTTATCACTACGTACGAATGAAAATAGGAAACAAACGGGTTCATCCATGACATAATTATGAATTTTGCTCACGCGGAAGCTCGAAGGTATGCTTAGGCTGGCTGTGAGCTAGATATAAATATCGTATATTTCTCTACCCTCAAGAGCCTGGCTCATCATTCAACTCATACAACAAAGCATAGTAAATCTACATTCATCTCTAACAGTCGGACACAGACTTGCTCAAACATTTGACGAGATGCATTTCGCCGATGCCACAACCATTGCATTATTGGCACCTATTGCCGTCTTAGCAGCGCCGCCGATCGAACGCGATGTTGACCATCACAAGTTCAAGTTTGAGGACTTCAAAGGTCAGCTCGATGCGAATGGCAAGAAGGTTTCCCAGCGAAGTAGTTCCGACGAAGACATCCTCAAGCGCAACAATGATTACGTCTCTAGCTGCGGGTCCGAGTGGGTGTCTGTAGGTGACTTTGTTAATGGCCGATATTGGCTCGGCTACAGCTCAGCTGTCGATGCTTTCTGCACACACATCACCACCGACTACGATGGAGAGGCCGCAGTCATTGGTCCCAAAGCATACGCGGGCACCACCATCCGCACCAACGACCTAGGAGACCAGATTGGTCTCTCCGGTGGCAAGAACCCGACGGACAAGAACACTCAGGTTCTACCAGGCCACATCGAATTTGAGATTCATAATAAGCAGGATACTGGAGACCACACCCCAGACTGTAAGTAAATATTTGTCCGATGGTATCGGCCTCACTAACATGAATTTTCTCCAGTGGCCAATTGCAAGCTGTATCTCAAGAAGATGGCAGACCCCAACGCCAACGGCAAAAATTGCTATGGGAAGAACAACAAGGATTCGAAGGGCGGTACTTGGCAGATCGGCAACGACAAGATCTCTTACCACGCTCTACCTGGCAAGAACTAGCCGAGGTTGCATTTGTTTTGGGTTTCTCTATTTCTGTCTCGTTTCAATCACTGGCGTTGGTGGGTAGTTCATTGAGATTTTACAGTTATTCGACATTCGTTTAGCTTAAGGTCATTAGAAAAACCATGCAAATTCCATACAATTATTTGAATTGATAGTTCTACGTAAATATTTTCTAGTGGAAGTAAATGAAGTAACTCGCTTAAATCTATCCGCAGATTAGATTTTTGAAATGTTTGGACCGCACGAACAGCTTCAACTGCATTTAGCCACAGTTCGATAATTGAAAGCGCGTTGGATGGAATGGAGAGAAATTCTAAAATGTATTTACGATCAACCATGGCGCAATCATGACTTTTGAGGACGTCATGGGAGAAACTGTCATCAAGCAACTTTAAGGCACGCTCTGCTTAAGATATAAGCCACATGATGCGAATTGGTGAGCCGAGTTTGTCCTAGGGCTCGCCTAAATTGAATCCAAAAGACATTAAAAAAGATTGAAGAGCCAGCTTATCTATGGCAGAGCGGACGGGATCCCGAGCTTTCTAGCGCTTATGGTCGTATGTGCTAAGTCTACCATACAAAACAGTACATAGCTGATGCGATCCTGATTGTTGGGGGGTGGTGATGTGTGTTGTATTAAAGATGGAGAATGCAAGTATCCGTGGCACCTACCAAGGTGTGTTACTACCCAACTAGCTTATATCCTTATTTGCCAGCTGTCACCAGCTGACATCTTAGAACCAGCTGGCGCAGCTATCTACGTATATACCCCCTCTACCAAAACGTATCAATAGCGCATACAATTAGTAGAAGCAATGTTTGTGTTACTTGTCAAGATGCGAGGGATTATATGGATGGAATAGATTGATTAATTAACTAGAAGGAGTAGAATAGAGTGGTACACCTGGAAGTGTAGATATATACGTAATTAATAGAGTGGCTGGTGAGCTCGTAATGTAAGTGGCTGGTCCACTATTCCAGCATTACTAACTTAGCCTGTACTGCAACTGGGCACAGCCTATTATATTAAAAGTGATATTCAGAAGCAAAACAATTCTTACACCCCCTGACTCCCACCCCTGCTCCAGGTGCACAGCTAAGATGGGAGAAGTCCCGGAAGAAACAAAATATCATCGATCACTTATGTTAATGTGTACTCGTGTCCGTGACTGACCTGGCTGCCCACATTTCCTCCCATGTTGCAAAAAACGCCGGCCCGTATTTAAAGGTATTTATAAATTAACTATCCTTTTAAACACCTTTAACTCAGCTCCCTGTGTATATCACTACTACCCGAAATATCCCAATCAATCGACTTTTCGAAATACATACGCACCCGAACGCCCATGTGATCAACTCCCAACAGAAGACACGGACAACCAAAAAACCAGACCACACCCCTCACCGAGCCAATCACAATGACCGAGCATCCAGCCTACCAAGTTGCAGCATGGATGGTCCACGATGAGGACGACGACGGCGAACTCGAAATCAGGACCAACAACGGTCGAACCTTCTATTGTAGCATTGATCCAAACGATTTCCAACGCTCCCCGAATGTCAAGGAGGCATACATGCGCTGCCTAAACCTGCTTCGATCAGGCGACCTGTGCACTGACGACGGTTTTTCAGTAAATGAGGCACTGGACTGGATGCTGAGCCTGTTTAGCCCTCTCGTCTGTCAGCTCGCGCCCTTGTTGCACCAGGTGTCGTCGTTAAGTTCGCAAACCACCCTGGCGCAGTATCTCTACGCACCGATGTTCTTTTGCGGCGTTAAGGCCGTAAACGAAAAGGTAACTCCCTATACCTTGAAGGAACTGGATTACGGCCTTGGTCCCCGCAGTATATTTGTCCGCAGGGAACCATTTTTGAAAGATCTGAGCGCATGGACACGGTGCTATACCCCAGAGGATGTCGTCTTGTCCTACGACAGAGTTGAGGACATCCTGATCAAGTACCCCCGAAAGGTGGTTGTTGTTAACGAGAATCAACAAGCAGTCACCTGCTTTTACAAACCTTGTGAAGGATCAGCAAGCACCCTTCGAGAGCTCAAGACCTTCCGGAAGCTCAAGGTTACGTCTGCTAGCAACCCTCTTTCGGCTGGCACCCGCTTCAGTCGCCTGCACGGCATTGTTGTCTCACGCGATGGGAAAGAGCTGTTTGGAATGCTATTCTACTGGATAAATATTGCAGGCTTGCTCTCACCGGAGCAAGCTGCGCAAACCTCGGCCCAAAGGCGGCAGAGCTGGGCGAGAGATATGAAACGATCGGTGAAGGAGTTGCATGCGAGGGGCATCGTTTGGGGGGATGTGAAGGCTGCAAACGTTCTTATTGATACCCACATGAATCTTTGGATCACAGACTTTGGCGGAGGTTGCACGCCCGGTTGGGTAGATCGGGAGAAAGCTGGGACGATAGAGGGAGATTGGCAAGGTTTGGCTAGGATATTGTCTTTCCTCGAATAATCTTCCAAGGAATTTGCGTGGTATTCAAGCGATCCCTGGATGGAAAGATAGAATAATGAGGAATAGTCCGCTTATCAGCCCAATTAGTCACTGTAAGGGTGCAAACATACGATGTTGTTGCGCTGGGGAGGGAAAGGTTTCTCCACAGCGCTGGGAAGCTACTCTACTCTAGGCTAGGGCTTTGCACAGACCGCGTATCGAAAGTGGGGTCACGCAACCGTGACAGTCACCTTTGCCTGGTACCAATTGGCGTAGATTCACAGGAGCCCGAGCCTGGATACAGTTGTTTATCTTCTGCGTGATAGTGCTGCAGTTGCAGCCTTGTAGCTCGCGGCTCAAATGCTCTCAGCTGTTGATCTCTTACAGTCTACGGCGCCTGCAATTCTGAGCAATTATGATCGCATTTAGATTAGTGTTAGTCGTCGGCGCGTTAAGCACCTTTAGGTGAAAGATTGTCTTGTGAAATCGTGGCGTTTCTAGCATCAAAATTCAGTTCAGACGATAGGAACTCTTCTTATACTTGCTGAAGTATCGTGTATTGATTACGATCACTAATGCAAAGGTTTTACCACTTTCTAACATCCTCACACCTGTTGGTAATCGGTCGTGGCGCCGGCTCTCAGCCACAGCCCACTATTAGCCTCGTCTTTCCCCTTCAGCGCACAAGCGATTTCTTCTAACTATCCTCTATTATCAAACCACTCGTACTCAGCAAAACCAGCCCACGATGGAACATATTATCAAAACCTTCATGCGAGTTCTCCGCAAGATGGATGATGCAGACACGCTTATCGCACAGTTCCCCGAGCTAGAGCGTATCGCGCTTTCAGAGCCTGCTGCCATCACCGATCAAGACAGACGTCGTTTGCTTGATCTTCCGGAATTGGATATACAAACGGCCAATCTAGCTGCCGTCACAGAACTTGATAAAGCGCAGCTCCTTGAGCGGGCTGCAAAATCACCAGATGCGCTTACGGATGCCGAGATTGATCTACTATGGCACCGGTTTTGGCATGATGTTACGGACGACGAGGCTCTTGCCGCCGAGAAAGCGTGTGAAGCAATAGGCCATGATGAATGGGACGAACTTGCCAACCGCCTAGCTAGGGCCCGGGAGCCGCTTTATGAGGAACATGAGCTCGTAGCATTCCAGAATGCCCCCAAAGAATTGACGTGGCGAATTACCGCCGACTTCCGTGCTCGGAGGCAGAAGGAACTTGAACAAGCATTGGGTAACGCAGCCCAATGGATTGTACGTATTTGGGAGGAGGATCTTAGAGATCGACCGGAGGCCCGGTGCGGCTATGCAACATTTCTTGACCCATCCGTCAAGGCCGAGATGGGCGCAGAAGATTACGACGATTACGATTGTCGTGCGGATGGTGCCCTGCTATGGGCAAAGATGTCGATACGCGGCGCAGACGCTATCAATCCTCGGTGGCTAATGCAGCGCCTCGAATGGCCCACGGACTTGGTGACATCAGGCGAGACGGCTGAAGAAGGACGGGAAGACCTAACTACCACTTTCCAAAGATTACGCGAGTCCTTCAGATCAGTTCGCGATCGGCCGCCGAAGGAAGCACTTTCTGCGAAAGGTTCTGGCATCGTCGAAGGCTTGCTACGAAATGTCTTCTTGGTTGTTGACCGAGATGCGGTAAAATCTGTCTCTAAACATACAAGAAGCGTCGACGATATGTGGGTTTGGGCGATAGACCCGGACTTCGAGCCCAATACAACGCCGTCCTCTGGGGAGGGTGTCAAATCGGACCGCTATCAGGGATACATACGTGTAAGGTTGCAACAACTCGTCAAAAACTTCTACGAGATGCGACGGTGGCATGCGGATGAGTTCTCCATGCAAGCGCTATGGGAGGCTGCCCAGCTTAGCAGGGACCAGCTTTTTGTATCGGTTCATGAGGATGAGGCAAAGCAATGGACCTTATCAAGGGATGTCGGCAGTGCTATACGCCAGGTATAACACTACACTGGCGATGCATCGTCCCCTGCCATGCTTAGGATCCTGTAGGAAGTGCGCCGTACCAAGTTCAGTGGCTTGGCGCACATCCTTCTCATTGGCCATACATGTACCATATGCAGATAGTTCGGACCAGGCCCTGTATGATATCTCCCACCGCAACTCGGACAAGGATAAATTAAAACTGATACTAATACGCACGCGTAATGTGCATATAATTACCAGACCATGTCACTTTTATAAATAATTGATTCTCTATTAAATACATCAACAACGGACTCATTTAGAATCACATCAGGAGAGCTACTTATAAGTGAAAGTGGTTGTGATGATTGTGATTTATATGGCGTAATCTACTAAGTCTGGCTGATTCACAAGTGGCATGGCCCATGGTAGTGTTAGCGGAGCCAGACACGGTCGACCTGGTCCCTTCCGGGTGGGTGCCACTACTTCTATTAATCAAGTACTCAAGCTAGTCAAATCATGTTTAAAGCGCCGCCTGACTGTTGGGTTCGGCGCTTAGATACTTAAATAGGTATCTAAAGTACCTGTATTCATCAGTACGTTCGTGGTTTGATTTGAATTATATAAAACAGCTCCACCGTTCCGCCAACTTTCACCGTCCTCGTCTCTACCGACCTCGCTCAGCTAACAACTTCGTGTGTAACCAACGATCCATCATGGCATCCGGTCGAGCTCAGCGCGCTTATTCTGCTAGCGATTCGCCTTATGGGCCTAACTCTTCTAGGGTCCGTATGACCTCTGAGATGGTAGCGGAATACCACGCCCGCAAGCGTGCTAACGCGGCTCGCGACACCGACAATGTTCGGGCTCTCGGTCCAACTAAGGCATTTGAACTACCCCTTGAGCTGTATGAAAAAGCCCAATCCCGAAATGTGGAACTTAGCGAATACAAGGTACAGGATTCCGTTTCGATATCTAAGCTTTGGACCCGAGGATAACTGGGACGTAGCGCACTCTTCTTATGGCCCGCGGCGATGTTGTGGGTAAGGCGCTGGTCTTCCCAGAGTCCCTGACTCTGGCGGAGAAATACGAAGTTCTCAACTGGACCGAACCGAAAAAGCTGCATGCCGTTATTCGAGTAAAGAGTGGCCTTGGTACTCCTGCGGAATTATTAGACAAAAAAAGACAGATCAGAGCATCCCTTTCAAACAGTCTTTAAGGATTGTAATTGATTTAGCCTTTGTTCCTTTAGACAGAAGCGTGCTCATTTGTATCCATAAAATCAACATGTGACAAATGTTCTGGCCGGGCAGATGAGTGAAACCCCAAGCACCTGTCTCGCATGACACTGTGCTTCACAATGTGGTCGTAGTGGGCCGTCACTTAAGTACAATCAACTATTCGTCAAAAAAGAAATTGTAGTATGGTGATGCGGGTAGAGATACGAGCTGCTGTAAAGAAAAGGGGTCGTCACTGGGTTCGCATATGGTAGGTGGTGAAGTGGTCAAAAAGGTTGACAAAAAGGAAAGGGGAGGCAGAGCAAAGAGGAGAGAAAAAAAACGGTTAGTTAGTAGACCTGGGATTCGAACCCTTGCCGCTACTGCGAGTGAAGCAGCGTGGATGAGGCATTACTGGCTGAGAAGGGCAGCACAACACCCGAAGGTGACGGAGCTCGCTAACCGCTAACTCCACCACTACACTATGACAGCAAACAGTGGACTACCTGTTGTTAGAAGATTGCTACCTTATTCAGATTGATATTGCCATAGTGACTCACTTCATTGTACAACACTGGCACTTCATGCTGTCGCTTTGCATTCCCACTGCAGGCGCATTGAAGGTTGTTGACCTGGCGATTGAAATCGACGTCGGGGTCTGCACTGTGGCTGCCTTAGTCGATGCCCCAGATCACTTCAAATTGTAGCTCTATCGCTCGATGCCTCCTGATCATGGAGACTCCCCTTTTCGTGATGCGCTTATTAAGTTTCCTGAGGAATTATTGCCACACACTCTACTATAGCAGCTTTTCGTTCATTGGTCCCTCTGTTTTCTGTTCGACCTCTAAACCTGACTGCGGTCATTAATCCCTCCCTTCATTACAGATGAAAGACTGCTTCACTGCCTCGACGCGAGGACTGGCGGACTCTGTTTTTTTATTTTTATATACACTTTTTTCTACCACGCTCGCCATATTGTAGCATGTAGTGTGGTATACTTGCATATGTGTGGTACGGCTGACACTGCCTCATACCTGTGTGGAGGAGATCTCTATCAATTCATATAATGAGGTTGAATTTGACCATGAACTTTTTAATACATAGCACCACCACTTTCATCCTGTTAATTACCTTCGAATGTGGCAATGTGCTGTCACCGAAAGCGCTCAGGCGCCGAGCCAGTGGGAGACTGCTAAACTATACAACATGAAGATCGAATGCTCCTAACGACGGAACATACCGGTGCTGTGTGAGTATAAACAACACGCACATCAGGCTCCTCCAACCACAGACTATAAGAGCTTGTCTGGGTTTACGTTTTTACTGTCTGCCTTCCTTCATCAAGCTCTAAGACGTGGTTTGCAGATGCTCTTAGATCCTTATCTAGCTCAGACTACGGATCAAGTTCGCACACAAAGGTATATTTCAACCCATGCACCATGGCAGCACAGCAGCACATTTCTTCCTCTGTGTCAAGGATCTGGGGTAGGCATGGTGTTACCTCGTGCCTGACCCACAACCACGAATCGATTCGAGAGCCTTGAGATCCTACAAAAGCGCGAATGACAGCCAAATGTCATGGCGGCGTGGCTCGGGATCCCCTAGTTGAACAGTGTCCACTGTCTTCAGCAGTGTCCCTGGCTGATAACGTTGCGGTGATTGGTGGTAAATCTCACTTTTTGGCACTCCTTTGTCTTCTCCTAATAGGGCAAGCCAACAGTGATGTTATCGTGGATTCAGGGACGGGCCTTTTTGTATGCTGCAAAAAGCATTAAAAAGATATTTGTCAGGAGCCAGCAGTGTGTCATGGCTTGGACGGTGCAGGTCGTTGCTGTGGTAAGGTACGAGAGGTGCGTGGTGGTCCACCGCCAGGTGAAGAATAGCAAACGCGATGGCTGTAGGGATAGCTCTCCTTTTCTCCCAGTCGGCAACTTTCTCGCGGGGACGGCAGAGGAAATATGAGAAATCAGTCAGAAGTCGCAAGAGACCATTCATATTAAGGACAGTAAAGCAGTCTACTGACTACAAGAAATACCGGTACATGCGTTACAAATGTGTACTCAAGATTAAAGACTTCCACGTAAACCCGTGTCTTGTATCCGCGCACAAGTTACTCATAATTGCGCGTCGTGTTCAAAACATCGAGTGTTCATCCTATGCCTCCTGCTCGCATTTGTTCGACCAGCCGTTGTTCCAGTCGATGACGATGAAGTTCGAGTCGTAGCTGTAGTACCATCTCTTGAAACCCTGCTTCCACTTGCCCTCGGGCTCCTTCCTCACGTCGTCGAGCAGGAAGGCAAACTTGTCACCGAAGTTCTTTCGGTCGGCCGTGGCCGAGCTCCCAAGCTGCCAGCCGGCCAACCAGTGTCCTTGTTTGCTAGACTTGAGCTGTCCGTCCGTAGTAGCTTGCTTCTTCACTACCTCTTTCAGATCATTGAAAACTTCTTCCTTCCATGGCTTGCAGGTCTCGCCTGCAGTGACCCAGCCTATGCATGCTTTCTTTCCGTTGTCAGAATCAGTAAGCTTCCAGCTAGAGATGCTCTCTCTGGTGGAGAATGAGCATTCGGGGTCTCCACCCTTTCTGCGAACAATTTCGGTGAAACCCTCAGGTGCCGTTGCCGAGACGCCAGGCAACATAGCTGAGCAAAAAAGGAGGGTGGTAATAGCTGCTCGGACCGCCATCATGAAGATATGCTGTATGACTGAAGATTGAAGTTGGGGAGAGAGATGGCTGAGGTGGTGGTTGTGCTTCTAAGTTGCGTAATCGTGAATGCAAGAGGGATTGAGATGGTTGGCTTCGCTGTATGCGTGTGACAGAGTCCTCGCTCTTCACAATAAAGAGTACTTACATGCAGTATATATACACGCCGGTCATAAGTTTTCGGGATTGGAAATACTATTCTCATCTCGATGATGGACAAACTCCAAATAGCCTGTACATCAATCGACGTCAACGGTAACAAAAACAGTATCAGAGCCTCAAAGGAAGCAAGAAGTGACGTACTGGGATTCGAGTAATTATCACCAGGGTGTTATCGGAAGGGCTATGGAGACGTTAACAGTGGCGTTGCCATGACAGTTCACCTGATATTTTTGGTACTGGATGAATTATGTCTTAGTCATTTCAAAGATCTGCTTCATGTTTAGACGATAATGACGTCCGAATACTCCTACAGAATTCTGGGTCCAAACTAGGCATCAATATAAAAGCTCTAAAAGGACTGCGATTTGCTGGAGCCGGGTCTTCACCCTTATAGTCAGCTGCATCAATCGTCTAAATCATCGGGCCAAGAACCTGGAGGAAGTGGAGCAGTAGCTAACTGGCGATCTGCTGCAACCCGTAGCCATGATCTTATGTGCGCACCGGCAAAGCTCAGCAACAACGAAGCAGTCAGGATCGATCGTCGCGCGCGGTGGCGTGGTGAGACAAGAGTCCGAGACTCTGACGTCATGTTGCATGTGCTCTGTAAGTATATGCCAAGACTTGTAGGATCGAATGCGAGGCTGTGCTTTTGCTAGGTACTTCCTTCGGACGATGGGTACCGTCAAAACTCAAGATGATTCCTACGCGTTGACACGGACCAGCTTCCAGCTTCCATACATAGAAGCAAAATGCACTGACCGGTGCTTATTTGTAGGGAATGCCGGTAATAGCAAGGGAAATAGAGGCCGTTTCAGGGATAGTGGGAGGTTCGATTCATTTAATTGGACATCTTGTGGCATTTGGTCCGTGTCAACGCCTAGGAATTATCCGAGTTTCAATGGGGGAAACGGTACCTGAATCCGAAGCATAGTCTCGGCCAGCCGCCCAAGCAGTAAGGGCAGTCCTTGAAATTAATTTGTCAGCGCCTTATCGACAATCTCCCAGTGCTGCGAGTACGATATGAAGCCTGCTGGAGGGCATGCACATCTCTAGCATCCAGTAGCCCGTTCAATCGGGGCCAGGCCTCGCTCTGGTAGTGCCTGCAGCAAGCAGTGCAAGTCGGCAAGAACGGCGCGAAAACATATGGCTGAGAGGAAACAATGTCTCAATGCGGTTACACGTTCACGCAACGCTTCAGGATTTACAGAAAACACCGGAGGTTTTACTATGAACGGACTAGGTAACTTGAGACTGCAGGAAGATTTCGCGAAATTGAAAAGTCAACGTATGCAAAAGGGACTTCAAAGAAGGCCAAATCGGTAAGTGAGGCTCTGGGCCACAAGGCTCAGATCATAGATATGTACCTGTGCTTTCCCGGCAAGATACGTGACAGCTCTAACTCCATAAACAAAATCTGTCCCATTCAATGGTTTCCAATGGCACCCTGAATATGGAGAGCCTTGCTAAGGCAGCTATCAGGTACATATATAATTACAAAATCGATCTGTCCTTTGGACCAGGGCTATTGTCAGTGCCCAGATTCCCAGGCGCCACCCCTTCTAAACACAAAGTCCACGGCGAGATGGACGAGGGCAGGCCTTTGAGCTCCACAAATATGTCCCAAGCAGTACGGCCCTTGGCGTCACGCATCTGAGCATCCGCTCCAGCCGTCAACAGCAAGCGACTCATTTCCTCGGTTATGTTCCGGGACAACTCACCGCGACCTGCTGCCGCCACTACCATCATCAGCGGCGTCAGTCCTAGGCTCGGCGACACGTAGTTGATGTCGGCAGTTGCGCCGTGGCGGGGAAGAAGCCGAGTGGAAAACGACATTTCCAGTTCGTGGCCCTGCAATGCCAGGTGCAGAGGCGTATCTCCCCCACCGGCACTGGTGGCCGATGAAATACTAGCTTCTGATGACCGGCGTGTTCGCGCTCGCACATCGGCGCCGGCCCGTATTAACATTGTCAGAGCCCTTGTCTTGGTCATCATCCGCCGTTGCATCTCCTCGTCGCGTCGGCCCGATGGCCTATCTCGCGCTTCGAGTAACAGGTGGAGAGGCGTACGCCCAGACGCACTGTAAGCATTCAGATCATTCGCACCAAAGGCCGCTCTCTCATTGCCGCGGCTCAAGAGCACCTGCAGGCGGAAGCAGGGTTCGTGGTGGAACGGGTCCGCCGGTTCTCCGGTAGCGTAGTGCAGCGCGTTCCAGCCTCGCCTGTCTACGGCGTTGACGTCGACACGCCAATGCTGTATGAGAACATTTATCAGCAATGCCGTTGCGACTGTGTGCGCATGCCTGCATAGAAGAATCAAGGGAGTCCTTCCATGAGCGTCCTTTGCGTTAGGGTCGGCACCCCGATCCACAAGCACGTCGATAAGCGAAGAGAGGGGCGACGGCCGGAGCAGCATAGTGCACCATATGCTACGAGAATAGTCCCAACGCCGTTGGACTCGGTGGAAGAAGCTCCCGCACAGGAGGTGGAGAGTGCTATTGCCTTCCGAGTCGACACGGGTTACATCAGCGCCGAGTGCGATGAGGGGTTGGACTATGTCCAAGGCCTTCTCGGCTTGTGAGCCATCCTGACGCAGACTATACTGCAGCAACGTTTGGTCCTGAATTGTCGTGTCGATGTTGCCGCCGTACTGGATCAATAGCTCTAGTTTTCGGATACCCTCAGGGTCTGGAGGATAAGCCCCGGAATTGACCATGGCAGCAACAAGGTTGGCGACAAGGGATTTATCATAGGCCTGTTCGAATCCACGGAGTGGCTTCTCAGCCGTGTAGAAGGGATCTCTATACCTAGTATATGGCATGGACTGATCTGCGCCTCTCTCCAGAAGCAGCTGAACCAAGTCAACGGAAGATGGCATCATCACGGCCAGAAACAAAATCGGTGTATGGCATGGTTCGCTGTTGTGTAAGGCGTCCAATGCTGAATCGAGGCCGCTGTTGGGAGATGCTCCTCGATCCAGGAGCATGGTGGCCATAGTTGTGGCCATTTCGGCATTGTGATCTCTCCCCCCAAGCCATATGGCTCTGTATAGCAGGGAACCTCCATTTGGAAGAGGCTTGTTCGCATCGACGCCGAAATCGAGAAGGATACGAAGAGCATCAACGTAGCCTTGTACAATTGCGATTTCGGCAGCCGTTGTGCCGTCCTGGGCGACATGGTTTGGATCTGCCCCGAGCTGGAGGTGCGCGGTGACAGCGCTGGGCTCGCACTTGTTGGAGATGCTGCTTGTCAGAGCCGACATACCGGATTCAGTGACATAGTGATCAAGCCGCCCGCCACGGTCAGCAAGTAGGTGTACCACCTCACCTGTCCTAGCCAAATGCATGGGAAGGAAGCCATTTGTGGTGCTGGCGTTGACATTCGCCCCCTTTTGCAGCAAATAGTCGATGACAGGTGTGTGTCCGCAGAGGGCAGCTTGGTGGATGGGCGTTAACTCGAGACCAGCCGCACTTGAAGTCAGAGTTGTGTCGAAGAAGGATGCCATGTCCTCAACCTTGTCGACATTCTCCAAGGTACAGACGAGCCCATGCTCTACTGCCCACCACACCACATCTTGTCGGGTAATCTGAGTAGCATTCCCACCCGAGCTTGAGGCCGCTGTCCTTGATGGTAGCAGCCTGAGATACAAGATAGGGCAAAGACAGCTCGTATGTCGTCGATCTGCCAGGAGCCATCGAGCGTGGTCTTTGAAGGATATGTGTTGGGCCACTTGGAGAAGCAGCTCAGGAGGAAGGTCGCAGATAGTATGGACGTCCAACTCCGGCATGTTTTGTTCGTAAGGGTGGAGGACGTAAGTTATATACTTGTAGGTAATAAAACTCGAGTGACGGTGAGCTGTCAGGTGAATACTGGCGCTAGTGGATGTGGTGGCAGGTTACTCCACTTTTGATAGAGTATGGATATGTGCGGATCTCACGCCCGTTTACATTAGAGCTTCAGATTATTATTACATCAAATTTTCACCCCATCCACGAGCATTTTCTTTTGAAAAGCATGACATCTCAAATGAGTCTGAAATTAATTACCCGCAATGTGCGCAGTGAATTCGCATCTCAGTGGAGGCGGAAGTGAAGCCAGTATGACGTCGTTCCCATGCTTAGGGATCGTACAGGTAAGGTAATCTTAGTAATCAGTAACACCAGGGACTGGCCCTATGCGGACCGCTCTCCGCCAGTTATACAACCTGCAACGACATTCACTTAATACGGTGGACTGCGCGAAGCCCCCGCTTGGGAATAGAATTTTATGGGCCGCCATGCAGTTTTAATCAATGCGAGGTCTGTAGTTCAAATAGGTGGCTGAGAGCAGTCCGAAAGTTTATAACTGTCAGTTTTTCATTTATAAAAATATATCTTTCTCAAAACTTGTTTATTTTAAATTGAAGATTATAATTTATATTGTTCCTTTTTAAGGGTATTTGTCAAGTAATTATTTGATAATGAACCCGCGTAGAATATACGAGCTCACAAAACGGCTACACAAGCATACGTATTCGCCCAGAGCCCCGCGCACCCGGATCCCACTGCGGGATTCCAGTTGATGAACTGGGTCGTGGAGATTTTGTACTTGGACGCGATAGTGGCACAGTTTTCACCGGTCGCGACGAAATGGAAAGACTTGCAATTGGGCGTCATGCCGCTCTGAGTCGGGGTCGGGGTAGCCACTCCATTGCCAGGCCGCGTCGTGGTGGGTGTAGCTGGCGTGTGCCCAACGATGGACACGCACACGTAAACGTCGAGCCAGAGCCCCGGGCACGACGTGCCGCCAACGTCATTCCACGCTGCCAGCTGCGTGACCGTGATGCCGTTCTTGCTCGCAATGGTTGCGCAGCTATCGCCGCTAACCACCTTGTGGAAGGCGTCGCAGTTGGCCACCATCCCCGGCTGTGTTGGAGTCGGAGTCGCGATGCCGTTTCCGGGCTTCGACGTCGTGGGCGTGGGCGTGTGGCCGATGACCGAGACGCAGACGTAGACCTCGGCCCACAGGCCGTTACACGCCGTGCCGCCGACCTCCGTATTCCACTGTAGGAACTGGCTGGTGGTGATTCCATTCTTGGCCGCAATGACGTCGCAGTTGTCCCCGCTGGCCACCTTATAGAAGGCGTCGCAGTTGTCGACCATGCCGGGCTGCGTGGGCGTGGGCGTGGCGATCCCGTTGCCCGGCTTGGTCGTGGTTGGTGTCGCGGGCGTGTGTCCGATCACGGATACGCACACGTACGCCTCGGCCCACAGCCCGTTACACGCGCTGCCGCCGATGTCCGTGTTCCACGTCAGAAATTGCGTCACAGAGATGCCGTTCTTGGACGCAATGACCTCGCAGTTATCCCCTGACTGGACCAGGTAGAAGGCGTCGCAGTTTTCTACCATGCCCGGCTGGATAGGGGTCGGGGTAGCGATACCACTGGAAGCCTGGTCAGTAACTAGACATGGAGCGAAGGTGGAAGATACGGTAGACAAACTTTGTTGGCTTCGTCGAGGTCGTGGTGGTGGGAGTTGTAAGCGTATTGCTGGTGGTTGGACGAGTTGTTGATGTCACCATTGTGCTCGTGGTGCTTGTCCGCACCGAAGATGACATCGTGGTGGAAATCTTGGTGGAAGTGACCGTGGTAGGCTTGGCAGTGGTGGATACAGGGGGCTCGCCGGAAGCATCAACGCCTAGAATCTAGTTAATCCAGGCCTGCAACCGAGAGGGTCGTCTCAATTATTGGGAGCCTCTTACAGTACGACATGAATTGCTTGTAGGCGCCACAGCCAGAAGCTAGGGACGGGTTCTAAGACATCAGGTCAGAGATATTGAGTGAGATCAAATGCAGCTAGGCAGACTTACCCATCGTACAAAGTCGTCCATGGTAATTCCCCAGGCGTCAGGCATATCCTCACAAGGGATGGAGCCATCGTTGTCCCACCACCACGAGCAGTAGGGCGTCGTGTTCGGATCAGAGGGGTAGTTGGGCTGGGCATCCATGGCCTCCATATCGCCGGACGAAGCCGCCAACGCAACAGAGCCTGGGTTGCTTCCGCTGCCCACAAGGGCAGCGGCAAGTAGAACCAAATTCCGAACGGCCATTTTCATCGACACTGAGACTTCCGGGGAGCTGAAGTAGTGTGCACGAGTGCCTGAGGTAGATCATAAGGGTTCGTGTTCCCAGAAGTCTGTGGTAGTTATACTGTTACGCCATGGTCTCGCTGGTATACAATCTTCCTCTGACCCGTGAGAAAGCCCCGGAAATATATCCCGTAGTTAGCCGATATTGCGTTCATACTCAAGAGATGACATGGAGTTCTAGACTTTGTCAGCTCGTATAGGAGTGGTCACCAGGTTAGGCTACCCCTACTCACATAGCGACGATTTAAAGCTAAGCTCTCACTATTGGCCTGCACTATGCATGTCTCTTGGGAACAGCGATTTGAAAGTACCATGTTCTAAAAATAACATGATTGCCCCACGAAGTCAGAGCACCTATTGCTTACAGTGGCCATAGGCAGGTGACTGGTGAGCTGGGCGACGCCAATGCGGGCAGTTGCCAAGATGGCACCGGAGATTAGGGGTGTAAATATCCCTGTAACGGGATTCATGATTTGAATATGGTTGTCCCCTGTCAACGGAAAGCTTAATGGAGTTGGAGAACCCTGGTTGGCCAAGCCAATACTCTGACAATTATGTCAGCAAGCCAGTCTCTAGCCCCAGCAATTGAAGGGAATGCGGTCCGGGATTTCCAGACTATACTGAAGATGGGATTGTGAAAAGTTCTGGGGTCTGAAATAGGTAAGCTTTCTTTATACACACGTCCGGAAATTAACTGCCTCTTCGCTGATGCTCGGAAGGATTTCTTTCCCTTTATCCTCACTTGGCTTTACCGCCCCCGTCCCCTTCCCCTGATAGGCCTAGCCGCGGGTCTGGGTGAGCTGGGCCTACACATCTTACTGCAGTGGCGGAACATCAGGGCCGGCACAAAGCGCGGCATCCGCTGGAGCTGGGTCTGTACCAAGGGGCTTTCCCTATTGAGTTTCCTGCCGGCCCATCTATTGCGCATTTGAAATAGCTGGGGCGGCGGTGGTTGTATGTGTCCGCCTGACCAAGCGGAGGGGTCCGGCGTCCAAAGCTCATTGCGGCCCTGCTCTGTGACGCCCAGCATGTTGCACCTGTGCCAAATCCACGCCATTTCGAGCTCCTGCAGCCATTGCTGAACGCTTGCGGCGAAGGTCTCGGCTGAGTCAAGGACGGTGGCAAAAAACTTGGCGATTTCTGGCTCATCCAAGTGTTGCCCCGTCCGCCAGGCGTCTCGAAACTTGACAATGGTTGCTGTGTCTCGCGGATCAACCAGCTGAATGGGTTCCTCGCCCAGTGTCCCAAAAACCTGTGTCTGGGCCGCAGCGGCGTACTCGGACATGTGGATCTCGATGATAGCCAAGACGACATGATACTGACGACCCGTAAGGAAGTTGATGTGAAATATGGGATCACTGATCTCGTGTTCTTCATGGAACCATCCCCAAGCCTCATAGTTGAAGGGATGCAGTAATTCGGCACTGACAGAGGCCGCGCCTGCTTGACCAGCCAGCCAGCGAAACTTTGGGAGGGGATCTGGAACGTCGGGAAGATAGTCGTGGTCATTATAACCGGGATGCCAGTTGAGGTGCACGATGTCAATACCCTTGCGCAGCGGGAGCGGCCGGTGCTCATCTTGGTCCATCAGATAGTGACGATTCTGTAACACAACTTGACGTGCTTCGTGGCAGACGTGAGACACCACTGGCGTCACGCCTGCCTGCGGGGACCATAGCGAAGCCGTACGTGGTAGGGTGTTGTGGTTCTCGCGCCGGGCCGCTGTTCCCATTTCGTAGACGCGGGGACCTGGAACACAGAGCGACCAAATCAGGAGTCGAACTTCAGTGGGCAAATTAGAAAATTGAGGGAAATCCATCGTGGCCATGTCACTGCAGTTCCTCGCTGTGTTTCGCGAAGATGGTTTGGGGTTTGTAAGAGAAGTTTCGACAGGCGAAAGCGGTTGTTGTAAGTGCAACGGAGGATAAATACATTAAATACATTGATTGCTTAATTACAAAGCAAGGATGTTGTTCTAATGGCGGGGTCGAGGTAAGTATCATCAACTAGAGGCGCGTCTTCTCGATATATACATAATTAGACGTGTAAGTTTCAGAACAAATTAATATGCCCAAATGCTTGTCCAACAATAACCTCCGAGCACTCGACGATGGATCAGATATAATGTACCTCTAAACCCTCTTAAGATCTCCGACAAAAGAAAAAATACTTGGCAAAGTGGGTTCCGACTAGTATGGAATCCAAGGTTTAAAAACAAGAAAACGACCCCCAGATGCCGTCTCGGATCTTTTGGAGATCGATAATAGCCGTCGTGTGCTTCAGGGGTGCGCCTGCGAGTTGGTCGTAGTTGCTGACATAGTCCCGTATGAACTTCTTCCAAGCCTCAGTTAAGTTGGGATTCTTCTTGATCGTAGCTTCGACGTCAATTTCATCAAAGTCCCCACCGTTAGGCAAAGTGGGCTTGGGCGACTTGTATGCAACATCCTTGTCGGTGAACCCGTAGGTGGCCATCTGCGATTACCAAGCCCACCGTCAGTCAGCCTCAGTCATCCGTTTTCTTTGTAATCATCGCTGCTGCAACTCACCCCTGCCTTGTAGTCCTTGATTAGGGCGTCGGCCTGGTCGGCTCTCCTCATGTCGATGCAAACATCCAACGACTCTCCCGCGTTGTATACAAAGTCGGCAATGTTGGCATAGCTTTTGCCTGACACCTTGAGGATGTCGGTTTTTGCCTGCTGGATGGCATCGAAACTATCCTGCAGCAGGCGTCCGAGAGTCGGCTGGTCCTGTTTAGTAAAACTGCTGGGGGAAAGCTTGGCCGGATCGATGGTCGAGCTATAACCAAGCGTCTTCAGGTTCTCGGCCGTTTGAATCACATCAAGGTCCTTCGCGGTGCCCACGCCCGTCGAACCCGTCCAGCCCGGCTTGTTTCTCGCCATCTCGATGTGTTTGATGAACTCGTCGAAGTCACAGGGGTTTGCTTTGCCCTGGTTGCAATTTTGCGCCGTCCACGTGTTCCCATGACCGTACGTTTCGACTTCGATACAATAGGCATTCCACAGGTACATTACTAATACCATGGCCACAGTTCAGCAATATTTTCCTTCAATCGTCACAATCTGTCTCGGTAAGACTTACTTTGGTAGGGACCTGCTCTGACCGAAGCCTCCACGCAGGCCATCAGTCCGATGACAACCAGACCGGTGATGGCGCAAAAAGACCTCATGGTAACCAAGTCTTGCGATACTGAAGAGGCACTACTCCGGGACAAGGAAGACAAAGCAAAGGATAAACGACCGACGGGGAAGAAATGAGCGACAGGTCGGGGACATCGTGACCAGGAGCCTTCGAAAACGAAGCAGAGAAGTGGCGGCTCAAGAACAATTCAAGGCACCCAACACCAAACCGGAGAAAGAGACGACCGTTTTCAGTTGCGCCAAGGCGTCAACAGTAATCTTCTTCCGAACTATCAATTTTCTGTGCTGACATATTTCCTGTTATAGGGTATAGGACCAATGAAGAAATAGCTATAATATGCATACGAGTTCTGCGTGGAATCATCTAGGCCGTGCCAAGGGTAATATTCATTTGCACGTCTGACAGCATACCGGGTAGTAAAATGAGAAATTGATGGAAACTGCATACTGCGTGATCATGCCGTTCCTGCGTTAGCATCCTTCCATGGCAAGTTTTCTTTCAGGGGTCTGACTTGGCATAACCAGGCCCCTGGCTTGCGAGGTAACTTGGAGGAACCTAGGCTAACAAGCGAGCGCTACCCGTCAGAAATAAGTCCCGCATAGTTGGGGAATCCCTACAAAGCAAAAGTTCTGGCCCAATTCGGCTACTTGGCAAATCTGACAGGACCCTTGAATTGCATCCTGCTCCACGGATGCGGCGCTTGGTTCTACTAACAGTATAGTATAGCAATTGAGTCTTTCGGTGCACCCGTCTTTTCACCGAGTGATGGGTCATCCGTTGTTCAGTGGGCCCCGAATATCCGATATCTCTATGATATGCGGCCTCTTCTACCTCTTCTACCTCTTCTTCCACGTCGTGATGTTGTTTGATCATCTGCACACTCGTTTCTCCTTTCCTATATGCCTTGCAAGGCGCTTTGCTTTGAGTCATTCTTTTAATTTCAACTTCCTGTTGTGAAGCCCGATCCGTCTCTCGTCAATATGGGGGCGTTTTGGAGATACTCTCTCGCTTCTCTGGCCCTTGTGCAGACAACTCTGGCCGACAACATATACTGGGCCAATTATGTGAACTGCCCACAGGCGTGTAGCGCCAGCGGCCCAATATCCAGCAACTGGACACACTATCATGCGGTCAGCGATCTTGAGTGGTGCCAGAAACCCATGCTGTTCGACATGGGACTGCAAACGCCTGTTGACCAAGCCGATGCCCACATCACCATCAGAGCCTGCACGGTTTCTGACTTTGGCCCCGTGGCTGTACGAAATCCGGGTCTTCTTTCAAGGCAAGAGACCTTTGACAATGAAACGAAGCCAGCAGCCATCAGCAACTCTTCGCAAACTACCACCTGCGGAACGCCGGGATCATCGCCTGAGCGCAGCTCCCTGGATGTCCGTCTCAGCTGGGGAGGCTCTGCCGACCGCGATGGCAATGACGCCGTGTTGGCTACCGAAAACCTGATTCAAAACCTAGAAAAAGGGGTGTCCGGCTGCGCGGAGCCTACCATTTTGTTTGCAAAGTCTGGAAAGACCATTGTCGGACTATACGTTGGTTCCCAAATCGACACGTCCAGCGCTGCCAGCATCATGCACGACCAATTCGCTTCCAGGGCCAAAGCCGACAAGGTCCCCAACCGCATCGGGGCTCAGATCTGCGGGGAGAGACCTATCAGCTCGCAGACCTTTGGTATATACGCTGATATCAAGGGCAATGTCACGGCGGTCCAGGACGTCGTTCGGGGCTGGAGCGAGGGCAGATGCCTTGCCGAATACGACCAGGAGGAAGTTATGAAGAGCACATCTGTCGGCATCACTTCAGCACTGATGGATGAGAGTAGTCTCGTCAGCAGCAGCGGCGGCGGCGGCGGTGCTGAGAGAAGAGAGCTTCATGCTCGCGCCACGTGCAAATTCGCGCAAGCTGACCCCGGCGACGGCTGCTGGGCGCTCGAACAAAAGTGCAAGATCTCCCGATCGGACCTGATCAAGTACAACGGGGGCAAGTCCGATTTTTGCGACACGGTGAAGTCCGGACAGTATGTGTGTTGCGGCAGCGGCGACCTGCCCGACTTCTCGCCGCAGCCGGACGCGGACGGAAACTGTAAGGCCTATACGGTACAGCTAAAGGACCTCTGCGGCACCATCGCGGCGGCAAACCAGATCTCCAACTGGACCAAGCTCGAGGAGGTCAACAAGGACTCCTGGGGCTGGACCGGCTGCGCGAACCTGCAGCCGGGCCAGAACATATGCCTCAGCAAGGGCAAGCCGCCCATGCCTAACCCCATCGTCGGCGCCACGTGCGGGCCTCAGGTTCCGGGGACCCAGATGCCCACCAACGGCACGAAGCTGGCCGACCTGAACCCGTGCCCACTCAACGTGTGCTGCAACATCTGGGGCAACTGCGGCCTCAGTGACGACTTTTGTATCGAGTCGCCCGCCGACTCGGGGGCGCCGGGGGCGGCCAAGCCCGGCAGCAACGGGTGCATCTCCAACTGCGGGTCCGAGATTGTGCACTCGGACAAGGGGCCGGACAAGTTCCGCGTCGTCGGCTACTTCGAGTCGTGGAACCAGGACCGCGAGTGCCTGCACATGGACGTTTCCAAGCTGCCCGAGGTGACGCCCATCGGCTGGAGCTTCACGGGCTACACCCACATCCACTTTGCCTTCCCCGACATCACGCCGCAGCTGACGGTCGACGTCAGCAAGGTTCAAGACCAGTTTGACGGCTTCAAGAAGCTGAACTACGGCGCCAAGAAGATTGTCTCGTTTGGCGGCTGGGCCTTTAGCAATGACGCACCCACTTACGCCGTCTTCCGAACCATGGTGTCCTCCGAAGTCAACCGGCAGAAGGCGGCGCGGAATATCATCCGCTTCGTGACCGATAACAATCTTGACGGTGTTGATTTCGACTGGGAATACCCTGGTGTAAGTCAATCAGGAAGGTCGCATTGTTCGCTCTGTAGATTATAACTGACTTTCTTCCTTTCGCAGGCCACTGACATCGACGGCACGCCAGGAGGCTCGCCCGACGAGGGAGAGAACTACCTCAAATTCCTGAAGACGGTCCGCAACTCGCTGCCGCAGGGCAAGTCGCTGTCCATCGCTGCGCCGAGCTCGTTCTGGTACCTCAGGAACTTTCCCATCAAGGCCATGTCGGAGATCCTCGACTACATCATCTACATGACTTACGACCTCCACGGGCAATGGGACGTCGGTAACAAATGGGCTAACCCGGGTTGTCCGACTGGAAACTGCCTGCGGCACCACGTCAACGAGACCGAGGTGAACCTCTCGCTCTCCATGGTGACCAAAGCCGGCGTCCCATCTAACAAGGTCGTGGTCGGGATGCCGCTGTATGGGCGCAGCTTCAAGATGGCCGAGAAGGGGTGCACAGGTCCGGACTGTACCTTCTTGGGAGACCGCCTTAACTCGCAAGCGGCTAAGGGAGTCTGCACCGACACAGCGGGCTACATTTCCAACGTTGAGATACGCGGCATCCAGAACAGCAACAGCAACACGGACCTATACGGTGAGCGGAGTGTCAAGGAGTACCAAGACGAGGGCGACATTATCGTATATGACGACACCGAGTGGGTATCGTGGCTCAAGCCTACAAATTATCTCTTGCGCGCTGCCGGATACCTAGGCGGCAATTTTGGCGGTACATCCGACTGGGCCATTGACCTGGAGTTCGACTTCAAGGACGGCGGCAAGGGTGACGATCATGAGCCGGAGACCGGACAAGACAAGGCCGCCTGCGATTACAGTCGTACCTTCAAGGACCTCGACGACCTCAAGAACAACGCCGGCGGCCTAAGCCTCTTCTGCCGCCAGATCTATGCCCTCGAGACCCTGGACAAGATGCTCGGTGACCTCTACGAAGAGTACAAGCGCATCGACAATGGCTACGATACCAAGTTCCAGGCCTACACCCGCTACATTGACCGCATCACGCCGTACGCGATTAAGAACTACATGTCGAAGGGAATGGAATGTAAGTTTCCCATCTCAGCTTTATCCACTTCATCCCATGGAAGACCCCGCAATGTTTCGTGACATGACAGTGACTAATTCGAGAGCAACCCACAGTCTTCGACTGCCTTAGGGATCCAGAGCTCATGCTCCCCGAGACGCGGCATTGTCTGGACTTTAGCGAGGACGAGCGCAGCCAGGGATCGTTTGACATGACGCTGACGCTGCGTGACCGCGAGGGCTACTTCACAGGCCTGCTCAAGGAGACGGGCGTTATCGAAGAGTGGGTCAACTTCAACGGGCACGAGCGCGACATCGGGTACTGCAACGTCGAAGGGGTGGGCATATGCCCGCCGGACACTGGGGTTCGCGACTGGTTTGGGCTGCCGCAGAAGAACGACAAGATCGAGGTGTCAGACCCTAAGGACATTGTGACCGAAGGCCTTGGCAATATCGACGAGATCCGTCACAACCTGTTGACAACGCGGCTTGAGATCATGCTGGGCGTGTGGGACGGCTCCGTCGACGACGTGGTCCAGGTGCTGTCGGTGCCCGTCTTCATGCTGGGCGAGGCCGTTGAGGGCATGCGCGAGGCCAAGGAGCTGGGCGAAGACCAGGAGGACTGGGAGGAGGAGCAGGCGCGCGAAAAGGCCAAGCAGCTGATCCTGACCATCGTCGGCGCCGTACTCTTCGTGGTGCCCTTTGTCGGGGAGGTCGGCGCCGTACTGGCGGGCGCCGCGACGCTGGCGCGCATCGCTCTCATCGCCGGTGAGACGGCCAACCTCGCCTTCGGCATCTACGGTATGGTCGACGACCCGGATTCGGCGCTCATGGGCGTCCTCGGCATGATGTTTGGTCTCGGCGGCATCACCAAGGTTGGCCGCAACCCCAAGGGCTTCAAGGACATGGCCGCCAAGCGCGCCAACCTGCGCACCAGCGGCGGCGTCAGCAAGATCGGGGGCAACTTCCAGAAGTGGGACGATGCGCTCCAGGATATCGTTCAAGCGTGCCGGAAGTAATACGCTGTGGAAGAAGCAGCACCTTTGACTTAATTTAATATAATAAATGTCACGGGACCACAGACGAATTGAGGCTCTGCCGCAACTCTTGTAATGTCGCGAGAAATCTAAAGCTTAAGCACGTACCTTGGTACACCAGTGATGCCCTGGAACTGTAGTGCGACTGGGCACAGCGGCACAGCGGCACAGCAATCAGCTCCTCGTAAAAAGAGCCAATCCATCCTCAGCTCCCCAAAGGCCTCTTTGCTAATGTACGGACAAGGTGACTGCAGGTATTGTTAGTAAACATAGTGTTCACACCGCACAATATAGAGAGCACATTTTCCCCACTCGTACTCATGCAGTCAGGCCACTGACTAAAGGTGTATCGCATACTACGCAAAGACCCAGGCCGGCTTCTCTATGCCTTTTTCCCCCTTTGCCTCTTAGTCAGACTTTAACCATTTCATATTTTCCTTGCCAAACCATCCAGTCAGGATGAGCTTGCTAAATCGTCTTGGTCTCTTTCTTGTCCTCTGTATCTGCACCAGATCCAGCAATGCGGCACCTTTGAGCATCACTGGAAAATTTCAGTCCTGGTTTCCCTTCTACGCTGAGGAACTCGATGCTGCCTCTGTCCAATGCAAGCCTGAGCTTGAAGCCTATTGGAGCGACGGGAAGAACGCAACAATCCCTTATGCGCCAGGGACACTCTGCATTAATGCTCAAAGCTGTCTACTCGATGCCCTCACCGAGTATAGTATTGCAAATATGGGTAGCTCGACCGTGCTTCTTGGCTTAGCACCTGCTATTCTAGGCCTTGTGGGCCCTACGCTTCCCGATACGTCTGTACTTATGATTCAGCGCCCTATCCTCTCGTCGCTAGTCTTGCTCGGGGCGCCGGCGATGAATCCGATCACCCTTTTCTCCAACACCAATGTTGAGGACGTTCTGCTGTTAAAGCCCTCAGCTATAATGGTAGCCCTCCAAAGGTCGATCTTATCCTGGAGAACCGGTCAGAACGGAGTCAAGGTCCGCATAAGTACCTGGAAGACGGCTATCATTTCAGCTGCACAGTACCTGCTAGCTTTGGCAGCCGTGGCGAATACAATCCACAATACTGTAATGCTAGATCTTGGCACGTCCGTCAGCTGGCGATGTAGCTCCTTTGGTCTGCCTCTACTTTGGAACACCCTCTCCGTGCCAATTAGCTGGCTAGCTGCAATCGGTTTATGGTACCGGGTGGGCTCGTTCAATGGTAGAAAGGGATCAGATGCCCAACTCAGGACCAATTCTAGAGCCTTTATAAGGCGCTTCATCACTTCAGAGCATGTACCATGTCTCTTCCAGCCTCAACCCGCCTGGAACCAGCAAAACGTCCCGCCCACAGTCGTGTCGGATCTTACATACTTAGCAGCCTGCCTTCTGCTGCTGGTTATTTATGGGTTCGGAACGCTGGTGTTCTCTTCTCTTCTCTTTGTAGCAGTAAACAACTCTGCCATAGTGCTGTTGCGGTATGCAATATCGGCTTGCTGTTGCCGTTTCCTGCTCTGGTTTGAGCTAGAATCAATGCGGCTCTGGGCTGGGGAAAAAGACGATGGAGAGGAGCTAGATATGCTATCTGGAGGCGAGAGTCATCTTCAATATTGAATGATTAAGTAGACTATATATTATTTCATGTCTCTTCCTGCATCGTGCAAGGCAATGTTTCGCTATCAGAAGGGGTTTGCTGACATTCATGGGCCCAACAACGCGGTATGCTTATAAAGCATGTTCATACTGGGTACAAGTTTGTCGCGGTAATTGGGGCAGATGAGGTGAGGTGTCTTTTCGGTGTGATAGCCGTGAAACCAGGCTGAAATGGACAAGTTCATGAGTTTGTGGCGAGCGTCGTAATGTGGAACGGTGAACTCAGTCGAGACGGCATGTCCAAAACACATCTCACATTGTTCCTCGTCTGCCTCTACTGCGGCATCGACTACATCGTGACACTGTTAGTTGTATCATCCACGTGGAGCGTAGTATTTGACACCTGATCGGTGATGGCTAGAGTCAAACCATGAATAGACCTTTCGAGCTGAGACTGGAGATAAGACGCAGTAATTCTCACGTTAAAGGTTGAGTCAAATTAATATGCGACAAACTAGAACAAAGAACGAAATCATTGCCTAGAACAGTCGCGTTTAATCCCCGAGCTCTCCAGCACCCAGCAGTGGAAGCCCCAGTAGGTGTCTAGTACCTAAGCAACGCACCACAGACCACTGGTTTCCTGAATTCAAGGAATTGCATTTTAATTATAATGGTTAGTTTCATAGTCATTCCATCTTGGACTCACAGAACCCTATTGACCCTTAGGACTGAAGTAACAAGCGCCGCAACACATTAAAAGCCAATACCGTGCAGGGAGTTTAATGTCATCGACTTCAAGGCTCTTCTGCTACCAGCCAATGATTTGATTTGGTAGACGCCCAAGATATGTCTTTAACTGAGCTTCATTCACCTCCGCGATATACTGGAGACGTGAATCACTACTTGGCCAACTGCGGAAGCAACATGCGCAATATTCACAATTCTGGCAAGCACTGGCAACATAATAACGCCATAGCATTTCACGACGCAAAAGCAAAGCAGACGCGATTCCATGATATTGAGTTATAACGGCAAATGGGTATCCCATTGGATCTCTGAGCCAACAGACAATTGCTTAGCAATTGTCGAGGACCTGGATAATTATGTTCCAAAACAAACAATTAGCATGCGTTCCTTGTTTTTTTGCTCTTAGGAACTGAATTATTGGACAACTTCATGCTCAATTAGCAATTTTGTATACAGTAGGTAAGTATTTCTACTGCCAAATCCGGAATAAATCATCAGCCTTCCCGTTTGGATTTTGACGACGTCTTAGCGACTTTAGACATCGCGGATCCCGTAGGTGAAGCATCAGCCAAGTGCAAATGATCAATCGCAAGACAGGCTGCACTATGTTGAGATAGCGGCCTAGCCGCGTTTGCATGTAGTCAGTCACTCGAAAGAGATCAAGTTGGCGGACCAGTCCACCACATCATGTAGACCGTTTTCTTTCATGCGCATGTCAAGAAGTGGAAGTCTGTACGTACGAGAGCCGGCCCGCTGTGGCTCGCTTGATGGCTTAAGTCCCGCTTTGTATGAACACAAATCGTGGACGATCTTATAGTATCCGCAGCTCTGGCATGCAAAGTCGCCCAACCATGAGCAAATGTAGTCAGAAATCTGGCAAGTGCTTTATTTGATGGGCCGTGCGACGTCCGTGGAGTTCGTCTCCAGTTACAATATCTCACATGTCGCAAGTTTGCACCGGGTTAGTTTTGGTGTGTTACACGCCTTGAGATAAGTCTGAAGTTATGCGTTTAGAGAACCGTATAAGCTAGTCGAATGATATCTGTTCCGTGTTATGACTTGCATGCCGCGCTAGAAGGTCATCGTCACAATGTGATATCTGAGGTACAGTGCAGCTGGGAGGACCATTTCTGACAAGCCCACGAGTCTACTTATTCCCCCTTTTTATGCCTTAGACTATGCAAAAGCGTGGACAGCTGCATAGGTGATCTGCTGTGACTGTCCAAATGGGGTCTCCGATATCCCCGGATATCCTGGCCTTGGGTTTATATGCACCCATACGGGGGCCTGCATATGCGCTGCGATCTAGAATCACTCACGTACAATTCTTGGTCCGGATCCGGATCCGGATCCAGGTTCAACGAGCAAACGGTCCATGGCAGAGCTATTCACGAATCGCCGCGTGAGAAGGCGCTGATACTAGAGCAAACCTCCCGTCTTGGTGAGCGCAGTCCTTACATTATGGAACGTGACCAGTAGATAGGGGGTGCAGGATCACGTTCGGCTCCCTCACAGCGACGCCATCCTGTGCCTTAGCCGTGACAAAAGCCGCAAGATAAGATCGGTTCCTGGACGAGACCATGTGCCCATGTCGAACATACTGCTTCGGGCATTAAATGCAGTTGCAATTGGACCGTCTTGCAAAGCCATCACGCAGGAGAATTGGTGACAATAATAGCAGCAGCGGATTGGGCAGAAGCTGGATGTGAGTGGGGGCTCTCATCCGGTGGCAAGGGTGTCGTTATGCATGTTTGGGCACCTCTTGCTGAAGAAGGCTTGGAGGCGTGGACTAGCATTGAGCTGCGTTAGTTTTTGCTAGATAATCAATCTGATACTTGATACTTGGAAAGCGATATGTGACCAGAGATGGAAATTGCGTTCCAACTTCGTGACATAGTCCTCGGACAATCCTTGGCTTCTCGCAACGCCTGTGCAGTGCCTGGATGTGTGATCCATACATGCAAGGGCTCGTGGGGATACGAAACTACGATTGGGCGCATGTAGATTCAAGATGCTGTAGCCGACTGATGGGGAGAGATAGGTGTTGGAGTTCTCTTGCAACTCATGGCCGCTATTCTTTGCTACTGCGCTCAAGCAGGTCGATACAACCTGTTGAGATCTCGACGTTCAAATGAAGCGACTATCAATTGCACCAGTACAAGACTAAAGCCTCAGTCGGCTAGGTTGACCCATGATTCTTCACTGCCAGTCGGATGCCTCTTACCGTGCCCGCGGAAACTAGCAGACGGCTGTTGTCGCGAAGTCGCGCCATCTTCGCGTAACATTAAGACTAGGTTGATAGCCATGGACCGTGCTATCAACCCCGCAAAATGTCGGAGGCGTCTTGAGCCTCATGGTTATCCGAAACCTGGGATCTGGGGCTTAGCCTGTGCTCATTTGGAAATGAACGGCATTTGCAGCCTTCCGCCAGCATCGTCTTGACCCAGGCTAGGTTGCACAGCGTAACAGGCCAGATATATATGGGTTCCTCCTAATGATCCCATGATGTCTGCCCATGATCTGATCACCAGAAACGGTGACAGACAGTTCTGGTTCAGAGACCCCCACCCACCTCGGACGAGTGCCTGGACCTTGCTTCCGTGTTGCTTGCGTGCGGGAACTGCGGTCTTGCAACGTGATGTCTCTTTTGCTTCTTGATCGGGGATTTGTAGATAAGCCACCAAGGCCTCGGCCTTGCTTGAATCACAATATTCTTGCCTGTAAGCCCCAACGTGTTACAATATTCATGAATGCCTGGCAATGGTCGAACTCTATTCATTGAGGAATGCATGTTGCACGGTCACTGATACCCTGGCGTTGTGGAATATAGGGTATAAGAGAGGTGTTTTAGGGCCTCCTATCTTCTGCTGCATGAAATCTGGAAGGCAGCCGTAGGCCAGTCAGCGACTCGCGACCGCCTGATACTGAGGTAATTACCCTGCCTATATGTCCTCAATAAAGATATACTAGGCCCTGGTAAGCCTGGGTCAGTTAAACGCCAGACGAGATACCCGCACCGTCCTATCCATTGTACTCCATCGCCGCTGATACACTGACCGCGCTTCGCGGCAAGCAGACAAATGGCTCTGCCGATGGGGACATGAGGGGCAAGGTTCGAAAATTGTCGTCTTGAAACCCGAATCACAGCGGTGAAATGTGGACTCTCGCACACCCAGATGGCGGTGACGGGCGCGAGAACAGCGCCATGACCCGCAAAGACCTCTTAGTCCCGGCATACAGATATCTCAACTCTCCACATTACCTATCTCGACGGGGCAACATAGCTGATCATGCATGACGGCCCATATTTTGCCAGGACATCTGGACAAGGCAACTCCGTGGCAGGGCGGGGGATCTGTGCGGACTGGGTTCAAGGGCCCGAGAAAAAACGTGGTTGTGGAAGGATGTCACCGAGTGCCGTAGGGCTCCGTAGGCTTGAGAAGCCCGAGATCATCGGGGATCACCCACACCTCTTCCCAGTTCGTGACCACCGGCTGCATATTCCACCACGTGCAGGCAGAGCTTTCTGCATCATGGCGAATCCGAAGAAGCTAGATATATCCTTCGTCAAATTGAGAGAGCGATTGAATAGGAGCAGTACTAGTGAGGTGCTGGATATGCACGCTTGAGCCATTCACAATGACCAGACGCGGACATGCTTGGGTTCCACGCCAGTAGCTTCTCAGTGGATGGGTCACTTGCTATGGAAGGTAGATACACAGGATTGATCTGTGACATCTTGCTGGCTATGCAAATCGATCAATACGGGTGAACTGCATCAATGTTGGCCTTTCTTTCCAAGCGGCCGGAAAGTATTGGCCGTCTCAGCAGCAGTGCGATGGCACACCAAACGGCCATGGTGCACACACACATAGGAGGGAGGATTGCTGTACATAAACCGATTGGATCCTGGAGGAGTGCCTTGGAATGCTCAAGTGACTACACTTCGTGTCTGACCTGCAGCTTTGCGTCAATCAAAAGACCGTTCAATCGACTGCCCCTCCATCGCTTGACGTTGAAATGCCCCTCTTTCGTTTCTTATTGTACCTGCTGGAACCTGGCATCACCATGTTTGCTTATCGCCTGGTTTGCTTTTAGGTGCCACAAGAGGAATGCCCGAACAATATGCAACGCATGCGATTTCGTCGGATTTCATGAAGATTTGATGTCGGGTTCGCAAGCACTCGCATAGCATTCGTCATGGCAACTGAAGCAATTCACGGGTCTCCCGAATACTAAATGCGGCGGGCCACCGCAAATCTTGCCCAGGAGCCCCTGAATATAGCGGAGCCTGGGGCTGCTGTTGGCGAGCTAGGTTTGCTGACACATCCGCCAGTGGGTTAGGTTGGCAGTCAGAGTTTGGCGGATGGTGCCGAAGGACCGCGACCACTGACCAGAATGCGAACCTGGTGCGATTTACGGGTACTGTACATGTGGATGAATTCATTCCAAATCGCCCCATTCCAAATCTGATCTCATTTTGGAGCCTCGGCTTGAACCCGACAGCTCATCAAGAAGATCCATTCCTCTCGAGGCGAAATCTATTTTTTTTTTAACTCTGTTTTTTATGTGCTAGACCAGGAGGCGGGCCGCCTCAGTCGCCAGCAATCAGGGGTACTACTCTGTACAACCAACCACCACCACCTCCTCCTCCTCTGCCGCCACTTACCAGCCGTATTGATGGCCCCAGCATTGCGATCCCACCGGGACGGAACGTGACGCCTAAATTGAGCTCGCAGGTCTCGCCAGGTTTGCGCACACTTTCTTTATGACGGGCTGGAGACTGCCCTGGGTTTACGGCGCCAGCTCCTTCGGGATGTCTGAGTGGGTTGCTGAAGTTGGATGCCCTCCTTTTCAGCGGCTCGAGTCAAGCCGCATCCTCATCGCACTCGTACATCGACGAACTAGTGAGGCTGATTCTGGATGTGCGATTCGTGAAGTTGTCTCCGGATCCCACTGATGGATCATGGGAGATCCCCCTTCTCCGTCTGCTTTGTGTGTTCCCATGCGGTGAACTTTCAACGTTGCATCCAGTCAGTCTCGTCGGATCGCGTCTGCCGCCCATACAGTCCCTCGTTACCTAGTCGGCCGACAGTTCTGATTGGGGGGCCTATGCATGCAGCTTGATGCTTCGTCTGTTGCCCAAAACAGCACCTAGCCAGTTCGCGCGGAATCGCGCGGAATGGAGAAAACGAGCGCATTAATGGGGTGGATTAGAAAGTCTTGATCTTTGCCTCCCAAGCCGAGAGAATGCAGCGCTTTGGCCCTTGGAATCAGACGAGCCCGCCCCGTGACCTCAATTCACCCGTCAAGCGGCGGCCGTTGCTATCCCATCAGTGTGCATTGTGGTCAAAATCCTGGTTGCTCTGGGCCTTGTCTGCTTGTCTGCCTCCCCCATTTAATTAAGACCCCTGCCTCTTAATACAGGCTTCACCCGTGCGCCGGATATGACGATGCAGAGATGGACTGAGCCCCCCTGCTGGCGCCATGGCAGAAAGCAGTAAGGCGGCAGAGTTGCGCATCAATAAAGAACCAAGGCGCATTGTACCTCGCAGGCGAGACGCAGGTAGACGGGCGCGGAGTCAGCGGCACGCTCGGTACTGGCCCACTCGTCTGAAGGTACTTCGTCCGGCCATCGCATCTGCCCATGGATGGCATTCCCACCCTCCCTTCAGACTACTGTGTGCGCAGTATGTGACTCTGGTAGGTTGCGCTAGTCTGGCTCTGGCTATCCAAGTTACCCGAAGAGGTTGACCAGCCTGTGAAAATCGCTGGTCGACGGGCTGGGCTGGTCACGGCGCAGCCATGCCATTTGAGCGACTGACCTGACCTGACCTGACCGATCCGACGTGACTCGCCGGCCGCCCTGTCCTCCATTTTGCAATTGTAGTGCCGTTGCCCACGCCCCAAACCCGCTGCTGCTGCGTATCGTCGACTCGGAGTTGCTGTGGTCATCCCAGTCGAGTCTTTCGCTTTACCCACTTCCTGACGTCCGCCCCGGCAGACCGACGCCTCAGATTTGACAGCGCAGACGAGGCACGAGCACAATGTCTGTGTTTTGACGGCTTGGGCTGCCATCAGATCGCCGTTGTCTCAACCTGCCGTCGACAGCAATAACAACACTAACTTGGGGAGAAAAAGGATCCAGCGGTGCCTCGTATGGCGTCTGGTGTCTGACGCGCATCGCATCTGAGTCGCCGTCCTACCCTCTGTACAGCAAGCAAACACAACCGTTTTGCTTTCTCCCCCCACGTCATCACACCACTACGGATAGCTGGCAGAACGCGCCCTTGGTTGCACATATCAATGCATTTCTGCGACAACCTCGCCCCAAGCAGACTGCGCTCTGCCGTGCCCTAGAGACATGGAGGTCGATCCTCTCGCATCTCACCCGCCGCTGCCAACGCGGTTCAACTCGATTCCTCGCCAGCCGCTCAAGCGGGACCTGTCGACTAGAAGCCAGAGGATACAAAAGCCCGGCGCATTGCGAGATTCGAGGGCTAGAAGGTCGCCGCCACGGCCACTAGGAAGGGAACTGGACAAGAATGCAAAAACGAAAGTACGTCTATCGCCGGTCGCGACGGTGAAGCCGCTACTGCCCGCGGGCGAAAGAAGGCCGGCTGGAGAAGATGGCAAGGCCGGGAAGGCAAAGAAGGAGCCCGATGGCGAGAAATGGGACATTGCGCCAGATGGTGGCTCTGCTGGCCGAGAGGGAAGACAGTTCACTGTTGCCAATGTGGGCAACAATGGCAAGATATACTTAAGGTGGGTTGCGCATTGTTCTGGCGTTGGCCGTGTTGCGAAGCCAGTGACCCGTCAATATGGGTATCCGATCAAATATGCGTGAGCTCACATGACTCTAGGCCTACCGTTCGCCCGGCGAACCAGCGGTATCCCCAGCCACACTTCGTGTTTCCCGTCACTCCACCAAGTACAGCTGGCTTAGACGCCCTTGCAAGCCCCATGGAGGACAGGGACGAGATCAGCGAGCTTCACGGCAGTCAATGGACCCCTACTCCGCTGACCGCTCCCTCGTCACCCGATGCGACAAGAGGCAACCCTTTTCTAAACCCCGGAAAGTTCCCTTCGAGACCTCGCCAGCGCCGCGCAATGTCGGACTCTACGGTGCAGGACGTAAGCATCGCCCACGAATCCGATGCTGGCGGCTTCAAGGTTGTCATATCGAAGCCGCAAGACGATAACAAAGCCAAGACAACCGAGGATATCGACCCAAATGGCCCGCCAATGCTCCAGGTGAATATTCCGTCATGGAAGCTGGGAAACCCGCGCTTTACCCTTCGAGGAACACCGTTGATCCGGGGCTCCTCCTACGCACCGACTGAAGAGATCCGTTCCAGCGATCTTTCCTTCTTCCAACGGTCTCAAAGAGGAGGCCTTGACTTGAACTCGCTCCATCCCGAGACCGCAAGTACAAGAAAACCGAGCCCAATAGCGACGCACCATATCAGGTTTCCTGCGCCTCAACTCCACAGTCCATCATCTCCGCGGTTTCCAGGCCCGGCCCGGGCGACTTATGTCTCGACGCATCTGGTGATCGAACCCGCCATGTTCGACTCGCTTACCTCCAAACCTGCTTCCGATGACAGGTCTTTTGTTCGTTACTCATCAACCACGGGCGCCGTCACAGCGGCAACGCCACCCCGGCTTGTTGCGGAGATCACTTCGCCTAGTTTCCTGGACTACGAGCTGATCTCGGACTTCTTTCTCACTTTCCGCTCTTTCCTGGAGGCAACGGACTTACTTCGCATGCTGGTCGCAAGGCTTCGCTGGGCAGTAGCTCGTGACGACGAGATTGGGATGATTGTAAGGGTGAGGACTTTCGTTGCCGTCAGACACTGGGTCTTGAACTATTTTGTGGACGACTTCGTGGTCGATTACAACCTCCGAGTGACCTTCTGCAACCTGCTCAACGACTTCGTGGATGAGCTGGCACATGATGCTCAGGGGCGCAAGGTGCAACTCAAGATTTTAGCCGAGCTCAAGAAATGCTGGCGGCGCGTCTGCTCACAGTACTGGGATGGTGCCGAATTCGATGCTAATCTAGGTCCTGAAGTCCCCCTTGCGCCTGGTGGGATTGCTGGTCACCGCAATCCGAGTCTGGACCCAAGCATTTGGGAGAAGGATAGCAATGAATTACCAAAGCTCGACTTTGACTTTGGTGACAGCGAGCCTCACGTTGAGACCAGTTTCTATCACGAAGTAGACCAGGCTGGGCATATCGATTCTACTATAAACGGCGAAGAGCGACCTAGCACACCCCGGCACCGGCCGACTGAATCTCAGGCTACTCAGAACTTCAGGCGTCACGCGATATCGCCAACTAGCATCGCTAGTGTAGACGTGGTTTCATGCTCATTCCCGACTAAAGGCTTCCGAATGGCAGATTCATCGTCCACACATCCACTTGCAGCACACCCGGTGGAGCCCAGCTCAGTATACACGGGCGCAGACCCTATTGCCCCGACGCCTCGTGCTCTTGCTGGCAAGCGTGTCAGGGCCCAGCCGTCGCACAGGCGCAACAACAGCACCAGCGATTCCCTACGAGAACATGCATCGACAACAGAGAAGGTTCTCTACAAGAATGCAGAATTCCTGCTTACGCTGCCGTATGCTGGAAGCCTTGTACGAGGCAACTTACTTCCTCCTGGTCAGGCCTTGGTTGAACTGATGCCGCCAACATCATCGACGGCCAGTAGAGAGACTACCATCTTCCAACCCCGACCAGCAGAAATCCAAAACATCAAGGGAGGTTCGGCAATGTCCGGACCAGGAATGAAGAAACTCCTTGGCAGCGTGCGCAGAGCGCTTAGCCATCGCGGCCAAGGACCTCCCCAGGGCAGCTTCCTGAATATTGCCCCGATCGGCCCCCGTGGCGTTACCACGAATCGGATTCCCGGAACAGCAATCGTTCCTCAAGCTCGCCCATCGCGCCCGAATGGCTATCGGCCCGCTGTGAGGATCGATGTACTGGGGGCAGAGATCGCAGAGGACTTCAAGAAAGCCGTGCGCGAAGATGCTGCTGCTGAGTCAAGCCAGAATGATATCCCCACAAAGTTGACAACAGACAATATCGAATACTCGGCAGCCCACTTAGATTCCTCCTTCGACTTGCAACCCGAAGCGGACTTTCGACCTATGAGCTCGGCAGGTATTACACAAGGCAGCAAGTCCATCGTTATTGTTGATGGCACTCTTCCGCCGAATGTCCCCACCATGACAGGTGCTTTGCCAGCTATGACGGCACTGAACGCATCGGTCGAAGCGTTTGCTGATAGCTTCTTGCCCGGCGGCGGTGTCGACCCTACGCCACCAAACACGCCTCCAAGTCAACAAGCTGGCACAGATGTGCCGAGGCGATCATCTTACATACTCAGCCAGCATGTCGTCCAGCCGTCGTTGGTTGAGGAACCGCTACCTCCTTTCATCCCAGACTTAGCAACTCTTGCGCCAGTGAGGCAGTCAGAGGTTGCAACCACGGACCCTCGGCCTTCAATAGATCGCCCGTCGTTAGACCTCGTGAAGCAGCCCTCGAGAAGGCCGCCCTTGTCAAGCATGCGCTATCAAGGCCACAGGAGACAACAATCAAGCCGCAGCTACCGGTCCAATCGATCAACACTACACCGGCGATGGGCTTCGATCAACAGTGCTTTCCCGCAGTCGACAATTAGGAGTTTCGATGCCACGACCTATTCGAGGGGCTCGCTTGCGTCGGAGATAATGCCTCCCCCTCTGAGAGTCCTTCGCAGACGTCCCGGAGGGGATCTCAGAGGTACGCAGAACGTTACTGATCTCGATGCCTTGCCGTTGCATAGATCGCGGTCGGCAGGCTCGCTCACGACGTACTCTGAGTCTTTGAGAAGCTCGTACCTCCGAAGCCCAGTCCGAGACTCCGATGGCTATGTAGATGTCGTTAGCAGTGATTACTCGCATAACCGCGGCGAGGTATTCTCCCTGGGCGCCATGGCCGAGAAAAAGCCACAACGTCAGCTGTCCTTGTTCAGCACGCATTCGTCCAAGCCTGTCATGCGGCCGTCGTTCGAAGCGGAAGCGCAGAAGCTCGCTCAGATCCCTGACGACATTGACGACGATGGCGGCATCGAATCGGCATTGGCTAAGCTAGAAGGAACCTTTGAGAGACGAAGGCTTACAATGGAACCGCGGCGCGTGCAGACACCGACGATTGAAGAAGTTCGGCCGGAGTCCACGACCGGCACCGAGGTAGATCATCAGACGCCAGAGAAAAAGAAGCATCGACACCAGCACGTCGGCGACGAAGACGTTCTGCCGCTCTCGCCAACACATACAATCCAAGCTGAATCGATTGTCACGCTCGGTATTCCTCGGAGCACGGACGTAATGTCCTTCTTATCTGACGGATCCAGAGACTCTTGCAGAGAGTCCTACAACTCGATTCCTCTGCTCGAGAGAGGATTGACGGATGACGGCCGCAGCAAGACCGACACCTTCCAGTGGACCAATCAATCAGTGCTTCGAGACGCGGATGATGCCTCTCCCGCCGTAGAGTTTCCCGATTCGTTCTCTGCGCATCCATCCTACGAAGTTATCATGAAGACAAAAAGCCTCGAGAAGTTACGGCCTGGCGAGGAAACCCCCAAACATGCATCCAAGCCGAGCGAAGAGCAGTCATTCCTCGATGTCGATAGCGACAAGGACTCTGATCTGTCATCCGAGTTATCGCTCGAGGTTGTGGAATCAGAAGACTTTGGCGCCAAGTCGGACGAGACCACAAAACGACCTGGTGATATCAACACTGATATTCCGGTGAACATTAGTGCTGAAGCGCATCGGACTTCGGAAGGCGACGGCCCGCCATCTCCTCCATTGACTCTGGCACAAGCACTCCGGATGTCTCCACAACCAGCAACTCGGGTACCTGAACTGCACGAGTTCCAAGTGTGGTCGCAGAAGCCATTACCCCCAACACCGGATACCACTCCCACAGTTGCTTTGTACCATCAGCATCTGGCTTGTCCCGACGATCCCACGGGAACCCAAGAGGCGCTCCGTGGCGCACCGTCAATTGATGAGCCATCGCGGAAGGTCTCGGTGCATCTGCCCTTCATCTTGGCGTTTGACTCTGATATCCTTGCACAGCAGTTTACGTTGATCGAGAAGGACGCCTTGAACGAGATTGACTGGAAGGAGCTTATCGACATGCGTTGGAAGAACTCGCACACGGACTCGCGATCCTGGGTCGACTTCCTCCGCAATAGCGACGCCCGTGGTGTCGAGGTTGTCGTTGCCCGTTTCAACATCATGGTCAAATGGGTGATATCAGAAATCGTGCTCACTCAGGACGACTGCGAACGTGCTCGATGCATAATCAAGTACCTCCACATTGCTGCTCATTGCAGAAGATATCGCAACTTTGCTACCATGAGTCAGATTGCGATAGCCTTGACCTCCAACGAGGTCGCAAGGCTGAGTCGGACGTGGAGCATGCTCACACCGCAGGATGTCATGCTCATGGAGGACCTAGAAACCCTTGTTTCCCCGACCAAGAACTTCTACAACCTCCGAGCAGAGATGGAGGGTTGTACTCTGGAGACCGACATCGGTTGTATCCCATTCGTGGGTATATACACGCACGACCTGCTTTTCAACTCACAGCGGCCATCCGAGATTGCGAGCTCGCCTACCACGCCGCCTCTTGTCAACTTTGAGCGCTGCCGTATCGCTGCTTCGGTAGTCAAAACGCTGCTTCGCCTCCTCGAAGCCAGCACCCATTACCGGTTCCAGCCCATCGAAGGCATCACCGAGCGATGCCTCTGGATGAGTGCCCTGAGCGACGAGGAGATCCGACGACACTCGGAAAGCATTGAGCCAGTGTTGGCTTGAATGCCGAGACCGGACCTTATTAATGCGATTCGTGCTCACGAGATTATGACCCGACCTCTTCATATCCCCCAACCTTTTACATCATGTAATACTCGCAGCTACCCGCTCGACGCCATTTATGCTTTTTTTCTTTGTTGCATTTTCCCCAAAGCATCACGATTTTTGGGTCGATATAGAATATACACCGCCCGCGCAGAACTACCCCTGTATTAGTACGCCTAGCTTGTTTACCAGAGAGCCTGTTCACCCGGACCAGCGCACAAGAAGAAAAAGGGGCCCAAAGGCATCAGTCATACCAGAGCGTACCAAGTGTGGGAGAGGTCCCTCGTTTGTTTTTCATGTTTCCTTTCCTTATGTTTTTGTCCACACTTTGAACGTGCCTCACGATCAGGAGTTGTCATCATTTCCAACCCACGCCATTTCCTCAGACATGTGTAGTGCTCGGGAGATGTCTTCCCACGAGAGGGACAGAGAAGAGAGAGAGTGAGCGAGTGTGTGAGACAGCGACAGAGAGAGACCGCGCGAGAGATACCCAGAAGGAGGGAGGATGTGTAGGATTAGGCAGGGGCGTGCTGATGACCACACACTTGCAATGGCTTGAGAGAAGCGTGCGAGTACTGGTGTTGCTACTCTTGGGGGACGGAATGCAGAAGAATAGCACAATGAAGTGTTTAAGTACTTACTACTCGTGTCGCTTGCCCTTTGTCTCTCGTGATGCCAGATGATAAGCTCCTGTACTGCCTGAGGTATCGAATGGAAAGTAGACGATCAGGGACCGACACATGGGTCGCGGCGCAGAGGATTGAAGGTACAAGGCATGATCACAATATTCATACCCTACATATGACGCGCCATACCCCCGAAGCTGTCTCCTATCCCCGTAGACTATGAATCGCAGGATCAAGGCCCGCGTGCCCGCTAAACCTGCTTGCGGCAAGACCAGTCGTTCACAAGATGGCGAAGCCGTGGCGACTTTTTTAGCATTCCTGTCTATACCCTGGAAATTGTCCAACTACTTCGTCTACCAGACGGTGCCGTTCTACGGCACAGGTCAAGCCGTGGCACAACGCCTGCGGAATAGTAACGGGCTTTGAGATGGCAAGGTGTGTGCGTGTGTAGTTAAAGACCATTCTCCGGGCAGCAATACGGGGCGGAGCCGTAGTTCTGGCCCGAGAACGTGACAACACATGGCATACTAATGTCCATCCCAATGGAAGCGGCTACAGTACTTATCCTTTCTTGCATGATACTTACCAGATGATGCATCTGTCAGGGCAAAGCTACGAGCCAACATCTGCGAGACGAGGAGAGTATTCACACCAATTGACAGGATTCTTTTGGTCTCAGATTTGATACGCTACAGAAGCAAGGCGGAATAACGATCAAGTCCACTCCTCTTGACTGTACAGGGCATTCCCTCTTCCCCAGCCGAGTAAATGAGAGTAACCACTGCCACAAACAGCGGGGAAATCGATTATACGACTGGATACGAGTATCTTTCCCTCATAAGTACAGACCAATTTTTTCCTTGACTCCCGATTCGCCCTATCAACATGTCCGAGAAATGGTGTCGTATGCAGTAGATGAAGGAGCGGTAGAGGGATCTACCACTCGACGGATGGTTGCTGAGACTGCTGGATGGGAGGCTCGCTTTCCTGTGCGCCGGCATCCTGCTCCTACCACTGGCTGTCCTTGGCCTCAGTAGCACCCCACTCACCAGCGGGAGCGGCAGCAGCAGCGCCACCCCACTCGTCAGTGGCGGCACCGTCCCACTGGCCGGGCTGAGCGCCGGTGAAGCCAGGGGCGGTGGCCTGCCAGTCGCCAGTGGCGGCCTCGGTGGTGCCAGCGGCAATGGCGGCGGGGCCAACCTCGTCGGCACCGACAACCTTCTCCTCCTCAACCTTCTCCTCGGCCTCGGCCTCAGGGTCACGGTCTGTCACAGTCGAGGTGGTTAGCAGCTGTTCAGGACAAGACGGACAAGAAGTCGCGAAGGGTTTCACATACAGAAGTACAGATCGACCATGACGTCCCAGGGGGTCTCGCGGTTGTAGATGGTGCCGCGGAGGCGGAGGACCTCACGGGCGAGCATCCACCAGACGGTACCGATGGCGTGGCGACCCTTGTTGTTGGTGGGGATGGCGCAGTCAACGAACTCGGTGGGGGAGTCAGTGTCGCAGAGGGCAATGACGGGGATGTTGACGTAGGAAGCCTCCTTGATGGCCTGGGCATCGGTGCGGGGGTCGGTGACGATGATCAGACGGGGCTCCTTGAAGGAGCGGGTGATGTAGTTGGTGAAGGAACCGGGGGTGAAGCGACCGGCGATGGCGGTGGCACCGGTGTGGGCGGCGAACTTGAGGACGGCACGCTGACCGTAGGGACGGGCAGAGATGACACAGATGTCGGCGGGGTTGTCGACGGCGGCGATGATGCGGGCGGCGAGGACAATCTTCTCCCTGTTGCAGACGGGCAATGTCAGTAAAGGCAATGGCATCGCAGAAGACCGTCGTGTGCCCCTCGCCCTCGCGAGAGCGATCCTCGGGCTCAAACTAGACGGAGACGTACCAGGTCTTGCCGATGTTGACGACGTTGACACCGTCGGCGCGCGTCTTCCACAGGTAGGGCTCCATGTGCACCTGCAGGTTGCGGGAACCGAGGTGGCACTGGGCGGCCAGGAGCATCTCAATGTCCTGGGAGGTGGCGTTGAAAACCGCCGGGAGGTTGGAGGGAGCCATCTTGAGAGGGTTGAGGGGGTTGTCGAGTCGTGGGATGACTGTCAAGACGGGCTGTGGTTGTGGTTGACGGGAAGCAGAAGGAGAGGGAGGGACGAATCTGTCGCGGAATGGAACTTTTCTCCAAGCTGAAGCTATTTTCGAGCCTCACCAATTTTTGTGGGCAGGGTTATTTTTTTGCGACCAGTGGTTGTTACAGTGGGGGGTGGGGCCCGTCCAACGGACTGCAGCCCAAGGTAAACGCAAACTTGGGTGCGCCCAGGTGCCTTTTGGTTTTTTCTGCCGCTGCTCACCTACACTCGGACCAGCGACCACCTGCAGTTATCAGTGCACACGGAAGAGCCCAAGGTCGGGGGTCCAAGTTGGACTCGATTCGAGATGTCTTTGAATGGCGCAATTAAATTAAACACCAGAACGATTCTAGTTCACGTAGTTTTATTTATCAGCTGGGTGCGGCAGACTTATTTCTATCAATCCTCTCCAATTGACCTGATCAAGCGTGGCGTACCAGTGAATGGCCAGTTATTGGACAGCATTTCCCAAGTTCGTGGTATGCCCAGAACAGAGAGGACTCGACTCGACCGGCTGGCTGCTGGCGAGCTTGCAGCTGCCGCAGCTGCCAGCCTTAGAACGTCGTCTAGTTCCTGATCCAGCCACGTGTGGCACTGGCCTAAGTTATGGCGCAGTCCTCCCTGATCGGCGGAAAAAAGTTGGCCGCCCGATTCCATGCCACGCCAGAGAGCTGCAGAGTAGACGGAGAGGTCCAGCATCGCGAGTCTTCTTGAACCTCATGCGAGCACCAGCCTTGCAACCACAGTGACCATGCCGCCACGGATACCAGGCGTCCAGCGCCTCGGCGCCCTCCACAACCGTACGTCCACCCCAATTGTCTGACAACGTGACTGTCACCTCCGAGCAAGACCCCTTACTAACTTGCGGCCTGTCGCTCTTCCAGTCTGCCTCCGGCCAGCTCCCTCGGCCGCCCCCTCCCAGCTGCCCCTGACCCAGACGGCCTCGCTGTCCCAGAAGGAGAAGCGGCGCATCGCGAAGCAGGACCCCTACCGCTGGGCCCAGATGCAGCAGCGCCAGGCCACCCACGACCGCATCAAGGAGCGGCTCGCCGCCGAGCGCGAGGCCGCCCACGGCGACCCGGTCCGCGGCCTGCCCACGCCCTTCGTCGAGTCCTTCGACAGCGCCGGCCAGGCCGCCCTGTCCCGCCCGCGCGTCGACATGCACGGCAACCCCATCGAGGACCCCCACCCGCTGCCCACCAGCCCGCACATCCTCAACAACCTGGTCTCGCGCCGGGAGCTCGACGACGCCGCCCGCCACGCCTACGAGCTGACCCGCCCGCTGCCCCCGGACGCCCCGCTCGGCGTCGAACTGGACGCCGCCGACCCGGAGGCCCAGGCCCGCCACCAGGCCCGCCTCGACGCCCACGACCAGTCGCACGCCGCGGCCGTCGAGGCCCTGACGCGCATCGTCGACCTGAACAGCGGCTCGGCCAAGGACCGGCGCCACGCCAACATCCGGCGCTGCGTCGAGACCTTCGGCCGGCACCAGACGGACCAGACGCTGCGGCCGCGGGCGCTGGCGCGCGGCGTCGAGCGCGAGGAGAAGCCGGTGCGCGGCGGGCCCGACACGGGCAGCAGCGAGGTCCAGATCGCCATCCTGACGGCCAAGATCCGCGCCCTGGCCAACGCCCTCGAGACCGGCCGCGGCTACAAGGACAAGGTCGGCAAGCGCGACCTGCGCCTCATGGTCCACCGCCGCCAGCGCCTGTTGCAGTACATGGAGCGCAAGGAGCGTGGCAGCGACCGCTGGCACCACATGCTCCAGACTCTGGGTCTGAGCCCGGCGACCTGGAAGGGACAGATCACGTTGTAAGATTGGTCAGAGGGACTAGGGCGAGGCAGAGAGAGAGAGGAGGATCGGGACGTGTACAGAAGAAGAAGAATCTCCCAGGCCGGGGAGACTCGTGTCTTGTGTCTTGGCTGTTTGAGGCACGCAGCACTGTATCATACCAGCATGCATCTCGGAAAGGGGGCCCCAAAAGAACCAAATCAGATGTAATACCATTTGCTATGTACAAATACAGGATAGGGGGGGCGTCATCATTGAAGAGAGCCACATCATCCGTCCACCCTTTCCACCCCATCCATCCAACATCACGTCTACTACTACCTGCCTGCAGTCCGAGGGCGCCGTAACAAAGAAAAAACAAGACCAAAAAAAAGAACCAACAATGCTTTCAGCTCAGCCTTCGTCTTTGGTATTTCGAATAAAACTCATGACAAAAATTCTACAGAGTATGGAGGGCTGATCACGATGGGGGGAGAGAGAGAGAGCTGTATGCCATGCTGCCGAGGAACGAAGAGAGGGAAATTTGGAAACTACAAGATCAGAATACGCTGATGTAGTTTCCGATCCTCTCCTTCTGGTTCTGGGCTATGCACTCGGCGATCCATGTGATGTTGCGGATTTCCTGGAAAGTCGGGTCAGCCACGTGTTCGACAACGGAAGTAGGCGGAATATAAAGCCACAACAAACAAAAAGACATACCTGCTCCCTTAGCTTCACCCACGCATACACAATGGCAAAGGTAAACTGCCGCGTAAAGGCGCTCTTGGAGATCTGCATCTCCTTCTCGTAGAACATGTCCTCCAGGCTCCGGCTGTCGCTGCCTCCGGCGCCGCCGCCCATGTTGCCGGGCCCCGAGGGGCCACCGCCCAGCCCCGCGGCGTCGAAGAAGGTCTTGTAGTCCGAGACGCCGTCGACGGCCAGGCGGACGCCCTCGAAGTCGTCGGCGCGCGAGAGCATCAGGGTGCCCTCGGGGTAGAGGCGGCCGAAGCTGGGGTAGAGCTTCTTGCGGTCGGCCTTGGACAGGTCGGTGCCGAAGCTGTTGAGGGTGATGTTGATGGCGCGGCGGTCGGCCTCGAACTCGAGGATCTCGCTCATGACCTCCGAGGTCGGGGTGCCGGCCATGTCCGGGTGGGTGTTGACAAAGTGGTGGAAGTCCTCGAGGTAGTTCTTGTACAGCGTGTTGCGGACGATCTCGATGTTGAGCTCGTCGAGGTCCTGGTGCGACAGCGAGCCCTTGAAGTAGGCGGCCAGCGGGGTCTCGATCAGCACCGAGTTGTACAGCTCCTCGATGTTGGTGGCGACGCACAGCACGGGCATGGTCTCGAACCAGCCGAGCGGGTGGCAGCGCTCGAGCAGCTCGCGCGTGTCGCGCTCGTGCAGGGTGCCCGTGATGAGCAGGGCGACGTTGTCGATCATGTAGCCGTACGTCAGGTAGTCCATGAACTGGGCCAGCGAGCCGACGGCGTTGGCGCGCACGTAGCGGAACTCGGAGACCAGCTTGTCGGTCGTCTTGGCGGCCAGGCTCGACGTCGAGGGGTTGGGCGGCAGCGAGCCCAGGAAGTCGCCATAGGCCGGGCCGAGCTGGAGCTTGAGGTCTGTAGGCCTTAGTTAGCGGTGCGATGCGCTGGATGGAGGAGCGCGGGAGGAGAGCGGGAGAAGAGGCAGGCTACCGTACCATCGATGGTCTCGCATTGTGTCAGGTTGTTGTAGTTGGCGCCGGTGAGCAGGCCGTTGCGGTAGCCGCGGACAATGCCCTCAATGTAGCTATACGCAACGCACGATGTTAGCAGAGGTTCGGTCATCGGGAACCGGGATGGGCTCTCTGGGGGAGGGCATAGAGTGGGCATACCCATTGTTGACGTTGAAGAAGAGACCCTCCATCTTGGGCAGGAATGGGCTGGGGCGCGACAGGTCAACAGCGTGCTGCTTGATGGAGAACTGAGCTGAGCTGTGAGCTGTTGGGGATGCTGCCGTGGTGGTTGGATATGACTGGTGATGGTGATGCCTGTTCTCGGTCAACTGCCAGCTGCGAGCTAAGGTGCAGCAGCAGGTTTGGGCTGCGGGTCGCTGGCCAGTGAGCGATGACCACTGACGCAGGCGGACAATCCACTGTCTGGGGCCCCTGATGGGACGCTGCTGGAGGGCGAAAGAGAGGTGGCTGACGTCTTTACTGCCCTTTGCCCGCGCCACAGAGCCTCCCCACTGGCAGCCACCACCTGTGCAGCCTCCAGGCCAGGCGCCCTTAGCCCCCAAGCGTGCAAGACAGGCACCTGCAGAGAGTTCCATAACTAATCCCATAGTCCAATGAGGTGAGAGAGCCGAGAGCCCCACCGCAACAGCAGGCCTGGACTTTCCCACTGGCCAGCCGTGTCACCGCCTACCCACAACAGCCTAGCGCTGCTCTCGCCCACGCTCCGGAAAAAATTGGTGCTCTCCCAGACTTTCTCTGGGTCGAGCTCAAGCAGAAAAAAATTATCGACGAAAATCTGCTGCTCAATTGGTCCCCAGCTCGAGCGTCGACCTTTGTGTATTTTTTCCCACCCACTCCCCCAACACCCGCGCCCCCCTCGACTGCGACCACCCATCGCGGCGACAACCTCCTCCCTGCGGCAACGGCAACGGCAACGGCAACCCACAGCAGATCCAATTCATCTCATTGCCTGCCAGAATGGGTCTCTTCGTGCTCGCAGAGACGCCTGCGGGGTGAGTCTACCGACAAGGACATTGTCCTGCCTTCCGTCCTCTACAGCCCCAGGTGTACTGACAGATCTCTCCCACAGCTTCGGTCTGTTCAAGGCCAAGGACAAGAAGCTCCTGTCCAAGGGCAATGTCGCCTCCGAGCTCAACAGCCCCGAGGCCATCAACTCCATGTAAGTCTTGTCCTGTCCCGTCCTGTCCTGTCCGCAGCATTGCGCGTGGCGCTTGCCGACGAGAGCTGGCCATCAGGGGGACAACGAATGCTCACACGATTATCTTTCCCACAGGCTCTCGCTCAAGAAGTTGATCAAGTTCGAGGACTCGGCGCAGGCGCTCGGCGAGTACTCGGCCCTCACCGAGGGCAAGGTCACCCCCATGCTCCAGCAGCTCCTCGAGGACATCAAGGACGAGAGCAAGAAGTCGTCGCTCGCCGTCGCCGACCCCAAGCTCGGCGCCGCCATCAACGTCCTGCCCGAGCTCCAGATCACCCCGGTCTCCGACTCGTCCACCAACGACCTGTTCCGTGCCATCAAGACCTACCTGCCCGAGCTCTTCCCCGACCTGTCGAGCGACTACCTCGGCAACATGGCCCTCGCCCTGTCCCACTCCATCTCCCGCCACAAGCTCAAGTTCTCCCCCGACAAGGTCGACGTCATGATCGTCCAGGCCATCAAGCTGCTCGATGACCTCGACAAGGAGCTGAACAACTACGCCATGAGAGTCAAGGAGTGGTACGGATGGCACTTCCCCGAGATGGACCGCATCGTCAACGACAACCTGGCCTACGCCCGCATCATCATGGCCATGGGCACCCGTGAGAACGCCGCCAACACTGACCTCTCCGACATCCTCCCCGAGGACATCGAGGCCCGCCTCAAGACCGGCGCCGAGGTCAGTATGGGTACCGAGGTCGGCGACTTCGACCTCGAGAACATCAAGATGCTGGCCGAGCAGGTCATCGGCTTCACCGAGTACCGCCAGCAGCTGTCCCAGTACCTGACTTCGCGTATGAAGGCCATCGCCCCCAACTTGACTGAGCTCGTCGGCGAGCTCGTCGGTGCCCGCCTCATCGCTCACGCCGGTTCGCTCATGAAGCTCGCCAAGAGCCCTGGTAGCACCATCCAGATCCTCGGTGCCGAGAAGGCCCTGTTCCGTGCCCTGAAGACCAAGCACGATACTCCCAAGTACGGTCTCATCTACCACGCTTCCCTGGTCGGCCAGGCCACCGGCAAGAACAAGGGAAAGATCGCCCGTATGCTGGCCGCCAAGGCTGCTCTTGGTCTGCGTGTCGATGCTCTCTCGGAGCTGAGCGCAGAGGGTCTTGATGGTGAGGACATCGCCATTGACGATGAGGAGAGAGCCGAGCTCGGTATCCGATCCCGCATCAAGCTCGAGAACGCCCTGCGCAGAATGGAGGGCAAGCCCATCCAGACCAAGGGTGTCAAGATTGCGCCCAACGGCGCCGGCCCGTCCAAGTTCGAGGTCAAGCCTTCAAGAAACTACAACGCTGACGCCGACGGTGTCTCGAGCGACAAGAAGCCCTTGATCCAGGAGGTCGAGGATACCCCCATGGGAGACGCCGAGGAGGACGACTCGGAAGACGACTCCGAGGCCGAGAAGAAGAAGGCCAAGAAGCTGGCCAAGGAGCAGAAGCGTGCCGCCAAGGAGAAGAGGAAATCGGGAGCGACCGAGGTCGAACCCCTGACCCCCAAGGCACCCAAGGCACTGTCTGAGGCCGACTACGAACGCCTGGCCGCCGCGGCTGGTATTTCGGTGACCAAGTTCAAGCGCAAGTTCGAGCGTGGCGACGTCGAGATGGGTGACGATGGCACGCCGTCCGTGGTCAGCAAGAAGGACCTGAAGAAGAAGAGGAGGCATTCCGAAGTCGACGGCGACGAGAAGAAGAGCAAGAAGGCAAAGAAGGAGAAGTCATAAGCGATTGACGTCTTTTCTTACTTTGTATGATACAAAAAAGCTTTTTCTGTTTCTCTCACGTTGCCGGGCGGGTTTTGGTTTGTTCTCGTACCTTTTTTTGGTTTTCATGGAATCGGCGTTCTGGGGTGGTCGGTCATACCATTAGTTGGTTCTCTTAAAGGAGTCTTGTGTCAACATGGACGATCTATAGCTGCATAATGCAAAAGCGTTGGCTGTTCTGACATTGATGTCTTGAGTGAAGTTTTGATAGTCTGCTCATCGCTAAACCCTAGGTTGATACTGAATTCGTGTATTTTGCCTCCCTTTATATTGCCCCTGTTCCCGCGGTTCCGTCAGGTTCACTCGCCGGCTTCGATACTCATAACCAAGTCCCTACCATGCTACCGGCACTTGCAAGTCACCTCAAAACAGGTTAATGGTGGGTATTTGATGATTACTCGTAGCATTTCACGTTTAGTATTAGTTGACTTTACATGTACCTACCATGCTGCCCATATGAATGGTTACTTCAATTGGCTACGGGATGCTTTACAGCTGAAGCTACTTCCTAGAATTGCTTCGATCTGACGTGTCACTGCTCGCACAATAGATATTCTAAATAATGCTGAGTGAAAAATCTTGAAAGTCGAGAGGTCACTCGTAAGCGTGGCGCTTTACAAGTTCTAATTCGCCTTGCTACCCTCACTAATTTTGTATTCAGGGGGGGAAAAAAAGGGACTGCCCGGCATCTCCCAGGCCAGATTCGTCGGTACAGAGTTATGAACGGCTCACAGGTTAATGATCCATACGGTTCCATTGCCAGAGTGGCAATCGATTCCCGGTAGATCTAGGTGGTCTTCTGCAGCCTGGCGGCCATCCCAAGGTGATGCGAAGTTTCAGGTACGGCCAATTTTTTGAAAAGCTCAGCCCAATGGAAAAGAAAGAGTTTGCTTATAAGGACTCAGTAGTCATGACTATGATGTTACCGAAATACTTCAAGATCAACATGAGGATAAAGAATCGGCGTCGAAATGACGATGAACTGTATGTCGAGTCCCGTTATTGCATAACCCCGCTACAGCGCACAAGAAATCCGCCTCAAGGCAGCTCTGAACGGTAGCTCGCCCAACCTTGCACCTCAGCTTCGTCATTCCACACCGCGACTGCCAATTTCTCAACAGGCGTCGCGCTGCAGCAAGCTCGAAAAATGTCAGACGTCGAAGCCCAGCCGCCAAAGGTGGCGCCAACAGGGCCCGCCCGAGACTCGGAACCTCGCAAACGCAGCCGCTCGCCTCGCCGAGGAACCGACAGCTACAGAGGAGGAGGGGCAGGAGCCCGAGATTCGGACTCCGGCAGGGACAGGAACAGAGACAGAGGCATGGATGACCGGAGGGATGACCGCAGAGGTGACCGCGCCGATCGAGGCGATCGCGACAGAGACGACAGGCCACGCCCAAGGAAGAAGAACTTTGGCGGCTTCGCCTACAAGGACAAGCGCCGGGACGAGGGCGGCAGGGACGACAGGGACCGGGACGATGACCGCCGTGGCGGAGGATCCTACAGAGGCTACAGAGACCGCTCGCGCTCGCCGCGGCGCCGGCCCAGAGACAGGGACGAGGACCGCGACCGTGGCGGGCGGGACGACAGGCGCGGCGGGCGGTCCGAGGACACGACCAAGCCCCCGAAGCGACCGGCCGCGGCGTCATCATCGTCTAATGCAGCGGCTGCCGCGCCGAACCAGGGCTTCATCGTGGTGTGGGTCAACGACCGGCTGGGCACCAAGGAGGCGATCCCGTGCCTGCCGTCGGACACGGTGGGCCAGTTCAAGATCCTGGTGGCGTCGCGCATCGGGCGCAAGCCGCACGAGATCAAGCTGCAGAAGCAGGGCGAGCGGCCGCTGAAGGACATGATCACGCTGGCCGACTACGAGATCTCGAACGGCCGGCAGCTCGATCTGGAGGTGGGCACGGGCGATTAGGCGGCCGTTGTTGGACACTGGATGCTGCCTGTGCCAGGATGCGGGAGATGGGGCGGAACGAAGCCTACGTTTATGGGATTTTGCATGAATGGATGGTATGGCCGGCAAGGATTGAGGTTGGTACCACGCAATAGAGCAGTAGGCTGCTCCTACGGACGCAGCGTGTCGCCGTTGAGCTGGTCACTTTGTGTGTCAGATTGTGATTTTCTGGTCACAGCGTCGAGCTTCCTCTTCGAAGCAAGGGCAGGAGAAGGCTGCAAATGCCATCTCACCAAGATCACTTCTAATAGCAGACTCATGTGACATGTTTGAGTCTCGTTTTGGAAATGGATCAAATGCCTTGAATAGGTACCCAGCGATCTGTATTATGGTGGTCAGCGTCTAGGATCCCATATGGTGCCTTCGTGACAGCTACATAATGAGGAGTACGAGGCATGAGGCATGTGCCGGTTTCGGTGTGAAGCCAAAGTGAAGCTCAATCAGAGTCACTTCTGTAGGAAACCCTTTGAGTTGAGCGGCTCAATCTACGCATACTACTCCCGTGTAATACGGACTCTATACATGAAGTGCTTTGTGTAAATCTTAAAGAAAGTCAGTTTAAGCCAGCGACACACACTAACCACATGAAAGGCTTCTCCATCCACAAACAAGGATAAGCTTACTCCTACATATGCAGGGTTGAGAGGCTAACTGAGTTTTCGAATTCGATAGCAACAGTCGAGTTCAATAGCAACAGCAATTTAATTGCAATCACGTGAGCAGGCGGGCCATCTCGCGTTTAGGGGCTACCTAGTGCGCGGGGGCGACACGCCTTATTGGTGACATCGAGGTGATTGCCGATGACTCTGATCACTCGATCGAGGCGGTCCTTCAGCTTGAGAGTAATATTTAAAAGCGGTGCTCTGCGATCCGGCTTGAACTTCCGGGATTCACTCATACTTCTACCACCCCATTCTCACCATTCATTGATAACTCTGCAGTATCTACACAGCGCATAGTCCACACTACCAGGACAATGACTACGACTACCGGACAGAAGCGCAAGCGTGCCCCAGAAGACTCGGCCACCGTCGTCAAGTCCAAGGTCCTGATAGCCTCGCTCGCATCGAGCCGGGACATCGCGTCCGAGGTGGTGCCGGCGCCGGACGAGATGGGGCCGCAGCTGCAGCGGATCGCGGCGTCGAACCGGACGCCGTTCGAGAAGAAGGTCTGGAGCCTGCTGTGCCAGATCCCGCCGGGCCACGTGTCGACGTACGGCCTCATGTCGGCGCACCTGGGCTCGTCGCCGCGCGCCGTCGGCAACGCGCTCCGCCGCAACCCCTTCGCGCCCCAGGTCCCGTGCCACCGCGTCGTGGCGACGGGCGGCGCCCTGGGCGGCTTCAAGGGCCACTGGTCGACCAACGGGGAGGGCATCACCATCGATGAGAAGAAGAGGCTCCTGCGGAAGGAGGGCGTCAAGATCGATCCGGCGGGGAGAGTGCTCGGGACGCCTTGGTCAGGGTTTACCTGAGGATATGAGTTCTGAATGGTATCTTGGGTTAAGCATGTTGGCTCCATGGAACTGATAGTATGAACCGCACTGGGTCACAAGGATGTGACATGAGATTTGGGTGTTGTTGGCGTACGGGGTTTCATGGTTCGGATGGTTCTTAAGAGCACCATCATAGGCTTGATGCTGACGGAGTTGCTACTTTGCGAGTCGATTAAATAGCCGCTTTGACTCCATCATTTCAGTGTTTCTGTTCCAAAATGCACGTTCATCTTGCTATTCGTTGTGCTGCTCTCGCACTCATGAATCCTGAAGCTACAGCGATGCGGTGCAGGGACGTTAGTGCTGAACAGCGAGTCTGGATTGGCGAAACCCGATCCTTGCGGGTAGACTGCTGAAGTCTTGAACAAGGCCCATACAAGCTAAGAGGTATAAATATAGTTAGAGCACTCAACATGTGAACTCCTAGTTGATGGGATTGGCTGTCTGGATGTGTTGCATTCTTATAGGGATGGACATAAAGCATCGCCAAGCCGCTAAAACCAGCATGGATTCACTGCCGCCGAAATGGCCAGCGCCCTCGGGCCGGAGTCTTAAGCCACGACATCACCACCCAACGCGTTCATGAAAACTTTCCCAACCTTCACCTGACGTCAAAATGGGACGCGGCCCGGAGCTGTCGCCTCAGTTGAGGTCGCGCATCTGTGAATTGCGGTCCATCGGCTGGACCACCGGCCAGATCCACAAGAAGCACCCCGACGTGCCGATCAGCACCATCAAGTCGACCATCCGGCGCGAGGCGCTCCGTGAGAACAACGTGTCGCGGCCGCGCACCGGGGCGCGACGGAAGCTTACCGAGGAGGATCGTGACTATCTTTACGACTTGGTCGTCCATCAGAACCCTAACATCACCCATGCCGATCTGCTCGAGGCGGTCGACCACAAGATCAAGGCGCGATCCCTGCAGTACCTACTGCGCGAAATGGGCATCCGGACGTCGCACGGGGGCTGAGACGTTTATCTCGTAAGCTCCCGCCGTGCGTGGATCTCACTCAAAGCCCTAGGGCGTACGACTAACAGTGTCTCAAGAAACAGTGATCATAGCAGATCTCTCTGGGCAAAGCTGATCCATCTTCAAGAAGTTGACACTCCTGAGAACTGAGGGAGATGGCTGCAAATCAAAGTTGGAAAAGGTACACCCTTCTGGGGCTGGCCTGGAAGATGGTATCTCTTAGGCCGCATCCAGAGCATTGACCTCTTTCAGGACGTCGCAAGAGTGGGTGCAGCGACTATTGCTGGCTAGAATGTGGACATTACTTTGCTCAAAGGTGATGCGCAGAAGATATGGATCTTCAATACGGTCGCCCGAAAGGGAAGGTGATCTGGATGTAAAACCACCAATGCGAAACAACACGTTTTAGCAGAAGTTCGAGCCGATAAGCAGCGTTTTTGAAGGCACAGGCCCTGACGTTCCTTTCCAATTGCATCAATGGCTGGCTTTCGTGGCTGGTACACTTGAACATCGTCTGAACCCTGAGGCTAAGGCCGGCGTCCACATTAAGCGTTGAAGTGGTTGGGTCTATACCATACCAGATACACAACATATCCTTCACATACGACCATACCTCCTAGAGAACTCGGGATCCCGTCCGCTCTCCCCGTAGATAAACTGGGAAGGGCCAGATTAGTACTTGGGTGGGTGACCACCAGCGAATACCTGGTGTTGTATGTTTTTTTGGGTCCTTGTTACTGTTATTTTTTACGAACGCAGCTCGGACTTTCAGAATACGTCACTATATCAATCTTGGAATCAGCGGCCCCTTGTCCGAGCTAAGAACGCCTGCACTGAATCTACACCCATTGCGATTCACCCTCACTATCACCGCGTCTCAGTCGTATCCGTTGTATTTATAGCGCTGTCGTATCGGGGCGGGATTTGCCAGTTTGCGTATGATCGGGTGTAACCACAACACGCGGTCAAAATTAAAACTTCCAACACCTTGGTTCAGCTTGGCTTATACGGCACCATATATGATGACCCCTCAACACTCTTGTCGAGCATGTCAAACTCCTAAGATTTCCGGAGAGTCCTCGTCTCTGCATAGGATCTAAGCCCAACTCCTGCCGGCTTTCCCTATTGAGCTATTGAGAAATGGAACCCCGCGTTCTCCCGTCCCCACGAGGGAGCAATTGCCGTCAGCCAATGACTATAAAGGATTGGCATCGCGTGGACCACAACTTCACATTGAAACCAATGCAGGGGCCAGCTAAGCTCATGCGTTGGTGGATTTATGGTCAGAAGATTTACTTGCAGCACGGTTTGCATCCGCCATGCAAGGCAGAGCTGTGCCAGCCAGTAGACGGGCTCTACCCATGGAAAGCTTGACCTCTAGTTCCCGGGACTCGCGGACTCCACCCCACCAGGGGGTTCCCGGAAAAGCGGCAGCGATCGCCCTATCGAGTCGCAGGAGGCAGTTGTCAGAGTCAGTATAAGAGGCCAGGGCACCTCGTCACGCAGCACAAGAAACGCCACAAGCGAGGAGCTCGCATCTTGCCCAGAACTGATAGTCGCCCGGCCCCTTTCTGGGCCAGCCTGGAGTTCCCATCCAGCATGGTCGCGGTACAGTTTGCCGTGAGTCTGCTGGCGGCCAGCACAGCCGCCGCTACCACTAAACGCAGTTCTGGATGCAGTGCGGACAAGGCCCCCGTCTCTCTGGGCGAACGGCACGACGTCACGCTGTCCAATTCAAACAGGACCTACATGTACTTCCTGCCCACCACGTATCAGCCCGACAAGCCGACTCCGCTGATCCTGTCCTTCCACGGCGCTAGTCGGACCTCGGACTGGCAGGCCGACTTGGACAGACTGACGGACCCTTACTTCAACACGGACCACATCGTTGTATACCCGCAGGCGCTACAGTATGGCGACACGAGCGAGTTCATATACTGGCAAGGGGCACCGAACGCAACGGCAGACGACGTTGGCTACGTGTCCAACGTGCTAGACGAGCTGGACGGCAAGCTCTGCATCAACCAGTCGCGGATCTACGCCACGGGCAAATCACAAGGTGGTGGCATGACCGGGGTACTTGCCTGTGACCTCAACGCCAGCCGCCGCATCGCCGCCTTCGCCCCCGTCTCCGGGGCCTTCTACACGGGGGCCAAGGAGTGCGGCGACCCGTCGACGCTGGCCATCAGCTGCAATCCGGGCCGGGATGACATCCCCATCCTGGACTTCCACGGGGGCAACGACACGACGATCAGCATCCACGGCGGGCCGCGCAACGGCGGCTGCCTGCCCAGCATCCGGCACTGGGTCGCGGAGTGGGCCGAGAGGAACAACCTGACGGGGAAGCCGTCAGAGCAGGGCGTGTTGAGCAGCAGCAGCAGCAGTGCGCGGGAGTACAGGTACGGGACTGGCGCTGAGGACGGGCTCGTCACGTTCGTCTACGACGGCGACCACGTCAACCACGACTGGCCGGCCACGTTCAACAACTCGGACAACTGGGCGCACCAGTCTGGACCCGCGGCGTTCAACGCGTCCAGCATGATCATGGACTTCTTTGCCAAGTACACGCTGTGAGTGATCTTCTCCCTTACCGCGGGTTTTCTTCGCGGATGGTGCGATGCTGATTGTATGCCTACAGACCGGACGGCGGAAGTGGCGACGATGCCACCAGCACGGGGGCCGCGAGTAGCACGGCCGTCCAGACGGGATCGCCCTCCACGAGCACCCCGAGCACCACCAGCTCGGCCGCCAGCGGCTCCCCGAGGAGCGGATCATCAGTCAAAACCGAGTCCCTTGTAGTTACCTGTGTGCTTCTTGTTTTCACTCTGGCGTCTTCGGGGGTTTCCTGGTAATGGAGTTGGGGGTACTAATAACTGGACAATCTGGACCTGAAGACCTGATGCCCGCGAGTCCGCCACTACTCGCAAGATAATGAACTTGACGTACAAACTAAGCCGGCGCGATCTACAGGGATTATCTGGTTGGGTGCGCACATATCATTGGAGCAGCAAGTCACAAAATGGAACATGAAAAGTTGACGCGAAAGATGTATTCACCACTACGAACTGCCATCCTCAACACGATCCGAGAACCATCGTGGTATAGGGGTTCTTTGCTGCCTTTCCGTCTACCGGCGGTGAGCCCTTCCATCCGCATTAGTAGGCTCGTCTTCACCAAGACCAGGCTGGCCGGCTTTCTCTGGCCCCTCCATAATGTGGCCGTCCTCAAAGGCCTTCCACCCTGCTCGCAGTGCGTTTGTTTGCAATGTTCTGTTTGCCGTTTGCCAGAGAAAAGAAGATCGAAATCACACATCGCTCGCTCTCTTGTTCGTGTGTGTGCGAGGCGGAGCGACCACCCTATGCGCGAAATTTCAGAGTACCACCCCAGTTTTGTTTGCTTTTCGGCCGTTGCATAAGTGTACACGAGAGCCATATAGCTCGAACTTCCGAGGGTCATCGTCCCAAACTCAACTGACGGAGAAGAGTTGATCTTCTCAAAGAGCACTCAATGGGATGACCTGTCGGATAAACCTTTTCTGTCTGCAAAAGAGAAAAGAACAACTAGTAGGAAATGGGTATATGTGCCGTTCTGATGCAAAGAAGGGAAAAACCATTTACGGAATACCAAGACCGGCGCGCGTATGATGAAAACCCAATCCAGTGGAAAAAATCGTCGAACTAATAACTTAGAAAAACGACGGCTTGGTGAGGACCCGGTACTCCACGTAGTCCTCGCCATCGATGGTGATGATCTCTCCTCGGCTGACCAGCTTGCCCGCAAACGGTCCGTTCTGCTTGCGCGTGTAAGTCCGGTTGTCCACAGTCCTGACCTCGTCCATGTTAGGGCCGGGGATCATGGCCTGGGCTTGAGGCTGTTGGGGCTGGGGCTGAGGCGGCATCTGCATCATCTGCTGCTGCTGCTGCTGCTGCTGGCCCTGGAGCCGGTGTGCCTCTTGTGCGGTCCAGACCTTGTTGAGCCGGCCGATGTTGTCCTGGAACATGACACGGCTGTCCGAAGGGACGGGACCTGGTGCAGGCATGGGTGCGCTGTTCATTCCCTGGCGCTGGGGGTTGTGTCGATCTTGACGCATCTGGGCAGCTTCCATCTTGTGCACCTCGCGTCGGGCGAGGCTGTTGGTACGCTCAAGAGGATCTACACTACCATGACGACTGGCTTGGCGATACTCAGCCTCGGACAGGGCACGTGGGCCTCGGATATCAGGGATCATCTCGCGGCGACCTTGCCTCATGTCCTGCACACCGGGCTCAGGCTTCGGGCTCTGCATCGACTCATCGCCTCCATAGCTGTTGAGATTGTGGCGGGCAGCTTGCTGGGGAGGGCCAGGCGTAGCCTTCGGGTTCAAGGCTGCTCGTCGCTGGGCTTCGTAGACAGCCTTGGTCTCGTTGGCCACGCGCTCGTCTTCTCTCTCGCCAGAGTCAATCTGATACTGGCGAACACGAACATACTCCTTCATCTCACCTCGGTTGAGGTCGCGGATATGCGGCAAGAAGTTAACCTCCTCATATGCTATCCAGAGAGCGCCAGCACCAGTGGGGAAGTTGCCGTCCACGAAGCGACCATCCATGGTCTCACGGACCAGCTTGACCCGGAACATGTCGTTGGCGCCAAGGATGCCATAAACAGCATGCTTCTCACTATCGTTGGGGGCGCTGCTTCGGCTCCAGCAACCAACAAGGATCCTTGTAGGACGCTGTCCAGGAAGGTTGCCAACGTACATGGGGTCGACAGGTTGCTGCTGCATGATCGGTTGAGCAGGCTGGACAGGAGGCTGCTGCTGTTGCATGATGGCAGCCGCGGGGGCCGGGGGAGGATGCTGAGCATCTTGGAATGCAGGCTGATGATCTTGCATCATCTCTGGCGGTTGCTGCGAGGGTAGAGGCTGCGGCTGAGGTGTGGGAGTAGGCGTAGAGGTCTGGGAAGGCACATGAGGTTGAGCATTGGAGCCGATAGTGCCTGTAGCACTACCGGTACGCCTGCGCTTGGCATCAGGGCGGTACCCGTGCTGAGGGTTCTCTGGGATGTCCCTGCCATACGCGATTGCCGGTGGCTGAGCAGTCTCCGGAGGAGGGTGTTCCTGGAGATAGCGCTTTGCCTCTTGGGCAGCGGCCAGCTCGGCTTTGTGTCTGTCTTCATCGGACGTGAATTCGTTCTCATCCTTAAGAGCAACAAGGCGCAGTTTCACGTACTCCTTGACTTCATTGTGGTCAAGACCGACGAGGTGATCAGCAAAGACGACGCGCTCAAAAGTGACCCAGCTGCCACCGGGACCAGGAGGAATAGGGAACAGACGAGTGTTAATAGCTTCGCCATTCCGGTTGTAGTTCTGAATGCGCGTTCGAAGGCGGTCGCGCACATCTGGGAAGCCGATAACTGCGTGTTTGCCGGCCTCCTTGGGCACGGGAGAATCTCTCCAGTAGCCTAGTAGCACGCCTTTTGCTTGGTTGGCTCCGGGGCGAGGCTTGGGGGTTTGGCGGCTGTTTGCATCAGCATCTTCGGCACCTGGAAGCAAACTTCCCTCGAGCTTGTCTTCGCCGAGATGTTCGTACATTGAAGCACGTTTGCGCTTGGGGTAATGGGAAATAGGCGCGTCATCGTCGACCCCGGCCATTTCCACGTCCTCCTTGGGAGACGTCACTCGGAGTGGAGATGACTTGTCACCATTGGTGGCAGTGGCTTGACGCGTACCAACGACGATCTCGTCGTTCAGTACGTCAGGGTTGACACTTGAGACAGAGCTTGAAGGGGGAGGGCTGAGACCACCCTCATCTGCGGTGTCGTCTTCCGAAGCAACTTTGTATCCTGATCCATTCAAGGGACCGCGGCTATAGAAAACGTCCGTTAGTGAATCGGATTTGGACGCGGTGGGTCTCTGGTGAGAAAGGGTAGAGTGGGTAAAGAAAAGGTCCGGCGCAGGCAGAAGGCACATGATGGCTGCTGGTATCCCTTGGGAAGTGAAGATTTCGTTCACTGCGGGAGTTGGATCTGGTATGACATAGACTTTTCAAATGTCTGAAGCTTGACTCAAGTCTTTGGAAAGGGTTGGGTGATAAGAAGGACGGCCACCAAGACGAATATGTAAGGGTGAGGGTATGAAGTGAACTGCCCGCTCACAAAACGAGATGTGAAAAGGTATGGTGAAAGAAAAGCGGAGACAAGTGAGGCAATGTGAATTGATTTGCGTAGGATTTTGACGAGGGGTCTGCATGAGATGAAATGGGATGATGATCAATCGACGGTTATATCGTCGATTATAGTGCTCCCATGAGCCCAGTGTGCAGAGGCAGTGTGCAAAGACACGTGAGCACCTGACAAAGGTATGCATAAGGTGTAACATATGCACACTGCCTCCACTGAACTTGTCATCCAAAGAAAGACAAGCTAGGCGGGGTAGAAATGGTGTGATGATGGGTCAAGGGGATGAAGATAATGTCCAGGCACATTGACCGAATCATAACAAGGGGGTTCGCCAAGGGTGGAGGTGGCAGTCGTAAGGGATGCAACGTGAGTATACGTCCAGCTGAGCAGGCATGCCTATAACACGATATCGTCCTGATAAAACCCTGGTCGCCGATGGCAGGCAGCCGCGTAGGGAAGAAGAGCTCTGGGGTACGGCACACGAAGTGAGGTCGATGATTGTGTCTCAGTCGCTGGGTAATGAAGACATCACCAGATCAACTTACCGCTGGCGGAAGGTGTAAGGACGATCGGGGGTGTTCCTCGCCATCATGCAGAGTCGAGTATAGTCTTACCAACTAGGCAAGGCTCGAGAAGGGGTTGTAGTGGTGGAGTCGGGATTGAGTCTGGCCCCAGGTGAAGGGTACTGGACGACCAGATGCAGCCGAGAAGCGCAACGACAATAGTCAAAAAAAAAAAGTGTGAACGGGGCGAAGAGTGGCCCCCCACAGTTCCACTGGGACATCAAGAAAAGAGAAAAAAAAATCGATGAGGTATACGATGAAGAAAAATGGCCCTAGGCATCGATTGTCGGAGTTGGTGAGGTGAATGTTGGGGAGCCAAGTGAATCATTAAGTTGGGTTGACGCGATTGGGTCCCCCGTTGGCGCGAGGATGGGCAACATATGGAGAATCAAATAGAAATAAAAGTGGAAGTGTCTGCTTTTTGCAGTCAACATACCTCTCGTCAGCAGGCGTGGACTCTGCTTTGGGACTCTCGTTGTTGGCAGACACGCTGCGCTCGGGATTATCCACGTCCTCCATCGTGACGTGAGCTGCGGCTGGGTTTGTGGGTGGGTTGCTGGAGAAGCGAGTTGTGGACGCTTTCGGCGAGTGAGTGAGAGGGCCACGAGCTGAGTTGTTGGCCGGGTGGCAAAAAGAACCAACACCAAAGGCGATGGCACTACCGGTGACGGGAGCGTGGTCAAACTACTCAGAGACTCGGTGCGCCGTGCGGAGTGATGGCGAAAGTCGATACTGGGCCAAAAAGTGATGGAAGGGCCGGCGAAGAATATAATGAAGATGAAATGAAACGTGTTGTTAGGTTGCGAGAGGATCCGGCGAGAAAAAAAAACATAGAATTGCCAGGTGGGGACAGAGACTTTACCTTCGTGTGCTGATACCCAGGGAGCATAAGCTGATTGGAAGGGCTGTCCCGGTGGAGACAAGCGCTATTAAAATCTGCGGTAACTCATATCATCCACCTTGTTTTGCAGGCTTTTAGCGAGAACGTCCAACTCTATCTGGGTATCTGATTACCGAAGCACGCGCATTGTCTCTACTTCGTCTAGTGGTCTCGGAGCTCTTTGACTCTGCGGGCCAATACCAGCCCCAGTTGCCAGTTGCGAGACTTTGGATCTATGCAATTAGACTTTCCCCTCTCGAACACGCTGAGAGAGATCGAAGTTGCGCAACTTGTCGCTTTGCCTTGCTTTGCCTTGCTTCGCTTTGCTTTGCTTTACCCTGCCTTGCTGAGCTCTGAGCTGACCACTTTTACCTTGGTCGCGCCGTTCGCACGACAAGCAAGTGCCTGCCTCTCTGCCCCGTTGTGCTGGTCAGTCGCCCGTCCATCCCACCCCGGCCCCTTCTGTTCGGATTATGACGGGCCAAGCGCCGCCAACCCGGCCAGCTTCGCAGTTTCTGTTTAGTCATTGCTCGACCCATCCGGGGTTGATGTTACGAGATTGGTCAAAGTCTCTGGGCTGCGAGTGCTGTTGGGCCGGCGCTCTACAACACGAGAGTGATGACTTCTCGCATTCCTCGAGATGGCAAATGTCAGCGCGTCATAGCTCAGCTCAGCTCTGCATTCACACAAGACCCCCCCGTTCTGATCGTCTGTCGCGGTCGCTTCCGCAAGTACCACCAGCCACCCACCCTCCCTTTCGTCTAGACCCTGCAACTGTATTCCAGATCCTAGCTCAACGCCGCATGTGATCAACCAGACAATGGCGCTATCGCATCGGTTGTATTCACCCACAAGAGACTATTCGACCGCCACTGATTCAATCAATTAATTACAAAAGTATCGCCAAGGTGGCCCGCAGCGAACGTACACGGAATCTTCTCTTTGAAATAACAAAATGATAACAACCATCGACATTTGTCCCCCGATGGGGTACATACGGTCGGGCCAGAGCGAATGCATGTCTGACCTCTCTGGTCGTCATCATTACCCGAAATGGCGGCATCATAACATTATCTGACAATTGTCATCACCGCAGGCAGGCAATCAATCAGAAAGGGCCGCTGGCCGGGCTTATCAGAGGAACAGAAGAGGCTTGGCCGGTGGGCAGTGTGGGAGAGTTGTCACAGCCCCACAAAACGCGGCCTCTCTAAACCTTGTGTTACAGGCCAAAACGTGTAAGCTTTTAGCCTCTGAAGCCAGAATTCCGCAAATAGCAAGTTGGCATTTTACACGGTTTCGATCCAACACACAGCCCGGCGCTCCGTCACACCCTCTGGCTGATACAAAGACTGTTGGTGATGCAAAAGAGCCAGTCCGTTCCTAATCCCAAAATAACATGATTGATCACTGACTGTGTGTTATCTATCCGCGACGAGGATGATGTGTGATTGCGTGCCCAGTACGAGTTAGTTGGGCTGTCTGCCGCTTCATAGCGAGAGTTGGCCTAGTTTCTGGTTGGCCATCTGCCCCTCAAACTAGGGTTTAGGAATTGCGGGCGTCTGTGCTCCAGTTGCGAAACCAACACCCATTGGCGCTCCCGTACGATCGCCGTAGATGAACAAGGCCAATTACTTCATAGCCTAGATTGCTTCCAGATTAGTTTACGTACGCTCAATACGCCGTCGCATAACGAACTGCGAATCCGTCAAGCGACCATTCATTGTAGATTGGAAATTCTGTTGCTCAGTTTCGAGTTTCGAACTTATAGGGTTACCTTGCAGCAACTATCCCTTGCGCCAGTTGGCGTCAACCCTCGCTGGGTCTCGGGTGTACTTACTTGCTCTAAGTCGGTAGTTGCTGCCTGACACTGAGTCTTATCAGTGGAAATGAGCACTTTTGCACACTATATTAAGCTGCCGACGTGAACTTTCGTCGCATGGTTGCATACAACAAAAGCCCATACGGCAGTTCTTATTTTGGTCTTCTTATGGCAGCGCTAGAGAGAATCGAATGCTACCCCCATACATCAGGTAGGGATCTACACCTGCGGCGAGCCAATGAGGAAGCTTCAAGATTGCGAAAGGTTCCTACAGTTGACCCTGGGGAACACCAATATTGACTTTCAATCAAACTCGCACGCAAACATCGAGATGCAAGCCGTGGCAATAGCCTATGGCCCTTTCGAGTTGTGCGGAGGACTTTCTGTGCAACGTGTATCCAATGCAGTCCATTGCCCACAGTATTGACCGCAAGCATGCAGCTCGGGTGTTACAACGTCATAAGAATGCAATCCATGTTTCATCTCCCGTGTAAACGGGATGATGGTACATAAAACAGTGCCGGGATTGGGTGTAACCAGCTGTTGGCGGTTAGGACTGCTCGCTCTATGACAAGGAATCGTAGGATCGAAGACCCTTGACTGTATTTGGATTGATTTAGCTACATGACAGATTTGCTGATCCTTCAGCGGCCACTCTTTGCGATACTGATCAGAAGCCGACCACCAACAGAGACCAACAAGAGTGGCGCGTGCGGCCGTCCCTATGGCATGCGCGGAGATGTTTAACGTCAGGGTCCAGCTTGGCAAGCGCTTGGTATGATCCGTAGAATTGAAACTGAGAGGCGACCTCCTCAGCTATGGCCATAACTCCGAAGTGGTGATGTACCTGACAAAGCTGGATGGTTCCCACTACTGCTCTCATGTAGAGCTGTGGAATGAATACCCTGACCGGGTTTCATTCATATCCAGTCGATAAAATCTTCGACGAAAACCGACCTGCCATGAGCGCGTACTAACGAAGCGGTCGAGATCGACTAGTAGACGATACTACTGTAGCTTCTTCGGTGGCTGCGCAAGTCTCCAGAAAGTAGCCGGTATGCTGTTGACTGAGAGTACTGTATCCTCCTCTCCAGTCGCCCATCAACCGCCACGTCTTCCACCGCGTCCTCTACCTCCCCTACCACCTCGGCCACCTCGACCACCAGGGGAACCTCTGCCCTTCTTTCCGCCCTTTCCTGTGGGCTTGTCGAACGTGTCGTAGAGCAGCTCCTCTCCAAAGGCCATCTCGGTGAATCTGAGATAGCTGGTGAAACCACTGTCAACTATTGCAAGAATAGCGTTGCGCCACCCGTGCTTCAGTCTCTTGTATGTGAACCCAACACCTTTGCCAGCAGCCAGGTTCTCGTCAGGCGGCGCCCACGGGGTAGACTCCAGAAGGGCCGTCATCTCGGAAACAGTCGGGACTGTCGTAGTGCGCGCGTTGACTACTGCTATGCGGAAGTCTGGAGGTCCCAGATTCGCCTTGCCAAAGCCGGGCCGTGACTTGTAGACGTGGAAAAATATCTCAAACGGCGCTTGAGCAGGGTTCAACTCGTCGACTTGCGGTGTTGGCTTGTGTCGGGCGATGAGATGAAGCTGCTGAAAGATAGGTTGGTATGACCGATACAATCCGGGCTTGAGTAAAGGTCCAAGAGAAGGGTATGACCGGGGCGGACCCGCTGCCGTAGGAGACAGGAGTGATACTAGCCATTGCCAGAGTGTCCGTGACGGAGGCGCCAAAACACTGTTGGCTGGTTCTGCCGCGTAGGCTGCACGATACGCCAGATATCCTGAGCGCCGCAGGTTGGCATAGACTTGGTACCTCTCAAGCGTGATCTTTCCCCTTTCACCGTCCTGGCCTATGAACAGGGTATAGGCAGCCTGGAAGCTGAGGGGCAGACCGAACTCATCCCGATCTTCTTCGGGAGCAACACCCTCTTCTTGCCCTTCCTTCTTGACCGGAAACAGCTCACCGAGGCCTCTCTGAGGATACCAGAGATGCAGGTCTCCTCTTTCCACCATGAAGAGCGCCTCTTCCGGAAGCAGCCACAGCTTATCCCAGGCCGGGACGCTCGTGCCCCTGCCCTTCATGACCCGCCCTGTCGTCTTGAACATGGGGCCCTTCTCGTGCTCGACGACCACGACCCTCTCCCTGAACTCGTCCTCCTCGGCGGCCCAGTGGTCGGGGAAGTACCAGCCGCGGAGGTAGGAGGCTGGGCCGTGTGTTCGTTCGTAGCTCAGGACCTCGTGCATGGCCCTGCGGCTGGCCTCGAGGTAGCCCTCCTGCAGCCGTGTGCCGTGCGACTCGAAGTCCTTCTCGCCCTTCCGGATCTGCTTGCCCGAGACATTGGACTTCTGCAGCGAGCTCGCGAACTTGCGAAAGTCCTGCACCTCCTCGTCTTGTAGGTCTTCCTCGGCGCTGGGGGGCGCCTCGTCGGCGGTCGTCGGCGCGCCGGCCGCTGCGCCGGACGAGGGTGCGGCGGGCGCAGACATGGGGTCGTCGTCGTCGTACGCCATTGTGTCGGGTGCCTCGTCTCTGAGAGAGAGTCGAAAGAAGTACCGACTGGAAATATGGGCTCAATGGCAGAGCGGACACGATCTTGCGACGCCGGTAACTTTGTGAATTTTCAAGTTCAAGCTGTAGGGCCTGGAAAGCTACCCTGTCGAGTCTGCGCAGTGATTCCAAAACTTTCGCAGGGGTGTTAGTTTAATGGCTCCTAGTTTAATAGCTCCTTGTAGCGCACGCATATGGACGCCCACGCAACATAGGTGATTATAACAACATTAATTCATCATGATCTGTTTTCCAAAGCGATGACCAACACGATGTGTATCCGAAAACATTCACTTATATGCAACAATTGCCGAACTCCTACTGGGCATTTTCTCTATACGCATTGGGTCCTTTTGTCAAGGCTGCCTCACATCATTCCAGTACTTGCTCTGTAATTTCCTGACGCCGACGTTTGCTAAAGATAAGCAGGTAGTGTGGCAAAGAACACCAATCCATAACTTACCTTTCGGTCTGATTCTTGCTCCTGCAATGCTGGACACACTGGTCTGTCGCCTCGCATAAACCCGTCTTGTGACAAACCCCGGGCCCCGATATCCCAGCATTTTAAGAGAGCCCATCCATGTCATTGTGGAGGAGCTCAAGATACCCCTCATAAACTATAATAAGACGCAAAATTTTCATCAACAAGGGGTACGTTCAGGGTCCGCCGCGTCCAATCACAATTCAATACTAACGCATCCGACAGAGTCTGGCCGAGTGGTTAAGGCGTTGTGTTTAGGCTTGCATCCGTCAGGATACATACTTCAAACCGCAATGGGAAACCGCGCAGGTTCGAATCCTGCGGCTCTCATCATTCTTTTGCCCAATCGGGACACTGTTCGTAGTTCTGAATATCTTTTGTTTTCATGGAGATGTGAGCGTTCATGGTGTTGATGCGCAGGGCGCGCTAGCGACACCAGTGGTGTGGTTCTAATTAAGGTTAACGCACAGGCCCCAGCTAAATTAAGGAGAGCCATCAGCCACACTAGCCACACACTAGCCACACCAGCAAAGGGCCTTCTCGCGGATGATAACCCCAGCAGGGCGGCGTAGAGGCGAATGAAGATCTCCTTGACTGATCTGCAGCATACGTTATGCTGCTCATACGTTTTGGTTTCTTCGCATCCGATATTTATGTGTGATGGAAAGCAGAATCCCGAGTGGCCGGCGAACGGGTCCTATCGCACCAGTCCGCTCCACTTACACAAGAGTTTCAGAGAAGTAGAGGTGCAGCTAGAGCCGTGTCATTCTCTAACATCGAGTGCACCTGAGTTCTGCTAGATCCGTGAATGATGAAAAATGAACTCTAGGGAGAGGTTATCTTTTACATAAGTCTGATCAAGTTCGAATCACAGCATAGTCAGTGGTCTAGTACTAGTAGATGCAACATTCAGATGATGTTGTATTCCAGTATTATTCCACCACTGTTACTACTGTCTACACTGTGACTATACTGGTACCTGACGAGTTCCCGACCATTATTCCATTGCTATTCCATTCTACTCCATTGTTATCCCACTGTTGTTTCGCTTCTATCCTGTTATTGTTGCTTTGTAATTCTAGCATAATTACCCTATTCTCCGAGTGCTATTGCACTGCCGTTTGATTATCATCTCCTGGACCGGTCTCCAAGCCCGCATTCACTTCTCTGGCGCTTCTAGAAGACCATCCTCAATATTTCAAACAGCAGCTGAGGAGGCTGGCTGGCCTGAACATTGAACCAAGTATCACAAAAAGACGGAGGGTCTGCAAGTTTCAAAATTCATCTTGCCCATTCGGTCTTCGGCGCGTCCGCACGAGGACGGCCACGACATACCCCGACGAGACCGGGGTACAACATATATACATGTACATTGCGCATGTGCGAGTGTTCCTAATCACAGGTTTCCGCCCTTTCCCCCTTCGATGGCTACAGTAACACGGTGGGCAGCTGTCGCCCATCCTTCCCCCGGTCTTTGCTCCCTGCTCCCTGCACCGCTGTGCAGTGTTCGGGGGGTATCCTCATAACTCTGTAACTCTTCGCCCACTGGTCGGACTGAAGTCTCATCGGCGAGCCAGAGCCCCAGAAGAGTAGTCAAGAGCGCTTCCGTTCCCTGAACGCCTGAAAACACAATGCGCGCGGGTATTCCCCTTGATGCCCCCTGTCGCCATGGTCGCATAGTTGTCATGACGCCGTCAATAGCCTCTCCCTGGAAAATCCAAACAATGCCGCCGCGCAACCAACGCCTAGCTTGTTGGCAATGCTCATCAGCGATGAGCCCCATCAAATTTGGTCCTACGCCAAACCGGACATGGTGCATGTTTCTAACCTGCACCACAGGTGCCAACGCATTATGATTATCATCCCTTCCTATCTCCTTGACATATTCGTGCTTCGTGTCCTCGTTGCCACTGCCTGCCGCAGCTCTTGGTGTCTTCTGAAAAGGGGGCCGTCGTGGTGGGTAACTATATTGACAGAACCCCCAGTTCTTCAGCGACAGCCGGCGCACCGTGTGCTCGTTGAAGAGTCCAGCCGGAGCTAGTACGAGCTAAACCACGCGATACCGCCTTGGTTCCTGGGCCGGGCCCTGTAGCCCTGCCGGGCTGGAAATAACGCAATCCAGTTGCAATGCGGGAGTGTTGCAGTTCTTGGGGGCTGAGCGGTGAAAATGCTGTGCGAGGCTCGTGTTGGATGGAGCCCGTGCATATGGAGCCGTAGTGTCAATAATCGTATCAAGGCCATCACTCAATCAGTGGCTTCTTCTGCCCTCCCACCATGCACAGTCCCAGAGTAGACAGCGCATTATAATCGTTCGCAAGAACAATGTTCCTCGCAGGTAGCATGGGGTTGTGCGGATCGACGGAAGATGCATCCTTGGCCGCCTGTTCGATCGCATCCATTTCCTCTTTGCACGCCTGATGGTCCATCGGGCAGATGACAATAGGTTGTCTCAACGTAATATCCCTAGCTGAAGTCATTGAGGCCTGTGAGTTTGTGTTAGCTTTACCGCGGGTCCATTGAACGAGGGAAAACCGTTGGGGATATACCTTGATGGTGAGAAAGAACTCGATCTTGTAAAGCGTAGAGGTTGTGGTAAACGACGTGACTTCGTAATTCGGGAATGCGGGCTGCCCTCTCCTCATTATGCCTTGCGCGTCCCGGAGGTCCTTATGCGGGAAGATGACGCCCATGTTGGTGACATAACCAGCCTCCGGCAGCTTGGTGCCTACATTCTGGACGTGCTTGTGTAGTCGGTTGACCTCCTTGGTCGGCTCGTCGCCCTCGGGGTTGTATGTTATCTCCTCCTCAATAGCCAGCGTGATCTTTTGGATGGTCACCTTTCTCGCTTTGGCCATCCAGTCCAGGTTGGGGGCGATTTTGATATATACGGTTATGGGATCCATGGGCCCGTAACTCCACCTCGGTAGCGAGATGCCCAGGGTGACGATGTTGTCGGCGGTCGCGATCTTGGTCTCGGGCCGGTTGTACATTCCAAAAGTTGATAACGTGTCGTACCTCTGTAGGGGTATGGGGAAGGCGTACTTGTTCTGCACGCTCTGCCCTTGCTGAACAGTGACCACCAACTCGTAGTATGTCTCGGCCGTCCTACTTGCAAGTTGCAACGACGCGGGTGGTATCCTGCGGTTCGTCTCCTCGCCGCCTCGCCCAAAGGGTATAAACAAGACGAACGGGAGGTCCATGGCGATGACGTTCTCCGCCTCCTTGCCCGAGGCGCACCGGAAGAGCAGCAGCTCTTTGCCGACCACATCTGTCGTGTCTCTCCGCGGCGTGCCCAGGTGACGCTTGGCTACGTTCTTGGCGGCCGGGTGTATGGTCTCGCGGCGCTGTAGACATATGCGTACTAACGAAACGGCGACGGGGGCCGAGTAGCCTTGTGACGGTCTGATTTCGACTTTACCTTCGATGCGCGGCTGCGGCAAGATATGTCAGTGTCCGGTTTCGCGTGAGAGTATGTGTATAAATGCCAGGAATGCCAGGGACAAGGGCGTGAGTGCATAGCACGTTGGTCGCGGCACCCCACATGTGAGGGCGGGACCTCGACGGGGTCGACCTGACAGGCATCACGGAGATCGTCGACTGGGGAGAGGAACAGTGCACCAGTGCACCAGACCGGGAAACTTACCAGCGTGGCGGATATTCCTGGGTAGCCGACCAGGAAGCTGCTGTTTGCAGGCCCGGAGACCCGTACGAAGGCCGGGATCTTGTCCGTCATGTTGTGGTCAGCCGGTCGAGGTTGACGGTCGACGGCCGATGGTTCGGGGTTATGAGGGGAAGCGGCTGTGATGGGGAGCCCTGGATGCTGGCCGTAGCTGTAGCATGTATCCGTCTGGGCCAGGCGCGGGCGTCGGCGCCTTGGTCGGGGAGCTGGACGATGTCCTCAGCAGAGTCGTCGGGTGCGCGGCGTTGGCGTTGGCGTTGGCGTTGGCGGAGGCGGACGCTCATCACCAGTCCAGTCCGCCCGTCAGATTCACCGCGGCTGGGGGGGATGAGGGCAGGGCGGCGGGCCAGCGTCGAAGGAATCGGGGTGGGCGCGCTGCGGCTGGCTGTCGCTTGGGGTTTCGGCGAGGGGTTGCGGTCACAATCGTCCTGTCCTGTCTTGTCCGTCGGTCGCGGGATCAGTGTTGTGCGCAGCAGCGCGGCGCTGAATGTCTCGTCGGTATATTTGCAGCGTTAGTTGCAGCAGCTGATTTTCGAGCCTGGGTTGCCCGCCTCGAGAGCTCGGTGCTGGACTGGGTAAGCGTCGGGTGCCGTGGTTGGTTTGGTGTTGTACTATGTATTGGGCGGTACCCCAGGCCTGAGTGTGGCCAAGCGCGCGCGCAGGGTGGGATGGCAATGGCTGGCCGTCGCTATGGGCTATGGGCTATGGGCTATGCCTAACTTATGGCTATGGGTTATGGGTTATGGCGCCTCGTGCTACTGCTGCACGGTAACTTTAAGTCGCTCGTGCCGGGGGAAAACAAAGCGGGCGCTTCTTCGTCACCAAGAAAAAGCCAAAAGAGACCAAGAGACCAAGAGACCAAGAGACCAAGACGGCAAAGCAAAACGTATCGCTTTCTCTCCAGCGCTCTTCTCTTCTTCCCGACCACTGGCAGCAGTGAGATGGAGGGCCGGAACCACGCAACCACGCAGCTTGCTCCTGGTGCGAAATGCAGTTGGCTGCAGGGCCCTTACCGCAACGGACCAAGGATCAGCCCCAGACAGCGTGTTCCGAGCAGGCTGCGCCTTTGAGAGATCCCGTTTAGAGGATGCGGCTGCTGATCTTCGGCCCTGTCTCCGCCAAATGCGTAAGGAAACACCTGGGAACCTTGGAAGCCTGCCCCAGGGTGCAGGTAGCCGCCGTGCTTACGGGCACCTTTGGGTATCGCCGCCGATGCTATGGCAATGAAGCCCGAGAGAGAGAGAGAGAGAGAGAAAGCAGCAGCAGCAAAAGAGCTCGGTGACAGTCTTCTGTTTTGCAGCTGCAGCTCTCGACTATGTTCCATGCAAGGATACCTGGCTCGGAGTTACTGTCGCAGTGGAGAAGGTAGTGCGTGCATGTGCAAGTGTCCAAGTCTTGTTCGATGGGAATACCAAGGTACCTGGCGTAGCTGGCCGCAACCAAGGTCTGTCGGGAGCTTGGATGCACCTGTTTCTGGTAGGTTTGCTTTGAGGTCGCAATCGCAACGTAGTCGAGCCAGAACTCAATTGCCGACAAAGAACACGGATTGACGCACACGGTTACGACAACGACCGGCGAGGGCTGGGGCCATTGGATAGGAACAAGGGCCTGCCCACACAGTTGCGGGCTACCAAGAACATGAGGCGAACAGCCGCGTAGCTTTCACAGCAGTCTGATAAATGACACTACCCTAACCGGCTGTCAAGTAAAGTTGCCCTATCAAGTAAACCACTTCCCTTCTCCGGCCAGGTGGTGGCAGACCGTAGCAGTCCAGTCCATCGGGTCGGTGGCTTGTAAGCAACAGACCTTGTCGCGATTCTCACCTCCGGGCGCTGTGCTGCGTATAGCTTCTCTGATTCGTGACCCCAATCTAGGACTTTCCGGAGTAAAAGCTGACTGTTCAGCGTTTGTGGGGCTACTACCAAATCTCCAGCATGGAATGATCCAAGTCCCTGCAGCCACGGCCTAAATTACTTGGTATCGTACTTCGACTTTCAAGCCAAAAAAGGGTCTGGAACCTGTGTGTCAGCTCCTCAGATCTTGAAGATGTCATCGTGCAAAGTGATAATAGTACCGTAGCCAGCCCCGAGTCTGTAATTATAAAGGTACCCCGGTAGCGACACTGCCAAGTAGACGCGCCCATCTTCATTATTCAATTCAATGAAGAGGTAGCTGTGCAGGGATCCGATCCTCCGAGAATCTCCAATGTATGAGGTGATAGCCAGACATTTCTCAAGTCCTGCAACGACAGCTATCTTCTGAAGACGTTTTGGAGTGTTGTTTTGCTATAAGCTCGTTAAGGCTTTGCAGCCGCATAGTCCCCCCGTGTCCCGATGTGCAGCGCTAGGGCAGCATTCCTAGTGGGGCCGCTCATTGAGAACGGTCTAGCCCGTCGGCTTCGACTTTGTCAGACGAGCCTCAAAAAACAGCCCGTCGATACACGTGAACCTCCCTCACAGCAAAAGCTGGCATACAGACATAGCGCCCTCACCACCACACCCTGCACAACTTCCATACGAACATGTCTGTCACGCTACATACCAATTTTGGGGATCTCAAGATCGAGGTTTTCTGCGAAAGCGTGCCAAAAACAGCAGAGGTTTGTGCCCCTGCCCAACAATCCAAGCTCATCAGATGACAGCCTGTTAATGAGCCCTCAGAACTTCCTGGCGCTGTGCGCTTCTGGTTACTATGACCTCTCACCCTTCCACCGTCTGATACCCAACTTCATGGTGCAGACCGGAGGTCCTGCCAACCCAACGCCAGACAACCCCAAGGGCGGCCAATCCATCTGGGGAGGCACGTTCGAGGATGAGATCCGGCCAGCCTTGAAGCACAACGCTCGCGGCACGGTTTCCATGGCCAACAAGGGACCTGGAACCAACGGCTCCCAGTTCTTCCTGACTTTCGACAAGGCACCCCATTTGGATGGCCTGAACACGGTCTTTGGAAAGATCCTTGGCGACGACAGCCTCACCACGTTAGCCAAGCTGGAGGCGATAGAGGTGGACAAGAAGAACCGCCCGAAGGAGAAGGCTTTCATTGAGAAAGTGACGATCCACGCAAATCCCGTCGCCACGTAGGAGGTCGGCACCTTTTTTCTTACCGACTTGGGCATGCCCGATGGTCAACGGATGCCTTGTCGAGTCCAATTGTCGCGTTTGAACTCCCATCGCCAATCAGACTTGCTTCGGCCTGGAGTTTGTGCTGATTGCAGCTTCACGCCCAGTTCTCAGGTCGCGCAAACTTCAAGACGTATAAGCAGCATAAGGGCTATGGAGACGCCTCTGCTTATGATGAATCGGGCATGCCCTAGTCGTTTGTGGCCCATCTGTCGTGCTGCAAACACCGCGTCCCAGGACGACCGGTTTCCGCACATGGTCGCTGCTGAGATGCCCTCAACTGGCGGCCTGCACTGGAATAAACCCCCTTGGTCATGCCTTGGTCACTTCAACAAGCTGGTGCGAATGATCAACTCAACCTCTACTGTTGAAGTATATCAACACTGAGTGCTGTGGGATAGGATGGATGCTGGTACTGCCCATGCAGTCTTATTCGGCCTTGTCGAATAGCCCCAGGCAAGCTCGCTTAGTATCATCACTCATAGTCATCCCTATCTGGGTTGATAGCAACCTACAGAACCGCGCTCTGCTCGGTCATCTGAAATCACTCGTCAACTCCCTGCCATAGTCAAATTGAGTGCCTCTTTCGTATTGCAGAGCCTAGCATGAAAAATCGACAACTACTTAAACATCGCTAATGCTCAGGGGACCCGGGATAAACCAATGTTCACGCGCTATACTTGGCGTTCTTACAGAATCTTGTGGTTATCCTGTGAGCTGTCTACTGCTATCTCGACTCGACTCACACTCGTCCACGGGTGTTCGCAGTAGTCGACATGGGATGCTGCATGTTGCAGGAGTGCGCCGATACAGGTATAGGTAAGCTGGGTTACGAATGGCACGGGGTACAAGTGCGCAGGCGCAAAACCCCTGGTCCTGGTAGTATTTAAGCTTCGAGAATCGATGTTGGACTGTTCTTCCTGGAAAGAACTAGCGTGCCTCAAAATGACGAGAGAGGGGGTGCAAGGAAAAGAAACGACCAAGATGCCTACGCTCACCACGAGGATCCTGGGCCATTTTCCCATCGTGCAGACTCCCGCGTTGAGCGCTCAAACCCTGGGTCTTGTATCGGCGGATGCGCATATGCCAACATTGCCGGGGGTCGCTCTTGTGGTTTGCTGGGCGTCGTTGCTTTTGGTCATTCATGTGACACGCGGTGAAACTTGCAGCTTGTCAATCAAAGGTGACTAAGTTACCCTAATCATAACCGTCCAGGCCTAATAAATTGAGGATTGCCTGGCAGTTCTCGCATCGCGCAGCATTCAGGCCCACGAGTGCAATAGACCCCCGGGGCACTTACTGCCGTCCTCGTTGGGGATCGCATTGGAATAATGCCCCGCTCACTGCGGCTTCCTCAGCTCTCCTTCGCCCTTTGACCATTCGGACCTGAGGCCCTGCAGCCAACATCAGCTCATTTTGAGCAACTGTCTTCAATTCGGCCCAGCTCCGTTTGCAGGCTCGCTTTTGTCATTTCAGCCCATCGCCGAAACGTCCTCGGTGGCTTCTCTCTCTGGCTGCGGAGAGAGCTTGCACGTAACTATCCCGGTCGCCCTGACCCTCAGCCGGACAGCATGATCTACGAAGACATCCCCGGCATCGAGGTCGCCGTGCAGATCGGTGGGGCGGATGCTGTTGAGTACGATGCCCCCGACGCAGGCGACGAGGATGCTGCCCGCGCTTCTCTTACCAAGTACGTCGAGTGCATTGACAACGCCCAGTTTTCCGTTCGGGTGAAGGTGAACGGCGACTACGATTGGAGATACAAGAATCATGACCTTTGCTTTCGGCTTTATGTCGATGGCCACTTCGTCTCTGGCAGGATTTTCGACCATGAATACCCAAGGACCGACACCATACGCGGTTATCATACCGAGAATCGAGAAACTGGGCAGTGGTACTTGCACAAGCTGCAGTTCGCCCCGGTAACGACTGGTGAGCAATCTATATATCCCCCCCTTTCTAGCCGGTATGCCTAGCTGACGTCTCTGAAGTGGATGATGCCAAGAGAGAGCGTGTTGAAAAGGATGCAAAGATTGCTAAAGACCTTGGCGTCATTACTGTAAAGGTATACCGTGGCACTACAGGCGCCAGGATAGCTGGAAGCTCCGCGGACCCGAAGAAACGTCAGCTGGAGCTTGCCGAGAAGTCGCTCAAAGGCAAAGCGGTCTCCCATGGTGCAACGTAAGGTCCTTCGTTCCGGCGTGCCTCGGCACTATTGACACCTTACAGGTACGGACCCAAGGAGATAGGCCAGCAACAGACGTACTCGGACTTCATATACCTTCCGGGTGAGGGTCAATCATCGATAGCCAACTTTAACTTTCTGTACAGGTCGCGAGGTAAGCACAGTAGATGTTGGTTTGAATCTTGCACTGCTAAATCTTTTCAAAAAGAGGCACTCAAGCGGGAACTGATCATTCCACGATCACCATCCCCTTCCCTCGCCACCATGTCTGCAGCCGAGCGTGACAGACTCGCAATGGAAAGGCTAGAGCAACTCAAGGTAAGCTGCGCAGTCACGTCACAATCAGTGTCATGCTAATGTTATCAGGAAAAGAAGGTGAAGAATGAGCGTGGATGCCGAGTCAAGCGAGAATTTGGCGAGGTGTTTGATCTGACGGAGGATGGAGATGACGCCCCGCGACATAGACCTGGGAAGATGACCAGGATGTCATCTGGCCGCGTAGTCGAGGTGATTGATCTTGACGACTGATATGAGCGAAAGGGTCCACCCTTTGATAAATTGTTCGTTTCTCCTGGCTTCGCTTAGCAGGCAATGGGCTGTGTTGCAAACAAAGCGACACCAAACGCAGCAGGAGTTAGGCGTAGGATGAAGTGCTTTTGATACCCGTTCTGAGAAATTGGACTCTCTGAAGAGAAGAATGAACATCGAGCTTTTTACCCCCGAGTCCCCAAGACCATGCCATATCCTTACCACTGTATTTGCAAACGAGGCTGCATTTGACGCTGTGATTCTAATCCTAGCCCATCTTACACACTTGTCATCTCTAAATCAGTCTCGCCCTGGACTGGGGAAAGAGATCAGACCGTCAGGGACAGCATCTTTCGGGTTGAAACGGGTGGAATCAAATTCATTTTTAAACCTATACAGGACTAATAACACGCGCTTCATCAGATATCCCTTCTTTGAAAAAACGGCCTTTTGCAGGGCCTATTCCCTGCAGTCTGCGCCGCTGAGAGTACATTCTACAACAGGGCCACGACGTTCCTCCTCCCCGCCTCTTGAATGGTTGAGCTCATCCCCATCCAGTACAGGGTAGGTAGAACTTCTTTCTGATATCATCTCCTCCTTACACTGAACCCCGGACTCCAAAGACCACAGCGCCAGCAGCCACCAACCCGCCGACCAGCGCGAGCTTGCCCCTGATGACACTTGTGATCCTCCAGCGCTTGACCAGCCTCGCGATCTCCTCACTCTCGACATCCCGTCCGCCCTTGAGGGCCTCACGCTCCCCGGTCTCCCCGCCCGCGAACCGTAGCAGCGCCCGCCGCGTCTCCACCAACACGACCCGGGTGAGGGGCACCCCGGCGAGCGTGGCCAGGGCGGCGACGAGCCAGGCGGCGCGCTCGCGGCTCGCGGTCTGCGTGGCCACGAGGGCCGAGGACAGCGTCGACAGGATAGCGAACGGCAGGGCCAGGCGCGCGCCGCGGTGGTAGAGCGAGGCGAAGGCCGCGGCGGGGACGGCGCCCTGCGGCTCCGCCTCCTTCAGGCTATACAGCACGGGAAGCGCTAGGTGCGAGGTGCTGAAGCTCACCCCCGCGAGGAAGATGGAGGTGCTCAGGCCCAGGAGCTGGGCCGTGTGGACGAGCGGGGTGAGGTTCATGGTGAGAAGCGATGTGGGTTGGCTTGTGACGGGTATCGATGGATTCGATTCTGCTGAAGTAAAAGAGCACTCCGACCCTTTGATGTATGGTTATGCTTGAGATCGTTGATCAAATATTTGGCATATCCGGTGCACTGGTTATATGGGCTTGACCAAGCGCGCAAGAAGACAGGTTGACTTATATGCACTTCCACTCTAGCAGGGCGCTGAAGGTCCCAGCCAGGTGTCCCTGGCCACCATTCAAGGTAGGCAGATACATTATTTGTCTTGTGTACCGGCTTGGCACGGAGAATAGGCCATTGGACTCGCAAGCAATGCGTACGTGTAGTTATCCCCGAACGCCTTCGGGACTTATACAGGTGCCCCACGTCATTCAGCACTAACAAGCCCCCACTTTTGGGCACTGAACTTGGGAGCGAATCAGGGAGGCTTGTGGCGTTAACAAAAGGGGTCTAACCCAAAGCCGGAGCTTATAGATATTTGCATGAGGGCAGTGACTCTAGCATCGGACACATGATGTGGCTAGGATGATGGGAAGGCTAATTCATATGATTCGCCATTGCGTGGCGGCGATCTATCTTACACTCAGATATCGGTGCTGGTGGGATCCTGCTCTGTGAAGATCTTGTACAATCGTTTACTGACTGCCTGGCCAACTCTCTGGTCTGTAAGTCTCCCGTCTGCGTTCGCCGTCTTTCTGCAGTTCTCGAGTGCGAGCGGGCCGTTTTGTTCGAAGCCTCTCAGAAGTTCCGACACCGTCGGGTACTGGACGGCAATACCATAGGCCATGGGGGCGGTGACGCGGGCAACCTCTTGTAGCATGCGAATATACGTCTCCCTGACGGTATCACCTGTCCGTACTTGGCCAGTGTCCATGCAGAAACCGGCAGACGCTGATATGTCGTCCCGTGCCTTCCGGTAAGGAATCGTGGAGATGTGCTGTGTGAACGTCGTGATCCATTGCGCCGTTTCTACTGGGGCATTTGTCTTATGTATCAGAACCCCATGGTCGACCTGCAGTGACATAATCGCGTCCTCGACCGTGTCCTCGTCGATTATCTCATGCGCTGCGGCTCTCCGACGTGGCTGTTCGGTGCTTTGTGCTGCGTCGTTTCGGGCAGCACTCTGGAATTGGCGATTCCGCGCGGTTCGGTTCTTTCGAAACCAGACATCGAGTCCTTCAATCAGATAGATCAGTGTGTTGCTGGGGAACGCGACCTTCATCTTCAGGACATGAGCTTCAATATCAATGCCCTCGCTGCCGGTGGCGAGCTTAACGAACTCGGCAGCTTCAATGGCAACCAAGACATGCTTCTCGGACTCAAGACGTGCCGGAATGGGTTCCCAGTAGTCGAGGTCTTCGTTGAATCTCTTGTCAACTTTCCTTCGCCACTTCACGACGTTGTCCAGAGGGCTGTTCCAAGTCGCATGTTGGACCTTGAGATCCTCCAGCAATGTCCGAACTTGGACGCCCGTGCCTGGTTTCAGTGACACAGGTAGATCTACGATCATCTCTATTGTCGAGACCTTCTTGTCCGTTCGAACTTTGTTGACCTCTGCGAGGGCTTTCTCTTTCTCCTTTTGGATGACCCTCTCCTGCTTCTCACGTTCCTTTTCTAGACGCTTGCGTTCTTTCTCCGCATCTCTAGCGTCCGCTTTCTGTTTCTTTTCCAGTTCCTTCTCTTCGGTTGTCTTCAGAGGCTGCCGTTTTGCATTCGATTTCGCGGGTTCTGTTTTCGACCTTTTCAAATGCCTAGGCGATCGATCTGAAAGCCGCGCTTGCAGATCGGCTTTGATCTTCCTGATATCCATGGCACTAAGCTCTGGAAATTCGTCATCTGAAGGATTCTGAGAGACATCAGAGTCGTTGTCTAGTTCAACGACATGGGCTTTCCTCTTCTGAGGTTGTGGCGGAGAGCTGGCAAAAGGGTTGTCTCGTGCCGTGCTGGCCTCAGGCATGGAGCTAGAGATCGGATCCCATGACGCAGTATTCCTTGATGTCTTCGCAAGGAGTGGTGGCGGAGACGATTCCGGCTCGCTCGTAAGATCAAACACGTCGCGGGGTTTTCGCGTCGGTTTCTCAGGATCATCAGGCTTTTGTCCCGGAGGCCTGTTGTGTTGAGGTTGCCTTTTCACTGGGGACTTTGGCGAGGAGCTTGCAAATGGATCCTTCTCTTTAGGCAGCCCCATAGGAGAACTACTGTATTCTATGGGGTCTGCGATCGAATTCCAACGCTTCAGGCCAGCCGGCTGCAGTGCGGTAGAAGGTTTCGGCCCGGACGAACCTGAGACTGCCCGTGCCAATGACCGACCAATCTGACCTTTGTTTTTGGAGTACACAGGAGATTTCTGGGTTCTCTTAGGGACATTGAAGCTCAGGTCGCCGGTGGTATCGAATTCATCAGAAAGAAAGAGGAAATCGCCCTCATTTTCACGGCGAGCGGTGTCGCTGCCTCTCTGTTTTGGGAGACCAATTGGCTGTGCCGAGGTTGGGACGATCTGTGACATCCCTGAAGAGACAATATTCTCAATATCGAGGAATTCATCATCATCGAAATCCAGAGCTCGTGACGGGGCCTGAGGTTTCTCGGCGGCTGCTTGCGTTGGCTTAAAATGCCCGAGGACCGTCTGGGGCGGTCCTGACGGGCTTGATAGCAGGCTGATGACTTCCGGTGCCATTGCGAAATGCGCAAGAGAGCGAATGAGAAACGACACAATCGGCCAGAAGAATACGCGCACTTTTTCTTGTAAGCGCGGGCGACGGCAGACGGTTGCCGCACCGACGTTTCTTATCGAGTCACCTTTGGGGTGATGACGCGTGCTTAGGTTCGCGTCCTGCACGCCACGAAACAGACGCGAATCACGTGATGCCGCTAGAGTGCACTTACCTGGCCTTATGCCCCAATGTCTCGAACAAGCATTGTAATACTATTTCATGATTTTCTTGTCTTTATAAATCTCGACCAATTGTAAGCGCTTGTTTCATCGATTGGAATTTTCTAGTTAAATTTGCCGATCAGTATTCTAGGCTACTAGGAAGCTGCAGTTCGAGACCTAGACGGCGCAGCTACTTTAAATGCATCAAAGTGCCGGATGCAACGACGGGCATAGGTAACTACAAACAATTGACATGTAAATACTCTAAGCGGATCAATGATAGTTGTCTTAGATAAATTGCGTGAGAATATCTTTCATGTCGCATCGCCCCATATGACGGTCTTTAGGGAGCAGCTACTTGACTTAATAGAGAAACATGGCGTATGGGTGATCGAAGGTTCAGTCTAAGCTCATATTACTTATACGTTCTGCATCGGTATCTAGTCAATCGTTTCATGTGTTGTCACTTATGAGGTGAATAGTACTGGACTCAATCATAGCATCAGTTATACCAATCATAACAAAACTAGAAGATTTGATCGAAACAAGGGGTTATCGTGTAGCAAATCCCCAAGGACGCGCCCTCGAAGACTTAGTAATCCTAGACGGCCTCATAACACTCAAATTCTAAGATCTCGTGCCAGCAAGCAATACTATAGATGGGGCATCCTGTTTACGACAGTGTAAAACAAGTCGTATCTTCTGTCTTGAACCCTCGAAAGGCGCGTACCAGTTTTTTTTTTTTTTTTTTTTTTTTTTTCGTGTTATGGTTTCATCAGGTTTGAGACACGAAGCCGGTAGGAGATACACAAACCCAGGGTTCCGCGTTGGGACCACGATCGTCACTCCAGGCTCCATCGTGATCCTGCGTCCTGGGGATTGGACTTAACTGTTTCGCGGCAGCCAAGGGTGCGTATATTGAACTGGCACGTTTCTAATAAATCTTCAATGACAACCAAGGATCTGGCGGTACCAAAAGTTTCCTGAAACAAGACATCGGGCTGGTCTTTCAAAGCTTCTTTGACGAATGGCGTTAGCTCACTTCGATCTGCTGGGTAACCTCGTTGACGGCGCAGTACGTATTGAGGGGCAAGAGTGTTCCAGAGTCAGGAATAACCACGCACATAACGACAACCATAAACCGCAGGACAGGTTTGCACCGAAAATTTTCAAGAATTAGTGCTTTTTACGATCAATTGCCGGATGCTGGTGGATATCACTTGAACCCTGCATCCGTGGACATTTGCAACAGCATGAACGAGATCCAGGCAAAGATCAAATAGCTATTTGTGGTTTGCAACACCAATGCCAGTCAGGTTCATTAGGGGACAAATCGGAAAGAAATCAATTGCGCTCTCTTAATGCCAACAAAAGAAATGTAAACCAAATAAACTTCGTCATCCCCGCAAGCGTTACCTTAACCAATGACACCAGGTGGTAAATCCAATCCACCAGCATTCAGCGGCCTCAAGCACTGATAGTCAACGTCCAGACTACCCTTCCAAGGCATCTGTTTGATGCCGCTTTGACCATTTGGTCCGAAGACGGCATACTTCACTGCGAGAGCTGTACCCCCGGCCTCGCGGTCGTAGATCTGTACCCAAACTGCGTTGGCGTTCATGGGGTCGCCGGAGAACTTGTTGTGCAAGTAGCAGTCGAGCTGATCGTAGTTGGACTGGAACAGGTCAGCATCCGGCTTGATGTCCTTGTGCGGGCCGATCCTCTGCGCCTCGTAGTCGATGCCGCCCTCCTTAAAGTACGACACGTCTCGAGCACCTAGCAGCCCTCCACTGCCGCCGTGGCCGAACCCGATACGAAGGCCCCGGGTCGTGACATTGCCGTCCTCTTCGCGGTCATCCAGGACGCTGAAGTGTATGTTGACCCCGCGTACTTTGGCGCCAAAGACAGGGCGGACAACCGGCGTCTCATCCCTACGCTCCAGCCCGGTGACCGTATCGGTCCAGTGGCCGAGATGCCTGACCTCGACACCAAGCGCTTCAGACAGGCCGGCGAGCGCCTCTCTCTTTGCCTTGTGGGGTAAATATTGAGAAAGGCCTTGAAGAGGGCCGGGTAGACGGAAATCCTGGGACAGATGGGCGACTGCAATGACGCCGCCACCCAGAGCCAACGCGGATGTGCCAATATGTGCAAGCACGCTGCCGACACAGTTGACGGTCGGTTTGACCTTCTTGGCGCCGGACTGGGCCTCGTTGGCTTCCTCACACGCGGTCGCCGCACTGTAAAGACTCCAGGTCATGCCGGGGATGAAACCGAACAGCACGGCCCACTCAAGGCGCCTCACCCAGTCAGCTGCTGACCGGGGTTGCAAGTCTGTGTCTGCAGAAGATCGATGTGAGTGAGGCCGATCAGAGGAATATGGGGTAATTATGACATTTGACCTACCTTGAGGAGCTAAAAGGCCAACATCTGGTGATTGGTGGCTCGTGTCGCCTCGGCCATCTAGCTTAGGGATCGATGCCGAAGCTACCCTGAGAGGCTCCAGCGAGAGGAGGATAAAGAATGCATCTCGAAGCGATGAATACCGCATCGTCAGGGTAATGAAATTGATGTGTCCGCTGTGGTAATAAAGGCAGCGAGTCTATAGATGGCTTACTGAGAAAAACTTAAGGACCGCACAAGAAATGGTAGAGATGTGAGTGTTGATGATATGGGTGGTTACATCTACTTACAATAGCGGTGGGCAAAGATCCTTTATATCCATTGCATCCGAATAGTGGCGCGTATGAGTAGGTTTAAGGTTCCAAGGAAGCCTTTGTCTATTTCCTGCCAGTTTCGCATTCTGCCTAAGCCTTAACCACGCTTTCGGTATATTTGAAGGTATTTTTAATCACGTCGCCGCAGCTGAAAACACAAAAAACCCTGTTCCCCTATAATGAAGGCTGTGTTCACACCACGATAGACTAGACGCGGGATTACACGCAGTGCATTTAGACGCGGGATTACACGAAGCGCGCATGTACGGCAGCCTAAACCATAGAATTGGTACCGAAATCCCAATCTGTATCTAGGTAGGGCTCACGCCAAGAATGCGCAGCCGCTGGGCAGAGGCTTAGCGCATGGCTTCACCAGATAGCCGCCTGCAAATAACATGGCTATGCTGGACGGTTAGCTCAATTGCAATAACATTGAATTGAGGTTAGCAGATATACTAGTTGATTCTAAATCCGAATCGCAATGCCACGCCCAAGAACCGCATCGTAACAGGACAGGGATTCGGGACAAATTGGACCCCGTGCAAGGCTGGTGTAAGCGCTCAAAGTTATATACAAGCACCAAGGTTGTGTGCTAGAACTCGATGCGTATAAATATATAATGCCCAGGCTGCCATGAACCAGCAGAATTTACAAGATACAAGTACACGCAACAATTGTATGTGACTTTTTCGTCAAGACTACCATTGTCTACTGTTCATTCTAGTCATTCCACTTCTATCGACATCATGAGATTTCTATTCTACACTGCCATCGCAGCTTCCTGTGCTTCTGTTGAAGCCTGGAGAAGTAAGTCCTCTCGCCCACATGCTCACCGTGTGGTCTCGGGCACAGATGCCACTCGCTGAAGGTATCAAAAGCTGACTAATGTGCTTTCGCTCTCTTGCAGTCGCCACCTACGAAGGCATGATAGGCTGTATGCCTCAGGGTGAATCACGTGTCATCGTGGGCAATATCAACGACGACCGCAACGGCGAGTGCCATAACTTCGGAACAAGAATGAGAAATACCATGTGCTACTCGTATGAGTGGGGCGCTGGTGATCCTTATCCCCACGGACCAGGCGCATGCATCGATCGCCCGCAAGACAAACCCGACTACGTCTTCCTGCCGCTGGGAGCGGAGTTCCAGGATAATCTCGGCACTGGCGTCCAATGTTACTTCTTCGAAGACAACGATTGCCCTGAAGGCAAACATTTCCAAAACATCGGGTGCCCAAATGTGTGGGGCAAGCCAGGTGGCAAGATAAAGTCCTTCAAATGTGTACGTTGGTTCCCCTCCCTCGACAAGTGAATCAGGAGCATGGCACGACTCTTGAGTACTTCGAATATGAATATTTGATAATGAAGCTGACAAGGTTGCCTCAGGTCAAACATTGATGGACAGAGGAGATTACACCACAAGGCGGTGACAGGGTAGTCTCATGATATGAAAAGATGATAGATATGAGAAGGGGTTGAGTATGAGATATCCATTGTTTTTGCCGCAGATCTGCACGTTTGGGATTCTTCTGTATCAACTGTATGGCATATTCTGCAAGGCGTTCAAGGGTTGTCATTCTATTTGGTGTATAGGTATACATAGGCACCCAGTCAGTGGGTTTCGGGAATCACGCGCATGATAGCCTCACAACATGTACTGACTTACACGGTTACTATATCCTCAAGTGAATACATGTAATAACTGCACTACTAGCTAGTCTGCTTGGTTTATTTCCACATCTGTGAATATCCTGGAATATCGTCTGGTTGCAAACCTTCCAACCTGTTGTAGGTCTCGTTTGCCGAGCTGGTCGGCTGTGCTTTTGCTATTTACAAGGAAGGTCATCAGTAACAAGTTAGCAACGAAGGAAGGCAAAGACTGACTGTTCGGTCCGGTAGGGGCGCCTGAGCAGCGTCAATAATCCTTTCCTTGATCCTCAGCCTCCCTCTTTGTTGATGTCCAAAACTGATCCTCTGCGTGAAGTGGATGGGTCACTGGTTAGGAATGACAACGGGTCCTGGGCTGGTTCCTGACCTGGCCGGACGAGCTTGAACCGGCTACTCTAAGACTCCATTAAGACTCGGCTGCAAACAAAGTTACTGAAGCGTGCCTGTGGCTGCATTCAAAACATCCCAGTGGAGTCATCACTTTGGCCTCATGTCAAGTGATGCCCGCATGCACCATTGGCCCCACTGGCTTTCGTGACTTGACAGTTGCTGCAGCCACGCAAAAAATTTGTGTAATATAGGCGGTGTTTTAGCGGTTGAGCGATGTGGAATTGAAAGACACGGCCTTACTTGAAGCCTTGGAACTCAGTTTATATCGAACTCAGCCTCTGTGTAAACTACCACTTTTAATCTACGAACTCGCTTTAACGCGGCAAACGGATTGGATGTTAGCGTTACGACGTTAGTAATTATTATTATTATTTGAATGAACTCATAATTAAATGAATTGCGCTGAAATTATAGAGGACTTGGGTCCAGACGTTCAAGAACAGCAAGCTATAGATGCGAGGGCCTGCCCGGACACCTCTCGACGCAAGGCAAGAGAGCTTTGCAAATGGCTCATCTGCTTGGCACAAAGTAAGGCAGTTGCATTAATGACTCGGAATCCATGCTTATCATGTCAAAAAGTGATAGGCTTGGCAATATCATTGTCCTAAGTAGTACGCCGTACGAGGCCGAGCGCTTTCATCCGATGCAAGGATCTACGCTACGGGCCTCACTGAGGCCAACTCTGCCCAAATTCTGGACTGATCGAACACGGACCTCACGACATCGACTAGCTCGACCACTTGGCCAGCGTCCGTGGCACCCATGGCAGGTTCGCATTACGTCCGGTAGTTGCACGGGCTTATGCTACCCTGTTAAGCTTGTTTGGACGGAGTCGCAACACCGAACTTCTGACTGCTTGAAGGACGATAGGGAACCCAATCCATGCAGCTTCATGGCTCGTAGTAGGCTGGGCAGGGCGGGATGTCCTCACTCTGGGCTGAGGCCGGGGGCCTCTTTTGGGAATCGTTCAGTCCCAGGAATCGAGGGAGTTTGGGAGCATGGCACCTCGCAGGGTTCTCGTCATGCAGTACAACTTGAAACATTGAGCGAATAAAAGCCGCCCACTTTCACAAGACAATTGGCGGGGCGGCCAGCAGGCTGACTGCGACCATGTCTCGTGGATTTCCAGTATCGGCAGACTTGCGGATCGTTCAGATCTCGAAACTTGGAACAAGCCCTGCATTTGATGGAGAAGCCGGCCGAGGGGGACGGGAATGCACGGCCCAAGATCTACGGACGCGCTTGCTCAGCGCGTTTACAGGACTCTTTCCGGGGCCCTTGGCAACTTGGAGGCTGCGAGAAATTTCCTTGATCAAGGCTCGATCCTTTGCAGCGCATGAAAGAGTCATTGCGATAGTTTCTGCAGTCCGGAGGAATCGAGAGTGTGTATGTCTGAGCGCTCCTCCACTCATGCAGTCAGAGCCCCCGTCATCCTGGCGGGATCCTACTCTGGACGCGACTGAATGGCGGGGAACGGGAAGACCCTGCCATCAGCTGGGTTCGGGATACCCAGACAGTATCCCGTGCTCGCGCTAGGGAATGACTTGCGGCGGCAGAAATGCCGCTGTCACTTGTTGCTATACTGCCCTTGCGCGACCTGTTTGTGTGAACCTTATAGTGCAAAGCGCTGTCGGATTGTGGACGCTACGGACTGTGTCAGACCTCTCTGCATGCAGTGTCCACTGGCAAAACAACAGTATTTTGGCGGCATGTCCGACGCGGAATGTGTCGTTCAGTGGATGCAGATTTTCAATACCTTCGGTAGTCTCGACTGGGTACTCATGCAGGACGTGAGAGAGGGTGTATACAGGAGATCAGAGCGATGGAGTGATATTTCCTGTTCGTGGTTGGTCCTAGCCTCGCATCAACTTGTGACCTCTTTGGAAGGGGCTCTCACGCCATATCCTATCAAGTCAACGATGCTGGTCATCGTTACACGGCGCTTCTCGAGGACGCATCCTTCGATGGAGGTATCAGAATAGCTGATTGGTTTTTCTGCACTTTGATCGCTTAAGCGTAGAGATCCTGAGGGAAGCCCGCACTGCAACATTTACAAATTGCCATGCAAGACTGGGAAGAGATAAGACACCCGAGCTCCAAGTCTACGGATTCCTAAGCCGTGTGGCTTCATGAAATCTCGAAAGTCAACGTTACTCATCAAGTGGAAGAATACCTATGATGGAGGTTAGGATTGCAAGCCATGGCAATCGGGAGGCTGTATTGGAGCAGAGTGGCGTCTCGAAGCCTATTGGAAGCTCGGGACGGAGTGGAGATCAAGTATGGAAGGAGCCGTCGAAGTTGGTGCGCAACGGTATATATTATCGCACGCGCTCGCGGAGCAGGTTGCACATCCTGATGTGCTGCGGCGATTTTATACGTGCGAAGCACTGCATGTGGTTTCATGTTGTAGCTCGTTGCATCGAGTGAGCGTCCGCAGGTGCAACCTTTGAGCGTGGCAACTAGCGACATGCACAGCACATGCAGGTCTCTAGTTTCTTCAGTATCTTTGTTCTTCACCACGGATGTCTGTAAGTCCAAGCCTCTTTCATGGTCTGAGACTCCTTGGTGTGGTCGGGATAAGTTTCAAACCACTGCCGTGGAGTCAATTGTCACTCGTACTTTTGCTGGAGATACCAAAGTTGACCTTTATAGCATTGGCCACCAGTCAGGGAAGACCAGCTGGGTTAGAGCCTGTAAGCGTGGACAAAGGTGCCGCTTCCCCCCTGCCCGAGTTGTTATAACACGCACCAGTTCAAATTCGGTCTTGCGGTAGTAGTATAGCAATTCTATTAGCCTTCCGAATCTCCGTTGATCTGCATTAAATGACCGCCTACGAGAAAGACTTGTCACATGAGCGAGAGCAATGAGCATGCAAGGAAAAGCGGCCTGCAAAGTCTGAGACGTTGCATACGGGATTTTGGGTCGTCTGAAGGCAAGCGGCGGCGAATGTTGTACCACTACCAAGGCGCTTCATTCAAAACCCATCCTGTTCCTGTTCCTCAGGGACATGGCGGGGTATGGTGAGAATGCACCGCCCCTATTTACCCCTAAACACTCTATCGGGACCGTCCCGCGAGAACCGTTATCAATCACGTTTTCTTGAAGGTTTGGTTTGTGCATCGTCGACGATCTTGGTCGGTTTCAATCCGGATTCCCCTGACTTTGATCTATCATGTCGGGAAGCACCTCCCGTGGACTACACAGCCTTTGGGAGGTGGATGCGGAACTCGTCAAGACTGTGTCTTTGGCGCGTCTGTCCTGATTCATGACAAGGAACCCCGAGGCACAGTAGCACCCTCTGTTACGTCCAGAGGATAGTTTTGGCCTGTACTACTGATGGCTGCGAAAAAGCGCTCCGGAGGCCGCAGCAAATTGCCGCACCGAGCTCTGATAATACGTACATGTCAGTTTAATGAGCCTGGGCATACATACTTGACCGTTGGGTACCTCGCGTGGATTGGCAACACTCGGCAGCTAGGGTCGAGTCTGAGACGCTACATGGCCGTCAGGTACATGACACCCCAGACCCCATCACGGTTAGGTCGAATGGGGATGGAGTTGGACTGCTGCAGGTGTGGCACCACTGCTTGTGCTGGCCGTGGGTTCGTGCAGCTGGGCCCGTCCTCTTCGGGCGTGCTTAAGAATCACACTGCGCGCCATTTGGCAACGGAGACGAACTTTTGCCGTTTCTGTAGGGAGCTAAGCGTGCTGGCTGCAGCTCATTCGGGTTAGGGTCTCTGCACCACAAATGTGACCAAGTACGTGCGGATGCGCCTCTGGCATAGGAAACGGTTGCGAAGCGAGAATCCCAGCGCCGGCCCCGAAGGACGAATGGCTTCGCCCGTGGTGAAGTCCCGTGAGAGACGCGGCGCCTCGCTGCACACCAGTCGTGGCTTGTGGTTGCGGCGATTTGCTCGTACCATACCATGTAGTTGGTTCTCTGGCCATCTTGGGAATGTGAAGGAGGCCGCGGCCAGACTGGCAGAAGCCCCTGTCAGCAGATGGGAGGCTGCCCTGTCGAGACTAGTCGTGGGCCAATGATCCCAGCAGCATCACCCCGAGGCCCAGGGCCCTAGGCTCTAGCGGCAGGCGGCGTAACCAGATGGTCCGTCCATCATATCGCGGTGCCTGGTCCCTGAACAGAGGGGCTCCACCACACTGGACTGCGTGCCTGGGGGTCCTGGGGGCCCAGATGTGGCGGCTGTCACTCGCAGCAAGCCTGTTGGATTTGCGATCTTGTGTGCCCCCTTTCCAGGACCTCGGGACAGTCCATAGGTAGGCAGCGCTGGGTGGCAGAGGGACGCTCTCGACCTTGGGACTCACAGATACAGTAGATAGAGGAATAGACATGGAGGGAACACGGAGCTTTGAGCTGTGATTAGCCAAATTTGGTGTTTCTACGACTCTGCGACCTAGCGAGCACTCATTCCAATCACCTTTCCCATAGGAGTTAACCAGTTAGTGTAATTCGCGCCGACACGAGCTTCAGATGAGGTCTCCTGTTAGCCGCGGACTCCCAGGTCGTCCGCCCGAAGAGCAATGCAGACCCGAGGAGTTAGTGCATGCATCGCCGTGCACAAAGCCGCACACCATGCGTGTGTGTAGATGGGATGGGATGGGATGATCTGTCACAGCGCCCGGTGCGCAGAGTTTCTCCTGAACGTGGGATGCTGGCGCCGGCCCCCTTTTTCATGCTCGGCCGGCCTGGCTCGCACACTGCCAGACTACCATCGCCCATTCACAGGCGGCCCTGACACAGCCCATTTGGCCATCGCTGGGATGGGCTGCGCCGGCGGCCGGCAGGTTTGGCAGGGCCCTGAATCGATTATCATCGAACGAACAGACAATCTTGACCGTTCCAATCAAACGGTGCACAAACGCTTGGGGCCCTTCTGCACTAACCGACGCGTGTTTAATTTGCCCCGACCCTGCACCCTGGCTCTGCTGGAGACCTTCAGTCGGCGCTATCATAAACAAGCAGCTACCCCGAGGGTCTCATATCGCCGGGCGCCAGCTAGACTAGAGTCTCCCCCAAATTTCTGCTCAGTCCGGCTCGAAGCACGCACCTCTTTTTTGCTGTGGTCCCAGGTCGATACCCGCGCGACAAGACAACACCCCGGGTCCCTGATTGCCAGCACAGCAGACCACACCTACAGCAAGGCAGTGGCAGGTCGTCGTTTCGGATCGGCTGCTTCTTCTTGCGTCCTCTCATTCACTTCGCGCCGAGCCCAAGGACAAGGGGCCAGAGAGGGAGAGAAAGAACGGAAGAAATAAAAAAGAGAGAGGCCCACGTCTTCGCACCCGGGAGGAGGTGAGGCGTCGACAGACAAAGAAAAAGAGCTGCCGTCACAACGACGGGACGGACGGGTCGTTCGTTCGTTTGTTGCTCCGCGACAGGCGCCCAGCACGGCTATAACAGCCAGCATAGCATAAACCACATCTCCCAGGGTGGTGTTTTGCATTCCTCGCAGCAACCTCCCGCCGCCGAGCTCGCCAATCCCGCTCGCGTTCCAACGAGGCGCCCAGATCAGGATTATCTGCCGCCAATTCATCCTGCCCAATCCCCGATACCCTCACAGCCCGCCCGCCCGTCTTGCCGTCATCAGGATTCCGCAGGCCTGGGCTGTTCGAAGCACCCGTTTAATATAATAAAACTGCCGCCGCCATGGCCAGCTCACCGCCGGCTTCACCTGGCATGCTGCCACCGCGTCCCATGAGCGCCATGGTCAAGTCCGCGCCCAGGAGCAGCAGTCGCCTGAGCACGACCAGCAAGGCCGGAGGCGGAAGCCGGGCCTCTGACGAAGATGGACGAACCGCAGTCAAAGTTGGTACGTACTGTGCAGCGCGGCATGCGTCAAATGGAACCAAAGGATCGCGCGTCGACTGGAGCTAACCTGTGCGCAGCTATTCGTGTGCGCCCGCCGTTAAAGCCCACAGACCCGGGCTTCGAACTTATTCCGCAGCGATTCCAGCGTTCTATGGTTCAGGCCACGTCGTCGACGAGTCTAGCGATCGATGCGCCCCAGGGAAAGAAACTGTTCGTTTTTGACCGCGTCTTTGACGCCGATATCACACAAGAAGGCATATGGGAGTACCTCAATGAAAGCGTGACTGCCTTCCTACAGGGTTACAATGTCTCCCTCCTGGCCTATGGCCAGTCAGGTGCCGGCAAGTCATATACAATGGGAACTTCTGGTCCAGCCGAGCAAGCGGATTTGGAGGTCATGGGTAAGCACCCCCTTCTTTGGGGAGCACCTCTTGTGCCTGGTGATTACGGCTTACTGATTCATAACCAGGTGTCATCCCGCGTGCTGCAAATGCGCTCTTCGAGAAGCTCGAAGGCCCGCCCCGAAACTCTAATCGCAACTCCATGTCACAGTTACGGACGCCACAGCGATACTCCATGGGCCCGTCGACGCCCAAGGCCGATAAGACCTGGAAGCTCACGGCCACGTACGTCGAAATTTATAACGAGCACCTCCGGGATCTGTTGGTGCCCGACGATATACCCGCCCATGAACGTGGTACAGTCACGATCCGTGAGGATACCAAGGGCAACATTTTGTTGACCGGTCTACAACAAGTCGAGATCAACTCGGTGAACGATCTCATGAATGCACTGAGTTTTGGCTCAACCATTCGTCAGACTGACGCAACAGCAATCAACGCAAAGTCTTCACGTTCCCACGCCGTCTTCAGCTTGAACCTTGTACAGCGCAAGCCCAAGGCCACTCCTACGGCCGAGAAGCGCTTTTCCGTACCCCTGGAAGCTATGACGGGAGCCGAAACCTGGGTCACCACCGACAGCAAGTTGCACTTTGTCGATTTAGCCGGCAGTGAGCGTCTGAAGAACACCGGTGCCCAAGGTGATCGGGCCAAGGAGGGTATCTCTATCAACGCCGGCCTGGCGGCCCTTGGCAAAGTTATTTCGCAACTGTCGTCCCGGAATCACGGTGCTCATGTCTCTTATCGAGACTCGAGACTCACTCGTCTGCTCCAGGACTCGCTGGGCGGCAACGCCATTACATATATGATTGCTTGTGTAACACCGGCTGAATTCCATTTGAGCGAGACACTGAATACCGTACAATATGCGCAGAGGGCCCGTGCGATCCAGAGCAAGCCGAGGATCCAGCAGACCGAGGAGGGTGACAAGCAGGCCATTATCGAACGTCTCAAGGCTGAGGTGGCATTCCTGCGTGAGCAGATTCGCAGCGCTGAGCGCAGCGGGGCCGACCGTCGCAATCCTGTGGCGAGCGAGAGGTCCGAGCGACACAACGAACGCGAATCCGAGTTGCAAAACCAGTTATTGGACGCCCAGGAGAATTACACCACCTTGAGTCAGCGACATGCTAAACTCATTGCCGAAATGGCCAGGGCCAGGGACAACGAAGCCTCGAGCGAAACCCGTGATACCGACGGCCTCCACGGCGACACCGCCACCGAACGTCTCAACCGCTCCAACTCATTTGCCCAAGCAGTGGAGCAGGTCGTTTTGGAGTACGAAAAGACGATACAAACTCTTGAGCAGTCCCTTTCCAGCACTCGCACAACGTTGTCCAACACGGAAACAAATTTGTTGGAGAAGGAGACGAAGTGTGCCTATATCGAGACCATCAACACCCAGCTCCAGGCTCGCCTAACAAAGCTGATGGATCGCGAGGCCAACACGGAGAGCTACCTGCACGACCTAGAGGCTAAACTAGACGGCCAGACTTCTGGCGAAGAAAAGAACGCGACCATCATCTTGGAGCTGCGAAAGGAGATCGCGCGCATCCGCGAAAACGAAGCCTCTTGCGAGGACTACATCTCCACGCTGGAGGAGAGACTCGCCGAAGCCGACCAAGACAGCGAATTGATGCAACGAGAAATCGACCGCCTCGAACAAGTCATTGAACGCCAGCGCAGCCTGGGGAAACTAGACAATCTGCTGTACGAGCTGGATAACTTCCAGGGAGACGGCAAGCCTCCGCAGCCGGAAGCCGAGGTCACCAACGGATTCGGGCACCGTCGAACATTCTCGGAACGGTCGACGAAGAGCCACATGAGCCGGGCGTCGACAAGCCATGCTCGCCGTGACACCCTCCCCGACGTAGGAGAGGAGGATGCGGAGGGAGACGATGCCGCCGCTGACGAGACACTCAATGACACGGTTGTCGAAGAGGAGGAAGAGGAGCCACTAGCAGAGGCCGATACTGTGCAGAAGACTAGGGAGACTTCAGCCGAAGCTGCTGCGTTAGAGCCTCCGAGTCCGGCACAGACCAAGTTCGTGGCTGACAAGTTGGAGAACGTCACTGAGGAATTGGTTCAACTTCGGGTCGAGCATGAGAGCACTCTCAATGACTACGATGCGCTGCAGGCCAAGTATGAAGAGGCACTGAAAACCCTGTCCGAGCTTCAGGACGCGGTCGATGAGGCTAAACACCCCAGTCGCAACCGAGACTCGCTCCTATCCGTCAATTCACCCACAGAAACGCGACCCCCTTCTTTTTTATCCGATGCAAAGACCAACGACACCAAGGATGGGACCCACTTCTCCTCGCGCTCGCTCTCCTCGGAGTTATCGTCAGCTATGGAATCTCCAGCTACTATTGATTCCCCTACCGAGGCCGACACCCCGAAGCCGGCTGAGTCCCTCGACACACTCACGGAGGAGACTTTGGAGGACGGGTCTACTACTAGTGACGCTCTGGCCCTTGAGCTTGAGAAATTGAAGTCGTTGGCCGCGGAGAAGGACGCTGCAGAGAAGGAGCTCGCAGAGAAATACGCTCAATTGGAAGAGAAACACAGTGAGGCTTTGGATCTCGTCGAAGAGCTCAAGACCGAGGTTGCAAAGGCCAAGTACGCCGAGCCACCATCTCCTAGGAGTGCTACGCCAGTCATTCGCCGAAAGTCAAGTCAGAACGTCATGAACATCGATAGGGCCCACAGGTCCTTTGCTTCACTACGGAATATTGCAGCAGACAACTTCGAGAGCCAACCGGATGTCATGCAAAACTTTGAGGTCAACTTGAATGCAGCCATGCACGAGCTGCACGCCAGAGCAGAGCGAATCCAAGAGCTCGAAGCCGATGTTGCAAACACCAAAAAAGAGATGGAGACGAAGATGACTATCATCAGCGGTCTCACCCGAGAGCGCTCCAGCTTGAAGGCAAGCCCGATGGATATCTCGGTTGTCTCAAGAATGAAGGACCAGTTGGAGCAGAATGAACGGCAGCTCAAGACCATGCAAGAGTCACATGCAGTAAAGGAGTCGGAACTCCTTCGTGAAATTGAGACTCTGCGAGCACAAGTCAAGGAGTCTGCCCAGTCGAGATCAGTCGCCTCGATTCCGGAGTCTGAGGAACCGCAGAATGCTGCGCATGAGAAGAAGATTGCAGAGCTCCAGTCTGAACTCACTGGTTGGGAGAGCAAGCACCACACTGCGTTGGAAACAATGCAGGCTACCGAACAACAGATGAAGAAGACTATTGAGGAGCTTGAGGCTCAAGTTGCAGCAGTCAATGAGAAATTCGAGACTCGAGGCACAGAAGGCGACGACGAGGCCAAGGACACAGAGGCCAAGCACCAAAGCCTAGTCACATTCCTTCGAACTGAGATTGATGAATACAAGGCGATAATTAGCAGCAATGCAACAAAGGTGGCAGAGCTTGAGGAAGCCCACTTGGCCGCGAAGAGCCAGCTTGAAGAAGCAACACAAGCTCGTGATCTTGCGGCCACCGGCAACCAGGACTTTGTCAGCAAGCTCCAGTCTCAGATCTCTGAGCACGAGCAGGCTATCAAGACTCATCAAGACAACCTGGAGCAGCTCCAGGCTAGTCATGCCAAGAACATTGACGACATCAAGGCAGGTTCTAAGCAGGAGTACGAATCGCAGCTTGCCATTCTCATGAACGAGCACGCTGAGAACGTTAGACTTCTGGAAAGCGACCTCGCTGAAGCCCGCGAAGAGCTGCTCAAGGTTGCTAACCAGGTTGCTGTAGCTCTTGGGGTAGAAGTCAGCCTCGAAAAGATTGGCGAGCGTGTTGAGGAGCTGATTGCGGACCAAAAGAAGAAGACGGAGCTGGAGAGCCACGTCAACGAGCTATCTTCCATCAACAACACTATCATGCGTGACCTGGAGGCTGTCAGGTCTGCATTGAATGAAATGCTTCGCGTCGAGGGCGAAAATGTCAAGAGCCCATACCCCTCCGTGTCTGAGCAATTGGCTGCTTTCAAGAAGCGAATGGGCGACTTGGAGGTCAAGAACAAGAAGCATTCACGTCTCGTAGAAGAGTTGGAGGACCAACTACAGACCAACTACGACCAGGCTCAGCTCACCAGCAACCGCCTGTCCACTTTGCAGACTGAGCGTCAGGCTCAATTGGAGGAGGCTACTGCTGCCAGGATCAAGACTCAGGCCGAGCTGGAGACACTTCGTGAGGAGCATGCTGCGCTGCAGGTAAGGACTTCCCGTTCCCCCACTTCGTCTTTAGTATTGACATCGTGGCAGGCTCGATTGGAACAATCGGAAGGAGTTCAACGATCCAACTCGATGAACTCGCAACTCCGCAAGGCAGCGTCGCATACTTCTCTGCCGTCACCACCTCCAGCCATCCCATTGCCTCCTCTACCTGGCGGTGGCACTGCTTCCCCCACTCACGGAATGCCGCCGACCCCTACTGGTGGCCGGCCCACCAGCAACGATTTGGCCATGGCTCAAATCAGGGATGATCAAGAGGCTCGTATCCGTACGATCGAGCGCCATCTTCATGCAGAGAAGCAGTTGACTTCTACTCTTGAGGAGGCTCTCACCGACCTTGAGAGACAGTCAAACAAGGTCAAGGCAGACTGTGATGCCTGGCGCAAGCGTGCTCAAGAACTCGAAACCGAGGTCAAGGAGCTCAAGGAGAAGCCTCAGCAGGACAACAGGTGGCGAGACAGCTTGCACCAAGTCGAGGAAGAACGGAAGAAGCGCCAAGATGCCGAGAGAGCTGCTGCCCATCTAGAGGCCCGCATGAATGCCATCAACAGCAAGAAAAAGAAGAAGGGCAGTCTCAATTGCTTCTAGGCAAAGTTTTGGATCGCGGCACTCCTTCTCTTATTGGCGTTGGCTATATACTTTGGTTTTTCGTCTCCGGAACTCGAGCTTGCTACCCACTACCACGCCCACTCCATCTTCAGCCGGCGCATAGCACCATTTCTCAGCAAGGCGTTATATCGGACATATTCATTCAATCCACGAGCCTCACCCTAATATACCTTGCACCTTGCCATATTCTACCCTTTCAGTCGAAAAGGATTGTGGATTATGTCCAATCTGTCCTAGTCCTACTTTCGGCTTTCCTTTCCCTTCACCTACGACGCCACCTCACACTACTAGACCGACCGAAATACTTTGTTATGCAAGGATCAATACGACATGGAAGGGAAATGAAGTGATGGGAACGGGTCTTTGCCATGAGCATGTAGATACAATACCCCTTACACAATGTTTTTTGCTTTCTCCGTTTGATAGTGCATACGACGACAGCAGCATATCAGCTTGGAGGCGAGAGGAGATTGAGCTGCAACATGGGCAGTCTTGTCATGTGTCCAGGCCTGTCAATTTCTCTTTTTTTCCCTTGAGATACCACCTTGCCATTGCTTCTTTATTTACTGTTCCCATATTTAAGCCCTATTTCTTCTCGATGGCCAATAATCCACTCCCTTTGAGGAGGGGATTGAGGGAGGCAGATTGTCATTTACGATTATTTCAGGAGACGGCAAGTGGTGGCCTTTTCGTACATACATATATTAGGCGGAGCGTGTCACATAATCATTGACGAAATGTAAAATGTCTTTCTGGTCGTGCGCAACACCCTTGGGCCTTGATCATGCGCTGCTCCTTGACAATGCAGTGGTCACCTAGTCACGTGAACGTTTGCTTACCAGCGCTGCAAAAACGGAATTCAGTAAAGTTTTCCTACAATAATCGACTGGGCAGTTCGATGCTTCGTTGTTTCCCAGCATTGCTGTCGTGGTGCTTGATCCCACTTTTCGGGTTCGGGACCAACGCATCAGGCGCATGATGCAACGGGCCGGTTCGTCTATAGGTTTAGGACATTGGATTTTGAAGGCACCATGTCTTTTATAAATTCCAAAGGCTGGAGCTCGACTCTCCGACTGGCCTTCGCTAATTCTTCCTCCTCCTCATCTCCCCAACCTTACTCTTCGCGAACCCTTTTGGCTGCCACTATAGACACCACCAGAACTTGCAGGGCACCCGACCGGCGACGAACACTTGAGAATTACAATAAGAGCTGATTTGCGAGGGTTATTCACGTGAAATTCATTCTATAACTAACCAAGGAGATCGCCATGCGTTTCTGCAAATGCTTCAGCGCTCATCAATTGAAGACTTGGATCGTCTGTCTGCGAAACGACATCCAGTTTTAGTGCGAAACAGCGTCCACCTATCAAACCACATACGGTCCATATGACACTCGTGTGTCATGGATGCACGTGATACCATGTTCCTGGTCCGGGGCGAAGACTTGGGTTTCCGCACAGATGGTTGTGTCAGCGCGGCCTTTTCCGAGGACATTCCGTTCCAGGGAGTCGTAGCTCTGGTTCATCTCATACTCTTCAGTGTGTGCCATTCCGTCTCGAGAGCCCCTCAGTGCACTGGCGCTGTTGGCCCTTCTGCCGACCTTGCGGCCATCCCTTCTTCTACGGTTCTTCTCGACCGTCGTCGAGTACGCAGAGAACCCCTCGCTTCTGGTGTTATATCCTGGGCACGTCGAAAGCTTGCGATAGCAAGTCAGGACTTCTGGCAAGAACTGAGTGAAGAAACGAGCAGTAATCGGCACGCAGCCACAGATGATGGCCCCGTTGGTCTCAGCGAAGCTTAGTATCAACTGGCGGGCTATGGCATCCGATTTGACGACATGTTCATCATCAGAGATGAATGTAAGCGTGAGGACTCGATATATTGAAATTGCACAGACGCTATGTTTTATTTTTCAGCGGATGAATAGACGCAGGACATCAAATTAGGGAGTAAGTGTGGCTTACAAGGCTCCAGCTCCGAGTAGAAGCAGCAGTGCGACCTTTCTCTTGGCGCTCATCTGCAAGGGCAGCACGACTCCGAGGGGCAAGATGAGAATACATATGTCAACGGCGATGTTGGCAATGCCGTAAAACATACCAAGCGCCTGGTCTGCGTGGTTGATCTTCTCTCGAAGAGCAACTGAGAATACCAGCAAAGATGTTAGAATGGAGGCCCCTGTGTATAGGCACAGGAAGACAATGACCGTATACACAGACCAGCGAAAGGGCAGTATCGGCGACAGACGGAGGTAGAATACCAAGATAGCCAATCGCGCAAATGTGAGAGCGAGAGAGAAGAAGATACTCGTCACTGCGTTAAACTTCATGCAAGAATGAGCAGCATGCCTTGCGAGTATGTTGTGAAGAAGATTGGTTCAGACACATACAAGAGCGAAACCCTGTTCGGATGTTTGCTGCTTCTGTTCCTCATCCATGCCCATGGCAGTCATCTTCTCGATCCATGGGTCATCTCGGTAATCAGTGAGCTACTAGTTTCAAGGCCGCTTCGCGCATGGATAAATACCCACAAAGAAAGAGCATGATGGCAAATAACCAAGCTGTGATAAGTGCCGCAACATTGAGGTCTGCCAAATGAATGTCAACTTTCATGGTCAGGACGGGCCAGGCGTAAAGACTTCCGCTTACAGTCCGCTAGGTTCAGCCTCTCGCGGGCGACCTTCAACTTGGTGAACAGTCGCAGTCCGACAACGATGGTGGCAACAGCCGTCGTAACTATTCCCTTTACTTCCTGAGACTTCATTTCGGATGTAGGTTAAGTGTTCCATTAGTATCGATTCATTGAGAACTCCCAAGCGTGAAGGAGAGACGTATACGATCAGGAAAGGTGCGAGTTGTCACGTATCCGAGCCTACTTCTAATCGATATCAACTCGCGAAGTTGCACGTAGACATATGCTTATACTGACCATATCGATCGATCCCCGCTCCGCAGGTCTCACACTCTATTCTCTTCTGGAGGCTCAGTGCACAAACACAAGGTGAGACGGAGATGGGGATGCACGTGGAGATCCCGACGCCCTGACTTTTGGGGTTGCTGCAAGTCGCATGCGGCTGCCCATGTTTGTCCAACGGAGCACTCCTCGTATCGTGCATACTACACCCGGTCATCGGGTAGCAGTGGCCAATGAGTGCACTCACTTGCCGACACTCTGGACTGAGAACTGAGGGGATAGGCTGCAAACACTGGCATTCCTCGATGCAGTGTAGGCTGGAAAGAATTAGGCTCTGCACTCTTCTCTAAACCCTAATGGAACATGAGGGGGCGCATTGATCTTTTGTACAAAGAAAACATGGCTATGTTGTGATGTTGCCGCCTCCTGAATGCTCAGCAGCAGCTTCGCGATCCTAAAGGAGTGTAGGATCCGATCAGCTTTGGTGATTGCCGAGTATGTCTCACAACAGGGCCATAGCAACCCGAACTGTTCGGGTGCCTCTTTTATCGAGTCACACAAGAAGGGCAACCCCTCAGCCATGGGCCTGTTCCCAGCGAAGCCTACCGCCAACCAGTATCATGCAGACCATATCGTGAGCCATGGCGTCGGGAGCTAACAGCTTAAATTCTGTACAACTAGCTTTATAGGACTGTAAGGCTGTCCTGCTACAGAGAAAGTCGTGTTGTGTACGATGCAGCCGTCCACAATTCTTTCTTTTTTTTTTTTTTTTTTTTTTTTTTTTTTTTTTTGT